ATGACCGGTCACATATGCATTCACCCTGATTCGGAATAAGCCATTGGCTACGTTTGGTCTTACTGCGGTAGTCCGCCGTTTCGTCGCATTTCAACAACCTTTTTCTCTCTGTGTCTCTCTGCGTTCTCCACAAACGCAATCGATCAAGCAATTCCCCACTGGAATCGAAGGAGGCTATCCGGCTCCGAAGTATCGATATATCTGGGATCATCCTACCCGCGACTGTTTTACGGAACTTCCCAATCAAGCAGCCTGCGAATTAACAAACTAACTTGTGGTCTTGCCGTAAGTTCGTTTATTTTCAGGTTGCTTTTCCTTCAGTTTCTTTACTTTTTCCTTTCTATTCTTTCTTTTTCTTTTTTTTTATTTACTTGTGCTGCTCTACTCTGCTTTGCCTCTGTTTATTTTTACCCCATTCACCGTTCCCCCCTTTTATACTTTCCTCGTCTATCGCATTTTATTTTTTATCTTCTCGTCGCCTTGTGGCAGTTACCTCCATGCTATGTCATTTTGTCCAATTCTTTCACACACCGACACCTACCTCCGCTCATTCCTATGCATGTCGAGCTGCGGATCCTTGTGAGAGGCTGACAGAAGCGCCCTGGCCCTTTCTATCCCGCACCGCAATCTGGGATACCTCGCCCTCACCAAAGCAGATCGCATTGCCTCTCTCTTAATATCCTAAAGTTGCGCCGTCTTGCAAATATTTGTTTTTTGCAGTTAGTCGGGCTGCTATCCTATTCATTTGTAGCATACTAACATATAGTAGTACCTATTTCTGTCCTGCCTGTACCCGGATTGTCTCCTGCGTTTGCTTTCGCCCCTTTCTTTTCTTTTCAGCGCTCGCGTCCCATTAGTATCACTTCTCGCTACCAGTCATCCTTCGGAAGCTGGAGTCCCACGTTTCTGAAAGGGGGGCCCGCCAAACGCAGGATACAACAAAAGGAATAAGCTCACAAGCAAAGGGAGACACCTAGAGGTTGGTCAGCCTCTATTATTATTGGAGGGCAGCGGGTGCATGGAGGTGGGTGAATTCTGACAGATAAGGGACGGACGCTAGGGAGCGTGCGTTGTGGCGTAGCATACATGACCACAGCACAGAGTCTGGCCTGTTTCGAAACATACTGCGATACCCTTCTGAGATTGTGAACATATTGCCCTTCTTACCGGCAATGCTACCGTATATTATGTGTTCTGTGGAAGGCCAACTTTTGTTTTTAATCGGCTACACCCTACTCAAAAGCCCCTTCCATCCACATCTGATTCATATTAAAATTTTAAGGCTTCGGTCTCGTCAAATCTTCCAAATTTCTCAACTTCATAGACCTCACTTCTTTTTGCCTTTGTTGGAGGATGGTTCCTTTCCCTCCCATTTCGACTGTTGCCGCACCTACGTTTTAACTAATATCCTTCTGCCTCTTCTACGAAATGGCACCGCCACCCGTTGAAACCCCTCCAAAATCTCAGCTCACGCTCGGTCTGGAGGTCGAGTTCTATGCTGCTCTCAAGGCTTCTACTTTCAACCATATTCTCTTCCATAATTGCATTGCAAGCCTGTTAGGTGAACGACTACGACAACTGCGACTATCTGGTCCCGATGGCTTCGGCTCCAAATTCAAGGTTGTTGTCAAGTCAAAGAAATACCCTTGTGACGCCAAATATATAGACTACGCCCAATGGACTCTGACTACAGATGCTACGGCACAACCCCAGAGTCCAGAATGGTTTACAGGTTGTGAGTATTCCCACATTCCGTTATCCTGGCCTTTTTTTTCGGTTAAGGGGCAAATCTGGATCTGAATGGGCGTTTGGACTAATAATGGTTATATTAGACGAATGTCAGCCCATAGAAATTATATCTCCCCCATATTGGGCACGCACGACCCACTGGGAAAATGATCTTCAACGGATATTTTCTTCTAGGATGGGCCGGTATAATCCCATCTCCGCGAGAGAGCTAAAGCTATACTCTGAGTTGAACAATACCACCAGCATCCATGTGCACGTCGGCAACGGAGTTGACCCAGGTTCCTCCTTTCCGTTCCACACAGTACGGAACTTGGCAATGATTCTATTAGTATATGAACCAGCCTTGGATCGATTGCTCGATGCTAAATTATACCCTCCCCCTATTCTCCTTGGCAACCGCGATCACTCTCAGGATGTAAGTCATGGACCTCCTTGTCTTTCGCTGGCAGTCAGCCGTCTAGTCTAGAAACAAAGAGTGACATTAAACCTCAATTAGCCCGAATCCATTTCCTCTATTGAGACCCCTTACTTTCAGCCTCCAAACCTACCGGCACAGTCCCCAAGAAGGGTATTAGCCCGTCATCTCTTTAATACATGCACGGACATTCGATCAGTAATCCGGGCGATGAGTCCACTACCACCAGATGAAACTTCAACTCCAGATTGCCCGTGGTATTACAAGTTCAATTTCAATCCATTACTTGACTCTCTAGATATACCACCGCCGGTACTTTCTGACCCCGAGCCTGAACCAACGCCTGAAGTGAGGGTTGGGAAGGAGACGTCGAACGGTCATGCTGGATCAACTATGCCAGCTCTCCCATCTGAGCCGCAATCACCGCCTCAGCCCAAGTCATCTCCACCCCCTAAACGGAAATCTCCGACTATTGAGTTTCGGCAGCAGATTGGAACTTTGGACCCAGACACGATGGTCTTCTGGATTAGGTTTCTAACGGCTTTGGTGGAGTTCTCTAGCAAACTTACGGACCGGGCGGTTGTTGAGTTCCTTGGACTGGAGGACATCGATATCGAGTATTTTCCACCTACGGATGAGGACCCGCCTATGGAGGATGAGGAACGGATTCCATATGTTACTATTCGACCACCTACCGATCCTTCCATTTCCCTCTCAGCCCTCGCGCTACTCACAAGCATGCAGCCCATCGGATCCCTTGCACGTCTCCTCACCGCTATGGAATCCGTCAACATAGACCTTGACTCCGAAAACACTCGGCATTGGAAGCGCAAGGTCTCACCATAAAAATTACATTGACAAACCACTGCCTGACAGCTCCCTCAGACCAATTCGGCTTTTCGGCTCGCTCTTTCGGGCTGGAATTTTTTCATTGGGATGATACTCTCGCTGGACATCACCAAGGAAAGGTGAAATTTCTGGAATAACAACCCATACCAACTATGTCTCATGTTAGTTTTCTTTCTGTTGCTCCGGAAACCCAAGGGAAACAAGCTGGAGTATCCTCTGGCAACACAGCTCAGATCCAGTAGGATATCTAAATGCTTGGTGTTAGTCCATCAATGGAAAACATTCAACGCTGAACGTGGATTGAAACTTGGCACCAAACATCCTGATATAGACACAGGTCTGCCAACTGTTGAAATGTTGCGTGTGCAATTTTCTAGAGACAGTCTTGACTATACCCGATACCCCTAGCAAGTTTGAAGCTACCCAGCAGAAGGCAAAAAATATTGAAAATCAGAAAAATATTACGCCAAACTCAATGATATTCCGATGCCTTTTTAGGACTGGCATCTCTGAATATGAGCTTGGTAATGATGAATGCCGTGCATTTAATGTTTACATCACTCCTCACACTACTGTCTTGCTGGCCTGATATCTTTCTTTTTGATGGCGTAGCTAGTCATCTTACAATATTAGTGAGTTATGATGCAGCCACTCGTTTTGGTACGCGGCAACCCACTATTGAGTGAAATTATTGTCTGTTTTTTAACACGAAAGGAGGACTTCGGATCTGATAATGATGTGACTCTTGGCTTTTGTTTAGTTAGAAATATCATCAACGTTCGGCTTTGTCGCTCACCACTCCTAGACTCGTACATATGAATTTAATGAGGTGCATAATAGAGGGTTGATTTTTTCCCGCACCTCCGATTTTGCTTTCTTCAATTTCCATTACCTAGGTAGTTATAGTTATGTTTGTATATATAGATCTTATTTTTTTATTTCCTTTTACTAGCACATACCCTCCATTGATGATTTATACTCTCCCTTTTCATATAGTGCGCCTTCATCCCATCAAGCGCAAAATTGTTTGATACCCGATAGTCTGTTCCTTGCTGCAAAAAAAATAAAAATAAAAATAAAAAATAAAAAAAAATAATGCTCTTCACACCGAGATTTGGAATTTGGGCTGCCTGAGGCTCCTGAGAACTGTAGCCTTAAGAAACTGGGCGATGACATCTGTAGTACAGCATGTCTCTCACCTCGCGCTGTTGGTTTGTTTCCTCCTGTCTCTGTCACTTGCAAATGTTTACGACGGGCAAACATTCGCTCCTTTACTCAAACACGATCTGGGGATACAATATATTCCATATATCATGCAGTGCTGTGCTGGTTCCACAGATTGTATCAAGTCCTCAGACAAAATGCCCCTTGACCCTCATTGGATTGAAGGGGGACACAACCTAGCCGGCCTGGTCCGGAGCTTTCATCGGATAGGCCTATGGGAGCTGTTTGCTCCTAAATGATACACCGACAACCTTGGTACTGAGGTATCGTGGCCAATCTGTTGTATGTCCGTGGAAACTGTAGATGATCAAAGAACTTGAGGCATTAACCCCTGTGCTTTCTTTTTCCTCACTATCTCTAAGAGTATGTCTGCAGAGGCTCGATAGTCTGCTCAACGGATACTTGCAGATGCCCTCTGCACAGGTTGCCAATGATATATCGGAATATCGTCGTGTTGAGCATGTAGCAAAATACGCCTGGGTACACAACATAATGGATGAAATAACGGGATGAGAAGAACACTCAGATTCTGAGCGGCATCTAGGGAGGCAGAAGGACTAAGCACTCACAATCTTCTTCATCCTGATTCGTATTTCCCATTTGCCGAGTGGCTCTCCCTTAGCCTGAAGAAGAACTCATGGAATTGGATACCCGGGAAAGAGATCCGACTCTTGTCCTACTACCCTGAGAGGAAGTAGGATTATCCCTTGTTTGCGCCGTAGCGACTACCAGGGCGCCTTGACAGATATATGACCGTTTTCATCTACAAATTTCCCACGGTCCCATTCTCTGCCCTCCCCTTTCTTTGCCCATTTAACACTTTCTATTTCCTTATGGTCATTCGAGCCTAAACCAGCAAAGGATTTGTTTGCTTCCCACTTCTCCACTACCCTATCGTCGAACCCAGCCTCTCGTAGGCGTTCCGCACCCTTCCGTTTCCATATCTCACGGTCCCGCAATGCCTCTAGCGCCATATCCCAGTCATCATTTGCATGCTTGTCTGCTTCCTTTGGGTTTAGAAGGCCTGGTACAGGGCGGATGTGTCCTGGATGATCATCATTGGCAGCATTGTCATCTTCAGTATGTACGTCTAACGCGGGGTCATAGTTTGACGAAAAATGGGCGTCTATGTTACTCGAATTTGTGGTTCTGTAAGCCCCACGGCCACGAGATTGGATAGGTTGACTGTTGTCCGCGAAAGCCGTTGGTGGTGCAGGACCAATAATATCACTCAGTGGGTCTGAATCATCGGAGTATGGGCTGCTCCTATCATTTGGTGACATATACCTACTTCGAGCGTCTTCAGCACATCTTTGTGGGGGTAACGGTGGTGGCTTCTTATCAACGGTGGTGTGGGTATCTGCGCGCAAGTTGTCGCTTTTATCCTCCATATGCTTATGCTTTCCAATTTTCTCCTCTCGGTTCCTGCTGCGTCTCCTCTGGCGGTGAGTCCTATATGGGGATTTAGACCGACTGCGAGATCTTCCATGGCGATCGTGGACCCTCCTGTCACTACTGCTCCGGCTGGGTATTGAATCTCCACTCCTGTCCTTTGCTGCATGGTCGTATTCATACTTTGAAAATTCTTGGACGCGTTGATGCCGCCTATGATGACCCCTTTCACCCTTCCTGCCGTGTCGACTCTGTCCAGATTCTCGTGCTGTATCCTCTGTATCTGACCTATCCTCCCGATGACGTCGTTTTCGTGCTCTGGATATTCCATCATCATCGCCATTGGAATACCTGTATTCCTTTTCTCCTTTTCGAATACGACTTTTTCCAGCACGGTCACGGTGATGGTGTCTCACTCCATTTTGGTCCTGTCGTTCGGGCGATTCAACTCTCCGACGTTTGTGTTCCCGATCATCTCGCCCATCTGACCTTGAAGATCGAGAAGGCTTGCTTCTTTCACCCAGTAGGGTCCTCATTCTCTGCCTCGCCTCCTCCTCTTCTTTGCGTTTCAAATTCTCATTGTGGCTGTCCGTTTCGCGGAGGATATGCTTTAAGAACCGTGTATTTGGCTTCGGAGCGCCATTAGTAGATCTATCGTAGCACAATGGTTAGATCTACACTTTCAAGGATAGAGATAATTTCAATAATACCGTTTTGACGGGCCGTATACTCCAAGGGCCGAGTATCTGCGCGAGCAGTCCCGCGCATCTTTAGCAAGAAGTTGGGCAACATAGTCATCATCATTGTAGTCCGCGTCAGTTATACCTCCATTTCTAGACCTTGACATGATCTGGCGTATTGATAATTGCTTCGTCAAACTGCCTTTCGTCTTCCGTCGTTGACGTTGAGCTCAAAGCTGGGCCTTTTTCGATGTCAAGATAACGCTGACTAAGCCAAAAAAAAGTCAAACAGTGCAAACAATGCTTGTTTACTTTCGTTATCGCGATAAGCTTAAATGCCTATCTTCACTCCGCGATATCAGTTTTCCTTAAGACGAGGAGACAACAAGAAAAGTAAGATCCGCAGAGACATTGGAGTCGACGTGGATGGTCCCTGCACAATGGTTGATACTGTCTACTCCGATGCGCTGGCGCAGATTCAGGCTCTAGACAAAGAGACCCCTGCAGATACCCTCGCAATCATTCGAATCAGCGAGCCAATCGGCACATCAGATGGGACCGCAACATCGGAGCGGTCGCCATCCAAGCGTACCTCAGACGTGTCTACGGACGCATATGATAATCCAACACCGGCGACATTAGAAGCTGACCTGACACATTATAAGGTATGTTTACCGTTACAATTATCCGAATTAAACGACTAATTAACAGTGGTTTTAGGAATTATTCTCGAAGCTCCGATTTTCGTACCTCGAACAAGTCACGAAAGAGAAGTTTCTACGTGCTATTGTTGGTGATCCACCTCTAGTCGTTGCGCATAGTGACAATGTCGAGCTGGAAGCAGAACTCGCTCAAATAAAGGAAGAGTTGCAACGGCGAAAGGAGGAAGTTAGGATATCAGTTGAGGAGATGGAAAAGATGAGCAGAGACCTGGCAAAAAGTAAAGGCACTCACATGTGCTCCTCGCTAAAGCCTGGCACAATTAAGCTAATTATCCCCATATATCACAGGGTATGAAAATGTACAGCTACAAACCACACAGCTTTCAGAGCTGCCGGCTTCAATTGCGAACCTCGAAGAAACAATTTCCCGGTTGCGGGATGCTCAATCAGCGCAGCTTCAGGAACGATCGTCTCTATCTCCATCTCAAAATCTCCCGCTTGAAGCTACTCTTCGACTTTTAGCAGATAAGGATGCTGAGCTAACAAGCCTAAAACGAACGCTGGCGTCTTCAGAAACCGCATTAGTCCGTAAAACAGGAGAAGCAGAAGCATTGGAGAGGGAGTTGGCCGTGTTAGAGAAGAAGAGAAATGAAGTTATTGCGCAAGCCAAGGAGGCGCAACGACGGAAACTCCAAGGAGAGAGTGACGGGCTTGAAGAAATGGGGCGATGGTATGCAGGAGCGGAGCAAATACTGAAAAGCTTAGTATAACCCTGCATCTATGTGGGCTTAAGTCAATGGTGGACTATTAATCAAGGAGACTGACACAAGGTATGTATATAAAGGAAAATGGTCGCTATTGTATATTGAATGGTTTGGTCATAACTCGTATTTCATGATATACATGGGAGTATTTTGGATAGCGACATCCATTTATTATTTTGTTTTATTTTATAAGCTCTTTTAAATCATCTACTCCTCGTCTTCCTCCTCCTCCTCGTCATCACCCTTCTCGGCCGCTCTCATCTTCTTGCGCTTAACGCGACCAGGGCGGCCACCACCAAGAGGAGAGGTGAGGGAGAAGTCAATGTGCTTCTGGGAGTCAAGACGGACAACGAAGGATGGGACGTTGACGATTTGCTTGCCGACACTATGAAAAGACGTTAGAAATAGCCTAATTGAGATATGTATCGGTGTAACGTGGACGCGTACCGGATGTGTCTCTGTCTGATAAGAACACGGGCATGATGGATGGACTTGGCCAATCCAAGTCTGTAGACGCAAGTCTGAAGACGGCGCTCCAAGAAATCTTCAATCTTAAGAGCAAGCACGTAATCGAGCTTCATGCGGGACTCGTCGAGGACACCAACACGGACAAGTCGTCGAATCAAGGCGTTACCCTCGAAAAGACGCTTGGGATCCTTCTCGTCAAGAGTGAGAAGCTCACTATAGCCAGTCCTTATTAGCCTCCTTTCCTGATATTACAGCTACCATAAATTCCAGAGAATAACCATACCGAGCAGCACGACGGATCTTGGACAGAGTCAGGTTGACACGCCACACCTCACGCTTGTTGCGAAGGCCATATTCGCCGACCAGCTTCAATTCAGAGTCACTAGAAATAGGCGAAAATGCGCAGGTTAGGAACAGTTTGCACCAACGACATAAGCAAAAGCAAGCTAATTGCTCAGTGGCCGGGGAGTACTAACAGACGAGCCGACTCGAATGCTATAAAAGAGTACACATTAGCACTTCAATCCAATACTTTTTTTCCCTGCAGAATATCCAGATCGCAACTTGGAGAATAGCTCAATACTTACGACGACGTGGGACCTTGTAGGTCTTGGAGTATGCGCGCCTGCAATCAACAGAGACATGTTAGCAACGCATCCAGCGCCCTCAATCTCTTCCGTCTCTCTTCGTCAGGGTACGTCAACGTACGGAGCCATGGTGAATTAGTTGTCGAAGGCTGAGCTGCACACCAGAACTTGTCGATGCGAACAGGAAGAAAACGAAGAAACGAAAAAAAGTTCGCGAGGTTTTTTGGGTGTTTCCGGATGTGCTGATGTAATCAAGTCGCTTCTCTCGTTTGGGCGAGTAATTAGGGCTGCAGCCCTAGCCGCCCGAAAAGCGCACGCTAAGCGAAAAAGAAGTTTGCGACGTCGAAAGATAATCTCGAGCAGCGCAGCAACTTCACCAGGCTCGACAAACTCCCAGCAACGATACAACCCTTCATCCAGCCGTCAAGATGGGTCACTCAGCCGGTTTGAGGGCGGGCACTCGCGTACGTTTGGCTCCGGCTTATATTGCGACTCCGTGGGCGGTACAGGGAAAGCTGACGATGTGTTGAATAGTATGCCTTTTCTCGCGACTTCAAGAAGAAGGGTGTTATCCCGCTGTCCACCTACCTGAAGACCTACCGGTACGGGACCTTTCGAATGATGTGTATACGGTTAATACTGGCGGAATTATCATGCTGATTCGATATGTCTTTAGTGTTGGTGATATTGTTGATCTCAAGGTCAACGGTGCTGTTCAGAAGGGGTTAGTTGACCATCAATTCCACCCGTGTTGATCCAAATTCATTCGCCTCGATTATACGATTTTCTGGCCCGAAAGAATATGATATGGACGAGGAAGAAAAGAATAGATGAGGCGAAAGACACAATGATCGAGAAATGGAGGCGGATAGTTTGATAACAGCACCTGGTTTACTAAAACGTTTCCGTTTTCTAGTATGCCACACAAGGACTTCCACGGAAAGACTGGCGTCGTATACAACGTCACCAAGTCCGCCGTTGGTGTCATAATCTACAAGCGCGTCGGCAACCGATACATCGAGAAGCGAGTGAACGTCCGCATCGAGCACATCAACCACTCCCGATCCCGAGAAGAGTTCCTCAACCGTGTCAAGGAGAACGCCGTCAAGAAGCGCAAGGCCAAGGAGGAGGGTGTCCATGTCCACTTGAAGAGACAACCCGTTGGTCCCCGTGAGGCCAGAGTAGTGAGCCTGGAAGGAAACGCCCCAGAGACCCTTGCTCCTCTTCCATACGAGACGACCATTTAATTTAAGAATCCAAAAAACGAAATTATTGAAATACCACTACCACACGTTTTTCTCTCTGCTTGTCTCAAAGTTCAAAAGCCTGGGTCCAGAGGGGGTTTCTCTTGTTCTATAGGTTTTTGTTTTTCCAAGGTCGTTCCAAGGAGCATAGGAAAGGATAACAATGTACCTTTCTCCCTTGTTGCTATAACGGACGTACCGGAGCCATTACTTCGGCCGTTGATTGGGAATAAGGCACTCATGATATACAAGGCACTGCGCCATTTTAACGATTTGACCCCGTTTCCACTGGAGTACACTATGGTGCTGTCATTTCTCTCCCGGCGTAGTTGTGTAGCTTTTGGAAGGCATTAAAGTGTAACGCTCTTTGGTAAATTATGAAATTTCTACCTCTTTAATAATTAAGATGCGGCGGATGACATGAAACTTGTAAAAAAGAAATAAATTGGCTTCCCATTATCAATCGTCCCTCGTCTTCAGACCCTGGTTATATGCCAAAGGAAATCAAAATGAACAGCCCCAGCAAAGCGAATATCATCATTAAGTAACCGGCCAGTCATGGTTCCTCGTTTTCAACATGAAAGCTCGAACTCTTAACCAGCTCCACGCAGAAATCGGCCCATTCAGTTTTCTTTTCATGGGCTCCAGCACCTCCAACCTCGATAATCTCTTCCTCGATATGGTCTTCAATGAACCGACCGTATTTTCGACGGTACTCAGACTTGACTCTTTCCAAGTGATGTGGCTCCCAGTGCAGACGGACTAAGCGTGAAATAAGCAGCTCGGCACGGTCACGTCCAGTGCCAGACTCTGTGATAGCCTGGTGGATGAGTAGAGCATCTCTCATGGGTCGATTACGGACACCGTTTAGAATATGGCCCAATGTCTCTCCCTATAAGGTAGAAACAGAGTCAGTATACAGGTGATGAATAAAGCAAAGAAACTATACGTACCACCAAGTTTCGAGACTTCGAGAGCATAGCCCTCGTAAAGTTCTCCCGATAAGTCATCTCATATGCTTGCAGCACTTCCCGGAGGTGCGCATTTCCCCTTACAATGATAATCTGTATCATAGCGGTCTCGCCTCCGTCACGGGAGGTCACTGCACGATGTAGGTCATAAACATCTCTGCGAACCAAGTCGACGTTCAAGGGTGCGTTGTCAGGCTGTCTCTTCTCCTGCAAAGCAAGTAGAACAGCAACACGGAACTTGTCTGCCTTTAGTTCAGTCTGCATGCACAGCTCAAGGTTATCCTGATACCTCTTGTCCCGGAAGCAAGCCTTGATCTCCTTTATTTCAGCATTGGGCCTCCCGATAAGTGACTCGATAAGAAGTTCATGTCGAGTACGGCTCGATTGATACCAGAAATTGGCCCATAGAGCTTCCGACTCCCACTGCCCCAAGGCAGTCGCATAGCATACTTTACCAAAGTTTCCGGGGACCACCATCTTGATATGCTTGGCCATGTTCACCCCCTTTCTGGTCATGACCCTTAGATTCTTGTATGCGCCGCGAAGATCTAGAATCTCATCGGATGTGAGGTATGGAAGGATCTTTATCAATGTTTTAGCATTGATTTTGGAATGGTTTAGGGCAGAATGGACCAGTTTCGCGTCGTCCTTGGGATCATAGACGTACACCTGAGCTTCCTTAGGTGCAATCTCCTTGATCACATTCGGCCCTAAGCTGGTGGACAATCTCCTACGGATTTCAAGTTCCAGGCCAGGGTCTTCTCTCTTTTTCTTGTCTTTCTTACTTCCCTTGCGGCCTAAAATCTTGCTTTCTTTACCATTGAGAGGCTCCATGTCGGACAAGGCATCATCCCCAAGGGATGTTGGCCATTGAATAGGGGATATACTTTGATATGTACCCTTATAAGGTTCTAGGAGTGGGCTGGCTGGAGGGTTGGCACCATCTGGGAAACTGCCGGGTATCTTCATTTGGTTGTCAGGGGTTAAATTCAAGTTACTTGGCTTGCTGGAGACAGTTTGACGCCGCGGCTTTATTTCTAGATATGAAGGTTGCTTCGGCTGGGTAACAGGAGCCGTAGCATATTGGGCTTTGCTAGGGTTAGTAGCGGCGGCAGCGGCGGCAGCAGGAGGAGGAGCAGTACGATTAGAGTTAGTAGTAGCAGCAGAGGTAGGTGCAGGTGTCTGGGTGGAATATCTGATCTGTGACGCAGGTACAGAATACTGGTAAACATCCGGCTTGCTGTATGTTTGCTTTGTAGGAATATGTCCAGTAGAGGTTGCGCGTTTATGTTCTGGCTTCGGGGCCAATGTCTGAGTAGTAGCGGGTGTTTGACTGTATTGTGGAGGTACATATCGCGCAGCAGGAATGCTGGGATACTGGGTAGCGGACGTTGCCGGGCTGGCGACAGTCGCTCCTGGTATCACATTAGGAATAGGGCGAGTATAAGTTGAAGTCTGCGGGCGGGGAGGCAGCTCTGGGGCGGTCGCCACCGGAGCAGTGGAAGCTACCATAGGCTGTTGCTGCAGTTGATAATACTGGGTAAGGTTGGCATATATATTAGGAACCTCGGGATGATTATTATTGTGATTATCATTATGTGGTTGGGGAGCTGCAGCAGGCTGTTTCTCAGCTGGGGGCGGAACATAGCCTTCACGTTCACATTCGGGGATTTCAGCCCATGCATTGAGATCAATGTCAGATGGTTTCTCATCAAACTCGCGGTCCTTGGTATCGGATGACGGGTAGAGCTGCGACTTCAGCTTTTCAAGCGTACTGCTTAGCCCATAGTTCTGTGTCTTTTGCATCATGGCGGGCATCTCGTCTCGGGCAGAGGAGCCGGCGGGCGCAGGAGCTTGTTCTGGCTCAAATAAACTTCCATGTCGCGGCGATTCCCTGGTTCGACTGCGGGAGTACCGTCGCCGATCCGCTGTATACTCCTTGGTATACTCGTAGCTGGAGTCCGAATCATATGTCACCTTTGGGTTCGCCGGACGCCTGCCACGGGATCCTGATCGTGACCTCAAACGACGGTGATGGTTTCTAGCAAGGGGGTAGTCGTAAGGTTCACCATATGCCAGATGGTCATCTTCCGACTCTGAATAGTATGCTGGCTCATGTAGTCGGGATGGTCTTGGTGAAGGATAAGCGACAGCCGGCGGCCTGGTAGCCGGAGCAGCGTCAATATCCGAGTGAGAGTCGTAAATGTAGCTTGACCGCTTGCTTTTGGATGGCTTCGAACTAGACGAATATCTAGGAGCTAGAGCATGCTCGTCAGAGAGATAGTAGTGATCGTTTGCTGCTTGCGTAGAGTACTTTGAGCTCCTTGACGGCCGATATCTTTCATCATCAGATGGGGAGACTTCGCGATACTGCGTAGACATGCGTCGCGAGTTTGTCCGCCGAGAGACTTCGTCTTCATACGAGTCATAGTCATAGTACTTTTTTGACGGCTTCTCCCTCTCCCCGGAGGGAGAAGCCCTGCGAACATGACTATGGCTGCGACTATGACTGCGTTCAGTGCGATCGTGCTCACGGCCGTGTCGCGATCTTGATCGTTCTCGAGACTTAGACCTCGATCGGTAGTACTGGTCAGGGATTCGAAGCGACATGGCTGCGAGATATTGGCGAGCTTCAACCAGCCAGTTCTTCTGTCACAGAGCAAAGTAGAGGCGCCTTCTGGGAAATAACAGACCTCCGAAAACCGCTAGATAAACCGCAAGCAGCAGTAATGGTGAAGCTTCAGAACGCAAAGCTGAAGGATTGTGAAGGAAGCGAGCCAGCGAGAACTCGTTTACTAGTTCGCTGCACGAGCCTTGTGAAGCGGGTTTCAGCCGCTTTGCACAACCAAGCAACAGCCGCTTGGCCCCCATATTTGCTTAACTTTGGCCTGCGCGACGCTGTTGCACATTGGCTGGTCACGCAGGAGGTGCCTGGTGATGGCTGGGGGTCGCCCGCCCGTCGTATTCTGTATCCATGCGATTGGCTGCGCAGGAACCGGGAGTCCCTGTCAATGTCCCGAGGTTTGCGAAGCGCATGCCAAAAATAAAACTCGTTCACTGTGCAATTATTATATATGTCTCAACTCCAAGCAATAAGTGAGGAAACCCTCAGTCATGAGAAAAATGCCAAAAAAAAAAAAAAAATGCGCCCGTACTCCGCATGCGCCCGTCCAAAACTGCGGCCCCAGGAACTGCCCAGCTTCATAAGATGGTCATGACAATCATAGCACAGCACCAGGCTTTGGTCATAAAGACATTAGTTATACAGTACATTACTCTCATTGATCACAATGTACTGGAGGAGGCTTCGATTTTACCCTCCTTGATGAGCCGATCCCTCATCTTTGCTTTGATAGGTACGTTGGCCATGCCCTCAGTGAGAGGACGACCAGTCCTAAACCAAACGTAAGCATGAGCAAAACGGCTCCTGAGCGCATGGAATGAGCCGGAACTTACATCAGATCATCATAATGCATTTGGGCGCCTTTATCCTTGATCTGTACCTGAGTTCGTTTGCTCAGTATGTTCCCAGCCATGGAATCTCGCCTCTTTATCTCGGCCCAAGAAGGCCCACCACACACTTCAATCAGCTCCCTCAGGCACGTCTCTTCTTCAAGTGACCAGGCTCGCCGAGGAGCCCAGTTTCCTGCGCGCTGTACTTCAACATTTACCGACTCAAACCGTTGTGGTGGAGGAGCAGTGGTTGAAGGCGACCTAGTCCTAGTGGCTCCCCGGCTGTTTGTCCTATCTCCACGAGAAATTGAACCTGGGGTAGGTCGAGGAGGAGCCGGAGCACTTATAACACGGCGTTTCTTGACCGGGCGACTATCGGTCTCAAACTCATCATCATCACTCTCAGACTCATCGCTGTCATAGTCCACAGCTCCGGCACCACGCTTCTGCGGGCCTGATACAGGGGCCACACTGGCGCGTGGGCTTGGTGAGAAACTAATGGGCGAGACTCGATGTGCATTCGCTTGTCGGTCTATAAATGCTCCAAGATTTTTGGCCACTTGCTTCGACTTTCTAGCCATATTTCCTTCTTCAGAAAGTCTCCAGATCTCCGCTGAGGAGAGAGGAGGAAGCTCTTCTGGTCTACTGTTGCTCGGTCCATTATTCCTCGGTGATTCTTGGGTTCTGACTCCTGGTGTAGGCTGAGGAGGGGAATTTTGCAAAGGAGGTGACTGCAAGCCATCGCCAAGCACCTCATCGTCAAATAGAGACTCTTGAACCGGGATCAGTCGTGTTTCTGCTCTTTCTTTTATCTGGGGCACTGGCGGAGCAATATTCGCCTCATCTGCAGGTATGTCAGAGGTAGAGGACGATTTGTCCGTGGCCCCGATTCCAAGGAGATACCTGAGCGCAGCTTTCCTCTGAAACCGACGAGGCGGATGGAGGGCTGGACTTACAGGAGGTTGTGGATTTTCTGTTATCTCGACAGAAGTAGTCTGCTCTGGTATGGAGGGAGCATCTTGCACTGGCTCAGTCGCCAGAACTTGCTGAAGCGCGCCCTTCCCCCTAAACCGGCGATGTGTTGGAGTGGTTGGATTTGCAGGAGCTTGGAGTGACTCTACTATGTCTGCAGTAGTGGCCTGCTTTGGCATAGATGAAGCATCTCGGGCCGGCCCAGCCGCCAGAACCTGCTGAAGTGCCCCCCTCCCTCTAAATCGCCGACGGGGCATAGTGGTTGGGCTAATGGTTGCAGCGGGCTCTTCTTTGCCCTCCTGTCGGATTTCCATGGTTCTATCCGGTGTGGTGTTCCTCTCAACAGGAGGCTCCACTTCGTCGATGGCAGGATCTAATATGGGTTCCATCGGGTTCCCTGGCCCGAAGCTAGATCTTTTGTCCAATTCAGATTGTAGTATCCTCATTGCTTCTTCAACCGGTATTTGTGAGCTGAGTTGCTGGTCAATCGCATTTACACGCCGTCGAATCCAGTTAGCAATAGAGACGATAAATTCCGACCATGGAAACCTAGCTTCTAAGCCTCCCTCCTGTACAACCAACTTTCGAATCAGGTCAATTCTCTCTTGAACAGTTCCATAGAATTCTTCGGGCAACTGATCATCTTCGTCCACTAGACCATCCATTTCCCAGCCTTTTAATTCAGTATTAACCTCACCGAGCGAAGGGTTGTAAAACACATCCGCAAGCAACTCTTCGGGCTCTGAATACTGGCCTGGGGAGTTAGACAGTAAGCTTGAAATGAAACGTTGAGTACGGAGCTCAAGTCCTATCTGGAACGTTTCTTTCCTAAGGTCATCCTCTGCAGAAGTTCTAGAATCTCCAAGCGATCGTGAGTCCATAAAGGCCAATGGGAAGCTATCGTCCACTGTCCCTGTTAATGTAGTTAAACGTGGATTGATAAGATCTATGGCTAGTTGCGCTAAGTTGGCTTTCTGATACAACCCTCGAGACTGCCACTCGAGCTTTTTAATTGAAGATAATGCTTTGACAGATCGATCGACAGGAATAAAGCTTGCTTTCGTTATGCATTTCTTTTGAGTCTCAAAGGTCACTTTAGTACGGTTGAGCCTGGCGCTAAATTTGGGTGTTTGGAAGTACTTTGAGATATTGGCATAAGAAATTCCCGGGGGTGCCAAAAGATCCAGGGCCTTGGTTGATGCATTAAGTAGGTCTGGGAGGGTATCAAGTAAGAGATGAGGGTCTGGTTCGTCGGTTTCATAACCCGACTCATCAATCTGGAGCATAGTAGTTCCTGAAATGTTGCCATGGTCCGTATGTGACTCGGCAACATATGTTTGGCTTATATAGGACGGGTGGCTAGGAGAAAACTCGATGCCAATCCTTGGTCCATCAGCACAATCCTCCGCGATAGGGGAGAGGTCTGTACAGTTGTTAGGTTGGCTCTGGCATAAAATAACCAAGTGAAATGTGCACAAGGGTAAAATGAAGCCAAATACTCACTATTTCCCCTGGTCGAAGCGTCAGAGGCTCTCGGGGTCTTAGGAACAGGTTTCTGGTCGCCAACTTCATCTCTCTTCAGTGGCAATGAAGGAACTTTGAAGCTTGCCGGCGCCGGACTCTCTCCAAGCTCCCGACTGCGGCTTCTAGTTAGCCGGGAGCTGGTTCCTTGCGCCCCTTTAGCGGACACGGAGCGACTTTTCGGCGGCTGGCTTTGCCTGGTAGGAGTGGCGGCACTTCTTGTTTGAGCCATCGTATCCTTAGGCTTAGAGTGCCACACAGGCCACTAACAGACAATGTATGAGAATACACGTTATACAGTCATATATGCATGTAAGCTGACGCTTGAATAATAGATATAACCGGCGAAACCAGGCTGTTGGAGTTGCGGAGTTCAAAAATATTGAGGTTGGGGCGTCGTCCAAATAAACAACTACGAACGCTAAACTGTTTCAGGAAAGTAATATCACGTGTAAGGGCTATACCGCATTTGTAACCCTAACCCTAATTGACCCTAAACCCTAGTCCTAAACTCCGAGAGTACTCCGGACATAAGCGGGGATAGTTAGCATTCTCGGATTTGGTCCATTGACTGATTATATAACCATGTTGCTTACTAATAAAGGGCTCACGTGTATATTTGCTGACTCAACTAATGCGAGTTTTTTGATTGGCCTGTTTATCATTGCATTTAAATGCCAAAAGCATGCATCAATAAAGCTACAGGAAAGGCTCTGGGTTGTGCTATGTTATTTTGTATTCAAAGTTTCTTTCAGGTATCATTGATGCCTCTACTTGATTCTTGATACCACGTAACGTGTCTACGTAACGTGTGTAGGGGAATATAAGCAATTGACAACTGATAATGACTGACAGATACCGCGTTTTCGTGGCCACCTATTTTCAGCAAGGAATAACGAGTGACAAAAGAAGCAGGACGACATTGATATATGCAACCTACCATTGGGCCATCTGGATCGAAGAGAAAAAGAGCACAGGGCGGGGATACTGTTTTGATGTGAAAGAACATCCCTCATTTTCTAAAATTCCTGGCTCCAGAGGCTGGAAATACGAATGTCGACATGAGAACTTGGCTGACAGCCATGGAATGCTTGGTCGAATAATGATTGGGAAACTACCCAAAGGCGTTACTGTACAGGATGTTATTGGCAGCTTCAAGGCATCTCTTTACCCAGACCAAACTCGACTACAGTCGAGAACTGTGTCAGCTGGGTCCAGGCTGCAGTCAGCACTTCAGGAAAAATGCTGGCGGAGAACTTTGACATTGACGCACTCATGAATCACGTATTTGGTACCAAGGAAATGAAAACTTACAGGACAAGCCCCAAATAGCGAACTACACGAATCGCCCTCTGTGATTATACCCTGCACCTATCTTGCTTTTCTCGAATATTTTGATCGCAGGAGTGGATGTTTAGGATTTGCTGAATCGAACTCAGATCTGAATTACCACGAGCATGGCCTCGGCTACAATAACGCCTAGCAAACCTTGCCGATAAACATAGGGGAGGAACAGAATAACAAAGAATTCAGTGTCCTCCGTTCAAACATGGAATCACATCCCATAGTTATTTATAAAAACTTGAAGCTTTGCAATGTATTCAACAGCTTCAGGATGAGCACTTGTGAAGCTGGTGTCTGGCTTTGACTGTCTATGTGGAGGCTGTCTCTTTCGATTTCTTTGACCACATTTCTCATTTTCATGATGATGCTGGACATGATCAAGTTTTGAAGTCTTGGAATGAGTCCATTGGATGGGTCCATGCTTATATTATCCTATCGGGTATGCCCATGGGGCCGTGTGTCCGAATACAGTGGTAGTTGATGATGAGATAATCGTTGTAATCATTGCTGGCTGAGAGTTTGAAACTGCCTGTACTAAGGTTCATTGTGGCTACACATCGTACCGTGAGAAATGCTATTTACAGCTCTTTCGAGAGACTATGCACTGGAAGAGCTCAATGCCGTCTGGCGTGTCCGTAGAACTTCGTATCTTTCACAATAATATACAGTGGACGCAATTAACTGAATACTCCGTCCAGAAATCATGCAGCGGGATTGTGCGATTAGAATCACCTCATCACCTCAGGGTTCATCAGAGTACTTTTCGGAAAAGAGCTGATCTTCGCCGTTTGAAGGCAAGGTGGACCTGTACCAGAACAGAGATCAAACGAGGGTGATGTCAGGGGCACTACGGCCAAGATCAATCCTCGAGAAAGACGTTTTTTACGTGATTCGTTTCCTGTTGCACAGATTCTCCATGCATGGATTCCTGATGTAAGTATGTTTTGTGCCAGCATGGTACTTTTATGATAGCTGAACGACGCCTGGGAGGGATCCCGCGGGACGGAAAAAAGGGAACTTGTCCACTGCTCAGGGACTAGTCACGGCAGCCAACAAACCAACACACCAACGGGTGGATCGAACATGGCTAGCTGGCTCCTCTTTGACGTCTCATTTCAAGGCTCTTGAAACCTGGCCCCTTAGACTCGAGATGTTCTCGTTGCACATCCCACAGGCCCTTTTTCTTTTTCCCACACATCTCGGGTGACCTGCCAGCTCCGACATCCAGCCAGGAAACGAACCCTGACCCCCCGGTCGGCCTCGCTGGGAGGCTTCTCCGTGGAAAACGAGAAAACGACCCAGAATCGCCCAGGAAAAAAGGGGCTTCATGTCTGATAAGTTTTTTTGATATTCGCAAAAAATAGAAAACTTTGCCAAGACTTCTGGGCGGTCGAGGCCCTGGCTCAGAGCACGTGAGCTGAACAGGCCGCGCCCGCGAACGCCCCCTTGGAGAAGTTCGGCGTCGGCGTCGAAGGTCGACTTCAACTTCAACCTCATCTTCACCTTCAGCGCCATCTTAGCCTCGCTGCATCGTCGAGATACACTGGTTTACGCTCATTTGCATCCGTTTTTCTTCTTGCTGCTCTTCCTTTTCGCTCTGTTGACTGGCTGAGTCTTCTTTTTTGGGCTGACGCTCACCCTTTATCGTCGCAATTAACTACCTAGCATCCTGGCTTCACTATCAAAACGACCTTTCAGCCTAATTACGCTATTCGCACAAGGCTTGCTCTTCTTTTAGCGATCTGGCATTGCTTGACTACTACAGACTGATTGCTGGAGGAATTCAGCCTATCTCAAAAAAACCGCAAAACGTAACGACATCCTAATTAATCAACCCGAGATCCGAAGCAACATGCGTGTCCAGCCTTTCGTCTCATCCGCCCTTCTCCTCCTCTCTATCTCTACCGCTATAGCCGGCCCAGTATCGAATCCAGATGCGAAGAGAAAAGAGCCGTCTAAAGGTGCTCGGGAATCAGACCCTTCAAAAGCTGTGACGGACTCGGTTTCCTCAGATGACCCTGCAACCTGGGATTTTAGTAGCCCCTTTGACGGGAAGGATGGCAAACCGCACGCCGGCCCCTTTGTAGAGACAATTGCAGAGCGAGGGCGTAAGAAGTCGTCCAAGAATGGTGGCTCAAAGCAAGAGGATGAGGAGGATGATACCTTCTCGGAAGACACCGAGCATATCGCCCCTGACGGGACCAAGATTCCTCACTCAAATGATGGAGTAATGGATGATAAGAACCGTTCAGGGCCCAAGGAGGGAACAACAGGTATAGAGGGTGGAGTGTCAGCGAAATCCAAGGGCAAAGACACGAGCACCAACAGGAAACCGGACTCTCCCAAGGAGTTACCTCCACTCCCTCATAGTGAACAGACGAAGATTCCCGGGCAAGACGACCAGCCAGAGGATAGCGACGATGAGAAGAAGGGATCAAAAGTTCTGGAGGTAGGTTGGACTTTTAGATCATGTTTCGCTATGCCGCTCTTGTTTTGTTCTAATATTTTTACCCGCTGTAGAAACCTGACGATCTACCCGAGTCTCCTCACTCTGTTTCCTCAGGGAAGTCAGATAAATCTCGTGGACCCGATCTCTCTACAAAACCTGGATCTTCTCGTTCCCCCGATACCAAAACACCGTCGAAACAACCTGGCAACGAAATCATTCACCCCTCCGACTCGTTCTTCCTATCGCTTACCATGATTGTTTTCTCCGAGATTGGTGACAAGACTTTCCTTGTCGCTGCGCTTATGGCTATGCGCCATCCTCGCATGCTCGTCTTTTCTGCCGCATTTAGTGCACTCGCTGTCATGACTGTTCTCTCCGCCGTCCTTGGCCATGCTGTTCCTACCCTTCTACCGGCTCACTTTACCAGCGCTCTTGCGTCGATCCTTTTCTTCGTTTTTGGCCTTAAAATGATGGTCGAGGCACGAAACATGTCTCCAGATGAGAATGTTAGTCAGGAAATGAAAGAAGTTGAGATGGAACTCGAAGAGAAGGAACATGAGCAGCTTCGCATGGGCCGTGGCCGCTCGGGCATCAGTGCCTATGCGCTAGAATCTGGCCATGGGGGACTCCCACGGAAGAGCCGCTCTTCCAACCATATGCTCCCCTCCCCAGAGAGCCTCTCCTCATCGTCGTCAAGGGATAACTCTCCATCTCGCGCCAACACCCTTGCAAACATGATGTCTGGTGTTAGCAACCTGTTTTCGTTCCTGTTGAGTCCCGCTTGGGTGCAAACTTTTGTCATGACCTTCCTAGGAGAATGGGGAGATCGAAGCCAGATAGCTACCATCGCCATGGCTGCTGGTGCTGATTATTGGTGGGTTACCTGTGGTGCCGTTATTGGCCACGCGCTTTGTACTGCCGGCGCAGTCATAGGTGGACGAGCGATCGCTGGCAAAGTCAGCATCCGAGTTGGTATGAATATCCCTTTAACCTCCATAATATCTCTATCAATTCGTCTTTTAACATGTTCTCATAGTCACCTTTGGTGGTGCCATCTGCTTCGTCATCTTCGGCCTTCTCTACCTTTTCGAATCTATATATTAAGCCCAGCCACCTGTCGTCACAGGTCGAACACATATCCTTCGCACTCATGAATTATTACTATTCCATAATTCATTTCCTCTTCTTCTGTTTCATATCTCGTACTTTCTCTCCCTCACGAACTGATCATATGCTTTAGGAATCCCTTTATATATCTCACTTTCCTTCCTCGCTTATATCAAATATCTCAGTGGCGTACCGTCCATTCTTATTGTCATCTCTTTCTCATTCATTTCTTATAGCTTTTGTTTGAACTGTTATCTCCATGGTTGGCTTGCCTGTACTGTTATTTTTGCTTCTTGGTTTTTTTATTTGGCTACTTAGCATGCATTCACTCTCCTACCTTACAACCCTATTTTTCCTTATGGCCCTCCCAATAGCAATTCGTTATAGGCCAGGCCGGATATACCAGCGTTATTCCTTTTCCTCTCTAACTTTTTGTCTACCAAATCTTTCCGGTTTTTTTTTGCTGATGTTTCCCCCAAAGGCTAGGTTATCAAAAGATAGATGGATATGGTTTCTCCCCCTTCCTTTTTACAATTATTATGAAAACAGGTTGGATACCGCTACCCTTATATGCTAATCGAATAAGATACTGTTAATCCATGCAGTTGATGTGTTGTCAAGTCGGAGTGAAATTGACCGACCCCTGTGTGTTGGCATTTTGAGCAAACACCAATATCGGCATTCCGATATTGGTTTCTTCCATGTTCCAGAACAACTCTCACCTTGATATCAACGGAGGATGCCGTTTATTTTATCGCTCCTGATTCCTACTAGTGTCCTGCTAACTAGTAGGGGCTAAGCAGTCATCAACTACCCAACTCCTTTTCACCGAGATATCTACTCAACCAATTCCCCTTCACCCGTTACCATCATCAGACAACAACCATGGCACAGCTTGAAGTCCCTAAACAGCGCTCCTCTGGAAGTCCCAAGAAGAAGGCGGATTATAGCAAGGAATTTCCCTCTTTCTCGTCTTCTTTCTCATCCTCAACTTCCTCCTCCTCCCTCGATATACCTATCATCTTCAGCGTGTTTTATGGCAGGCCTCAGCGCGGCCTAACTTCTCACTCAACGTCTTCAACGCCTTCCCACCCGCTTAAACACGTCTCATTTGAGAGCAAAGTCAACGCTTCATTCATCGAACATGCTCGAAAGAAGACCGAAGAGCCACGAGGCCGAATATGGGAACGCCGCAAGCATCGACGGGACTGTGATTCAATCCAGTTTAAAGAGATAGCGACCCTAGCAAGTACACACCAGGACCAGATATTGGAGCTGTGGGGAAGCAAACACTGTGCAGTCTGCGACAATCAGCCAGCAACAGCTGTCCTTTATTTGCCTATCTGCTGTACTTATGATGGGTATTATACTCTCGCAGATGGGGACAGATTGTTTTGGCTGATGCTATCGATTGCAAAGCTCGTAGCAGATCTTGACTCGGATGTCAAAGTGCGTTCGGCCATCGGAAGCAACGTTCATATGCCATACATCAACGGACTGGCTGTGCCAGTATGCTCGGCGGAGGATACCTGTCGAAAGGAGGCCAACTTGGAGGTTGCGAGGTTTCTAAAGGCTTTTGGATTCGATGATACCCCAGCTCCGGAAGAAGCAAAAGCTGATGATAATGACTATGATAGTGAGGAAAGGGTAAGGGATGAGCAGAACCGCTCGGTTGGACCGCTCCTGCACCGTCGATCGACTTGTAGCTCCAAATTTGCCACGGACATGGCCATGTTCCGGGATGCAATCGAGGCAGATGAATGGGAAGACGACGACGTTACTGATAGCGGCGATGAGGCTGTTCAAAGCGAGCCACCTGTTCCTAGTATTCCAGGCCACAGTCCTACGAGAATGCATCTCCACGAGCGAGTTCCGTTACGATACACGGTGTTATGCGGCCAGCCGATACTGAACCGGAGTCCAGGCGCGACAGCGACTGAGGTCGATGCCGGCCGTCTAACATGTCTCGTTTTTACTTCTCGATGGGAAGCTGGGCTTCTAGAATCAGTTGCAAATGCCAGCCACGATCCAGAACCGTATCAAATGATAGCGTCTTTCCACGAACGATTCATCATGGCATCTGCTGAATTCCGTTGCTGCATTTGTCCGAAGCGTGTGCTAGCAACGACGTTGGTTCACTGTCCGATCTCCTTTAGGCGTGATGCCGAAAATTCTCCTTGTAACCAACCCCATCGACAGTCTATGATCAGGCTACTACAGTATACGAAAGGGAAGTGGAACTACCCCGAGACAAAGGCAGCGTTAGGATATGACGGCGTCTGGCATATTGATGACTTCGTTGTGCCTATATGCCATGGTGGTTCTGTATGCGAGGAAACTGCGAGGATTGCAGCGGCGCAGTTCATTGACGGTATACTCGCAACAGGTGATAAAAGATGTTATACTGGTTTGATGCCGGACACTGACCTCCTCGGGGCATTCTGGGTTGAAAATGGAGGCAAAATACCAAAGTTAGTAGTGGAGAGGATAGGACTGGGCCTGTTTACTGACTCAAGGAGTCGGAGGAGTCCTGGAGCAGAAGTAATATTAAAGAATAAACAGGCTATCGAGGCTATCAGGCGCTCTGTTAAGGCCAAACGAGAGAGCATCAGCTCACCGGAAGGGTCAGTGGCTTTCGTTCCTAATGACAATAATAATATAGGCAACGACAACTGCCCCCGACCTCCCGAAAAATCGAATGAAGAGCTTATCCAGGATGGAGGGAAGACCTACACGTATTCCCTGGAAGACGAAGATGCCATGTGTTTCGCTGAGGCAGAAGAAGGGGGTATACCGACTTGGGGTGGATACCCGCTGAGTGAGGAGTCAGCCAAGCTGGTGGACGCAGGCCTGCACGAGTCTGCGTTGATGAAGCCTATCATTACGATGGAGGTGCTCAAGACGTTGGAGACTACGAAGGAGTTTATTAAGGGGCGTTATAGTCTACAAGAAGGTGAGGACGAAGCTGATGATGAAGTTGAGGAAGTGGATTCAATGACAGACAAAATGAATTCTTGATGATAATACAGGGTCCCCTGTATTCAAACGCATACAATTGAGTTATAGCATATTCACCTCCATGATCATAAGCAAAGCGAATAGATATTTTTACCCATTTTTTCCTTCCCGCGTGCCTTTTTGAATATCCAACCAAGTAGCATACAAGCTATCACCGTAGTTATACAAGGGTTAAAACAGATTAAACCGACACTTAAATGCCAACGCCAGTCCATGACATACAATACACAGCAGAAGATAACAAGATGGCAGCGATACAAATTAACAACATTATTCCAAGGCCCTAAAAATATCGGAGAGGTCCTGCTTGCTAAAGGCCGAGTTTGGAAGAGTGAGGTCGAGAACAGGTGGGTGTTCGGATACGACCTTGATGGCCCGAGGGACCTCAGGCGAAGACGGAGGAGATGGGGTAGAAACTGCCAGAGCGGCTGATATTCGGCCAGCTGCTGCAGCTCGGGCAGAGGTAGCAGTCGCAGGTGGACGCGGAAGGAGAGGAAAAGGGAGGTTGGAGCCAGGAAGTGTTGGGTAAGACGGTCCTGGATCGGGACGTTGATGGGCCTCGATGATGACCCTGGCTACAGCCCGGTGGATGCCAGGGCGATATCCTGCGGGGCCCTTGTGCGGCAAAATAGGGCCGTCCGGTCCTTCGATGATCCTGAGCGGGTGTAAACTATCAACCGGAGGAGCAGGCTTCTTGAGAGAAGAGAGAGAATCATTCTCTTCTTCATCAGAGGCGGACTTCGTGGCCTTGTCGGGAGTAGGCTCCCCAGCTGCTTCCTCTCCAGGTGCCTCATCGTAGGTCCGCTCCTCGCAATTCTTCTTCTTCTTTTTCTTATTGAAGAGACGATTGGATAGTTTGCGGAATGGGGCACTCATGGACAAGTTGATACCCTCAAGAGCCTCAACATTGAAGATCTCGTCGACGTCACGGGTGCGCGTCATCTTGATATAGTTTAATCTTTGTATGTTTTCGATGTGATTGTTCTTTGAAAACTCTGCTCTTGATACCAGGTAGGTAGTCTAGGGTATATTTCTAGAGACGGAGTTTAGGTGGTATCAGTCGTACTTGGAACAAATAAGTGAGATGAAAGGGAATGAAGGATGTCAGGTTGAAAACTACAGGAGAAGAGGAATTTATAGATCTCTTCTCCTCCCTCATGATGGATGCTGTCATAACGAGCCATGAGATGGTGCCAGAGCCAGTAATCCAATGCTCCTAGGAAAAAGAGAGTCGATGACATCTTCAAGCGCTTATTTCCCGGGAGCGAAAAGAAAGGCGTTGGATTGAACCATGGTAGAGCATCGAGACATAATATGCAATGAGGCTCAACTTTGTAAGCTCTTTCCCTGCATATTGCATATCATCTAGCACTGGGTTTAACTTCCCCATGGCAGCGTTCGGATTTCTCCAGGAAGGAAGACCTGCCCGACACAATGTGTGCAAGAGCGTCCATATCGATTTCATCGGCCATTCGATGGCTTTTCCCGGTGTTTTTTTTTTTTTTTTTTTTTTTTTCAGCAGTGTGAAGTCGTGGACGTCATTTTAGGGTATAAGTTTTTAACCCTGGGCGGAACCATGGATTTCACACGTAGACTTTGGTACCGTCTCAGATAATCGAGTAGTTAACTGTATAAACAAACAACTTTCCATATAGATGATGTAGTTAGTGACGATTGTGACTATGCCGGCAGGATGTAAGGTTGCTGCGTAGCTAGAGAGATGGGAAAGAGATAAGGCAGATGAGGAGGGGAAGGATGAGGATATCGATTCCAAAATCTGCTTCCCATAGTTAGTTACCTCGTGCAAGCTTGTATGATATCATAGGCTGCCTCTTCTTCACCGTGCGCAGCACTAGCATCAAAACTGAAACAGCCTTCATGTTGATTGTGAATCTCTGTTATCGCGAGATGCCCGGTCAGTTTTTCCTTTTGGGAGCTGTATTCCCGTAACTTGGGGACAACGGGACTCCAGATAGCTAATTAGATGAACATAAACCGTCCAGCTGAGCAGGTGGAGGTGTACATCCCCCACAAATTGCTACATGCCCAGAAGCCTGAACACTCCACACTCGGAGGGCTAAATAATCAGACAACAAGAAGCGTTATCGTGAGTCTCGTAAAAACCAGGTTGATCGCAGCAGCCGCCACCAAACCTCGCAAACCTCACGGTCCCGGTGGCCGCCACGAACGCGGATCTCAGCTGCACCGCCGGCTCGGCTTCCTCTCAAACACGACCAACTCTAACTGGCGTCCAGCAGACGGAAGGAACAAGAACTAAGCTTGTCGATCGAAGCAACAGCCCTTCACTCCCTTTCGCAGCGTTAGCCAACGTCCCATGCGTTCCCTGGGGTCTCTAACGCCCTTGGCGACGACATAAAAAGCGCTGTTAAGGCTGCTCGAGCACTGCATGGTGACGTTATGATATCACCGGACAGGTCGCCATTGGGCAACGAGCAGCTGGTGGAGGGCAGCCATTCGGATTCCCATGTGCAGCGGCCGTCTCCAGCGTCGACTCTTTTGTCTTGATGTGGCCTCGAAGCGGAGCCGGGGAGCAGAGATAGCGAGGGCAAAGGAGAGACTTTCGCGGTGGCCACCAGCATCCACGCGTGCGTCCTTCTGCGCCAAGGGGCAGGGAGGGGATGTCCGATACGTCAACTCTCGATTCCCGGGCCACGAGCAGCGCAAGCCACCTGCGAGGAGCTGTAGCCGTAGTCGTAACCGCAATCCGAGCTGCTAGTTAGTTTGTCTCATGGGTTGTTGTCTGGTGGTTTACTCTTAGAAACTGAAGGTGAGGTTGGAAAAGCAGCGCGAGTGACTTCCGAGGTACTTCCGTTTTGGGCTAAGGCTGGCGGGAGCGGGAGGTACTGACTAAGTCGCGGGTCACATGGCCGGCGTTTTTTTTCTTTTGGGTCCAGCAGCCGCCAGCAACGGCGAAGCTACTGCAACGACGGACGGGAGACGGGACAGCAACATATAAAGGATGGCCTCGTCTGCTCCGACAGCGTCCCTTGCCTTCGTGCGTGCTACTAACAGCTGCAGACAGCGCGGGAGTCTCCGTCTGAGAGGTTTCTAGCGGCCGTTTTTGCTCTTTGCCTCCCTTGCTTGGATCCTACGCCTCCCTCCCCTCAAGACGAGCTTCGACCGCGCCAGACGAGAGCTGGTAGACCGGATCCGTGGACATATCACGGGGCTTGAAGGTCATTTCTACAGCACGGAGTATATATTATTGTCTACCAGTCGACGGTGCAGCAGACACGAAGAGCTGGTCCTCTCGTACTGTACACCATCTACACATATAACGGTTCTAGCTGATACGGGATAGACAGAGATAGCCGGAGAGCTCAGATGGCGGACGAGGTGCAAGCAGGGGCTTCTCCTGCTCAATCGGATCTCAGCAAGGAAGAGGAGGCGGCTCCAAAGGCTGGAGGCGTCAAGTGGACAAGGTATCTCGGCCTAAAGGGCAAGGATTCGCAGGCCCTGGAGGAGAGATGGGCTCACCGAGAGAAATGGTCGATGGGCATCCTCAGCGACAAGCAGACCGATGAAGTGCCAGGTACGTCTATTGTTTCTTTGTTCCTGATGCTGGTGGCAATTTTTGACACGCCAGACAGGAACCATCTTGCTGCTCGCTGCAAAGAGAAACGAGCCACTCGGCCTTCGAAATACACCGGCTCGGACCTCCGCTACATCACTTCCTTCACCATACCCTCCATCCAGAGGCTCCTCACGCGGCCCTGCACCGCCCAAGAAGCGGACTGCAGATGGAGCTATAGTCTTGGATCCTCAGCCGGAGGAGTCTATGAATGACCCTCTCAACTGGCCGGTGTGGCGGCGAGACCTTGCTATGCTCTGCCTGGGCTTCTACTGCATGCTTGGAGGCGGTATGACGCCTATACTGGCCGCTGCATACAACGAAGTCTCGGCAGAGTACAGCATAAGCTTTCATAAGGTCGCTTTAACCACCGGGCTCTACATGTTGGGTCTCGGTCTCGGCTCGGTCGTCATGTCGCCTACCGCCATTTTATACGGCAAACGCCCGGTTTACATTGCCGGAGCCACCATGTTTATCATTTCTGCAGTCTGGTGTGCTGTTTCTCCTTCATATGTCAGCCTTGTTATTGCCCGCATCTTCCAGGGTTTAGCCGTTAGCCCGGTCGAATGCCTCCCATCCGCCACCATTGCAGAGATCTATTTCTTACATGAACGTGCATACCGAGTCGGAGTATATACACTACTGCTTTTGGGAGGAAAGAATTTGATTCCTCTTGTCAGTGCTGCAATCACAAACAGCCTAGGATGGCGTTGGATTTTTTGGTATGTCTTGCTTTTCCCATTTCTCCTACGATCATGGACGCATAAACTAACGTCCATAGGATGGTTGCTATCACCACTGGATTCAGTGCAATCCTGGTGTTCCTCTTTGTCCCTGAGACCTTTTGGGACAGGACTCCACGTCCTCGTGCAAAGAGACCTCCTATGCGAAGAAGCATGTCTGACCTTGTACATACCCTCCGAGGTCGGTCTTCGCAACCTGTCACTCCTGGAATAGAGGAAGTAGACAGGCAGCTGGGCGCTGTTACACCACGGAAGCATAAAAACGCCCATGTTGGCTTCGCTGAAGATGAAAAGGCAGAGATTGAGAAAGATACCCCCGAAGTAATGGCCGAAAAGGATACCGCACAATCTTCCATTCCCGCCATAGTGATCGATCCCGAGGCCCAGCGGCCCATTCCAGCTTACAGAGACCAGGTAGATCCCACTGTCCAACTATCTCAACAGCAGATATACACCAGTAATCTACGTGCCAAACCACGGGTCAGCTTCATTCAGTCGCTGAAGCCATGGAATGGCAGAATCGCCAAAGATAATTGGTTCCGCGTCATGGCCCGCCCACTTATCCTCTTTGCGTATCCTGCTGTCCTCTGGTCGTCCATGGTCTATGCTCTCTCAGTCGGATGGCTCATCGTCCTTTCAGAGTCGGTGGCAGAGATCTACGCCAAGCGCAATACCTACAATTTCACCCCCTTGCAGGTCGGATTAGTATATATTTCCCCTTTTGTTGCCGGTATTCTAGGCACTATTGTGGCTGGAAGAGTATCAGATGTCGTTGTTCGATTCATGTCCCGTCGAAATGGAGGTGTTTACGAACCAGAATTCCGTCTCGTAATGGGCATTCCAAGTACACTTGCAACTACCATCGGCCTAATGGGCTTCGGATGGAGTGCCCAGGAGAAAGATAACTGGATTGTGCCCACTGTCTTCTTTGGTGTCTTGTCTTTTGGCTGCACTCTCGGTAGTACCACATCGATTACCTACTGCGTTGACAGCTACCGTCAGTATGCCGGGGAGGCCCTGGTGACGCTAAACTTCAGCAAGAGTAAGTCTTACTTCGCTTCATCATTTTTTGTCCAAAATTACTAATGGTTACTATAGACGTGCTTCATGGATTCGTTTTCTCTCTCTTTTTTGTCCAGTGGCTCCAAGCAGACGGAGCTAAAGATGTCTTCGTTGCATTGGGTGGCATACATCTTGCATTGATGCTTTTCACGATTCCCCTCTATATCTACGGCAAACGGGCCCGTATGTGGACCGTCAGAAAGCATTTGATGGAGAAATTTTAGACTCCGTTTCACCTGGTTATGTTCCTGAGCGTTGTTGTGGTTGGTGATATACATTTACGTTCTCATATTGACTCTTACGATACCTGCTTTTTATAGCGAGCGAGTTTGATGTTTCTGGTGGAGTATTATGTTTGAAGAGTTCACGATCCTTATCCTTTTTCGATGACGTTGGATACGCACATATTTGCAATCTATATCTGTGCTACTTTCTTGGTTTAACAGGCGTTAAATTTTTTCTTTGGCAACCCATCTATCAGAATGCTTACCTACCCCTACCTATTTTTATCTGGTTTTTCTTAATTCTATCAGATAGAAGAAATTATCAGATACGTCAAAGTAAAGGCGTAAATACCGAAATTACCACCGCTTGCTGGCCATATATCTAAAGATCACTCGCCCTAATACTTCTCAATCAACCAGTTTCGCCGTTTGGTCTCGCTCATACTCTGGAGCAACCTCTGCTCTCCCTGTCGAACAGCAATGTATCGTTTAACAAAGACTTTGCCTAATAGCTCTTGGAGCGCAGTATCAGCTTTCAAGGCCGCAATACTCTCATCTATGGAAGTGGGCATGATAGTAGTTATTCCCAACTCCTTGCGTTCCTCATCGTTCAAGCCTACGGGATCAACTACACGGTTACATACCGGATTAGCTATGTGTACTCGTTAATTGTATGAAAGGTGATCAGATACAAACATACCATTGCAAGCCTTGACTTTAAGCTCCATCCGGTCCTTCAAGCCCAGATATTCCGCACCAATAACTGCTGCCATAGCCAGGTACGGGTTGGACATACCGTCCATGGACTTGATTTCCCAGTGCCCATCGCTGATTTTTCGAATAGGAGTTTCGCGATTTTGGTCCCCCCATGCAACCCATATACCTCCGGCCCAGATACCAGGCAAGACACGCGCATAGCATGCATCTTGAGGGAAAGTGAACGCCAAAACTGATGGGAAGTGCTCCAACATTCCAGCTAGGAAGGAATTCTCATGATTTGTTGGTGAGACTGATATATGGGCATGCGATGCGGTCCCTGCATGGTTGGGAGATGGCCTAGGATACAGCGTTGCCCGAACGCCATGCCTTTCAGCAACAGTGACGATGACTTGTCGTGCTCTGATGAGGAGATCGACTGAAGCTAGAGGTCGAGATGGAGGAAGGACGAATTCAAATTGGCCTGGAGACGACTCTGCGTGGAACTGCTCGATTTCGATACCTAAAGACAGAAGCTCGGAGGCAATCTCTTCCACAAGAGGCAGTGCTGTTCTTGTGTCAGATGTCATGTTTGACCATGAATGATTAAGGACCCAGGGAGTGAAATAGTCTTCATCCTCGAGATAGTTGTAGCGATGGTCCCGTTTAGCATCAGACGGTTTCATGAACACTACTTCAACTTCAAAGCCGACAAGTAGAGAAATGCCAAACTCAGATTTGCACTTGTCAACCAAGTTTTGTAGGGTATACCTTGGACATCCTTCCAGGGGTTTGCCCTTTGAATTCTTCCAGAAGGTCATTACTGTAGCACTATTAGGGGAGCCAGATCTTTTAAGGTTGGGAGATAGAGTAGTAATGTCGGGCCGTAGGAGAAATTGGCCGGCCGTCAAGGCGCCTGGTTCGCCTAATGTGTCATTTTGCAGCAAATTCATAAGAGCCATTGTGATCCCGATAGATTTTCCCCGTATCATACGATAGAATTGGCCGGCAGGGAGCATTCGAACGCGCACAGTGGCTGTATAGTCAACAAATTGAAGCCAATAAAAGTCAATAGTATTGTAGACAGACATGAATCTTTGGGCCGTTTGCATGATGGTTTCTGATGGCCTTTGAGCAAACAGCTCGGGAAAAGACGACTCTGTAGCCCGCTGCAGGTCCATAATAGTTTCAAAGCTTACCGACTGGTCGAGATTATAGAGTTCGTTGGAATTATTGAACAGAATATCTGCAACTGAGGTCATAGCCTGGTCAATGTTAAAGTCTCCCTTGTATACATACTCGGTGAAAACCTAAAAGGATCATCTTTTAGCAGCGTTTTTCTGGTAGTAAGAGAAAAAGAAGAAAAATTGGATAGGAAACTCATACTAATTCCAACGCTTGTCTAAACTGAAGGTTAGCCAGCCAGAAGGTCTCTGGGTGAAAGTGGCCGTCAGTGCTCCAGAGAAGTTTAGACGTAGGTACCAGTTCCAAAGCTTGACGAACGACTGAGATCTGGCCATCCCTGCTGATCATGGGGAATACTTCTCCGAGGTCCAAGTAGACGTTTTTATAAGAGCTAGCCAAGTATCCTGCCTGGCGTGTAAAGGGATATGATGAGTGAAGTAGAACAAAGTTGACGGTCTCAAACTGCTCAATGACGGATTGAAGAAGAGCGGGATCAGACTGATTAAGTTCTATGTCGGAATCTCCTAGACCTGTATGAAACTGGATTGGTTTGCTTTTCCCTGTGGTAAGGTGATATTGATGGATTATAGTCAGGACTGTCACGACCAAGTAGTCATTCAAAGGCTTGCTATCGATTCGGCTGCTGCCATCTGTCGACATTGACTGGAAGTGGGAGCTGAAACTTTTCAATAAATCCTTGGTTGCGGGCTTCTTCACAGCTAGCCCGGATCTATAGCAGATGATTGACTTGAATCCGGCAATGTCCAGATCCTCCAGGTACCCTTTAATCCGGCTCTTGAAGGCCACTTCAAAGATGCTGAGAAGTTGGGAGGAAGGGTACTTTCCAAAGATAAGACCACCCTCGTCTTCAGTTTCAGGGGTATCGAACAAGAGCTCATCCCCGGAGGTCTTTTGCAGCAAAATCTTCAAGATCGAGGCAGCCAGGCTTTCAATACGGACAATCCTCTTCGTAGATCCGGGAGTGAACCGGTCATGCCACTCAAAGGACTCCGAGTGGTCTATGTTCAAGCCATCGTCAATGAGGAGCATATGGGTTCCATGCAGACACTTCTTCACCAGCTGCTCGTAATTAGCCGCAATCGCCGCCTCTCTGGCAGCTTTGACGGCATTCAGCTCAGCCGGACAGCCATACAGGTCTGCCAGCTGGCTGATGGCCCTGAAATGGGGGAGGGACTTGCATCCATCCTTCAGCAGGGAGTCACCCTGGGCCTCGGAGACGATGCTCTCCAGCGGGTATCTGCCATAGTCTGCCGCATACTCGGCGCTCAGGATGTTGTGAGCATGGTTGTCGATGAGCGGGTGCGTCTGGATAAGCCGCCTCAGGGCCTGAACGTCTGCCATCGGGTCTCGTCTGGCCTGATGTTGGTGGTTGTCAAATGCTCGAAATCGTGGCTTGAGGTTGCAAGGTAGAAGGAAAACAGCGAGTCGGACGCTGGTTGGCTCAAAAAAGGTGCATGCAACCTCACAACCTCAACGACGTCTAAAAGGCCAGTTAACTAGTAGTTAATCAACCCAACGTCGACCAGCAACAGATATATCGACGGCCGCTCGGTGTCAACACCAGCGATGCTCGATACGATGGCTACCTGCAGAGACAGGATGGTGACATATGTTGTGTTCCCAACTCGTTCTCGTTTCCGTGTTGTGCTGGCGCTGACTCTCGCTTTTAGGGCACTTTCGTTTCGATCAGGGATACCCTTGCGAGCCGGCGTTGTCGCGGACTCGCATATAGCAGACTAGTTCGCTGTGCGACGGCGGGAGCATAACGCTATCTCTCGATCCATCTGGTTGGACACTTGCCAATCCGTCTTGTTTCGACGGCTCCAGAGCTTCCGGAAGGCTATTATCGTTTGCTTGGTTCATGATGAGCGGTGTCAGTTAGTTGGCAGCAACGACGAACGATAACTACCCACTGCATCGCACCCAAGGGCCAACGAGAGCCGGCCAGCATGGAGAGCTAGTCACGGCCAACGCAGCAGGGCCATCAATATGCATCAACGCTGCCTCAACTCCAGACGATCACGCTGAGGCAGATACAAAGTGCGGATAGCAGCATGGGCCAGTCAAACTACTTCCTGCATCCATCCTGCATCCATGGTGCAAGCGAGGGCTTCACTGCTCATGCTGCTGCGCCCTTTGGGGAAATGAAAGAATAAAATCTGGGCTTTACCATGTCGAACACTGCATGTAGGCTCCAACTGACACGTAGACCGTGTCTCATGGCCTGTATGTAGCGCTTCTCTTGCACACCCCCATACATCCCTTGCCATTCGTCCCCCTCCTTCTCTCAACATACACTGCCATTAAAGTCGTGGTAGTGGTGGTGGTACTGTGGGGATGATAATACCCGGAATGGAGTGGAATCCCCATCTGGCCGAGTTCTCGATCGTGGGGTGGATTCTTCCCGTCGGACTGCGACGGACCTTGGGGAGGGGGGGAACAATGGCATATCTTTACTGGCTGGCTCGTTGCAGCATCGAATCGCCGTCTGGTCAGGGATGTAGTTACGGGACACTCAGCCAGGCGGGTTATTTCGAGCCCACCAGACGTTTCTGTGGTCAGAAAACACGCGCCAGATATCTGATCTAGTCATGCTATTGCTGTGCGAACCTTGCTTCTATTGGGCCAATTCTTCCGTTGATCGAAGTGAAAAAAAAAAAGGGACTATCTCTAATCTAATGGTGACCAGGGAGATCCTTATCCGTGGCATTAGGGTACCAAATTCCTGGTTGGCGTGAGCCAGCATTTGCCAATCGGACACAGCAGGCTGCATGTCACTCAATCCAAGAGCTTGTGAGCGGTGAAAATGGTGAGACGACCCTAGGCGAGGCTGGTTGAGAAGAGAATAATGTATTTCTTAGGATGCTACGGTGTGGGAGTGGACATTCGTACCGTCATCTCTCGGGCGTCGACAAGTCTCTATTGGAGCCATCGGGATGTACGCGCAGGACGCAAGGGAATACATACACCGTCGACTAAGCGTTAAAAATATCATAAATTAAATTAGATAAGTTTGAAATGAGCGAGTTGTTCTTTTTGTTTTTTGTTTTTTCTTTTTGGCTCTCCAGGCACCAAGAATAAGGAAAAAGTAAAGGGGTAAAGACAGTGTCCACACGACGGGGTAACAAAAACAGTTAGAAAAAAAAAATGCCAAAAGATGCAGAGACTCAGCCCAAAGATGATCTGCCCGGTATGCCGTAAAGAATGGAAAAGTTCGTCTGGTTGCTTGGATGGTTTGGATAGATTTGGTCATAGGTGAGATGGTGGTGATAGTCATAGGGAAGATGGCTGCCAGGCCTGAATATCTCCTCTCCGTAGCGTTCCATGTACGCTTCAGCAAGCAGTTCCATGGTCTGACAATCTGGAATCATATCAAAGGTATTCAAATTCAGAGTGCGGATGAACTCCCTTTCCAGCTGCTTGCCGTCTCTCTCACGAATCCACTTCATCATCGCGAGAGCATCTCCAACGTCTGGCTCCTTTTTATCGAGTTTCCCAGAGGCGTATATACGTCTGATCTTACGTTCGAGAGCCCACTCCATTGGTGCACCGTAGATGATAATATTCTCACCGCGGAACAGGACGATACCTTGCTTCTTTGCGCATTCCAAAAGCCGGGTGCGGCAGCTCTTGGTCACGAAGAGGCCCATGTCTTCGTTCAGCCATTCTTCATCGTAGCCTAGTTCGTGGGTGATTGTAGCCATGGAGGCGTAAAGGGGGGTCTTGATATCTTCATCTTTAGACCATTCAGGGTCGAGGAGAAAGTCGAGCTCGAAGGCAGTATCACGACACTTGAGATATTTGAGACAGAGGAATTCGCCTGAGCAGAGTAGTTGAATTGGAGCGAAGGCGGTTATGAAGGCATCTTTGCTCAGTTCTTTGTCCAGAGCTTCAAGGGCTAAAAGAAGTGTTAAAATAAAGAATGACCACGGTATACACTCTGTAGCTTATACAGGATATACATTGATAAAGAATTTAAAGGATTTAAAACAAGAGAGGCGAACCTGTTTCGAACCCCTGGAGATCTATCTCAGTTCTATCTTTCTCCTCCACATAACGTCTAGTCTCAGACAACATGCCGCGAGCAGAAAGTACTTCAATTCTCAACACGGGGTCAAAACTTGTCAAGATGGACTAAAATGGGTGTTGTATGGCGCGGATGGCGTAGGCATGCTAGATGGAGCAGAGGGGAGGGCGAAAGGAAAGGAGAACAGGGCGAGAGCCGCAGGGAGTAATGGCCTGGCCGACGCGGATGAGGTAGAGATAAAGTAGCGACGGGAGGGAGGGAGATATAGAAGTCAGGGCGAGACGGAACCAGGCCCCCCGGACAGCAGTTGGCCGCAGATTGGCAGGTTCGATTTTTAATGGAGCGTGCTATTGTATTGCTGTTATTGTTATTTTATGGCGATAAACCCGTTTCCCGCCATAAATCCAGCATGGAACTTAGCCCGAGGCGGTCGAGATGCAGCAGGCTAACGCACCAGGAGACGGAAGAGAGGAGGGGGCCAGACAAGGAGTGCCCTCCGGTGATTCCCATCCTCAGCAGCCAGTCATCTGCCGGGCGATTTGATGTCTGCAGCCGCGAGACACAAGACGAAGACGGGCACCCTGCAGCCAGCCATACAGGAAAGAGAGCGGCAGACGGCACGCCTGACAGGGAGCTGCATCTTTCCTGTACATTATGTACGAATGTCTCGAAGTATGCGTCTGTACGAGCATTGTATTCATGTACCAGCCAGGCCCTAGTCGATTTCGAGCGAGACGAGACGAGACCCAGGGAAAAGAAAAGAAAAGATTAAAAAAAGAAAAAAAAAAAACCTCTGTTGGGAAAAAATGGGCCTGGGAGAGACGAGAGAGAGAGCCAGAGCCAGAGGAGACCCCGAGAGAGGAGCCATCGGATGGGCCTGGGGGATCCACCGTCCGCCCGTCGAGCTCCTCGAAGCCAGCTAGAGTCGAACGGAGTTTTCTTGTAGCTAACTAGCTCGACGTATTATTGCATCATGCTGGGTCTGCCATCAGTCAATTCTAGGCGTGGACAGTTTAAAAGAAGAGATAGATCCTGTCGATTTCTTGTCGGGCAGAGAATTCTTCTCATGTTTCCTCAGGCCCCCTTCCCTTCCCCCCCCTTTTTTTTTTTTGCACACGGCCGGATGTCTGCCCCCTTTGATGCGGTCACAAAGGATATGTATGTGCGAACCATGGCATATTCGGCACATGCGGGCGAGTACGCAACGATGACGAGGGAAACTGCATATCAAACGGAATCCTTTAATCGCTCGTCGTTTGATTCATGGATAATGGCTCGTTTTCTGGCATGCCATCTTCGCAATTCTACCCGCCAGCCCGCCATGCACCTATCCGGGTCACATAGGCCAAAACTCCGGCGAGCAAATGTTCCACACGTAACCTATACGGCGTATGGGCTGTTTTCGACAAGCTCCCTCCCAATTTGGTATGTACCGTAAGCTTTGGCATTCATGCTGGATGTGTATCAAGCGTACCAAGCAAGGCTCCAGAAGAGGGGAATCGAATCCCTGGATTCGAGCTGGAATCTCACACCTTGTTGATTGGCCCGCCGGGGTAAAGTTGATAGACAATACCGAGGGAAATTTGAGAGCAATCTTCCGCTCTGCCTGTGTTTGTTCTCCATGTGACTGGGCACCCTGTCTCGCATTGATGGTGCATCCCGTATCTTGCGTTCTGACCCCCCCCCCGGACACACGGTCCGCTGGTAGGTAGCCCATTCCCCCTGTAGCCAGCCAACATCGCCTTTTTTGCGATGGCCCTTTATTCGACATGGTAATTAGCTTTTGGGGAGATCGGGAAGAGGAGTTCTCCTGGTCCCTTTGGATCCACGGTTCCGTTGTACCTTATGCTTATCCTCCAGCCAGCTAGGGGAGGCTCCGAAGGTTTTGGGCCATGACAGGCGGGATCGCGGCAAGTAAACCATGGATGGGTGACAGCACAGATCATGCATGCTGTGACCTTTTTCTTCTTCAAGAAACTGGTTGCATACCTGCTCCGTATGCCTCTGGGCTGCCCTCAATCAAGGCGAGTTTCGCCCCAGGGAGTGACCAGACCCCCACGTCAATATTTGTACGGAGTAGGTGGGAGAGCAGTCTGAATCCTGAGGATCCTCAACCAGCTCTCCCCTCCCTTTCGCTTTCATCCTTCCGTCCTGGGGTCTCCCCTTGATATGCGTATATACTTGTTGTATACGTAGTCTCGCCGGTGAGGCGGCCGAACACCCGCATGACTGACTGTCGGGGCTCCTTCATGCTGGATGCCTGCGGTTTTGGAAACACGCTTGGTGGTGCGATACGGCGCTGTATACGACGTATACACCGCCAGTGCATCACCCGCTGTTTGATATTTATTTATATGTATAAATAAACACGAGAAAACGGCTTGCATCGAGTTCTCCACCGCGTCTCCACGGACTACTGCAGCCTTAATTAAGTCTCTGTCGCCGGCCTCTTGCTTTTGAAAAGAGGAGCTGGGGTGCATATTCCAGGCTCCAGCTTGAGCGCGAGCTTCAGATCCATGCAGTAGTTATCCACCAGCTGGCGAACAGACCTCTGATGGGTATAATCTCCTGTCTAGAACGTGTTCGGCGGGTGGTATCAACCTGGAGGATCTTCTCTGGCCTGAGATGGGTGGATGTTGCTGGGAGTTGTTGCTGGACTTTCACTGCCAGAGACGCCTATAGACAGATGAAAAGCGTGTATAACCCCATTCAAGCTCGATGGATACCTGAATGCCAACCTAGAAGGATGTCAATATATTTTCTTCTATGTTGATGATGGAATGATACCTGATAGCTCGTTGAGCGCGTAGGATAGGGAGAGGCTTGAATGTTGGCTGATATCGAAGCCGGTCAACAGCAAAGTCTCCCTAACTACCAAAGCCAGCCTCCTTATACCAAAACATATCCCCTAGAATGCCCTATCTATGTCTTGATACTACGCTGAAAAGCTCTCTAGATGCTCCTCTCACTTTATGTTGGCGGAAGTTCCCGTCACACAGTCAACTACAATTTGGTAGTATAAATATGCTGGTTCTTCACCTTCAACTTCTTCTCAGCTACAACCTACAGCCAGCCCCCTACAGGCTTCGACAGAAAAGACGCCTCTTACCTACAAAATAAGGAATACAACAGGTGATTAAATACTATCTTCTTTCCCCAAGCAGGTAGCTCTGTTGTCTTTTTAGCATGCTGATAGTTGAAAAATAACATCTGCCAGAAGTGCCTGGAAACATGGCTCAACTCGAGGAAGAGTTAAAGGAGGATGCCTGGATAGAGGTTGAAACTGAGCCCGAGCCAGCAGTAACTTGCTTGTAAGTGGTTGGATGTCAGCATGTCAGACACTGTCCTGCTCTGTTACAAGTTAGAGCTCTAACCTTCTTGACAGAGAAAGCCCCTATGCTTCGAAGCCTGCCATGTTCCGCACCTCGGATGGCACAATCTTCTCAGTGCCAGAGGGCTTCGCCTCCAAGCTGCCGGCACTGGCTGAGCTCCGCAAAGAAAATCAAGACGGAGTCACCAACTTGTCATTTGACAAAGAGATAGCTCACGTATTCTTCCACTGCCTCTGCACTGGGACCTACGATGTAGGTTTCAGTGAACATTCTCCTTGGATTGGTCCTGGATACCTTAAGGCACTCTTGGAATTGAAATACAGCCTTCGTGTCCATGATGTTGCGAAAGAGTATGGGTTCAGTGCCCTAAAATCTAGTGCTGAGACTCATATGGAGAAAAACTACAAGTGGCTTCCACTTGCCGTCTTTATGGATCATATCCGAGAGAACTTGGCTTATTTCAAAGACGATATGAACTGGCTTCACGGGCAGGTCCAAATCGCCCTTGAAGCCGCATTTGCAGTCAACTCTTTCTTCTATGAAAGCTCCGCCTTTCTTGGAAACATTGGACACTCTCCGGAATTTGACAGGCTTTTGGCCCAGGTTATGGGGAAAATGTATAGATCCATGCATACTGACGGTACTGAAGAAGTTGCATGGACACTGAGCAAGGAAAGCCGGGGCTGGGACTTCCAGTAAATTTATTGAAAAGGATAAAACTCGACGGAGGATAGTTCCTCAGAGCATGGAGCTCTCTATTTCATTTGTCATTTATTTTCCGCCTGTAACGCTTCATTAGCAATGTGCTTTTCTAGCTAGCATTGTTCTCCCTCAGGCGAGAATGTACCACTGGTTACCTTTTATCGAAGAGTGAGCAAATAGCCGTAATCAATCTGATCAAACAATATTTGGCAACTATCAAATATTGAACTTCATTCATTATCCATTAACCTATGCTGAGGTTAATTCCCCGGTAAATAATGCATAAATCTTTTGCTAAACCAATAATCCTAAAGATTAAACAAACCAGAGAAGATGGTTACTAGTTAACAAAGAAAGGGGACCAATATTCAAATATAATCGAGGAGTAGATCAATGTTAGGTACAAAGGAGAGATGCCCTTGATAGTACCAACACAAATAATGAAGCGTCTTCGAGATATCGATCATCTTTCTTTCATACCAAACATTCTCCCTGTTTTCTGGAAATATCATTCTACTTTAGGCATGATATTTCCCCCCTGCTGGCTGTTACTTCCCACCAGTTGAGCTTCTATGTTGTCTTGCCTGTGAGGCTCATTCCAGATTTCTCTCCGCCTGGGCTTTCTGGACAACTATAAGAAGCCATGAATTCCTTGTCCTCATTCTTCAATATTCAAAATTCCTTTTCTCTTCTATCATACAAGAGAGCTGGTCACCAACATCGAAACGCAGTGTTTTCCAGAGAGTGCCTACATCAAAAAAGCACACCCACCCCAAGAGACATACCAAGTGAGACCAGCATGTCAGAGCCACCTTCAGACCCTAGAGAGGACGAATCGTAAGAATGCCGTTTTCATATACTTATCTGACACATTTAGAGATTGAAAATGGGTACTAATTTTTTTCCCAGGCCCTACACTTCTCCTTTATGCACCATCTTCTTTGGAGACAGCAAGACAGGATATCCAATCCACAACCGCCTCGTAGACGGCTATCCACCATTGGCGAAGTTGTTTCGCGGGAGTCAAGGGAGAATCTGGCTGAATGACGTACACGAATCCGTTGCACATACGTTTATATCGTATCTGTATACCAAAGAGTTCAGCTACGAAGCTTCAGGAGACAACATTATAGACTTCCAATTCGCCCTCCGCCTCATATATGCGGCAGGCACCTACGGCTTGTCGGAACTGAGTGAGAAAGCACACGAATTACGGGAAGAAGCAATGGATTCGGGGAAAAACCCAGAAATACTCAACGTTGCAAAGGCGATGCATATGTATTTCAGGGGATCAGGATGGTATCCTGATATGATAAAGTCTGCGATCGAGGCGGGTTTGAAATATGGGCACCCAACGTGTTTGGATCCGATCATTGACGCTCTGGGAGAAAATAGAGAGTTCGAGAAGGTGGTAATGAATGTTATGGCGGAGATTCTGATGGAAAAGCTCTGTCTGAAGCCGAAAGAGTGAGCGTAAAGGTGTGGCTCGACATGAACGGAAGTTAGCAGCTCATACTAGGAGCTTGTTTTCGGTGCTTGGGCAGAGGAAATGAGAGTGTCAGCGTTTGTCGTCATCACTGCTAGGGGACTCAATCTGAATGGCGGGTAATGCTAAAAATTGATTCTAAACAAAGTTCCTAGCCATTGGGAATATCAATTAAGTAAATATATCAATGCTAAAAACCGATCCCTTCGTCTACCAAATAATGCTTGCTGCATGGTAGCCGGGGGCTGGACAATTGAACAAGCCGGTAGACACATGAAGTTGTCAACTCAGGGGTATAATGGATAAGCCGGTGAGTTCAGTACTGGCCATCAATAGTGAGAGTTCCTGTCTTTGTGATCATGAACTCGGCGACAGCAACATCTTTTCCGCTCTCTTTGCCGTACCCGGACTCCTTTATACCACCAAAAGGAGACTCGGCGGCTGATGAGTTACCTGTATCATGGTGAAATTAGAAATCATTCAGCGTGAAGATAGTTGAATAGGGGTTGCTTACCCGTGTTGAGTCCAATCATACCAGCCTCCAGGTTCTCCAGCATTCTCCAAACCCGGTCAACATTCTTGGTGAAGGCATAGCTAGCCAGGCCCATGCTTGTATCATTGGCACACTTGACAGCTTCCTCTTCGGTATCAAACTTGTACAGCGCTGCAATGGGAGCAAACGTTTCTTCTCGCGAGATGAGCATCTCTGGCTTCATGCCGGTGATGATAGTTGGCTCAAAAAAGTAACCCTCACAGCCAGTCATCGGCTTACCACCCAATATGATGTTGCCTCCCAGCTTCCTAGCATCCTCCACCTGGCTCAATGCCTTATCAAGGCCTCGCGGCGTAGTCACTGGGCCCATCGTGGTTCCGTCCTTTGCCCCATGGCCAACGACCAGCGCCGAGGTTCGTTCTTTGAACATCTGAGCAAACTTATCGTATACTCCACTCTGAACATAGACCCTGTTGGCTGTGATACATGCTTGCCCGGCATGACGCCATTTCAGCGCCATTAGCTGGGTAAGCGCCTGGTCGAGGTCGGCGTCGTCAAAAACAATAAAAGGACAGTTCCCTCCCAGCTCAAGGGTGACTTTCTTCAGCCCCTGTGCACAATGAGCGGCAACCAGCTTCCCCACGCGTGTAGAGCCGGTGAATGTGACCTTTTTAACATGGGGATCCTTGCAGAGTGCCTCACTGAGCGAAGGGGTATTGTCAAGGTCAGTGGTCAGCACATTAAAGATACCTGGCTGGTAGCCTGCCCTCTTAGCGAGCAGTGCCAGCACCAGTGTGGTAATTGGTGTCTCTGGGCTGGGCTTCGCAATCATGGTGCATCCGGCAGCAAAGGCAGCTCCGGCTTTTCGAAGAATCATAGCAATAGGGAAGTTCCACGGCACCAACGCTGCCACCACGCCAATAGGCTGCTTGATTGTAAAGACTCTTCGATTTGGCGCAGCAGGAACAGCAACAGTGCCGTGTATTCTCTCTGCCTCTCCGGCAAACCACCATGTAAAGCCGAGGGCATAGTCAATCTCGCCCAGCGACTCGGCGATTGGCTTTCCAGTTTCATGAGTCAGAATCCTTGCCAGATCAGATCGAGCTTCGCGAATGAGCCCGTCCCATTTCATGAGCAGCTGAGCTCGGGTGCGAGGGTTCACTTTTCTAAACTTTTCAAAGGCAGCCTGGGCAGCCTCTACAGCTCCAGGGACATCCTTTGCAGTGTTTGTAGGGCAGCTGGCCCAGGCCTTGCCAGTGCCGGGGTCTACAGCCTGTTAGAAGACTTACATGATGCTTATATTGATGGCATCGCTTACCGACGACTTCAAATCGACCTCCATCGCTAGCAGTAACCCATTCATTATTCACGAAGGAATCAAAATGGAGGAGACTGGGGTCATCCAACTAAGCGATATTAGCATGCAGTAACTGGCAAACATATTAAGATCGCTTACTTTGAAGGGAAGCTGATAATCTTTCGTCATCATGAGGCCGTGTTGTCCTTTCTATCAGATAAAAAAACAGCTGTCTGTCTTTCTGGTCATCCCTGGCGTTGTAGTGAATCTGATAGATCCGACTTTGTATACACTTTCGTTGCTTCCCCGCAGCTTTTTAGCCGAAGAAATTCACCGAGATCCGGCATTCCCCCGTAAAGTCCGGAGCATCACAGCAGAACTTCGGCTTAGATTTCTTGTTAATAAAGGAGTACCGACTTGATGCTGACATTCTGCTGACGATGTTTTGTGCTGGCAGTGTAGACAATCCTATAGCAATGATAATAATAGCCCGCCAGAGCCCGGGGGGGGGGGGGGGGGCGCTGACCAGCCGAGATCACACCCCATAGAGCACAGGGGCCGGGTTTAAGTATCAAGCTGATCCCTGAAGTCATGGCTGGTCCAGCGAATAATTTTCCGCGAGCTCTGCGTGGTTGGCTATCATTAATATACGGCCTGCTTACCCCCTTCCCCTTGGAAATGCGCCGGACGGTCCGTTCAGGGGTAACCGAGACACAACTACTAGTAGGCGTGAGATGTCCAGCTTGTTACTCGGCGGGACTCAGTCTCCTTGCCCTGATCCTGATCTGTTCCATGGACTCAGGCAAGCAGTTAAACTACCACAGGCTGGTCAATAATTTGGACGCTGTAACAATTAGAAAGCCAGATCCAAAGTTGATCTATCGGTCTTGCATCTGAATCTGCGGTATCCATCCGCCACTTGCCTGAGATCTGGCAACTTTTTACTTCGATGCGAGCGTTCCGCAAATCTGGTCTCAAACGGGCTGCTGTCCTACCTTGCCGGCGTCTTGGGCCAATAATGCTGGCTGCCCTGCCTCCATCCCACCAGTTAGTTATTGGTGGACGAAGACATCCCATCCACAGAATATGTATAACATGCACGCTTTGGACGGGGTTGTAGACCACAAAAATAGGGAGACACGCTGTATCCCCAGGGGAGCACTTAGAACATGCCTATAAGGGGCAATGCAGACCAATGTCGATATATAAGCATGGGCATATCGCGTCAATGGATCTTGGGAGAGCACCCACGAGTATAACCATCCTCTCCGCACCGAGGAAGGCGACGTTCGAGCCTCTTATTCAGTTGGTTCTTAAGTTTGCAGAGCGAATTGATCTTCGAATATTCTGCTGCAGTCGATCGCCCGGCTCAGATAGTGTGCATTGGTGGCTTGGATGCATCCAAACTATTGATCAGTTGCAAACCAGACATCAAGCATTGCCAGATCTTGTAATCCGTATGTTCAGTATCTTATATCTGCCTGGTTCTGCACGTCTCTCTTCATCGTGCTTTTTTCATCTCCTTGGCTGTGAATATGAATATCGATATCTCGTCGGATTCACCAACTCACTGGTCTCCCCTGACAGCCCGTCCCACGCTGCAATGCAAAATCCATCCACCCCTACAAGCATCCTACCGATTCCAACTCCTGCCGGTGAAGACTATGATGTCACAATAGACGAGGAGAGCGCCAACAGACGAAAAGTTCTCGTCACCGTCCTTGGTCCGTTCTTCGGCATCTGTGTCCTGATCATCGCTGTGTCTCTGGCCATCCGCTACTGGAAAGAAAAACGCAAGCAAAACAACGTGAAATCGGCCACCGAGATGGTCCGGTGTTCAGACGGTGCAAGCTCTGTGCCGTATTCGCCTATTTTCAGCAAATATTCAAGGGACATAGAGGCGTCTCCTTGGAAGCTCAAACCGGCACGGAACGAGCTTACTTAACCGATCGAATAGCAATCTTCTTCTTTTTGCTAGCTGTGACTGTTTGACTGGAACAAAAAATGCACTGGGATAGGCGCTGGGATTGGAACTGGACTAGGGGCTGGCATTGATTGTAGCTGCGGTTCAGCTGGGGGAATTTGCATCGGATTTGAATGGGTTATTTATGCCTGGAGTTCCTGGGATAGCGTCACGATAGTTAAGGGATTTCATGGCCTTTTTCCTATTTACTGTTGATCATCTGTTATTTTGTCTTCTTTTTGACAGCTTCATCTTACGACTTCGCAATGTAGCTTCAATATCAGCCGTGCTGTCTTGTTTTCCTCAGGGGGTTTGATCCCGTCTGCGGCTGAAACTGGCGGAATAGGAGAAACAATCATCCTCGGAACTTCTTTGACTCCCGTCAGCTTCAACTTCCAACGACGATGAAGAAATCAGAAAAGAAAGATAGTGATGTTGGTCTATTCTTCTATTGCCTAAAGAGCTATTACTGTATAGTTGTCTGAAGTATTGGTAGGCACCGTCTCAGCGTGAGCTCTATCAAACCAACCACCAAGATGGCCGACATCCTTACTTTCTACCACTTCAACGACGTCGTGAGTTGGTTCTACCATGTAGGACCAGGGCTTGCGTGCTAGGGTTTGCTAATAAAGTGAACAGTATCACATCTCAGACGTGGATCTTATATCCAAATTCGCCCATGTTTTTGCTCGGGCCAGGCAGGACAGTGAAAGTCCAGATATCCAGCCCCTGACCATCTTCAGCGGAGACGTCTTTTCGCCTTCTACTGAATCGTCAGTGCTAAAGGGCGAGCATATGGTCCCTGTTCTCAATCACCTGGATATTGATCTTGCGTGCTACGGGAATCATGGTACGATCAGATGATTTTCTCTACCATGCATGCATGCGTTTTGAAGATATTCAATATGAGTATTAATTCAACCTCCAGACTTCGACTTTGGTGAAAGCCGACTTATAGAATTGTCTGGAAAGACGAATTTTCCCTGGATACTATCAAATGTAGTACATGCAACACCCCATAAGAACCCGGATTCCCACGTGAGAGATGGAAGCCTGCTTGCTCTTGCACAGGAGTATGTTATCAAGACAATGGGCCAGTATAAGATCGGATTTATTGGCCTGGCTGGGACGTAAGTTCTTATGCCTATATGGCAACATTTCTTACAAGTCCCTAGGCCAAATCCAATTGGATGACGGTGTTGATGGCTGATATTCTGCATCAGAGACTGGCCATCAAACTGCCAACATCTACCACCAGCCAGCTTCCGTTCCCCAGCCGAAGTGGCCCATAAACTAGCCGTACATCTACGTACCGTGGAAGGATGCGATTTTGTCATTGCGGTTACACATATGCGCCTTGCCGAAGACCTTTCCGTGTCAAACGCTACTTTGGATGGGGATGGGCGTGTTGACTTACTCCTGGGAGGACATGACCACGATGTTGTTTGTCGGATTCTGGGTGACACCGATCATAATCCAGGGACCATACTCCAAGGAATAACAGATAGTGCTGCTAGAATCGGGAACGGGGAAATAGTGCACGTTGAAGGTAACGTAAGAGTCATCAAGAGTGGAACAGACTGGAGATCCTACTCTGTCGTACAGCTCAAGGTTCGGAAAGAAAGGGACGGTAAAGCACAGCTTAACAATATTGAAGGTACACAATAATTTATTCCTTTTGCATTCATGTCACGGTTTGAAACGTACATACTAACCCCCCAAATATAGTCACTCAATATCTGGATCTCACTCGGATGCAAACTTACCAGAAAATACCGAAATGCTCAAAGACGTTATCAATTCTTGGATCTGTTCAAAACCAAATAATGGATGCTGTTCGACATCCGCTGTTTCACACTCGTGTGCCGCTCGATGGCCGCTCGGCTGTTATTCGCAGCCAGGAAACTAATCTAGGGAACATGCTGGCCGATGCAGTCCGAGCATTCTACGATACTGATATTGCATTCATTAACAGTGGAGGAGTGAGATGCGACAGGATAATTGCAGAGACCAATGGGAATAACGCATTGAAAGTCAAAGATATCATAGGTGAGAACTGCATCAGCTTTATCATAAGTATAACCAAGGCTCATAAGTTCCAATGCACAGACATCATGCCATTCGACAACGCATTTGTTGTCAAAAGAGTCGGTGGAGCGACTTTGCTATCGGCCTTGGAAAATTCCGTCGGTGATTCTCACACGGATGGACGTTTTCTACAGGTTTCTGGCATACGATTCAAGGCTAGTTGGCAGAGGCCAGAAGGAAGTCGTGTTCTTGAAGCATTCTTCGAACCAAAGGCCGGTGAGCTGGAGGAGATTAAGCCGGGACGGAGTTATACTATTGCCATGGTTTCATTCATAGCCACTGGCTTCGACGGATATGATTGCTTCAAGGCGGAGGAGATACTGGTCGATGCAGAGAGTGCAATGACAGATACTAGCCTGATGCTGCAGATTTTCAGGCATTCCCGGAAATGTAGCAGTATACAGAGCCGTCAAATTAACAATGCTGATGGGAAAGTGGAAGATAATGCTGAAGGAGATGATAAGATTGAAATGGGGGTGCAACGTGCCATGGAGGCGATTATCACAGGTTATGATGATGCTGATGGCCTGCCAATTGTAAGTCCAGTTATCGACAATCGGCTTATCTTCGTCTCGACGAGCTGTACCGATCTATCATAGAACACGCTTCTCTCAACTTCCAAGCCCGCTTGAAGCGCTCGGAACAAAAAATAACACCGGCCGAACACAGCAGAGTTGCCGAACCGGCCTCGTATTTATCGAGTCAAGGGCGCAGATTTTGACATGCTGTCCTCAAACGCCTTCAGAAACTCTGGTATGAGGCTGGCTACCTGCCGTGGACGGAGCGTGAGTCGAAACTACTGACATCGAGTCAGAAAATATACCCTCAGGATGCTGAAAGACCACGACGATTTCGAGTACCTGATTCTCGATGTTGACCAACTCCGTGAGCATCCATACCGGGAGCCACTGCTCAAGCTGATAAATAAGGCTTTCTGCGAGGGTAGTCAGGCAATATATAGCGACTCTCTGAGCCGTTTTGGGAGCCTGGAGGAGTTACTCGGCACAGTAGATGACCATGGAAGATGCTGTGTCCTTTTTCGAAGGACTCCCGGACGAACAACGAACGACTGGACCGATCCTGTTGCTACGGCGATGTTACGACCGTTTAGAGATTCGATTTTTGGGCTGCCAGATATCGAACCCAAGTTAGTTGATGCGTCTGGTGAGGTATTGATGGACTACCACGATGATGTCAAGTCCGAATACTTTGAGCAGCCTGCTGAATTCAAGGGAAACACGCAAGATATCTTGTCCATCACTAAGTGGGAACCGGTATCTGTTGCTGTTAAAAATGGCCCCAGCTTGCTCCACAGGGGGCTGGCCTCTCGCTGTCTTGCCCTTCTAGAGGCAGATCTCTGCTCTCGGGTTAACGAAGCGAAGCTGACTACACGCAGACAAGAGGCTGCTGGGGCTGATCATACAGGATGTAAAGCTGGTTCCCTGACGATGCGGCTGCGAACAACATGGCAGATAAATGGAGAATACTGGAGCCGACTGGGCTTCACGCCGGTCGAGGTCCGCAGAGTCCCAGCAGGAGTATGAGGTGCAAAAGTGCCTTTCCGCCTGATGACTATGACGAAGACGATACTCTGTTCATCTGATAGATGTGATGCATAAATGTTGGATAGATTCTGATAGAGCCTGTTCATGGCCCCTTTTCCTGCCCCCTTCAGGCATAACAACTGTACAACCTGGCCATGTCTGTTGATAAAAGCCCGAGATACTGTCCCAGAGCCAACGAGAATCAAGATACGAACAGTCCTATAGTCCATTCTGGCCTCCACATGCATCCGTAGTCACTGTTAATCGTTGGTGCGCATCAGGGATGCATGGACGGCGGCTGTAAACAGCTCTATTAGCTGGCCATTTCATCCATGTTCTGTAGATATAACGATATAACCAACTTGAACAGCTACCAATATTGAATAACACCGTTATTCTGAGCATCTTCTCCTGTAAATAGATACTCCGTAACCAGCTTATCCATCTGTATGTCCGCAATCCATCGTCGAGTCCTCTGACGACGCTATGGAGGAGCCTCGCCGCCAACGACCCATCCCTGCCACTCCCTCTGTGATACCTCCAGTGACAGCAGCGTTATTCACGGGGCTGACCCGTAGCTGCATGTCTAGCTGCGGCCTAGCTGAGTCTCTTTGCAGGCGCCTGAAGATCCCTGAGGGGCGGGCGCTGGCGTAGTTCAGGTCTGACAAGCCAGAGTCATGCAGCGCTTGCGCCGGCCACCAGACTCGTTCCAGTGATCGATCGCCGGCAAGGTCGAGGACGAAGACGAAGAAGAAGCAAAGCGAGGCACTGCGGCTGGACAGGCTGGCCGTCGACGGGCGCGTACGAAGCCCTGCCCGGCCATATATAAACAGCCCTGCCCGCCGTTGAGTGCTTCTATCCTGACCTCAAGGCAGCCTTCTCACCACGACGACCAGCCATAACCACCAACTATTCAGCAAGCTTGCAGCGCCCCGAGATGCCGCTGGAGCCTCCTTTCCCTCCTCTTTACAGGCAGTCCGCCGTCGATACAGCTCTCGATGCGCCGGACGACGGGAAGACGCAGGCTGGCCCATCTTCGGCCGGCCGGCTGCGCATCAAGCTCGATCCCATAGGCACGCTGCCCACCATCGCTCGCGTCAAGGAGCCATATACCGCACACGATACGAGACACGGCAGCCACAGCGTGTATCTGGTCGAGGACGAGGGCATCGACAGGTTTGTGGCGGGCGACTTGAGCGTCAAGCGGCTCAACGATATCCATGGCCTGCTCTGGATGGCCGGGCGGCCGCTGAACGCGCGCAAGATGCAGCGGTATAAGATGATCGGCTTCGAATTCCTGCCCACGGAGCAGGCAGACCTGCATCTCATCCATTTCTCGAACAAGATCTACCTCAAGACGCTGCCGGACTACATCCTCGACTACGACTTCTGGGAGAAATACCTGTGCAAGGACGAGGCGCTGCACAAGCTGGCGTGCGGCTTCCTGCTCTCCTGGGTCTGGCTGATATGCTCGCCCATCGACCTGCAGCTGGCCCAGGACGCCCATCTCGTCTCGCCCCAGATTAAATGGCCGTGGTGGAAGCAGTTTGTCAAGGACTTCAACCGGCACGTCGACTTCAACGCCCTCGACAGAGTCAACAAGCGGTACCACTTCGGCGAGCTCAGGCTGGGCCGCATCAACACCATCTTCCGCCTGCGTTTCTTCCGCTCGCACTTCATCCGCGGCTATCTCTACAGTTATAACCGCTACCAGGTCTTCTTTGAGCGCAACTTTGGCTGGCTCATCGGGGCATTCGTGTATATTTCGGTTGTGCTCTCGGCCATGCAGGTCGGCACCGCCATACGCCCGTTGAACGACAGCGAGGCCTTCCACCAGGCTTCGTACGGCGTTGTTGTCCTGTCTATCGTTGCAGTGGCTGCCTGTCTAGCCTTTGTTGTCATTCTCTTCTCCTGGATCTACCTCTATAACATGGTGGCTGCCATCTGGCACTCCCGCAGCGAGAGGCAGAAGAGGAAGAAACTCGCTGCCATGCTGGCTCAAAAGTCGGTGCTCGCTGATGGAGCTCCATAAAAACGTCTTTTCTATCTGTTCTCTTTACGATACATGAGACTGTATGATCGTTGTTTATTCACGGCTGATGGAGTTCTCGGTGCCTTGAGCGTATGTCTGTTATATCACATATGTTTTTATTTGTTTGTCTTGCGGTCATGGTCCAGGGCTTCGGGTCTGCCGTGGAGTTATACATACCCCTTGTTCATACAGCTAGTTATATCCATATTTACCAGAATAGCACTGCATTATATTTGTGTTGTCAGATTCAGGTGCTCCCTTTTATTAGGACTGGTAAGATCATAGTAAGCTAACAGAACAAGTACCCGGCGGCTAGCAATAGAGTAAGACATTTGGCTAAGTGGAAATATCCCAGTGCTGGCTGTCTAGTTTTGGAGGTCTTCGGGAGATTCACCGAATGTCTAGATCATGTCCATCAACTCGTTCCTCCGGTGAGCCATGTCAGCTAGTTCGCCTGCAATACGCGTAATCTCTAGATCAGTCATCTCCGGAACAGAGGTCGGAGAAAATATGGTGGGAAGCTTGGACATGAGATGCCGCTCAATCACCTGGCGGCAAACATTTTCCACAAATGTCTTCATTGAAACCTACCAGTAGGAGATTCGAAGTTAGCCAAGGAGCCAAATGTTATCAATGCAACTTTTTACCTTGTAGTAAGCATCCAGGGCAGTCTTGGCTTCCTCGCATGCCCGTCTTTCCATGTCAAAGATGACTTCTTCTTCCAATGCCTCTTCTATCTGGCGGTGATGGTGTCCTCTCTCGTCGTAGTTTTGACCCCAGGTACTTCCGAGGCTGCCTTTAGCCTTCTTGAGCGCGGTCTGAATAGCATTCTTCGTGCCCTTTTGTCTGGCCGTCTCGACGTTGTCAGCATAGGAGTGATTATATATTATTGGTGGCATCTTCTCATCTTCGCAGATGCTGTGGAGCTCTGCAAGCGCTGCAGCCAAGTTCTTCTGGAGTGAAGCATTTATGGACCGCCATAACTCAGTGCGAGCACGGTCTTCCATGAGGATATGACGGAGAGCTTGCTCAACAGATGTGCTTATCAACTTATGAACCCTCTTGGTGTGTCCGTGGGCTATAGTGCTCCAACGGCTCGATTGAACGTGGAATAGTTCCATGAGTAATGAGTATCCGTAAGTCCCACTGAGTTCCAGGCCTCTGGAATTTTTGTAAGCCTGAATGAGGTACATGAGTCAGTCATACAGTTCGGAACAAATAAGAAAGCAGCGTGAGCATATAATTGCATACATACCGTCAGAACGCAGGTATCAACACCATCAATAAGCGCCTCAGGATTCCCCCATTCTAGTGGGAAAGCTGTGTCCGCATTGTCTTTATTCCTGTGATTATCTTTTACCTGCCGCTTTAAATCGTATTTAAAACCTTTAGTGTGCATAAACCTGGCAAACACACTATTCAATTCATAGGCCCTGGATCGGACTCGATCGACTAAGACGTTGTTAACTTTCAAGTTGGAAAACTGCGAGTAAATTCCTTGATATGTCCCCCTAGTCGCAGCTTGTACAAGTCCTTGAAACTGCATGCTGAGTTTGGAGAAAAATCCTCTGTGCTTGTGTGTTCGGACGCCCTTCGCCGAGTTCTGTGACCTCTTTTTGTGCATCTTCTAGTAGCTTCGTTATCTCGGAGCAGACTTTGGGGAGCTCATTTTTAATATGTTGTGCAAGGAGTACTTCGAGTGAAGATTTGAGTGCATCGATGCCCACTCTGTTGAGATTAAGGAATCTTCTCTTCCAACCGGGTTTCTGAAACCAGCTGAGATCCTTTCTCCTTCTTCCCTCGGCAGTTATCCCAGACTCAATCTCTTTTGGAGATGGGTTCTTCAGCAGATAGTACCCTAGCTTTAACTTGATAGGGCCCTGGTTTTTGGCCATGGCTACGATTCCTTCTTCAGTTCCATTAGTAATAAGGTCAACTTTGGTGACAATACCAACAGTCCTGGTTCCTTCGTTATCAAATTGCCGAGCTGCCTGAATGATTGGCTGAGTCTCAACATCACTCATAGCTAGGACTATAGCAAGGATAATGCTGCGCGGATTCTCAAGGTATGAGTTGACTAGGCTTTCAACGACAGAACAGTTATCAGCTTCGGCTCCAGAGACGAGCCCTGGTAAGTCAACTATGGTAAGATGAAGTCCAGTCTCCCCGATGACCTTGATTCTCAGAACATCCAGGCCAAATAGAGGGGTAACTTTCTGGTCCACGAAGCCCCTTAACCCCATGAGGGTCCCAATAGCTTCAATAATCTAGGTAATTCATCATACGTGTGAAGTTTCCTCTTATAAGCTCGGAGTTGACTTGCTGTTGCTTCATCTCGGGAGGAGTGAGGTATAATGGTTGCGGTAATGGTCTCCGCCCCAATAGAGTGACGGAGTACTATCTCAGTAGCAAATCTGGTACACAGGTCATCCTTTCGGGGGAAGGAATCTCTGTAATTCCTTCGAGGACTGAACCCTTCCCCGCGGACTGGTCGCCGCGAACAACTAGTTGTGGAAGAGAGATATGGTTTCCAGCTCCACGAGTTCGAGCCTTGTCGATAAGGTTCAGCTTCAACTTGATTGAAGCTGATTCAATCATGGTATCAAGGCATGTTGTCAGGGTATGAGCAGATATCGTCGCGTCCAGATATTTATATTGGATTGTGTAGTTACTTTCGCGCAATTGTGGCCAGAGGGGTGTCTATGCAGTGCAAGGTATTGTGTTCTTGGAAGAAGACAGCGAGATCAATCAAGAGATAAAGGTGGCTTGGTATCAAGTGGGCAGCCGTCACCTTTAAGCTTGCTTTAATAACCATGACAATGATAAAACCATTCACACGAGGAGAAATCCCTTTAGAGGCTAAATGATAGAATACTAGATGTCCTATCAAGGATATGAAGTGTGGAATGAAACCACGTTTTTTCGTGATGCATAATTATAGTACACCACACCGGCCATATTCTGGCTATAAGTCATCAATATTGCCGTGTGTAGGAGAGAGCTCTCGCTTTGTGTAGGCCGGAGGGATAACTATAGCACAAACGGAAGAGGTATCACTTTAGCCTTTATATTGCTGACGGGACTCAATGTGTCCTTCGATGTGGCCTGAAGATGTCTGCTGTAAAGATGAAGCTGATACGTGAAGAAGTAAACAAAAGATGAAACGAAGTCGATGAAGTCGATGAAGTGAGGTTGAGAAAAAGCCTTGTCCTTGGCCCAATCGGGTTAGCCCTCCCGGCGCCTCTCGCCAACTTTCGCTCGTCGATGTTTTGCTCGTTATCAACTTTGGCCAACGGAAGCCTGGAAACATCACGATGCCAGTGCCTCTCTCCCTCCATGCCACAATGATACCCTCTTGAGACTAAAACACAACTGCATGTTGATGGTCCACTTTATGGCGTGGTCTCGGGCCCACAGACCATATAAACCAATCGGTTTCAATAGCCTGCGATGATCCTAGCCTGGTTAAAAATTCCGCTGCCCGGATGAAGGGAGTGATTCTCGATCGCTCGAATCGGCTTTCGCTTGAGGTCCAGTTTGTGCAAGTTGACTAGTCGTGCAGCTACCTCATTACCCACTATCTCACTTTTTGTTGAGCTTCAGAGAGCAATGCAGGTTACTCGCAGTAACCCTACAATATTCTATTCCCGAAATGGGTATTCCGTATGGATGGAATCTTTTTTTTTTTTTTTTTTTTTTTTTTTTTTGTTTTCTAATAGCTCAAACCTGGCGTTTACAATAATAGAGTACCCGTACCCAATGATGAAAGCCGCACTTGCACGCTAGTCACAAGCTGACAGGAATAGTCTTATCTTATCTATGGAGAAACTAGTTAATTAGCTGGACGGTTGCAACGGTCGGGGGTGGCTTAAGAACAGCGCGTCACCCTGATGCAACGCAAATATCATTGGCATCTTTATTTAATATTGCGAGAGCTGCTGATTCTGTTCATTGCGCTGCTTCCACTCAAGATGGCGATTGACGTGAAACCAGCTTGTCATGTATCAGAGTCTACTGGCGAAGAGCCAGAAGCGGGTAGCCGCGATACTACCTATGACCCGGATACCCTCCGCTCTCTCGGCTATGTTCCTAAGCTGAAAAGGAACCGATCGCTTCTCACTCTCTTGGCTCAATCCCTGGCTATTGCTACTGTGCCCTATGGTGAAGGCGGGCCTCTTCTTAGCGCTATCTATGGCGGTGGGCCGTTGGCAATTTTCATCGGATGGCTTGTTGTACTTGTGCTAGATCAATGCGTTGCTCTATCCCTTGGTGAACTCGTGTCACGATATCCAACCTCTGCAGGACCATATTACTGGACCTTTCAGTTGTCGAAGAAACATAAATTCCTACTTTCGTTCATCAATGGCTGGGTATGGCTTGTTGGAACCTGGACGATTACCCTTTCCGTCAATTTTGGGTTTGCGGGAATCATCAATGCAACTGTGAGCATGTATCACCCGGGTTGGTCGGCAAGCAATTGGCAACTACTGCTCATCTTCTATTTCCTGTGCATTCTTGTTTTTACCATCTGCGCGTTTGGCAACCGGTATCTTCCAAAGGTGGATATGATATGCGCTACATGCACAGCAATCGTTATTATAGTAGTGCTAGTTGCGCTCTTTATCAAAACTGGAATCCGCCGCCACAGCATCAGTTATGCCCTGGCGCACTACGACACAACTTTGTCTGGATGGGGCAGATTTAGCTTCTGCATTGGTCTGCTACCAGCGGCATATACCTTTTCTGCCCTAGGAATGATATCATCTATGGCCGAGGAGGTATCTAACCCTTCTATTACCGTGCCAAAAGCAGTAAGCCTCTGTATCCCCATTGCTGGCACAGCAGGACTCTTGTTTATACTCCCTATATGTTTCACCTTGCCGCCATTACTGGATATTATCAACAACTCTCCCGGTGGCCAGGCACTACCATACGTCTTTAGCATTGTCATGGACTCAGCAAACGGTGGCCTTGCCCTTATGGTTCTCATCTTTATTTTGGTCCTACTTTGCGATATTAGTGTAACCGTTGCCGCTTCTCGCACCACATGGGCTTTTGCACGCGACGAAGCCATTCCTATGTCGAATATATGGGCAAGAATTGATGACAGATTCGGTACTCCCCTCAATGCCCTGACACTTTTGACAGGCGTACAAATGCTTCTCGGCCCAATAAACCTCGGAAGCACCAGCACATTTACAGCATTTGTTTCAGTGGGAGTGATTGCTTTGGCAGTCAGCTACGCAATTCCCATTGGTATCAGTCTATATTACAAGCGTAGCGAAGTGCGCCAAGCGAAATGGAACTGTGGTCCGCTCCTGGGTTTGGTGTCCAACATTGTTGCACTTATCTGGATCTCATTTGAGCTTGTACTTTTCAGCATGCCGACTGTTCTGCCAGTTACTCCCGTGTCGATGAATTATTCATCTGTTGTATTTATTGGACTTTTGGTTATCTGTGCAGTATGGTATTTTCTTCATGGCAAAAAGAGTAAGTCCCCCCCTCTTAATGCTGCTGAAATACCAGGGTACTAAATCAGCTAGCTTATAAAGGTCCGCCTGCATCTGAGGGTATATAAACCCTACTTAGAAATAATTCACATAGTTAATATGATTGGAGTAAACCTCTTCTAGTCAGCTAATCAAAATATGCTACAAAACAGGGTATAAATGGGATATCATATCGACAAAATCAACCAGAGATGTAAACCAAAGGAAAGCACCAGCAATAAAAGAGAGCGACACCTGTGACACGAAACATCTTAGATGTTGAGGTGCGGTAAATCATAGAGACCGGAATTAGCGTAAACATCGTAAATCGTGTGAAATCTGGCAATGGTTATCATTCTGTGTAAGCAAGGGGGTTCTCCTCTCTATCATCAACAACCATAGCTGCAGCCAGCCTCTTCTCAGGACCGAACAAGTAGATTTCTCCAGCCTCAGGCTGTTGTTTTTTAGTATCTGGCGGGCTAATAATGTTCCGCAGTGCAACAGCTATCTCGACAATGACAGCTGAGACGAAAAAGACAATAATCAGTACAGCAACGATGAGTGTCCAGGCCATGATAGGGCGCGCAGATAGCCAGTCGAGGAAAACTGAGAAATCACGGCTGGCAATGATATCTTCGAGGCGCATCCTATCAGCATATGCAAATATCTGAGACTTCGATGAGGGCAGAGATACTGCTATTGGTGCTGGTAATGCTGTAGAAGCAGAAGCTGATGTCGAGGTAGATCCTGGAAGCGCGTCTAACTCTTCCCTAAGCGCGGGCGTCGGCAAATGGTCGGGTAAAATTGGAGATTTGCATTTGCGCTGCGGGTTCTCCCGCTCTTTGGTTGACGGTGAGAATGACGGCAAGGAGAACCATCGATCAGCAAGATATGCATACCCTTCTAGCAGCATGTTGTCACAGCCTCTGAACGTATGGCGCGCCCTGTTGCTGGTGATAAACGAGAAGATCGTGGTGCAAGGCTGAGGACCTGTGGTGACCTGAGGATCGCCCTTGAAACTATCACCACCTGAGACAAGAACTGGCGCAGAGAAAGCCAGTGGGAGAACAGAGGCCCAGAGAGCAACGTGAGCCTTCATCCTGCAGTCAGCGTATCCCAACGGTTTGGTTTAAAACTAGTGGAACGATCGAGCAAGGCAGATTTCGGTGTCTGGGATGAGATCGTATCGATTCGCTCTCCCCTCGTAAAAGCAACTACAGGCTCAAGGTATATTACCACTCAACGCGATATGATCTGCGAAAGAAGCTCTACCACCACGTCCAAAGCTCTGAGTGCAGCGTGTGAAGTTGATATTTGGGCATCGACATGATTCCAGACCGAGATATAGAGGAGAAACGGAGAAGCGAGCACGCCAGGAAAATTGGCGGATGGACAGCGAAGTTATATTTTTTTGCCTCTACCTCTCCTTCTCATGCAGAACACCGCTAATTCTCAATAATGCGCGCTAGGTGAGCCTGTTGTCGCTCTTCGGGGTACCTTTCATACGCTGCAAAGGTATACTCGGTGTGCAAAAGCTAGGTGGTTGGAGGAGAGTTTACGTGCTGTGCAACGCCTGATCCCCGCAGCGAGCGAGACAGGACGGGAGTTTCTCCATGTGCCTGGGCCTGCGGGCTCGAGTGGACAAATGGATATTCTAGCTGCTTGGGGACTTCAGGGGTAATCGGAAGCTTTACGATAGGCTCCTTTGTATGGAGTACGTAAGCTGGAAGCTGGCGATCGGTTAACAAGCTATCTGGAGCGAGGAGAATACGAAGAGAAGAGGATCTGACAAGCATCAACCAAGTCTGATCATCCACGACTTTCTCTGACGCTGCTTCATCCTGAGAGCCGATCATTTTTCGAACCCCTGAATGTTCCGCTTCAAATCGACTAACTTCAAGATATCTGTTACATAAGCTGAACTGCGAGGTTTTTATCACGGTCAGCTGATTATTCTCCATTTTATTCACGTATTTTCACAAATACTTCATGTGACCATGTATAACGTGCATGATTTTTGGTATGTAAGAGGAAAACGAACGGGAATGCTCGAAATATCTCACGAGAAGCATATATACAACAACGCGCAGAGGCAGTAAAAAATGAATGGATAGAAAGAAATGGTGGAGGGGTGGAAAGATTAATGAAGGAATCAAGATATTACTACATTTGATCGAGCTTCACGTCGTGGATTGACATGACATGTGGCCCGGCATAACTCTTCTGGCGGATGAGGTACCAAATGACGACGAAAATGGTCACTCCACCGGTCATTAGGGATGCGTAGTTCATTGTAGCAGCCGACGTGGGCATGCTGAATGGGAAGCAGAAGATAACAACAAAGGTGACAATATACAGGCAGCTAATGGTATTTACCACATAACCAACCCATCCTCTCATAAAGAAGGGGCCTGGGATGATGCCTTTGCGGCCTCGGAGGAGGTGAGGTAGGATTGCCGCGAGGTACGAGAGGGTGGACAACTGCACATAACATCCGACGAAAGCATTGAAAGCGGTAGTTGAGCCGACATAGATGCATCCAAGTGCAGTGACAACGGCGACGCAGACAGCAGTTGCATTGAACGGGTTGTGGTAGGTAGGATGTACCCGGGCGATGAAGTTGGAGAAAGGAGTAGCGTTGTCACGGGCAAGGGTCCAGAGGACACGGCCGGCTGTGATATAGCAGCCTATGCAGGTGATAAAGGTAGGTAGAAACGCAATAATGAGTAGTCCAAAAGCTCCCGCCCTGGTTCCGGTGGCCTGGTGGTAAATTGTTGCCAAGGGGAATGTTGTGAAAGTTCCAAGTACGGCTTCTAGATCATTGATGGAGTAGAAAAGAGCAATCATGTATGGAACGGCAGTAATAAAGCCTGTGACAGTCTGCGCCATGATTGCACGCGGGATGTTCTTGCTTGGACTAAAGACGCCACACATTAGCTCTCGGTTTATAGTTATACGCTTCATATCAGAAGCACTTACTTGGGGATCTCCTCGGCCATATGGGAGGTCAAATCACTGGTTCCTACACTGTATGCGCCATTGAGCATTCCAAGCAAAAATACTAGACCATCACTTTTGTAACCCGTGGTATTGGACCAGTCCCTCCAGACAAAGTCGCTCGTAGCGAAACCTTTACCATTATAGCGTGGCATAACGGCACATACTACTATAGTAACAAACACACCCGCTAGAATAAGGAACATGCCAACATTTGAGATAACTGGCAGGGCCTTGTTAGCGAAGAGCACTGTGAGGCAACACATCCAGGTGCAAATCAAATAGCAGACAAAGACCTGCCATGCCTGAGGTGTATGGTCCGGGTGGAATATCAAGTACATGGACATGACTTGGTTTCCAAGAATGGATGATATGGAGGCTGCACCAAATAGCCATGCCAAAGCATTCCAGTATCCCGCAAACCAACCCACAGGGCGGCCATAGCGGCCGGCGGTGGCTGAGGCCCAGTGGTATACTGCGGTAAAAAAGAAAATGCATAAGTTAGCCTTCCTATCTAGTCGTAAGTATTGACTGACTGCGAGCTAGGTGGCAAACAACTTACCGCCAGCAGCAGAGGGAATAGCAGAAGCCAGCTCAGCGATTGAGGCAGAGATAAACCAGTAGAAAAAGGAGACCACCATACTATGACCCAGATTTTTAACATGTGCTCGCTTACCCGCGTTTGCAGCGCAATTACTTACTATTCATAGATGACTCCGGGAGGCCCGCCGTTGAAGATGGCCGTTGTCTAGGTGGACGGGGGTAGTTAGTGTATCAGTAAACGACATTAATGCTGAATTTCTTATTGCTTGGATCCCAACGGCCAGCAGGGCATGCAAATAAAATGTGTTTAGTAAGGGCAAAAGCATGGACTCACGACACTGCCACCCATTGCAATCCAAGTGTTTCCTGCTGTAACGCCAATAGCGCACATACTGATCAGGCTAAAGTTGCGATCAAGCTCTTGCTTGTGACCCGACGAGTTTATCATCGGATCTATACCTGGCGAATCTGGCGACTCGGTTGTTGTAACGGTAGCGCCGACTTCCTTCATCTTGTCCTTTGGCGATGCCAAAGGAGATTCGACTCGCTTCTCAGATTCTGCCATTGCTATTGTTCTTGCCCGAGAGTGTAAAGAAAAAGCCACTCAAGTTTCCAAACGGTCTTCGATAGCTGATATCGGGCGGCAAGCTTTTGGAGGCTTTGGATGGTGCTAGAGGCCGCGAACGGACAGCAATGGAAGAATGGAGAGAACAGCGCAGCGGTGAATGGAAAAAAGAAATACTAGTAGATGCGAGAAGCTGAAGAATATGATGAAGAATGTGTTTGCTGCAGGAAAACGGACGAATTGGATATTCTGCTGGGTAGGACAGAACCAGGGAGTGGGACAGAATCGAAGATAGATGGTTCTACCAACAGGTTTCCCAAGTCAAGACAGGGAGACTCGAATTCGGACCTGCCTGCAAGGTCACGGATTTTTGACGAGAAAGATCGAATAAATGCTTTCCTGTGATCAAAGGGTCGAACAAAAACGTGGCGTTGGCGTTTTCCAGAAGACAGGGCAATCCCTCGAATGACGCAGGGAGACGGCAGGGAGTATGCCCAAGTCAAGGACAAATGAAACCTCAGAAGTGCCTGATAGTCCACTGTCAACAGTCAACTCTTCCCGGATGGAGTAGGAAATCCGCTATCCATGTATGCACCTCAAGCGTGCTTCCAGGCCAGCCACATATCAGGCCAGAGTACAAGTTCTCCATCGCATTCAAGCATTGTTCTCGGCTCGACAGTCTCTCGTGGGAGATAATAGGCCCCGCTAGACATGGGGGAGCATGTTTCCATCTCCATGCTTGGGGTGGAGGCGAGGGATGGGACAGCGTAGAGGGTGGAAGCATCGGTAACTTGATAACAAGACCCTTATCCTAGCTAGCTTACCATGATTGGCAGAGTCTCAGGGCCTAGTAGATTTAAGGATTAGGCCGGTTCCATTTCGCGAGTGGACCTTCGCGGGCAGAGTTTCTCGTCCCGCTGGCGAGTCTCCTTGTTCCCCTCCGGATGGATTGCGAGAGAAAGCAAAAGCAAAGAGAGTGACGCCTTCGTATATGCAAGTGAATTTTGGCTTCTTTGGAGCTAATAGGGGCTCTCTCGAGGCGCAGAATTTTGGCGTCGAGCAGGCTGCAGGATGCACATCTGCTTGGTGGAATGATTCTCGAGTTCTGGACAGCCATATCCAGTGGCCAATACTGCATAATGCGTGATGGATGAAGATGCCACCTAAATCACTAGCAGGGTATTTTCTATACTCCGTACAAGCTGGTGAGACATATATTTCTGTGCTATTTCTTGGTGTGAATCGAACCACATCTGCATCTCACGTTCTTTTCGGTATTGCCTTTAGCCTCGGTGTTCTCTGCTAATTTGGTGCTTGGTACGCCGTGCCGTGCGGCCTATACCAGCGCCTCCACAACTATAGTAGTTAATAAAATGGTCAATATATGTTAGACATCTGATGTCGGGCGTGTGAACTGAGCAGTACTGCCTAGTAATACCCGACTCTAAGCAACGGCATGGCGTCTAGATGATGCGTTTCAACCTTATGAATATAGATGCCATCTGGATGAAACATAAGCATCGTCAATCAGTTCTGGCAAACTTCCACTTTGTGTGAGGTTCTCACAGCGCCCTTTTCTTTCTTCGTTGCTTTTGGTAAATTTCAGCCATCGCGCGTAGAGGCTCCCGTTATCGTATAGACAGGGCGCTAGGCCATGCAAGATAGCCTCAGGCCTTGCAGACAGGCACACGGGGTTTCCGTCACAAATTCCTAAAGTGGCTGCTCGGCCTAGGCATATCTTTACCGATGCACGGAGCAGACCGAGGATAAATTCTCCCCCGAGACAGAGAGAAGCCCTGAAACTCCCACGTAATGATTACCTACCAGAACGCTGATGCCGCATACTTCTTTAGCCCCTTTAGGTGTCACTATGGAAGGAGGTGGATGTTCTGGCCGGCAAGCCACCCGTATCCGTTGTGTTCACGGCGCTGCCTATTGGATGGCTATATTTTCTGGTTTCACACCCGACTGGCCCACCCCATTGCTGTAATGGATATGTGAGCTTGTTCTGTATATATATACGGATACAGAACTTTGGGTATGGCGCCCTTTGGGTCTTGCTTTTCGCCTCTTTCTCGATCTATCTGACCAGCAAGATGTGGCTTATTCAAATTAGCGAGACGCCCTTCTGGAATCGAAGCATTTTAGGTTCTTAACGGCAGGTAGTTATATCTTCCTGAACTAAAAATGAAATCATTCTTGCGAAAGCTACAAAGTAAACGACAGAGCAGGATCTTCGTACGTACCCACGACAGCGCCCCTGAAAATTTATCAACATCCTTCGCTTCCCTGCATGCTCTGCCAATGAACCTCCATGTCGCTATTGGTCCCTCGAATGTCATTGAACTTTAATAAAGAGACGATGTAAATCTTGCAGGGCTTGTTCCCGTAAGTAGTCGAAGGCGTTCAGCATTTTTGCCCAGAACAAGAGTTCGGAGTGCATGCTCTTCGTTAAAAAAAGCCACAATTTTGGGTTAATATTGCTGTTGACTGTAGTTTGATAGTTAGGTAGCCTGAAAATTCTAGGGGAACGTTGTCTTTACGTCCCAAGATGGACTAATTAGTTATCCCCCTGGGAGAACAGCCAATCCTTACCGGACGGATGCTCCTCAAAGCTTGCACATACGGGGTGCTGGGGAAAGGGATAAAGTATCCAGGTTCAATACTCCGTACAAATATATATTATATTCAATTGCCCTGTCACGGATATTGCCCACATGCACGAAAATTCCAGTAGCCTGGGTTCGGCCGGAAACCTGACTGCTTATCCAATAGCCTAGTAGTGAGGAACAGGAAAGAGTGGATATTTAACGTACTGTCGTGGCCTCTCCCACACAATATTCGATATATCGCCTGCAACCATGACTGCCCTGGATACCTCATATGCAAGCGGTTTCCAAAAGGAAACGTGGACCTTATATTCCTTTGGAATCTTGGTCTTGGTTTTACGAACGTAAGTTCTCCCATGGATAGCGCCTCATCTCTTAGACTTATCATGGACTGACGTATAGGGGGATTTGTTGCGGTTGGCAGAATTGCTCGAGTGAGACGACTCGGACTGGGTTCGCTACAGTATGACGATTATCTGATGATCACAGGAGGCATATGGTACACATTGCTATGCATCTCCCTAAATCAAGTGGTCGCCGTTGGTGGTTCCAATTTGATGGATGAAGAGGACATACGGAATCTCACCCCAGAGATCAAGGCACAGCGTGTCAAGGGGAGCAAATGGGTGTTTGTTTCAGAACATGCGTTTGTGATGACTATTTGGACGTTGAAGGCATGCATGATCATATTATACCGCCGTATCATGTAAGGATCTGGCTTGCTTCGTTTATCGAATGGAGGAGTCAGATTTTGCTAACCGCGCTTGTTTCAATAACCAGGGATGGATTAAGCCAACAGCGCCTTGTGAAATATCTCACCATCTGGGTTTTCCTGGGATTCGTCGGTTCGGAGCTGGCTCTCTTCTTAATATGCCGACCTCTACCTAACTATTGGGCTGTTCCCACACCAGACTGTTAGTTCAATCTCGAAAATAACCCATAGTAATATTGCGCAAAAATACTAATACGTTGTGACTAGATCAATGCTCGTCATACCAATACTATGAGATCATTCAGGGTGTTCTCGCGATTTCATCCGATATTCTCATGTTGCTCATCGCTATTCCACTCCTGATGGCTGTGCGGCTACCCCAAAGACAGAAATTGATTCTTGTTTTCATATTTGGACTGGGTATTTTCATCATCATTGCGGCGGTCTTGACAAAGGTGTACTGTCTGGTACCATCCCTGATCTCCTATGTGTACCTGAACTGGTACTTTAGAGAAGCGACCGTCGCAATGCTTGTCACTTGTCTCCCCATGACATGGTCGTTGTTAAGAGATATATTCCCTGCCCTTAAGAGCTGGACGGGCGGATCACGACAAGATGGGACAGGAAAAGTAACATCGGGACGCAGAACAGGGTCTCGTCCTCCTTTCCAGTCGACAAAGGACCACATGCAACTGAACTCCTTCAGCCGCGGCCAGTTATCCCACGGGAACACCACTGAAAGTGAAATAGGGTACGAGTCCAGCCATGGACTACCACATGGCCATGGTACCAAGTATCAGGATGACGCTGAGCCCCTGAAATCGATACATGTTCGTCAGGATGTTACCGTGACGGTGCAAGATGAGCGGGACAGCGACGAGACGCTTTCGAATAGTTATCCTCGACATCAGCGTAAGCCAGCAGGCTGGGATCTGGCGTAATTCCTCTCATAATATATGAAGCCCGCCTGCTCGGTGATTTTCCACGAATTTATACCCTGATTAGGAGGAGATTTATGGCGTTTGTTTGCTTGTTGATCGCGATGGTTTCGTTGGGCTCACGATGCTGGTGATATTTCTTCCTTGTAAATATTATAATAATGAGTATATAAAAGACTTTAATGGAGTTTAAGAGTTTTCGCCCCCCGGCAACAATATTCAATTATTGTCGACGTCTTTTTGGCCTGAAGTTCGGAGGATGACTAGATGTCGGTAATTTTGGATGGTAAACATGTGTATCATGCGGTACAGATGTCTGCCGTATACTTTGCTTCCTATTGGTGATCTGCGGTAAGCTTAGTATAATATGGTACCACAATTAATAAGTAAAAATTACTTAATGCTAGTCCTCTATCATTTTGGTGTATATCATGTGATGGAGATATTCCAGACATATCATCATGTGATATTTCTGTTTAGTCATGGCCAATGAGAATTCATGCCCTTGAAATAAGGTGATCAGGCCCGAATCCCCCCGATAATCAATATTTGATCGACGGAGTCAACTACGTACATATGCTTCGCGCTGTGCTGAGTACGAGAAGCAAAAGGGTCGTAAGGAGTACTCAAGGTCGACCATTCCTCCTTCGATGGGGTCAGGATAGACAGCGCAACTTCAATCATGACCAGACCACCTAACCCGGTAGAAAATGCCGAGATACTTGATCCAAACTTTCGTTTTACTGCAAGGAGGCCCACGAGAAGCAAGAAGTCCTGCATGACAGCTACTCGGTGCCTGGCCTGTCAATGCCAGGCAGAAGCATCTATAGTTAACAGTTATTGGAAAGGGAATTAAACGGGCTGCCTCTTTTCTGGATCCAGCCATCTGGTTCGAAAGCCGGTAGGCCATAACCAATGGATAAGACAGTTTTAGAGTCATACTCCTGGAAGGTTCTTTCAATAAAAGCGTTCCAAGATTTTAGAATCCTCTGAGCCAAAAGGGTGCCTTGCAGTTTGACTAGGAATATGGTGCTGTAATTAATTGAATCAAAACACATTGGGCAAAGTACGTAAGACGAAGACGTGCCAATTCTGAGGCTCAATGTACGCAGCGCAATAAAGCTCTTCTTCCTGGGCCTTTATTCAGCCTTCCAGTGTAACCTTAAGCGGGCACAACTCCTGCGCATGAATAGGGATAAACCAGGAAATGTCGGAGAAATCTCCTTTTTCTTCCCCGATGTAAAATTCCACGATTTGTTCAATTGTTCCTGGGCGATCTCAGCCGAAAGAAAGGAGAAAAGGTCGTATCGTGGGATCTGGCATCGATCATAATCAGGGAAACACTGGCTACCACGTGTATATAGAGCAGCATATCTTCCATGTTTCTCTCTTCTTCCGAGTCTTTTTGGCAATTGTTTGCTTGATACCCGTCTCTTCGCATCGCTGCATACTCCTTTTCAAGAAGGGAGGACACAACAGGCATTATCGCTGTCCGGAGTTCAGATCTGGAATATGGACTCCGAAGAGCGGGTTAGTCAGCTCGGATACCCGCACACACTAGAGCAGGGCGCCCTCTTTCGACATCTCCGCTAGCCTTCTCCATTTCGAAGGGATCAGGGAAGGAGGGTACTGTGCTGGAGTATAGCGGACGGGACTTATAGGGACTGCCCAATCTCCCCTGTTGAACGACGGAGGATCTAACCAGATGCGCGCGCCGACAGGTACGACTTGTGTCTGCCTCCCAGCTTACTGCTGCACCTGCAAGGGTAAGCCGTGATGTGCCTTGGGATGGAAGAGGAGGACAACAAACAAGAAGAAAGAAGCAAAGAAGTTAATCAAAAAGAAGCGGCTCTGCGCGAAAATCGTGCTCGGACTATTCGGGATAAGGTTATTCCCTTCCTTCGCCCGAGACGGGAGCGAAAAAGTGGGTCCAGGGCCCCGACGCCCTTTCAACGACTTCGACTTCGGACAAACAACATATCAATCAACAATAATACTTGAATGGTACTTGACAGAGATAACAAAGGCGCCAACCAACAGCAGTGCCGACTACGGTGTCGACAACAAGAATAACGATGTTGACAATAACACATGGCAACTGAAAAAGCGGGTTGGATGTGGGCTGCTATTATTGGACCACCAACAGCAATATACCCCTGGTCGTTACCAGGCTCGCGGGAAGCGAGTGCCATTGAGGATGGCCTTTAGCGAACGAATCAAGCTGGTGATAGGCTAGCCTCGCTGTGCAGTATCATGGCTTCCGCCACTGATGGTAGATATAGCCATGCCTGGTAAGGAAAACAGCGTAACGTCGTGCTCTGTTTGCCTGCTCTCCTGCAATGCAACCTTCCGTGCCTGACATCATTTACAACCTTGCTGCTATCCGTGTCCTTCGGATCATGATGTGGGACATGGTGCCTGTTGACTGGCGAGCCGCCGCCGATGTACTTCGCTCATGACATCTCAGTCTAACGAGCCCAACGAGTACACTATCCATTTCGAGTCAGTTGGTCCACAGGACCCTCAACCAGGTCGGAATTTGAATACTTGCATATTTTTGGGGGCTTAGTTGCCTTGAGAAACTGTTATACCAATTGTGATAATAATCCACTTGGTATTCAACGGTCAACTTCCAACAGTAATTTCTCTAGGTTTTATGCCGGGTAACTCCATTGCCTCGTGATCACTGCTGCCTGATGTATTACCATCACAGCATGGAAATTTGTGCATGGGATGTTTAATTACACTCCCGATCGGAGATTCCCCTGAAAGTGATGCCGTTCAACGTGGTGGTACCGGTTCTGTCCACATCAATCCATACCCATGAACGCAATACCCATGTTACTATTATTCTCCTACCCGCGAGTCTCTCTATATGGCGAGAATGAGTCGGAGGCTCAATTCGGCCAAATCCCACTTGGCTGCAACTCACGATCCTGGGAGAGTTTGCCTTGGCAAATTTCTCGCTTGATATAACATAGCCGTCGTGTCGCTATTCAGTTGCCAACAGCTTCTACCGATCTGTTGTCGTTTGGCCCTATCCAACTGCTCGCAGGCATTTGGCCGGCATCCGTTCATTGCAGTCAATCTTGACTTTACACTCGTTACATCGAGGCTGTGTCCTCAGTGTCGTCCCTTCTGCTGAGTCCTGGGCCTTCTCGTCATTCCAATATAAATATAACCTCCTTTTCGCTGTATATCTCCCATCATCCAACATTTAACAGTCACTCGTTCGACATGGCTTTCCCCAAAACGATCATGGCCTTTATTGCCTTTATATCTTTGCTCGTTTCCACTACTTTTGCTGTGGATGTGTTCTCTACTACCAACGTGGTCACCTACTGGGTAAACTATGACCTCTATCCCGAATACCGAATTTTACTAAGTATATGTGCATCTACAGGGCCAGGGCCATAATCAAAAACGTCTATCGCACTATTGTCAACAGGTTGAACATGATATAATTGTTATTGGCTTTGTTAATGTTTTTCCTGACCAAGGCAAGGGTGGCTGGCCGGGAACAAACTTTGGAAACCAATGCTACATGGGTACCTATATAACCCCAGAGGGGGAAGAAACGGAGCTTCTGAGCTCATGCCACAAAATTATAGAGGATATACCCATTTGCAAAGCAGCAGGAAAGACTATAATGCTTTCTCTAGGTGGCCAAGCCGTGGATGGCTCCAAGACATACAGCGTCAAGACCAGACTATCTGCCGTTTCCTTTGCAGACTTCCTTTGGGGCGCCTTTGGACCCGTCTCTCCTGGGTGGGGTGGTCCTCGGCCCTTTGGTGACAATGTTGTAGATGGATTTGATTTCGACATAGAAGCTAACGGTGGTGCAAGTATGTTCAGATACTCTTTACTCCACCCGTTTATCTTGGCTTTCTACTGACTGCTTTACCTCTTAGACTACGAGTACATGGCCGAGCGTCTGCGAAGCAACTTTGCTACTGATTCATCTAGACAGTACTACCTATCTGCTGCCCCCCAGTGCGCTCTCCCTGATAGAAACCTCGGCAACCTTATCAGTAGCTCTGCTTTCGACTTTATTTTCGTCCAGTTTTACAACACCCCTAGTTGTTCCGCCTTTAACTGGGCTCAAAACCCCTCCAAATCCGGGTTTACCTTAGATTCATGGGTTCAGTTCATCCGCAATGGCGCAAGCCGCAATGCAAAACTATTCATTGGCCTTGTTGGTGACCAGACCAGGATCTCGCCACACGGAGAATATACCAAGGATGACAGGAATTACCTCGCTCTCCCAGATGCTGACAAGCTCATCAAGGCATACATGAACAAATATCGTGCCAACTTCGGTGGTATTATGATCTGGGATGCTCTAACCTCAGATGAAAACCAGCTCGTCACAGGAACCTATGCTTCTAATATTAAAAGATTACTGCTTAACAACGAACCTTCTCAACCAACAACTACCTCCAAGACCATGAGCAGCACGAAGACATCTATTTTCACGACCACTTCGAAGCCTACGACAACCACCAGTACTATGTCTTCAACTTCAAAGGTTTCTTCATCCACTGGGTCCATGCCTACGATGACTACCTCCACTAGGACTACTTCATCCACAACGACAACATCTTCCACCAAAATCACACCATCAACAAGCCCCAGCCCTATCATATCTACTTCTACCACCTCCGGGCATCAAAATACCACAACTAAAACCACCGGAACTGAGACCCAGACAAGCAAAACATTTATTACTACCACCAGTATCTGGAGCTCTGGAACTGGCATTGGCACTGGTACTGGGATCCCAACCATCACCACCACCCCAAAATACCCAAACACTACCTTCACCAGCGACACTACAGGTAGTCCCACAATGTCTGATACTACTATCACGCTCACCATCACCTCTTCTATGCATCACACTTCTGCTACAACTTCGACTATTCCAACCTTTACTACGACGCCTATCCAAACATCAGAGACGAGCATTTCTATGCCAAGCGGAATAACAACTTCCTCTACGCATCAATCATCCAAAATAACCATACCTGGCCCTCCCGATATGCCTACGACCATAGTTTCTCCTTCACCGACCAAGCCTGGACATTCTACAACAACAGCCATCATTACTACTACATTTACCTCTGTCTGCCCTACTGGAATCACTACTGTCACGACGACCTATACCACAATCTACTGCCCGGAAGCAATTCCTACGCCGACAGCGGGTAACGCTCCGCCACCTCCTGCAATGGAATGGACCACCATAGTCACTACTTGTACCAAATGTGCTTCCACCTCGGCAATTATGACAGTCACCTACCCAGTCACTGCCCCATCGGAGCCCGTGACTCCAACACAGGTGCCAGGAACACTGCTTCCACCAGGAGCACCAGGTACTAGCTCTGGAATTCCACCATCAGAAACTGCTGGCAACAAGCCAGGAAACCCGGGCACTCTAACCGGCATTTTCCCTCCAAAGCCAACCATGTCAGTTCCCCCAGAAATGGGTGGCAATGGTGGGGATATAACCCCAGTTTACACTGGTGGAGCTGTAGTCGTGTCGCCATCCTTCTCGATCATTATTATGGTGTTGTGTGCAATCGTATATCACATTATGTAATAATTCTATGGATTAACACAGAGCTTGGCTGGATTGATGGATGGAGATGTAGTTGATCGAGATGTCTCCCCTTTTCTTTTCTGATTACAACCTTTTCTGGTTTTTGAACGTTGGATGGACGATGATTAATTTTTCTCATTATATACGTATATGTTGTGTTACGTGCTTTCTACCTCAACCTTGCAATAAAATAACTAATTGTACATATAATTCCAGCTGGCCTGGTTTTCCTTCAACCTCAATTTCAAGGATTCTGCCATCTATCAAGTGCTACTGCCCAATAATCATCCGCAATCCTCTTTATAGTGACCCATAATTTGCCTGACCCCATAAGCTACGATCAATCTCTCGTTCTCCCCACCGCGTTGTAAGCAGAAAAGCCAATAAAATATTTTCCCACCCTTTACCGGCAAATCGCCCCGAGCAGAACTAACAGTTAAGCTTATCTTTCCTTTTTTTCGCCTCCCGTGGAACCACTTGGGTACATTATAATGTACAGTAACTGTTTGTACCGATGGATATCTTCGGGGTCGAGATAACCTTGCATCGATATTTCTAACACTCATCGATGGGTTGTGGTTCGGCGTATCACGATGCTACTGGCATATGAAGGCGGTTAATGTCATGGGTGTGAGGGACAACTTGCCTTTAGCCGGCTTGGCTGTAAAGATAAGATATTTCACCGAGACGCGTTACAGCTAACTATCGGACATGGTGCGTAGTTGGATATTTCAACTTGAAAGACGATAAGAAAAACGCAACATCAACCACCGCACAGCTTAATGAGCGTTGATAGAAAAAGTGTGACGATGCGTCATTATTGGTCTAGACAACTGAAGCCGTTGGTTGAATTGGTGGATTTGGCTAACTAGTTAGTTTCTAGACTCCGTTCGCGCATGGAGCCCTGTGGGTCGGCGTAGAGTCAGCTCGAATTTGTGTCTCATAGGAAATAAAGGAGAGAGTACTCAAGTGTAACGGACTTCTCCTTATTTTTCTAATTCAAAGTAACAGGTACAAGTCTATTTCCAGGAACAAAAACCAAATATCAGATGAAAAAAGTAGGTATCAAAATTGATAAGTGAAAGAATCAGAGGTAAAAAGGTATGTACAATCTATCCAGAAACAGCGAAAAATGACCACCTTCCAAAAAGAATCACTGGAGGATATAAAATAGCGAGGGTGAGGGAAGGTGGAGGCCCGCTCGACATAAATAATCAGAAATATAGTCTCTTCTCACTCCCAGCTCCGTTCCATCTCACATTTCCCCATTGGAAGCCAAGTTTTTGACAGGCATGGCGTTAGTGGCATGCATCCCGGGAAACAGAGACGAGCGCATTTTTGTTTTAAGATGATCATCAGTTGGTAGAAGATAGCTGTCGCCGAGTTGTTTAGATGTAAGGAGTTGGGATGGCAGTTGGGAAGTGGTAAGTGCCGGATGGAGCGACGGTGTCGGTGACAGTGCCAGTTGGGTAAGGCAGAGTGCCAGTTCCGGTTGGGATTGGGATTCCGGTGCCGGTGCCGGTAGGCATAGGGGCACCAGTACCGGTTCCAGTAGGCATAGGGACGCCAGTGCCGGTTCCAGTGGGAATGACAGTGAAGGTGGTGCCAGTTCCGGTTGGGACACCAGTGGCAGTTGGCAATGGTAGATCAGTGCTGCTTGAGAAGTTGAACATGTCGAACCAGTTGAAAGGTCTGGCAGAGACGGCGCTGGCAAGGCCAAGGAGAATGACGGCGGAGAACTGCATTTTGATGAAGAGGGCTGGTGCTTTTATTTTATTTTTTTATTTTCGGTTGTTCCTGGATTAATATTTGCACTGAAAGAGAAAGAAGAAAAGAATGAATGGACCTTTTTGATGGAAGTGAAGCCTGTTCAACTATATCATCAGGAAGGAGAAGAGATGAGAGAAAATGGACAGCCAAGGGAGGGAATGGGGAGATTATTATATAGACCGAAAGAATGTACTATAGAGCTCCCCGGGAGGCCAGGGGGAGTGGGTATAGTAGCTTGTGGATCATACAAGGTACCTGAGATAAGTCCAGGGCAAACTCCTCTGATAGGACCAGATTTCTGAGTATGGGAGCACCGTGGAGGTTGACTCGTCATGGCAAGCCCTGCGCGCCCATAGCCATAACCAACTGGAGGAGTCGTGGTTACTTTGACTTAAAGTTGGGTGGGGGTACGGAACTTTTGACCAAAACGCGCAGCCTCGAGCCGAAGGCCATGGGAGCTCCGTTCAAAAGAAAGAAGATTGCGAAGATCTTCTTATCACGGGCCACGGCTGGGGGATTCGTAAGTGAGAGTAGGCCAGAAATTGCCTGCTCCTGGTTGTAGTCTTGTCTACAGCCCCACAGGTGGAGGAGCAATCGGAAGGCGTCAACCACCGGCCCTTTGATGGAGCATTAATGTGTCTAGAATAGTGCAATATCCCATCATCAAAGACACCCTCTAGTCTCTTCTTGGCCGAATAGGCACGCGCAAAGAGGTATGGACGTCTGACACAGAATGCAAGGCCAAATGTCAGCAGATAAGTGTGAATACGCGGTGACGCAGCCGACTCCGCACCACTACGGTCCCATGCTTGGAGTGAATATCCAGATCAAAAGGGCCATCCTGGGCCTCTGCATGCTGCAGAGTTATTATTATTTTCATCGGGCCAACAATCAACCACCTGCTCGTGTCCAAGCAGAAACGCTGACAGGATTGGTCCTGGTTCCTGGTTCCTGAGGGGGGGGGTTCGCCGGCTGATCAGCTCGTCTTTCTTCTGAACGATACGGGGAGATTGGACGGAGCAAGCTCTGGAAAGGCGAAAGAAGAGGTCGTGATCCTTGCTGTGCAGCAGAAGATCACTGCTCCCGGTGCAATTTTATGCCCACCATTCGCCAGCGCCTTTTGTGCTCGTCGCCGCGCCGACTTTGCATGAGGTTGACAAATTGACGTTCGTGACGATGAAACAAGGAGGCCAAAGGCGGTGGAGCAGCCGCGCTTGGCAGAATTTCTTCAGCGACTTCCGCCGACTTCGACCTCAACTTCAACATCCATCGACATTCAAACGGCACAGAAATGATATGCAGGCAGCAACTGCGCCGGCTGCCGACGAGGACGCACACCTAGCCAGTATGTGCCCGTCGTGGTGGGTAGGATGAGCGTGTGGAATCCTCAGCCGGGCGAAGAGATTCTCGACGATCGTCCCTGGGGTGGCAGCTTCACAGCGCACGCCATGGCAAGGCAAACTGGACCCCAAACTCGCGGTAGGCTTCGGAGGATAATGTCAGCGCAGGATTACTTGATGATGGCTGTCGGGTACCTCCCAACGAGCAGCAGATCCTGCCATTAACTCACGTCTTGTCCAGGAACGGAACAGGCCTCTATGTCTGACTCGTCAAATCCAAGGTAGTCTCCGCAGCTGATCTGCAAACATCCTGATGATCTTTCTGTTAATATTCCTTGTCATCATTCAGGATACGACCACTTGGAACAGAGAAACGGGAGGAAGAAAACCTGGAGGACTGGAGAACAGATAGGAAAAGAAAAAAATCCGAGAGATCTCGAGGCTGTTGTCCTACATGATATACATGAGCCCAGGAGGCTGAGTTTTCTTTTTATATCGTCGGCTCGCAGCCGCTTTGAGTGGTTCCTCAAGGCTTGCGCCTTGCGCGCGTGTATTCGGCCGTGAGACAGCCACTTCCCTACTTAGTCGCGCGCGCTGAGGTTTAATAGTTAAACCCGGCTACATCTCCTTCAATAATATGGTTTTTGACGTGATGCTGCGGGGGGTTAAGTTTTCTTTTCTCCTGACATTTAGACCGCCGGACAGGCAGGCAGGCTTGAGAAACAACCGGCAAACTTATGCAGAGAGCGGCATGATTCGTTTTTTTAAGGATGAGATATGGTTGCATCCGCGGCCCGGACAGAGTTTGAATAAGTTGTTTCTCCCCGTTTTATCCCCACACCCACGAACATTCGCTGGACGTTCGATGATATTATTCTCAGATAAGGGCTGGTATTTAGCGGCAACTGTAGTTATCTCGTCGAATACCACGGCATTGAGTTCCTCGAAGTGCAGCAATGCATTGCTTCATGTCCGGAATCCACAATTGAAGTGTATTCTAGTAATATTGTTCTTAATATAAGGCAATGATATCTATACATGGCCACCCCTGCCCATCCACATGCGTCTCATTAAAACGCCGGATATGACCTACAGGCCGTTCAGTCTCTGTCCTCGACGAAAAATATTGATTTCGGGTTTCCACTCACTTCTAGACATTTGGAGCCATATTAGATGAATGCCGCGTGAAGAGGCTCCATCACTCTCCTCGTCGGATACGGAGTTACATGATCCTAATATTAGCATCAGGTAGTACGAGCAACATGCCCAGTGTACAAAACGAATTAAACGTGAAGGCACAATCGAGATAAGTCAAGAGGATAGGCGTCTTTTCTCCGATGGTCCTCGTTCGTATATTTCGAGGCTACCTACGGCTCATCTGGTTTGCAGTGCTTTGTTATTCGCCAGGTTTGCGAGGGCGGCGTTGGAATCACCATGGGTTCTGCTGATCATAGCTAGGGTTGGCTTCCGGGAAGTCAAGCAAAAGTAAAAGAGGGGAAATATTGTAAAAATACGCAGATAACATCTGCTGTCCGTTCGACCGGTGTATCGGAGGGAGGATATAAGATTCTTCAACGAGGATCCCTGCACCAAAGCTTCTTTGCTCCTTTCATTTAGTCGTGATTCATACTTTCCCGCTTATCAGCCCTTCTCTACAGCCAGTTTAGGACACTTTGTCCGTCCACCTCTTCCCCGTGTGGCCCCTCCTCGTTTTCGTTTCTCATTATTTGCTTGACTTGTGTCTCCAGAAGCTTGTTTTATTTCATTGTGTTGTTTCTTCCCACTTGATGGAATCACAATCTCCACGCAGAACATGCGCAAGTTGGAGTCGATAATGCTGGACTTTATCGGATTGCTAGGCAATGCTTGTTCGCTGATGCTCTTTTTCACCTCCTGGTCCTTCTTTTCTTCCCCATAATTCTTCTCCGTTTGAACAACGTTTTCTGGGTTCTTCACATGCTCTTCTTGTTGTCTCTCCTCCTCTTTCGCCCTAGCTTCCGTCTTTTCATTCTCTTGCTCATCTTCCTTTCGGGATTCCCGAGGCTTCGTACGGACCCGCCTTAACCTTGTGCTTTTGAGGGTAAGTTGCCTGTACTTCGGAGGTCGTCCTTTCTCTGCCGTTATCTTTGCAGGAATTGCTGCAGGTAAAGCGATATCCTTCGGCTCAGCGATTTCTCTAGGTTCGCGGGGTTTCATCCCGATGCATGGCTGGGAGTTGACTTTGTCAACCCACTCCATAATATGTGCCGTCTTTTCGGCAGTCAGATAGCGTCGCATGGCCGACATTTTGCTCCTAATGACTTTATCTCCACACAAGAGAGGTCAATGGGTAACAAATAACGGCTAAAATGAGCGTAAAAGTGCAGTGCCCTGCGAAGATCATCGAAGGAGATGCGGGATAAGAAAATTGAGACTTGCTATCATGTCAGTGTTGAAGGAGAGCTTGGTATTGAGGGGTCAACTGCTGTGCCGCGGGTAAACTGAAGCATCGCATGAAAACTGGCAAACGAGTGAACGCTGCAAAAGAACGTAGCAGATAGAAATGAATGGCCGTCGGGGAGTGAGGTTGTTTAAGCGTCTGAGACGTTCGAGTTTCGGAAATGTCATTGAAGCGCGCGCCGCAAGTTAACCGCGACGTCACATGGCATAAGCGCGTCTCCCTAAACAATGACATCACCGTCTCCCTTACCCCTTTTTAGCACCTTATACTTGCTTATTCTACATGTTTTCGCTGAAGAATATTCGAAATGACGAAGATAAGAAAGGAAATGGGTTGATGCCGGATTCATTACTCTATGTACGTATTACTAAGGGATTATGTGCAGAAGACATCAATAGGAAATGCACCACAACAGCCTTCCCTGGCCAGATAAACGCCTCGACTTGATGAAACGCTCAAAACCGCAGGTCATAAAGACATCAAATGAGAAAGCAAACAAGAGATCTATGTAAGCAATCCTTTTATACCTTCACAGTCAAGGGCAAAAAAGGAAAGTTAACTTTTCAGTCCCAATGGCGTCGTATGATGGGCTTTGCTGGATCCCAGGGTCCGATGACAACATTTTTATACCGCTGCAAACTGATAAGCCACCAGCTACAACAGCCCATTATCAAGGCGGTTGACGGGCTGCCTATGAAGATACCAATTATGGCACCCGAAAGTCCCCCTCTCAACGTGATACCGACAGATGCACTGGCCAACAGAACCAAGGCTACGGTGAGAGCCACATGCCCGCGCCACGAGTAAGACCGTAGATGGCGACGAAAGACAGGAAAAAGGCCAAATACTTCGATTGAAAAGAGGGTAAGGCTGAAGACGTGAGAAGTGGATTTTAGGCGAGATGCAAGCACGGTGGATGCCATTAGAGCTGCATTGGTGGAAAGAGAGGCAGGAAAGTTGGCAGTAGCAGCACCGCCGACGGGGGTATTTTTCTCTCCAGATCCGTAATCAAAGAAGAAGATGTTGATGGCCATTAGCCAGCAGCTCATGGCCCAGATTGAGTCGCTGGTTGTTGATTTGGTGAGTGATTTGAGTATGGGACTAAGGCCACGCAAGGTACAGAATATTAACAGGGAGGATTTCACGGTGGTGAACATTTGTCGGTGTCGTGACGCTATAAACGCTGCTGTTGGCGAGGGTGCTTGTAGTGGTGATGACGGAGTAGTTGCGCCAGAGACCTTGGTGCAAGAGGCGTCTGACTTGGACCCGAGTGCGCAGTCCGCAGAGTTCGTCGAAACCGGAGATAGTGAGAGAGGAGCAGATTGATCTGAATGCAAAGATGTTGCAGAGGTACTGATGGAGTGAGAGCGTGTCCCTGAACCTGAATCTGAGCCTTCTCTGCTGGGTACGCTCTCGATACTAGACGTATCCAGCGACAATCCAAGACCACCGTTCACTTCGTTGTCCTTCCCATCAAGGCTCTCTGGGTTGCTACAGCTGGAGGTAGAGTGGTTACGAGTAGCTTCGCTAGACTCCTTCAGCAGCTTCATAGCCTCCATGGCCTCTGCGGCTTCCATACCCTCCTTTGCGACCCAGTAGTCCCAAAGTACCCAGCCGAGGATGGTACAAATACTCCCCCAGCTGACCACAGTGATCGGGTTGACACGCTCCTGGAATATGACAGTAAAACAGCAGACGAATATAATGACGGAGCAGACATGCTGTACGATGACAGTGAAATCAGCCACCAGAGGCCAGAAATCGTATGGCTGGAGTCGAGGGTTTCGCTGTAAATGGTCGAGAAAGGTCTCAGTGTCCGTATAGTTATCAGGATCTGTATCAAAATAGTCCGTTAGTATACTTGTTTCTTTAGAATCTAACTGAAGATTTTCGGAGCGTCATACAAGACTGCTTAACCCACAAAAGCTTCTTCCACTGTCCCTTTCTTTTGCGACGACCTCGATCTCTCCGGCGATCCTTGACAGGGTTCGACTCCAATCCAGGCACCGCAGGCGGAATCCTCAAGGCCGCTACCGCCGCTGGAGTCGCAACACTCCTGTTGAGTAGCTGCGCGGTCTCGCTCGTGGTACTTCCGCCATCTCTCCTGGCGCCTGCTGCTACGTTCCCCGGACGTAGCCTCGGAGGCGAAGTAAAGTAAGCGTCTTCCGGCGCAAGCCTGCTTGGATCCGGCGAGAGATATCGTACAGGCCGAGATTTAATACCAGCGCGATTCGGATGTGTCTCAACGGGGACTGGAGGCGGGACGGGAGCAGCGAGCGTAGGTGGTGAGCTCGGTGGCTGCTGCGACTTGAGCGAGGGAGTTGACGGACTAGACGAGCGGCTACTAGCCATGACAGGCTCCTGGGGAGAGCGGAAATGCAGTTCGTCACCGTCTGCTCATGGCATGGCTGTCGGCAAGAGCAAGTCCTTTGACTGTCTGTCTGTCTGTCTGCTTGTCTGGTTGTTTTTTCCGTCTTCCCTGCAGCTTTTTCGCCCTGACGTGAAGTTCTTGATATTTCCCGATTGGGGCAAACGTCATCGTCACGTGATGCTATCAAATTAAATCTCCTATTCTTTGGCTGTCGATCATTGCTGATAGCGAGTAGACGGGGCTGGGGATGGAGATGGGATGTGGATAAGGGGGGCTATGTAGCGATGGAAGGGATAGATGATGTATATTTATACACGAGACGTATATATCTAAAGAGCCTTACTGGGCTAAACTATGTCTCTACGTAGGAAACTGGGTATGGATAAAAGGGGCTGGCGAGCACGAGGGCATATATGCCAATCCCAACCTAGCCGGATAATCCTTCTCTCTGGTTGAAGCGAGCTGCTGTGGCATTCTCGACGCTGTTCCGGCGACCCCAATGTTGTGGCTGGCGCTTGAGGAACGCCCCGACGGCACCCAGGTAGCCCTCATGGCGCAGGAAGTAGGCCTGCTTCTCTCCCTTGGACCAAAATCTAATAGCGTAGGAAAGGGTGTTCATGGTCTGGCGGTGGCCACGGATAAATGAGCCTCCAAAGTATATGTGTTTGATCTTGTGTTTTTCAGATTGTAGATATGCAATTTGCCCGATATTATTACTGCTGCTGTTAGTTGACCTGCTGACCATGATAAGGACTCCTGAAGCACACACCTTATAGCAAATAAAAGACTCTGGCTCATGTCTTCGTGGGAGAAATGAGAAATGTCCTGCTCTGAAGTCGGTGATTCACTGCCGCTACTCTCAGCATTTCTTTCCTCAAGCCGCTTCAGCTTGAGGACCTTGCCAAATGTACTAGCAATGGCTGTGCTCTTCAACCCGATCTTGCCATAGTCTGTGCCGTAGATGTCGCCCACAAGCATGTCGACTCCGCTGTTATCTCCTCGCTCGGCCATGGCTAGCATCTCGTCGAACGTTCGGGCTCCGGTAAGGAGGGCCATGAGCCCCCAGAACGTCCCTCCACCAAGTGAGGTTCCGCCTACTCGCTCGAACTGTCGAGGACCAGAGACCTTGACCATAGAGACGCCGGAGCCTATGTTCACCAGCAGATATGGGTATACGTCTGCCCTGGCCTCTGCAAACTGCATCGGGGTTGCCTCGCTATAGGTAAACACCTCGTTCGGGATCTCCGTTATAAAGAAGTCAAGTCCTACACTTGTTAGCCTGGGGATCTCTCCAAATGGTATATGGAAAGGATCACATCACACACCTATGATCAGGCACTCCATCTCATCCTCCCGCAGTACGTTAACCCCCAGCGCATCCCTGAGCATGTCGTAGAACTTGTATGCGCCTCCACCAGTAGCCATGACACAGAGCTCGTACGGAGCCGAGCCATTCCTCTTCATATGGTTCTCCTTCAGCTTCTTCAGGAAATCTATACACAGCTCTATCCGGCTTGTCTCGAAATTAATAAAGTTGAGCCGACCACCGCTGCCAGACTGGCTTATCTCGGGAGAAAAGTAGACGAGCTTCGCCAGGGTTCCGCCAATCTACACAGTCACATCAGTATTCACTGCCATGATTCAGTATCAGAGAGCAGAACAGACTCACATCGACGGCCACATGGCTGACCACGTCTGTGTGGTGCGGGAGGCGAATATCCTTGTGTTCGTAGTGGACGCCGTCGGCATCGTCGCGCCCATGGGCAGCAGCCCGCTCCTCGTCGTCCAGGATAAAGGCACCCTTGACATTGATCTTGACCGAGCCCGGGTTCGAGATGGTCTCGCGCAGGCGCTCAACAGAGACGTCGTTCTCCGTCTGCGCTCGCCGGCGCCGCGAGGCAGCGGACTCCACACCCGCACAGGATCCTGGCGCGGCAGACATGATGTTTCGGGGGCAGACGGTGGTGCGGTCGCATGGGCATTGAGGCGTCCTGGCTCTGGCTCCGTCCGGGGGTCCTTTTATTCCTGCTCGCTGGCTCCTCGGGCGGCGTCTTTGTTGCACCTTGGAAGAGGATCCGAGGCTGTCGTGCCCACGCTTACGGCGTAATTCTCCTTCTGCGCCTTTTTTTTCGCCGAGGATCAACTCAACCGCGCTTCCGTATAACTAACCACCAACTAACTGACAGCGACCACCACTACCTACCATTATACCTACAGCTGCTACGGCCTTTCTCTACGAGATGATACTGTGGCTGGGGTGAAGATGGCGGCGACGGTGACTGGGCGGAGTTTCCCTGGACAAAGACTCGCTTTCTGCGCGGGTGAAAGTGCCTGCCACAGCGCTGCTGTTGACATTTGATACCATGGACGACTGCAATGCCGGGCTTGAAGAGACAGACAGCTTCAAGTTACAGGTACAAGAGTGATACCAAGCTCTCATGATGAAGGGAATCCTGCTGGTGCTGCTTGTCTGCGTGGCAGAGGCGCATATCATCTTCAAGCATGCGCCGCTCTCCTGCGATCCTATCCTGCCAGCATTCCAAGGCTGTCTACGAGGCCAACGGTGCTCTCGACACGGGCTATGTGAGAGCAGTCATCGTCCGGAGGATGAGATTCAGCCTCCCCAGCTTGATGCTACTGTTGAGGTCGTCCAGAGAGACTCCGAGATCAAGTATGCGCCAGGCAAATGCCGTGGAGGCGCCGGAGAAGGGGAGGCTGGGATAGCGGTAGACTGCTTCATGAAACATCCCTCGCATCTGATTGATGACAACGATGTGACACAGAAGGCTGCTCATCCGTACCTACGAAGGCCCTTCTGGCGTCCTCATTTCCGCCCAAAGCCAAAGGTGTCTATCACCGGCACTAACAGAGTGAAGCTCCCTGCTGCAACTGCTTCCGCTACTTCCACCAGCACTACTCAACCTCAGCCTCCTAAGCCGTCTGGCCCTCCTGGAAATGTTACTACTGACGGAACATGCGGCTCAAACCATGGAGATACTGTCTGCGGAGACTGGTTCTATGGCCCCTGTTGCTCTCCCTATGGTGTACGTTCCTCCTCTTCCCTCTGTTTCTTTGTTCGCTGACCAAGCGTCCCTAGTTTTGTGGTAACAGCACTTCCCACTGCGGGTTGGGATGCCAGTCTGGCCCATGCATAAACGGGCCTGCCTTGAAACCCATTGCTCCTCTAAGCTACCATCCATTCAAAATTCCCGGAAAGTTTGCCACCGTTGGAAGGTCCGGAGTTCCAGCCATGATGGCTATTCTCATGCCTAACGGGAAAGTCGTTTTCGCGGATAAGATCGAGAATTATACGGAGCTAATTCTACCAAACGGACAGTTTGCTTATTCCTCGGAGTATGACCCCGTTACCAACGATGTTGTAGCCTTAGAATACAAGGTGTGTTCTAGTCCACGAATATTCCAGCTCCATGCTAATAATCGTATAGACAAATGCATTTTGTGCTGGTGGAACTGTTCTAGCTGATGGTCGTGCTCTGTCTGTCGGTGGGAACGGCCCACTGAACTTCATAGACCCAACAGTCAAAGACGGATTCAAGGGAATCAGATATCTCGAGCGCAAGCTTGATGATCCAAAGGGAGAAGAAGGGTGGATTGAGCCGGGTCACACTTTATCCACCGCCCGCTGGTATCCCTCCGTACAGACTATGCCTGATGGGAAAATATTTGTTGCCTCTGGAAGCTTGAACGGCCTGAACCCAACTAACTCGGACAATAACAATCCCACATATGAAATCCTGGACCGTGAAGGTTATCCCCATGGCGACAGCATAGTCATGTCCATCTTGGAGAAGAATCAACCTTACTACATGTATCCTTTCCTTCACCTTCTCAAGGATGGAAACCTCTTCGTCTTTGTTTCAAAGTCTGCACAGATATTTAATGTCGAGACAGATACCATTGTCAAGACACTACCAGACCTTCGTGGTGACTTTAGAACCTATCCGAACACAGGAGGAAGTGTTATGTTCCCCTTGAGTTCAACCAACGGATGGGAACCTGAGATCATGATATGTGGAGGCGGCGCTTACCCTGACATCAATAGCCCTACTGATGCTAGCTGCGGACGCATAAAGCCCCTGTCCGAGAATCCAACATGGGAGGTTGAGTCTATGCCTGGTGGAAGGGTCATGGTGGAGGGCACCTTGTTACCAGATGGCACAATAATCTGGTTGAATGGCTGCAGTCGCGGTGCACAAGGGTTTGGCATCGCAAAGGATCCAGTATATGACCCCTGGATATACAACCCGCGCGCTTCCCATGTTGAACGTTGGGCTGTTGGTGGATCAAGCACAATTGCACGCATGTATCATTCTGTTGCCTTGCTGTTGCTAGATGGGACAGTGATGGTTGCAGGATCAAACCCGGTCGAGCAGCCTGTACTTGTTCCAAACCCCAAGGACCCCAAGACTGCATACGTTACCGAGTTCCGAGTTGAAATCTATGTTCCCCACTATCTCAGCGGCAAGAAAGCGGATCAGCGGCCACTTGATGTTGTCTTGTCCAGCAGACATCTAGTTGCTAACGGCGGAAACTTTACAGTAAAGTTCAACATCCACAAAGAGGCCATTGAGCTCCACGTCGTTCTCTACCAGGGTGGATTTGTCACCCACTCACTTCACATGGGCCACCGAATGCTTTACCTCGACTATACAGGCTGGAAGGCCGGCGAAAGAGAGCAGGTTGTTAAAGCTACCATGCCTCCGGACTCGAATGTTGCGCCTCCCGGTGCCTACGTTATCTATATTGTCGTGGACGGAGTGCCTAGCATGGGTCAGTTTGTTATGGTCGAGAACCCCATGCCGCCTGGTGATAAACCCAAAGGAGACAAGCTTAATGGAAAGCAGACAGGCATACAGGGGAAGCCGGATAAGCAGGTTGATAAGCCAGAGGATAACAAGAAGATTTTGAACGGCGGTGACGTGCCCAAGAATGATACAAGCAAAGATGACAAGATAGACAAAGACAAAGAGAAACAGGGTGTTGATGATGGAAAGGAGAAGGGTGGTGGGAACGAAAAGGAAACAGACAAGGAAGACGACAAATACGAGGGAGATGATGATGGCATGGAGGACGAAGACTAGAAAGAGTTTCTTGATCCGTATGGGTTTATGTGAATATCGTTTATAGTTGACGAGTCCGAAAACAGAATATGTTACCTCATAAATAAATACTTGACAATGAATCGTATGATATAATGAATGTCATTTCATCTACCATGTCATTGCTTAATCTTGGAGTCTGGGGAATATATACCCCTTGATAATGCGTTGCATATGGAAAGGGAGCATGGCTAATACCTGTCATGTGATACCTTCTACTAGGTTTTAACCTTGTCACATGATTAAAATATGCATGTCTAATCGAAATGTATTCCTATTAAGCAATTTACTGCTTATTAATAAATTACACAATGCCATACGCGATATAACCACACTTACCATATCCAACCAATAAAAAGACTGGTTCATCACCAAATGATACGAAAAATACAATATAAAATCTCCAAAAAGCGCATCAAAAACTCAACAACTTTCCATCTTTTTGTATCTTTCAAAGTCCAACTTTTCCTATTTCATTGTACGAATTACTAATGGTTGCTATATGGAGATATCAAAGACAGGAAGATATGTAGATGCTGTGAGATGCTTCTATCTCTGCCAACCATGCTGATGCCCGGCTGCAGCGCCACCATCATCACCTCTACCAAATATGGATATCAAATATGAATATTAAATATCAGGTATCAAATATCAATACCTCCATATGAGGATGAATATACCAATTAGAACATCCGTGAGCCAGTCAGGGATAATCATCTATACCCGGTACCAGTAGAAGCCATCAGGAACCTGCAGCATCCCGTCCATGTCTTTCTCCTGATGGTCTGTTTGCATATCCATCTCTCTTTATGCCAGCAAGCAGAAGCAGATGTAGCTATCCATCCAGCTAGGGAATGAGGAAGCAAAAGACATTCCAAGCTATAATAAGCAGGCCTTCGTCTTGTCTTTTTCTGCATGATACTCCCAAAGATGCCAACACTGAATGATATCACACCCTTCCCCTGCCATGTCCTCTTCTATATCTTCTATCACCGCCCGCATTGCGCCCTCTTCTGCTCTCCAGGACAGAAACCGTGCTTTGTAAGTGAAGAAATTTGCCGCTTCTCGGCAAAGGATATAAAAAAGGAAGAAATTTCTTCTTCTTTTTCCTTTTCCTTCTGTTATTGTTTTTCCTCACATGGTGTGGACTTTCTGTGTTTCTCAGCTTCTTCATATCTTATCACCCTGACTGTGTCCTGTACTGGAACATCAACTCTGCATCAAATACTGATCCAGGTTCGGCTCTCGAGGTACCTGCTGTACTTCTTTTTCTTCGGTACGTCTTCGGCCTCCTTGCCTCGAGTTGACCAGTTTGACGCGTCTCGAAGGCTGACTTCACACTTGATATCAGGAATCAGCGCTTCTAACAGCCCACCGTCAACATGTCTGTTGCTAGCGCTACGGAGGCTATCATCATGCCTCCAGGGCCTCTCGAGGACATGTCTAATGTCACCGACGCTCTTCCTGAGGCCGAAGAGGCGGCCGCCATGGCTCGCGAGAAGGGCTGGGTTGTGCCTCAGCGCTACAACTACGAGGCTTACAACGCTCTGAACCGTGATGATTATGCTGATGCCTTGCCATGGGCGTCTAACTCGGCCAAGTACGAGTGGAAGGAAGAATATGGCGATATTGGTCCTCCAAACGAAGAGCTTGAGCAGATGCTTTTCAAGGATGAGTATATTCCTCGCGTCGGCAAGTTGCTTGAGAAGTATGTCTATCTGCGTGTAACTTGGATAATCTACGTGTTTAGCTTGCTGACACCTTTTATTGTTGCAGCATTCGCCAAATCCAAGTCACTGCTGAGACGACTGAGCGTCCTGATCCCATCAAGAGTGTATGTACCATTCCTGAAATATACATGCATGGTGCTAACACGTATATAGTTCGAAGATGCTGGCTTGCATCCTATCATGCTGAACAACATCAAGCTTTGCGGCTATCTTGTTCCTACCCCTGTTCAGGCCTACTGTATTCCCGCTGTCCTGACTGGCCATGACTTGATTGCAGTCGCTCAGACCGGTATGATAGATATTTTTATATTCATGGTTAATGATATTACTGACAGCGTTAGGATCTGGAAAAACTGCCGCGTTTTTGATCCCTGTCTTGTCTAAGCTTATGGGAAAAGCGAAGAAGCTCGCTGCTCCCCGTCCGGACCTGGGCAACGGTTTCAACGAGAGCTTGGATGCCGTTCGAGCTGAACCACTTGTCCTTATTGTTGTTCCAACCCGTGAGTTGGCTACCCAGATTTTTGATGAGGCACGTCGTCTCTGCTATCGCTCAATGCTACGCCCATGCGTTATCTACGGAGGTGGGCCTAGTCGTGACCAACGCATTGAGCTCCAGAAAGGCTGTGACATCTTGATTGCTACTCCCGGCCGTCTTATCGACTTTATGGAGAAGCCCAATATTCTTTCTCTCTGCCGCGTCCGCTACACCATCATTGACGAAGCTGATGAACTTCTCAAGTCCGACTGGGAGGTCGAGTTTACTAAGATCCTTGCCGGTGGAGGTATGTATCGCGCCTTTCATATAGATATATAAGATACTAACGCATACATAGATGTTAATGAAGATGCTGATCATCGTTATATGATGTTTTCTGCCACCTTCAACAAGGGCTGTCGTCAGGTTGCTCGCAAATTCCTGGCCAACGACTATGTTCGAATTCGCATTGGCCGTGTGGGCAGCACCCATTTGAACGTCACTCAGCAGGTATGTTACGCGCTTCTGCAATCATTTTTATTGTCATTGCTAATATAATATAGCTTGTCTGGGCTGAAGAAAACATGAAGAAGAAATGTCTCTACGATCTGTTGATGGCCATGCCTCCATCCCGTACCATTGTGTTTGTCAACAACAAGACCCAGGCAGATTTGATTGATGACTTCTTGTTCAACATGGGATTACCTAGTACTTCCATCCACTCGGACCGTACCCAGCGCGAACGTGAAGATGCCATGTTAGTATTCGATGCTTCTTTTTGCATATAGTTATACTGATATCCAATTTAGCCGTGCCTTTAAGACTGCAAAGTCTCCAATTCTGATTGCCACCGCCGTCTCTGCTCGCGGTCTTGACATCAAGAATGTCATGCACGTTGTCAACTACGACTTGCCCTCCGTTAACCACGGCGGTATCGACGAATACATTCACCGCATTGGTAAGAAGTCTTCTTCCCAACCCAAGTCCTTCTAATGCTAAAACAATGCTACAGGTCGCACTGCGCGTATCGGCAACCCAGGTCTAGCTACCTCTTTCTACAACGACAAGAACTCTGATATTGCTAGTGACCTGGTCAAGATCCTAGTCGAATCTAAGCAAGTCATCCCTGACTTCTTGCAGAGCGAAGTTCCACCAGACGGTGTTCTTGACTTCAACGATGATACCGATGACGAAGCTGGTAATGACGACAATGCTGGTGACGATGGCTGGGGCGCCGCCGCCCTTCCTCCAGTTGCTGCAGGCTTCGCCGAGGCTTCTAATGCCAAACCTGAGGCTGAGGCCCAAGGTGGTTGGGGCGGTGCTGCTGATGGTGAATGGTAAACGATGGTTCATGATGCTGATACCACCATTACCAGTGCTATCCCTTTTGCATCGTCTCGTCAAGCCCGGTTTCGGTTGATCCATTTCCATCAGCCAACATGTCCTTTTTCCAACGCATGACAACACGAAACAAGTTATCAGAACAAGTCTCTTAACTACTAAACACCAACAAAACCAACAAAAAAAATATCGGCCAGACTTGTTCATATATTCTTATCCTACAACTATACACCATGGATACCGCCCTGCCGGCTTAGGTCGTCTCTCCTGCTTATGCTTGTTGCTCCCTTACTAACTGCGGCCTACATTAATTTGTTTCTGTATAGGGAGCAACAAGGCCCAAGTTGCTGGCAGGGCGGTCTCCATGGTGTCGTACAAAATACCAAAAACATCTGTTATCTCAGTGTTCAAACTAAAAAAAAGATAGAGAACAACTGCGTGATCTAGGTTGCTAGTTAGGTAGTTAGTTTAGGATGCAAATCCAGACTCTTTCTCTATCATATGGTGTTCTCAGTAAATGTTTTAAAAGTAAACGTAATAATCTTTGGTTGATGAACAAAACATGCTGATGGATGGCATAAACAGGGGATCCGGTGACTACCGGCCGAGCAACCACAACATCTTCCATATATAAACTTCTTCTACCATCAACACTAAACAACCCATCTTCGACCACTCAGCCATTGTACTATTGATTATAGGCATAGCATTTTTTCTATGGTTGATGCTTTCTATCTGGATTTACGTCCCATCAGCTCTTTCCACAATGAAGAGTCTTCCTGCTGAAATCCAGTCAAGATTCCAGGCTTATCGATGGGATATCAACAACCGCTTCATGCACTGAATCAGTACCTAGCGCTGAAAGCCTTTGCAGAGCATCATTAACTCTTGGATACCTATAGCATTCGGTATATATTCAGGTTACTCTGTATATCTAGCAGATAGTGAATCGATAACGCCCACCATGGGGCCATCAAATTGGTTCCAACGCCTGGCGTCGATGGCCATCAGCAGCGTCATTCTGATGAACGCCAACTCCTCTCTCGCCGCCCCTGTCGCAAAATACGACCCCTTGATGATCGATACGTTTCATAACCCTACAACTAACGACCTTGGATTCTGGCATGGCGTTGATGAAGGGATGCCTGCTGAATATGGCGACGATTTCCTACGCCTTTCCCCCACAAACGCCGATATGAACTTCTATACCCAGGTTGCCACCAGCTGTCACGACATGACCGCCTATAAAAACTCTTATCTTCATGTCGTCTTCAAGGGGTCAGATAAGTTCACTATTAGTTTCACGCAGCATAATGCAGAGTGTGATCAGAACAAGGCACCGTACCCCGAGACGTGGGATTCGATCGAGGCCTCACGATATTCTAGTGGAGAGAATATCTATGTTCCCCTCTCTCATTTCCACATTAACTTTATGAGACCCAACTCCATTGGTTTTCATGGCTTCTATGCGGGAGGAGATGTAACCTTGTTCAAGGTTGAGATTGTTTCATCACTTCCGGACGGTATGAAGCTGCCCGAGAAGCTTCCTACTGGCACTCTGGCATTAAGGTGCAAGAGACCGAATTCATTTGCCTTTGGTATTGATGATGGACAGCCGCAATATGCTCAGGAGGTCATGAAGATAATAGCCGAAGAAGGTATTCTAGTTACCTTCTTCACCGTCGGTAACGGGCTGTTGGATGAGGCTGCAAACTTTACAAACGTATACAAGGAGATGTTGGGTCGTGGACATCAGGTTGCTCTTCATACATTCTCCCATCCCATGTATGTTGCTTCCTGGACGCATTGACAGAATTCATGTTGACGGTATATAGGATGGAAGGCCTGCCAACTACAGAGAAGATCGATGAAGAATTTTCAAAGAACATGGAGGTCTTCAAGGAAAAATTAGGCATTGAGAGTAGGTGGTTACCGTCTACTTCTTCATTTTATCACTAATGAACTCTTAATAGGTCGCTATTTCCGTCCTCCCTTCGGCAATGTGGGCGCTCGAACTCGCCAAAGGCTTGCTGCCTTGGTTTCTGACCCATACATCATCAACTGGAGTGTGGATATTGAAGATTGGTTATGGGCTGGCTCTCCAACCCCTGAGAAGCAACTGGAGGCCTTCAAGCGAGACTTCGAAAAGGGTGGTGATATTGCTGTCATGCACTACCTTAACCCTACCACTATCTCCTATTTCAGAGATGTGTTCCAACTAGTCAAAAAGTCTGGGAAGCGCATTATGCGTGTTGATCAGTGCATGGAAGATCCATCTGCGCCACCATTGAAGTAAAATTCAGGGACATTGTCATTACACTCATAGATTTGGAAGACGATACGGCTGGGGAACTATTATTTCTAAAGAGGCCAGACCACACTTATTTTTAACTACCTCAATTATAGAAGATTAATCAAAATGCTATACCAAACACTGAACCTCAACAGAATATTTATATAACTACACGGGTGAAGTATAGCGAACATTTATATCTGATACATATTGAATCCACGGTACCACTCCCTGTCTACTTTGATTCCTGGGATTTTCTAAAAGTCTCAATCATCTCAGTATGCGCCTTTTTCAGCTCTGGAATGATTAAACTCTCAATTTCAACTTCAGGTTGGGGTTGAGCCACGCCTCCACTAGCAACAACGCTCCCCTTTCTCATCCTTGTGGTCGACTTTGGAACACGAACCCACTCCAATCCAAACTTGCCAGTCGTTTTGTCCCGACTCACAAATACAACCTCCCATTTTCGAGTTGACAGCAGGTTACCAATAACCATATGATGTGCATATCGTTGTAACGCTTGCTCAGACTTCGATATAAGTAAATCAGGATCCGTCTCAAGCTTGAAACTAACCACCATACTGCCTGTCGGTGCCCAGCCATCAACCAGCCGGTGCAAGAACTTAGGAACGGGGTCAAGGTCGATAATTAGCTTTTTACCATGCGTTGGGGGCTTTGGGTCATTGAATCCAGTATAGATCGTGTCGGGATCAATATCAGAATTCGCCTTGTCCGAACTCGACTTCTCTTTATCGGAAACCGGTTCATTGGATGATTGGATCTTATGTTCTACCATCCTATCACGAGGGATAAAGAAGTCGGAAACGGCAGCGGCAAGATAAAAGAGGGCATTGGGCCCGAGAGGTTTCATCAGGTTGGCAAGTGATCGAAGCTCATACAGGTATTCCGTCACCGTAACGAAGGGAAGGACAAGTAAGAGGTTGTTATCCTTCGCATATCGGTACTGTCGCAGAACCTTGCGCATTTCATCCTGGTATTCAGATCGAACAATAATAGGGCCGTCTCCATTATTATTGGTGTCTGAAGAATCAGAAGAGGAGATCCCTTCATCCATAAAATCAAGGAAACAATTGGTTGAATGGCTGAAATGTCTCGAGTATGGAAGTAAGCTGAACTGTCGATGTAAGAAGATCACTGCATACCCCTCTTGCAAGAAGTATTCCGCAGAAGTCGCTCCACGTGTACCGGCAGAGAAGTTATCCACGAATCTGACTGTCTGTGTCTCAAGGGGTACTGTTGTTCCCCCGGAGGTGACTAGAACCAATCTTCGGCCTGTCTGAACATGTCTATTTATGAACTCTTTTGCCAGGTCATGATGTTCCTGCAACGATGGGGGTGGCGGATTGATTTTAAAATAATAAGACTCGGCTTCCTCCGGGGTCAGAGTTTGCGTTGATGGAGCTATATGAGCTGCTTGAGACATGATAGCGATGATTTATTTCGTCCAGGATATAAGAGTAGTTGGTATGGAACCGCTAAACAGAGTGGCGAGGTCAAACTCCGTGGATGTACTGGTAATTGCTGTTTAGTCCTCTTTCTCTCCGTCTGTAGTTGGTTAAATATTGGAAAGGTGATGATTCCTCTTCTTCGGCGAGTTCTTTATATAGGCGATTTATTCTTAGCGGTTCCAGATCCTACTTTGTATATCTTGTCATTGGCGGGGCACGGCAAAAGGCCGTCGGGGAACGCGACCGTGGAACACTCAATAGTGAAAAAGGAGAAAACTCTCACAGCGACCCCAGCATGCTATCGCAATAAATGACAAAGACCGTATATTAGTTACCGGCAATAAGTGAATCTTGTCAAGTCTTGCTGGATGTTTTTCTGGAGGTTTGGATTACTTTTTTGGGACGGTCGGCATTAAAGTTATGCCTCGGCTAATTTACAGAAGTTACTGATGACTAAGCAAAAGTTTACTTGCCCAGGAATAGGAGGGTAGGAGGTTTAGTATAAAGGCCTTTTGATATTGTTGATAAGAAATTGACAAGATAATCATAAGGATCGTAATGAGCGTACTCCACACTCAGTCGACAGGGTGTAAGAAATTGGCTAAGTCATTTAGTCATGCAACCACCGGTTCGATGCATAACTAGAACCGAACCAACTACCTGGACTGCTATGTCGAAAGGACATTTAACCGAAATACCGAAGTAAACGGATTCTCCTTTTAGCAGCAGTACTAACATTGCAAGGTATGTTAGAGTCACTGCCTGTTTAAAAGTAATGCAGCTTGATGAGCACTTACCTCCCAGTCACCGTTGACAAAGCATCCAACAAAGCACGGAGTTCTATCGCAGCAGCCTTGGACTCTGAACTGATTGGGAGCACCAGAATCGCGGATGGCAGAAGTGTACTCCTTGTGAAGATCGTGATAGGCTTTCTTGTAGTCTGAGTCTACAATATCAATGGAATTAGAGGAGCATGTTGGCTTAGCAATGGCAGATCCGGCGAGGATGGAGAGGATAGCAACGGAGAACTTCATGGTGAAGAGTGGTCTTCGAGTGTATCTTGGACTGGTTGGGAAGTGGCAGTTGGATGTTATTGTAACTTGCTAGGCAGTGCGATGGTTTTTCTCAGGGTTGGTAAAATTGTTTTGGAAGAGGGCAGGAGGTCCTATTTATGCCTTTCGTGAACTATCCCGTGTCATTGTTATGGCGAGGCATATCTGGTCACCAGATGGATAACACGGGTTGATTGGGTATGCATCGGGAGGATTCCATATCAATGTTGACGTATCTAAAAGCGATCCCGTCTCAAAGAACAACAATCCAATGCATGAAGGAAAGACATGGAGTGCCCCAGATTCCTCCTGTCTACCAGAGGACATGCATGCTGATTGCAGCCTGTCAGCTAGCCACTATTTCAATTGCCGTAAATGAGGGAATAGTTGGTTTGCTTTCCTCCATAGAAACAAACTGGAAGTTCGAGTGGAACTAGTGATGCATAAGCTCTACGAGTCCAAATACAGGGGGGTGTCTCTGCCAGGGTCAGAGGCAGGCAAGTAGTCATCTTTTATTCCTAGATATTTGGTCCAATATCTCAGGACATGAGATTGATGGGTTATCGGAGATGTCGAAGCTAGAGCAAACCTGACTATCCGTACATTTCTAAAGCTCCTTCTTCTCTTCTTCTAGTAAGTCTTGGCTCAAATTCAGTGTTTGGCCTTAATGGGGTTAGATAGGGAAGGAAAGGGGATTATGGGGAGTGCGTGGAACCTTAACCACCACAAAATGGGAATACATGAATTCCGCTCCAAAATTTCAGTTTGGACGGAGATGTAGGTAGGCATGGGCATGGGCAAATCCAGTCGGATTTGAAAGTCGAACGTTTGGATCCGGGGTAGTTAGTGGCATGACCCAAAAATGAGTCCGTAAGAAAACCAAAATATCAACAAAGAGCATAGCTGGATATCCTTGTGGTAGATGGTTTAGATGTGTAGTCGACAGTCAGCCATGGAATTATTGACAATGGAGAAAGAGAGATATCACAGATATCTGCTTCGTAGAGCCTGGCTGATGGTACTCATCCGGCTGGTAACGCCACTACGCATATTACTCAACAGAGCTTCTTCCAATGCAGACTGAGAAACACTGGCATCTATGCATTATCAAACAGTAAGAGAACACAAGGTTAGTATCCGACTTGCCACACGAGTAACTAGAAAGAGGGGAAGAAAAAATAGAGAACCGGAGGCTTGAGCCTGGTTGCTATAATTACGACGTACCATCCAAATCGCTAAAGCTGCTCCCCATGCTCGGAGTGCCTTCACTACCACGTCCATGAGGACTTCGTCCAGACAGCTCTGCAGTTCTGCGTGGGCTCAGCGGCCCCACTGGCCCAGTGGGGCGGCGGGAAGTGGACGGTTCGTTGGCAGATGATCCCGTTGCCATGCTAGAACTTGAGCTCGTTGTGGATGATTCTGGCAGATCTTGCTTTGTCTTTGCTAGAGGAGTGACGCCGCCTGATACTTGTCGGCCTTGATGCTTGAGTTGTTGCGGCATTTCGCGTAACGTCGCTGCGGGGTCGCTATGAGATGTAGCTTTTCCTGTCTCGTGTATAGATTCAAGCGGGAGAAAAGCAGGAGAGTCTTCTTCTTCTTGTTCCTCTTCATCTTTGGGTGGTGCTCGTTTCTGGACCATGGAGAATTTCCCATACCGCCTATACTGCGGCCGGTTGGACTCTTCATCAGAGTCTGAGCTTGAACTTGACGAGGATAAAGATCCAGGACTGTCTTCGCCTTGTCTTGGAGATAATGGCGGTAGGACCTTGGTTCTTGCCTCTCCTCTCCCTCTTTGCTGGGGTATTTCGCCCGAGCTTCGCCTGGATGGCTTGGGTAGTGTGGCGACCGCATCTCCAGACGACTGGTTTCTGACAGAGGCTGGACGGGGAAAATTCGGAGCTATTAAACGGTATCAATACCAATCAATGTCCTTATTAAGAGACTAGCACGTAACCGACCCTGAGATATATTGGGAGTCTGAGGGCTGCTATTATCTGCCCTGGTTGCTGACATATCTCGCTGGAGCGCAAACAACCTAGATTGTATGCGAGATCCTGTTCAGGGAAGTTCGTTTAGCTAGATATCGACATCAACATCAACAGCTCATGTTTGCATATGGACCATACCGTCACTGCCAGATCTATTCATAGGTACACTGCCTCCAGGAGTACCGCTGCCGGCAGACGTAGTCTGCCCAGAAAGGGGATTCTGTTGCCCGACTCTCCGAAACTGCGCCCTCACCTGAGAAAGCCGCCGATCATATAGCCAGGCAACATGTTGGAGCAAGAATGGCAGGGTGACATTGAACTTCTCCGCGCTAGGGAGTTGTTGATTAGCTAAAGCACTCTTAAGAGGGCGTATTATTTGTGTCGCATACAGAGCTTTCCCTGCGCACTACCGTTAGCTTCTATATCACCAACCGAAGGAGAAGAAGGATCATGGCAGTATTAGCGTCTGCAACTTACAGTCTACTCCTTCTTTAGGGGCTGCAGATAGAACATCCCACAGTATTCTATCATTAGCGGGATCCCAGTTCACCTATACCAAGCATGTTAGGGGCTGGAGTCGAGCCAACAGCCATAGCTCACTATCCATATAGATCTATGGATGACGAAACTCACTGGCGGTGGATCAACAAAGTCGCCTCGCGGGAACGGTAGGCGAATGAAAACGGTGAATTTAGGGTCGCTGGCCAGGTCTTGAGTAGCCATGTCGTGTAGCAGGAGGTCATCACAGGCTCCGCAGGCGATACGCCGTGTCTTCTGCTCTTCGTCCTCTTGCTTCTGCTCTCTCGTCGGTTTGTTTGAAGTTCGACTTTTGGCTCGTCGGAGTTATTTTTGGGGTGTTAATTTATTACGTAATATACTATGCCAAGCTCCTGTCACGTGCAGGGATCAACATCCACAGAATAAGCAAAAAAAGGAAAAAAGAAACAACAACAACAACGACGACGAAAGAGACGAAAAAAGAGGCCGACGATGGGTATAAAATGAATAACAAAAAAGGAGGCTGCTGCAAACCGTTGGAATGGACAAGCTGGCAGCGGAGAAGACAGCACTCTTTCGCATGTGCATGCTTATAAGCCATAAAGTCGCCTGAGCGCACCTAACTGGGGCTGGCTCCTGTCCATCCGCCGAGTCGGTAGCTCTACAAAGCCAAAGTAGCATCATGGAAGGCTGCTCGGCGCCAGCAAACGAGACAGAAGTTGGCGATTTGCAGCGGAAGATATAAAAGTGCTACCTTATGCAAGTTTTGTCAGGGATCGGGCACATCACCGACTGCCAACTGGCTGCTTGACTGCGTCTCCGGGGCTCATGCAAACAGCTCATCCCCCCACCCGCAGGGCACTCTGTTTTGATATATCTACACCACTATACCGTGTACTGACTTGCCAACTATCAACAGCCAACCTGGTTGCCGTTACATCTAGCAACTTAGCCTGGCACTTAAGACGATCTTACAGCAAGGCAGTTACTTCAGTGCTTCTCCCTCTTCGCCTTTGAACGACTTGATTGATGGCGGTCTAAGCATGTTTCAGATGCATCTACAACGGGTGAATACTGCGTGCCACACAACGAGCTTGGAGGTTACAAAGTACCGGTCAACACGGCGAAGTATGCGGGCAGAAAGAGGCGCCCTGGCAGGCAGGCTTATCGGGCGAATGCCACCCTGTCGCCTCCCCTCCAAGACGTTCATGCATCACTCTGGCGGTGTGAGTAGGGCGGTTGGGTAGATATCTCCCTATCACATGATAAGCGGCGGCCTAAGTATATGCCTCTTCCGTCGCCAGCAAGGTAACTAATGGGTTAAAGGAAAGGGAGAAAAAGAAAAGAGAAGAGATACACGCATAGGAAAAAGGCGGCCTGGCGGGTGTTTGCATGTGGACAAGGAGTTGAAGCAGCAGGAGGGGGAAAGAGGAAATCATCAAGAAGATTCATCCATGTTCACTCGCCTCCAGCCTCAGCTTGTCTTTACATCTGGACGGTTGATTTTACCTTTGGCCGGGCAATAACTCTATGGTACGGAGCTTAATCATCAACTAGAGAGTGGCCCTTCCGCCAGTGCCGAACCAGGGAGCCACCCATGACGTGCATATTGAACTTACGCGGGATTCTATATATCTGAGATCGGTTCGCCTGTGCGGCTCCAGCATGTGTCAGGTGTATAATACAGAGTAACTGCTCTTGAGTTGGCTCTTTTCTCTTATTTACTATGCAAGGGAGATCTCCTGCTAGCGTCACTCGGGGTTTGACTCGCCATCTCCTACAATAGCCTGATAACCTAACCAGCTCTGCTCCGCCATAAATACAGGTGGGACCTGATCAACAATCAGCAGATTATCCTTCCGTGTTTCAGGCATATAATTCCCACTTACGGGTAATTGGGTGCTTCAGCCGGTGTTCATGTTGGGATTGACGCTGCCGTATAATTTACTCCTCCTTTCGTCTACCTACACTTCCACATCGTCGTCCAGACAGACAGAAAACAATTGATTTTCTTTCCCTATAAAGGAGCTGCCTGCCATGGCAAAGCAGGAGGGATTCCCAACGGCCAACCCGGATACCCTGCTACATGAGCCAAACTACCGTATTTATGTACTACAGCTGTTAGAGAAGATGGAAGAAGAACAACTCACGGCTCTTCGACGAAAGGCATTGGATATTGGTTTGACAATCAAGCATGATAGTGAAAAATCAAATGGGAGGCTGGAGATCGCCTCTGAACCATCTGAGTCTTCGACACCGACCCCGTCAACGCTGATGTCACCCAGTCAAGTCACCATTCCTTCATCAGTGTCGTCCTCAACCCAAAGATTACCTAGTGCTCATTCCGTTTCGTCTCTGGCAACTTGTCCGACTACATGCAATGAGGGAAAGACACATCAGAAACTTCCTATATTCAGCCCTGCACCAAGCAGACATTCGTTCGACACTTCGTATTGCCAAGATCATCGGTTTACATCTGGCTTTAGGCAGTCGATACTATCCCGATTCCCTTATTTTAAGAAACGGTTATCCGTTCCCAGTGCCCTACCATCCAAATCCCCATCTCCTCCTAGCACTTCACAGATATTTCGACAAGATTATACGGTAGAGGCCACAATAGAAGTTTCCCCTTCGTCCGAATCGCCATCCCCGGTTCAACTGGAGATTCCCAAGCTCGAAGAACCCATCGATATGGACTCCGTCGCTCGAAGCCTGTCATGCTCGATTTTGACAACTTTACGAGATATACATGAAAGTCAGAAACGGAGGCATCTAGAATTTCAGAGTAAACTCATAAACTCTATTGAAACGAAACATGATGCCCTTATTGAAGGAAAGCGGAAAGAGAACCAGGAAAATGAAGCTGCTCTTGAGTCTCGGGCAAGTCGTCCCTAACTAAGAAGATCCTTTTCAGGGTTGGAGGACTACCTACTAACAATTAACAAAGAATACTGCAAAGGCAGCCAGGATTGAAGAAAGAGACCTGGTTGCCGAATTATCGCTTGTTGCGGAACTACAACGCGAGAAACAATCTCTTCAAACTAGCATACGACATATGGAAGCATACTTCAATACACCGCCGCCCAGCCTGTCAACCGACAAAAACGACTTCTACGCCAACCTCCAACCGCGCGAGTTCACCGACCAGAAACGAAGCCGGCTTCTCCAAAGCTATCACGAACTAGCTACACTTGATGCATTACATCAATCTAAAATCAGAGTCCTGAGGGATAGTCAAGCAAGGGCTTTCCAAGAGTCACTCCAGGACATGGAGCTCGACTCTATCGAATTTGCCAGGAAGAACAGGGAAGCTTTGAGCGACCTGGAAAAGAGAAAGCAGGAAGAAACCGAGGCAGTGTTGGCTTGGCTAGATGGTAAGAAACAGGGGCTTATCTACAGATGGGCACTGGAGGAAGGCATTGCCAGAAGGCAGCTGGAGGACGAGACCAGGCTGACTTATGGTCCTTTGCCTACGATATCATTCAGCGAAGGCGAATACGATGACCTCACCCTTGAAAATTGATTGTTGCATCCCTTAAGAAGGAAGCAGATGATGAAAGGTATAACTAAATGGCCTTGGCTGGGTATATCCTTCCGCCAGTTCCGAACAGCCTTCACCTCCAATCCTTTTTGCCTCATGGTGTGTTTTTCGCGTTCCACTCCTCGTACCGTCATATTGCAGGACTTTCATTTGCAGTAAACAGTCAAAATGTACTGGGTCTCTCCAGTGTATCATGCCTTCATACCGGAGGTTGTCAATCTTGAAGTCCGGCATCTAGCTATTGCATAAAGCTCAGGGGCATTGTAAGCCAAACTCTAGAGCCCAGAAGTCGGATGGCCAAGTTCTCCCTGTACCATGAATCTTGGGAGCTGGGCTGGCTTACTGGCCTCGGTTGGTTGTCAATCCCCAGATGGAGAGAAGCTATCTCTGCTGTTGGAGGGTTTATGATTTGATGTCTTTACGTCTAGTAGTGTGATAAGGAAGGTATAGGCATATCTTTACAACCGGGATAATAATATATTATTGTCAAAAATAAGGGAGAAGATCATTGGCAATTATGTCGATCCGGCACTCCCGGAGATCGCCTTATTTAACGATCTTCGAGCTAATATCAACGTCTCAACCAGAGCATGGGGAATGCCAGCCTTAATACGAGAGGACTGTGGGCGTTCAAACAGCACTCCACACAAAATATTCAATCCTCCTCAAGCAGGACGCTTTAAATGGATATGTTTCCAGCGGGTTATCGCACACGTGGTATCAATCGACAAAGCAAGAGGAGTCTTGATTATCTTTGGCAAATACGAGCTCGTGTGCTAGAACGGGTATAACTACTTGAATCCCAGTAGACCATCCCCAGGGGCATCTGATTAATTCCACCGACTCTTCAGTTTGGACATATAATGATTTTCTATTGCTTCTATATACCCGCAATATCGTCACAATGTTGCTCCGAGGGTAGCTTTGGGAAATACGAATTGGAGCTCAATAGTTAAGATAGCCCAGAGGCCAGAAAGCAGTCAAGCTGTTGGGTTGAAGGCATTGTTTGGCCAAGTAGTTCCAGATGATATAGAACGTGGCCAACGCCGTTGAAGTCGTGAATTTGTAATGATAGGGTTAAGTTCGTGTATAAAAGGTCTGACTTGATGTCACCATCCAGGCCGTAAAACCAGCAAGCAAATCTTCACATCCAGCCTCACAAACGATGATATCTCTCAGCCAAATATATCAGTTGTAAGCCCTTGACATGTACTCTTTCTCTGGGTATACAAGCAGGTTCCTAACACTATGCATATGTAGCGAACCTAGACGAAATGAAGGTTTCATCCTCCGTCGCTGCGGCTGCTGCCCTTGTCCTTGCATCTTCCGCCAACGCCTGGCGTTTGAATGCTTATCAGCTCCAGAACTCTCAGGGCCCAAAGTTCACTGCCGGCGGACCAGGCGCTTCTGGCAGCGCCTGCCACTGCGTTGGTGACCTTAACAACAAGATTTCATCCATCGAATGGTACTCTGATGACCCAACGCACCACACTCGCTGTTGCTTCGTCCCATTCAATGGCCTTGGCTGCACCGGTGACCTTGGTCAGAGCTGGTGCCGCAATATTCGTGTTAGCGACCTTGGCCAGATCGGTATGGACAACAAGATCAGCTCCTTCCGTACTGACTGTTATAAGCCAACCACCAAGCGGATGGAGGAATTCCAGTTCTGAGCCGACCATGATTCCTTTGACAACAAGCACATGGTGCGGTTGTTTGTTTATGTTGGGGGATATCCTAATCTGACAATGTATATAATAAACGAAGCCACCCCTGAGGTAACCATTAATATTATAAACTTGCCGTTGATGTTTTCTTCCGTTGTTGGCTTGTCGGTTTGGTTAGGATAAAGGTCCCTCTTTAGTATAACCTGAGACAATGAGAACTTGGGCAATCACGTTTCGCTATCAAGGAGCCGTTGAATTATGCCCTCAGCACGGGTATCACCTCCAGCGATTATAGTTTCGGTTATTTTGTCACGACCGTTATCGCCTATAATAATAACCCTTTCGACAAGCCCTCGATTGCAAACCTTGACTCTGCCAATGCGTCCATCTTGCCACTGGAAGCGTATATACCTAGCTTCAACTGATGCAGCGGTGACAGACAGTATTCCGAGTTTATATGCAGTTGTACTTGCGGGTATATCGGTAGAGTTTAGGTTAGAAATGCCCAGCTGTTCCTGTAGAACAGTTATGACATCTCGTCGAAGGTGCCATGCGACAAGCTCACGGCGCAGTCCCCGCACCAAACCTTTGAGATTCTGCTTCCTTTGCTTCCATGGCTTTAATCCTCCACCAGACCCATCTTCAGATGCCTGGTTCGGGAGATATTTTTGTTCCAGATGCTTCAGCGGTATGAAAACCGGTATGGTATGCCGATGTATTTGCAGTGATTTATGATCGCCTCCTGTGCGTCTGAGAAGTAGATAATACGGCTTCACAAAGGTCCCATCACGAACATTAACATCAATTCGAACACCAAGCAGATCAGGCGAGTCTGTATGAGGCGATGGGTCCTTGAACGGAAATGAAGTAGCCGAAAAGACGATGCGATGGTGGTTTGTTTCAGCGTGTCTCCCGGACTCGACAATGGCGGGGGGCATATCTGAATCAACCTGGCTCAAGAGATGCGACTCAAGACTGTTTCTAATCGTGCTACTGGATAGTAGACTGGCTGAAAGGACTTGTCTTCGCGCCGTGAGCTTTTGAACTATGTCACTGTTAGCTGGCTCAACAGGACGAATAAAACCGAGAATAGACCTACTTTCTTCACGCACGGCAGAAATCTCCTCATCCAATGCCACCGACTGATCCTCTTCCGCCATTGCCATCCTTCATCACCACCGTCTAGGTGTCTGTCATGGTCGACGCCGTCTGTTGTGCCTCGTCGTCGACGTTCAGTGGACGTCGGTGTAAACAACCGGCTTAGTCAGCAAATATCACGAATTCCAACCTTTATTTTTTTTTCTTGCAAAAGGACAGCTTGCACCTTGCAAGCGACCTCATAGGCGCCGGAGGGGGGATTCACTCAGGTACGGACTATCTTGGCTTATTCATGGTGACTAGACACTGCTCGTATCCTCATCTGTGGCTTAAAGACGTGCTGACACCTGTTCTCTAGGCCATATCCGGTGCTATATAGTCCGCCGTACCTCTTCTCTGCCTTCTATAGATCAAAACGAAACCATGTCTTGTCTCTTCTCCACATAAATTCTCCGGCATAACTAGTTAGCCTGATATAGCCTCACTGCATTCTCGTGCACATACATCCTGCCTCTCGTTTTACCCGGTTTCGAAACAGAGAAGACCCAAATGAAACGCAAAAACGGTACTGTGAGAAAACGAGCCAGTCGGCAGAGCCTCAACCTACACACGAACGGCCACGCCAACGCAGGCGGCAACATGGAGTCGCAGATAGAGATGCGGAAGAAGGGCGTCTCCCTCGAGTCGACGTCAACGCATACCTCTAGGGTGATAGACCGACCAGAGTTCTCCCTGGACGACTCTCCCCCGCCCACTCCACAATCTGCCGCGGCCTTGAGCACCAGCTTCAGCGATCTACCAGCGGCTGATAAACGAAATTTCCTCCTGCTATGCATGCTATACTTCCTCCAGGGCGTGCCCATGGGTTTGGCCATGGGGTCGGTACCTTTTCTCCTTAAACCGAACCTCTCCTACGGACAGATCGGCGTGTTTTCGCTCGCTTCATACCCATACTCGCTGAAGCTTCTATGGAGCCCCATAGTGGACGCAGTTTGGAGCCAGAGATTTGGACGACGGAAGAGTTGGATCATGCCTATTCAGACAATCTCTGGCTTGGCCATGGTGTATATTGGTAGCCATATTGCCAATATGATGACTGCAGCAGCTGATAAGGGAGGAGACGGCATATGGGGCTTCACCAAATGGTGGTTTTTCCTTGTCTTCCTCTGTGCAACGCAGGATATTGCCGTTGACGGCTGGGCCATCTCTCTCATCTCACCTCAGAACATTGCCTTTGCCTCTACCGCCCAGACAGTCGGCCTTACGGCCGGGCACTTCCTATCGTATACAGTGTTCTTGGCATTTAACTCGCCGCATTTTGCTAATACGTGGTTCCGCTCTACGCCGTCGGATGAAGGCCTAATCTCTCTAGGTGGTTACCTGAAATTCTGGGGTTGGGCATACCTTCTCGTGACCATTGGATTGGCTGTGCTCAAGAAGGAGGAAACTTCAAAGGATAGGGACGGCATTGTTGAGGTATACAAGAGCATGTGGAAGATCTTGAAACTCAGCAATATCCAGACCATCATCATCATACATCTGATCGCAAAAATTGGCTTCCAGGCAAACGAGGCCGTGACCAGCTTGAAACTTATTGATAAGGGTTTCGGTCAGGATAATATGGCTCTGGTTGTTCTTGTTGACTTCCCGTTTGAGCTTGCCCTCGGTTACTATGCTGGAAAATGGTCAACGGAATATACTCCCATGAGGCTGTGGTGCTGGTCATTTGTAGGCCGCCTTGTAGCTGCTCTCTTGGCCCAGGCTGTTGTCATGATTTATCCAAGCGCCCCCGGTGCTGCTGTCCCTGGATGGTACATGTTTGCAGTTATTGGCGAGCATCTGTTATCCACTTCGATGAACACTATCATGTTCGTTGCCTGCTCTGCATTCCATGCAAAGATATCCGACCCAACGATTGGCGGTACTTACATGACATTACTCGCAACGTACGTATGCCCTTCGAACACTAATTAAAACTGTTTGCTAACTTTTTTTTTCTAGCGTCTCGAATCTTGGAGGAACTTTCCCCAAATATTTTGTTCTTAAACTTGTCGACAGCCTCCACAGTGCAACCTGTGTTCCTCCATCCAAGACCCCGCGGGGAGTACAGTCTCCCATCACTACTTCTTTCTCCTGTTCTCTCGAAGCCGATAAGAACCGTTGCCTTTCTGGAGGCGGCGTTTGCCGAGTCGACCGTGACGGCTTTTACTATACGAATATATTATGCGTGGCCATTGGTGCCCTCACTTTCTGGTTCTTCATCCGAGGAGCCGTGATGAAACTCCAGAGACTCCCCCTGCGTGCATGGCGAGTCGCCCCAGAAGATACAGTTAGATGATGATGATGCTCATATCTATGTATGATAGAGTGTATGCACTTCTTTTTGGTCCTGGTTTCGGGTTATAAAAGAGATTGGTCTGACTACAGCTTGTTTAATCATTGCATTATGTATTATTAATATATATTACCTGCCCTGTAAATATTATAATAGAGGACCTTGACTCTTGTTGTGGTTAGTTCTCGTATCTCAACTCGGCTCGTATAAATAAGTCGTCGAATACAACTTGACAATGTGCAACTCCCTTTGATCCTGTAGAGACATTGAAGATATCTACCTCAAGAATGTCCATCCCAATACCAAACGGTCTTACTGGGGGATGTCTATGCAAGGAAATCCAATACACTATTGAGATACCAAAGGACATCTCCTGGCCTCCAGATGTATGTTCCTAGCAATACGTAATTATCTATATACTGACTCAACCAGCCTCACACTTGCTGGTGCACTCAATGCCGCAAAGCAGCCGGTTCTATCATCGCCCACTTGATCACCTTCGACCCATCCACGGTGAAATGGAACGGAACGCCCACCGAGTTCGAGTCCAGCGCTCAAGGACGCCGTGGATTCTGTCCTAAGTGTGGTACAAGCCTGTATTTCAGAGACATAGGGCTACCAGCCGAGATCGAGATATGTACTGGCTCACTCGATGAGGATATACTGGAGAATCCTCAGCTGGCAAAGGACCTTTGCGATCCTAGCTGTGGGCGTTTCTGGTGCAAGAGGGAGATCAAGAGCACCATCTACGAAAATTCAGCTGGTAAACGATGGCTGGAGGGAAGCAAGTCACGGCTCATGTATAATGGAGAGTAGATATTCCCGTCTCCAAAGACACTGTTAGCTGGAGAAATGGCCTGAATTGATAGCGAGCATTAATGTACGTAGTTACCCCGAAATTCCTTGCTAATAATAACCACTGAACACCTGCCCTGTCTCACCAATACTTGTTCATCTACGCACCAAATCGTAGTCATTTGATTTCCCCGGCCTAGTGATTTTATTCAGTATGAACAGCTTCATGACAGTTTATAGCTCCTGGCCAGTTATCATGGATCAATAATATCTTATCAGAACGGTATTGCTCTGCTTATAGACTGGTTTATATCAACCGGCGTCCCCTGGACCCTATATCAAACCGAAGTAACTATCAGCTTAGATAAGAGAGTTATCAATATCAGAGCCTCACTTCTTGCCCATCTCTGTGGCACAGCATCCGCAGAATAAAGCCGCGGGATAGCATACGATCTAGGTATGCATTAGACACTGATCTAATAAGTTGTATAGTCCTAGTTAACATACTGCTGCCAACACTGCGGCCCAGAAACCTAGGAATGGAGATAATGTCAGCTCTCAAATATCTAGACGCTTGTGTTCAATTGTTAGAGCTTCTCACCGAGTGTTCGGCCTACGATCTTGCATCGGCATGCATTGTCTGTTCCGCACTGAATGCACAGGAAGTACGGCTGTGGAAGGGGACACTGGCTACATACGTCCATCTTGGATGATTTATAGCTTGTAGTATATAAATGCCAGGTGAGAAATGCTTTATTAAGTTGTTGTTGTTTGGCATCTGGCAGATCTTCGTTGGCTACGATCACTTGTTATCATCGCTGATCAGTGTGATTATTATTCACTGCGAAATTGTCACCGCAAGCAGCCTTTTGCCACAGGAATAGGTCGGGTCGCACCCGTGGGCGAATATATGCCAAATAATGTATAAACAAGAAGTCTGCGTTAGTCGGTGCTGGCTGGGAGTCACATTATTGTAACATGAAAAGGGTCTAGGTAGTACATTAGTAGGAGCAAAGGGGGATGGATACCTGTTTCAAGCCAATGGGAGGAGATCGCCGTAGAAGAACAATGTACCTATAACGTGGAATAGTGTATAAAACATTCGAAATCAAAATGGTTCGGGGGGGACAGTTAAAGTATAAATACAGGCAGATTAATAGTAAATCAAACCGTAGGTGGAATGTCTTGTATAAGAATGAAAAGAAGTCAAGGAAATTCACCCAGTGCATCAGGTCCCAGTTCATAAAATCATCACTGTCTCTAATTTTGATAGCAGAGGATAATCCCGCTCAATCTCCCATTATATCATCTTCATCCGGAGAGGGTGAGGCTGCTTCTCGTTCTTCTTCGCCGTCACTAACAGCGGGTTGCTCTTCTTCGTCTTCAATTAGGCCGCGAGCTCGTAGGTTTTCTTCATCATCTTCATCTCCGACAATTGCATCTTCCTCCTCTTCGTCATCATCCTCGACCAGTTCGGTAGACTTGATTTTCCCGCCGCGAGTGTTTGGTGCAACCCCGTTAGCGGCAGTATCTTCCTGGCCTTCCGGTTCTTTGCCCTTGGTTGCAACTCGTCTTCGACTTGCGGGGCCATCCTTTTGGCTGTCTTCCAGATACGAGAGGACCTCCTTATAATTCTGACCTAAACGCGATTTGTTTCTGAGTAGCTTACGCCGCAGTTTTCCAGCCTGAGGGCCAGACACGTCTAACACCCGACCAATGATAGCGAGAACGATCTTTCCAGTGAGCTCACAGAGTCTCTGCTCAGCAAGCAGAATGGAACGTTTAGCCTCTTCCTCATTCTCGTCTGCATCACTCGCATCGCCTTCCTCGTCATCTGAGTTGAGATCCATTTCACTTTCACTCTCCGCCGGCTCCGCATCTACCGCCACATCAAGCTTTCGTTTTGATTTTTTGGCAAACGTCTGCTCGGCGCTGTCGTGAAGTCGGGATAGAACATTGCGGATCTCTGGGTTGATCTCCTGAGGAAGTTCTTGAACTTGGAATTCCAGGTCATCTTTTGTCATAGAGGTGAAATTCTTCCCAGGAGGCGCTGCATGTCGAAGTGTGCCAAACGCTGTCTGTAAGTCAAGCAGTGTTGTTGTAGCGGCAAGCTTGACATGTTTTATACCCGAGCCATGTGGTTGCATAAGGGCAGAGAGCGTTGCGATAAAGGACTCGCGTCTCTGAGAAAGAGACTCGAAGTATTCAGCATTATAAGCACCCTTGTTGCTACCAGTGGTAACAGCTGCCGTCAGGTTTTGGATCTTCCACATGAAGTAGACCAACAGCGTCTTGAAAGTATGCAGAGCAATATCTTGCTCAAATTTGTTCACATCATCGTCGTCCTCTTCACGAAGACTTCGTTTGGCCAGAGAGAGAAGTAAGTCAATAGGAGCTTCAGCACGTTTATTTTGTTTCTTTGAGGCTGTTCGAGGTACCGTTTCCAGGATCAAGGTGCAATCTGATATGCTAGCAAGGTTCGAAATGCGCATCACAGTGCTAGAGAGAGTGGCAATAGCACCTTTTGGCAGCTTCGCGCTTTCAGGTTCCTTTTTATTTTCCAGTATATTATTCAAAGAATCAACGGTATCATCCCAGAGTTCCTGGATCTTGCTTTCCATAGCCTCCTTCAGCTCGTCTGATGATCGAGCACGTAGGAAAGCTACTGTAGCCTCGGCTAGGACCGCTTGATTAGAATGCGTCAAGAATTGTTGATTGATATTGTTCAAAAGATCAGAGTAGGCGGCTGCATCCTTTTGTATTTCCTGTATGAGATCGAGGTTGACAAGGTGTTCTAATCGAAGAACTGGGGATGCAGCTTCTGGTACAGCACCGAATTTATTCAAGAGCCGGGGTATTATCTGGGACAAGTTGTGTGCGATAGACTCGAGTCGTTCTTCCATCACCTGAACCGACTGTTTTGTCTTCCTCCCTTTTTTGTCTACATCCGACTTTGAGACTACCTGAATATGCAATTTGACAGCACACTCGAGTACCTCGAGCAGAATAGTTTCCTGTCCTTCGTTCAGTTTATATAGGCATTTGATGGCAGCTGTTGTGTCATTGTCATCTGTGGGTTCAGAGATCTGCGAATGATCATAAAGGAGGTATCCAGCCAACGATTCCCAGTGTTCAAACTCCTTGAAATGAGGGTAGATTGATTCGGTGGCTAAGACGAACCTCGAGCCGATCGAATTGCCAAACGGAGCGTATCGAGAAGTCGACTGATCATTTTCATCGTGCAGTTCAGATTCTTGCGCGTCGTAAACCTGCAACATATCCACAAGGCACTTGAACTTGATCCAGGAGCGGTTCGGGGTATCATGATTTTCCTCGTCTTCTTCACCAAAGAATTCATTGACCTCTTCCTCCATACTCTCAGTTGACGATTCGTAGACATCAATAATATTCGCAACAAAGAACTTTCCAGCAGCTTTGCGCACTCGGGGTTCAATGTCAAATACAAGCCTGCCTATGCTGTCGATATCGTCAGGTTCTAAAAGGCTAGCATCACGGATAACGTCCAGTAGCTCTACCGTAGCAGCGCGGACTCCAGGCTCTGCATCCCTCACAGCCATTTCCACTATTCTAGGCCGGAAACGCTCAGTGAAGCCTCGCAAGCCAGGAATGTTATCTTTATTCTGGAACAATTTATGCAACTGGTGTACAACAACCGACCTGGTGGCTGCTACCGTATCCGAGAGTACCCATCCGAGATATCGAAGATACTGGCCGTCAAAAAACATGTCCTTGTACAGACTGATCCAGAGGCCCAGGAGACCCATGCACTCTTGTCTGATTTTAGGATCGACGTCTCTGTACCGGTGAACAAAGACTGCATCAAAAGAGTCGCGAAGCATGTCATCAATTGCTTCCAGTCTCTTCTGTCCTTCCTTGATCTTGGTCTGTAGCGCACTGATTCTTCCCTTGTTCGCGGATTTCTTTTTCCGCTCGGTCTCGAGTTGAGTCCGTGAATTAGACACGCTAGAGGATACCTCTTTAGCAATATGGCAGAGCGTAGTCATGATGGTAAGGGAGATAATCGTGGCGGTATGTCTGAACGGTCTGATAGGGGCAGATGACATTGAACTGATCCACGCCTGGATGTTTTCGAAGAGGGCCGGGTCACTGTAAAGGATAGAAGCGCTGTGAATGGTTCGAATAAGGTCATCAAAAAAGCTAGTCAAGACGGACTGGAAGGACTTGAAGTTCTTTGCTTTCGATACAAGTGGATAGTCGGTTATATCTTGTGCCTGATACTCTTCCTGGATGTCTGTGAGGCGGTTGGAAACGTTGTCCACATCCTCAATATCAGTGCTTTCAACTTTAATATCGGTTCCGGAGCATCTCAGGACAAAATTGATCAGGTCTCGCATTGCATTAATATTGTGCTCTTCGTATTTCGTAAGCCATTCCGCCGCAACAGCTTCAGTAGTATGACCGCGTCCAAACACCTCCGCTATATTCGCGTTAGCAATACCACCGGAGAGAAAAAAAAAATAATGATAGCAAATAAGGCGTACGCACCGTATAAACCTTCCTCGTCACCGAGCTCACTTTGTCTCATTCGAGGCTTCTTCTTCCTACTTGGCGGCTTCGGTTTCTGTCCATTCGTGATAGGACGCAAGGCGAGCTCGGTTGATATCCCGTTCATGATCTTTTGCTTCTTAGCGGCCGGCTTCGCCTTTGACTTCTTGTTCTGCTGTTTCCTGCTAGACGAGTCACTTTTCTTCGTCTGTCTGCGTGCCCTTAGTTCTTCATCATCGGCCTCTCCTTCACTTTCTTCACTTTCATCATCCTGTTCATCTTCATCGACTTCGTCCTCTTGTTGCGCCTGGTCCGATTCATCGTTTGACGCGTCGTCTTCGTTATCGTGACCCTCAGACTGTCGTTTCCGCTTTGGACGGCTCGAATTGAATGTCTGTGAAGAGAATATCTCTGGTTTCCGCCTAACGCGCCCTGACTGTCGTCTGGACGGTCCCTGGTCTTCCTGAGGTGCGGCCTCGCTGCCCACCTCAGAGAGCGGACTCGAGCCACGATCCTCAGGTGCCTCCATCGTATATAGTAACGCGATCGATATTCAGGCTCTTCTGCGGCGGTACCTTGCTATTCTCGGTGGTGAAATGGTTGTTCTAGCAAGGCTTCCTGGTCAACTTAATGTAATGTAGCTCACTTCAAGAGACGCGCTATATAGATGTTTTGCCTTTTGCTTTCCACGCAAAAACGGGCCGGTGAGGAAGGGAAACAGTGCGAGCTACTCAAGGAGATGCGACTGAGCAGGCCGGGGGAGATCTGAGATATCGGTTCGCTCCGTTCCTCGAGATTCATCGAAGCTGAAGTCGTCTCGACGTTGTTTTTTGGATAAACTTGAACGCGCGAAAGAATAGAAAAAGTTAGGCTGCAATCTCTATTACTGTATGGTATGCGTTATTACATACAGATATTGTCATCTTCCACACGATAAGCCAGGATAAGATGTACCGTATGTAATATTACAAGGTACGGTAATAATTGCTTATCTTTCCCGTTTTCCCCCGCAAAAAGCGATTTTGATAATCTTCAACTTCTTCATCTCCGGCTTTTTCATCTTCCACGACGGCTTCAAGTCTTCGGTTCTTCTCATCATCACTCACTGCTGGTTCGCTTCTTCAAGGATCGCTATTCTCTTTGGAGACCGCTTGATCGTGCGCTTTGATAGCTCCTTGGAACTACCTGGCGGCTGTCAATCGATGAGGAGGCCCCTGACCTAGACACGGCGCAATGCCGATTCTCAACTCCCCCTTTGCGCCGTCGGCCTTTGCCAACAGCTCTGGCCGCGGCGAGGTCGTTCTCACAGTCCTTCCACCGGCTATACCGTCTCTATCGACCGTTTCTTACAATTATCCTCTTAAGCTCCTCTCGCGCACCCCCGAGGGTGAATTAAAGTCCAGGTACCCGGCCACCGCCACACCCCCTTTACACCTCTATCTTCTTACATATGGCGGCGGTCTTCTTCCGGGAGACCACATTGATGTCTCTGTGACAGTAAAGCCGAGGGGAAGGCTTGTGGTCACCACTCCACAGGGGAGCACGAAGATATACAAGACCGAGGCCCAGGGTGGCAGGAAAAGACCCATCCCCAAGACCGATAATGACCGGAGCAAACAGACCCTCAAAGTCCAATTGGGCCGTGAGTCTGGGTTGTGCTTGCTGCCTGACCCATCTGCGCCATTTGCAGATAGTCGGTATGACCAATTCCAGACATTCACTCTGCTCCATGGGGACCACAGCAAGGCTGCAGGCAGCTCACAGGGCGACCAAGGTGTCACTAAACCGGCTCACAAAGGCAGCCTCTGTGTCCTCGACTGGGTCACGGAAGGGCGTAGTGCCAGAGGAGAGAATTGGTCTTTTGATTCATGGACTGGGAGAAATGAAATCTGGCTTGAGGACTGCAAGACCGGGAAGAAGAGGTTGCTGCTCCGAGATGCGGTGATCTTGAACAACGAGACAGCCGCACAGAAGCAGCTAGATGCCAGCGACCCTGACATCTCTGCAGAAAGCTATATGTCTTCTACCCAGTCACAGACTTCAGTCCGCTCTCGCGCTCATCCTCATGGCGTCCTGGGGACGCTGATCATCCACGGACCTCTGTTCGAGTCCCTTGCTGACTTCTTCATGGAAGCCTTTATTTCACAACCCAGGATCGGTGGTCAGAATTGGTCGTCGAGCTCCACGTACTATCCCACGCACACAAACGAGCATGTCAATAACAACCAGAAATATGATGATCACAACGACACGACGGAACCGGCAGAGATGCGCCACGGAAATGTAACATGGACGGCTGCTCGAGTACGCAATGGGTTTGTCCTCGTGAAGTTTGGTGCTCCAGACTTTGAGAATGCCCGAGATTGGCTGAGCCATATGCTCAGGGCGGAAGGGAGCATTCAGCGTGAGTTCGGCGAAGAGGCCCTCGGCTCCTTGTAGAATAGACCTGTAGACTTTTTGTGTATATACTTACGGAGGTCTCCACCATAAGTCTTCAACACCCCCCTTGTATTTTTGGCTGTAATTGCTGTACAAGTGTCTTAGGTTCAACAGATTATTGACCAATTATACTAGAGACTATTAGCGACTGGTGGAAAAAGGGGCCAGTGATATAAAATATTGAGGCACCTAGAGACAAAGCAGGATTAGCTGGTTTGTAAAGCCACTGTATATAAAACACTAGTATTTTAGGGGGGTGTTGAAGACTTATGGTGGAGACCTCCGTACTGCATGTTTCCTTGTTTCCTCTATGTTCTATTATTGGCATATCCCTTGACAGGTATTTCTTTTCCTGTAAGGTTGCTGATATCGATGGGCAAATTCCGATGACGAGGCTATCTCATTTAACAGATCTTCCAATCTGCACCAAGAACCAGGTAGTTGCATGCAGTCCTCAGCTGCCAAAGCACGGCAGATTTTTGGTTGAGGTCCTGAGTAGTTGCTGATCGTCCACACATGCTGCTATTCTTTGCTTCATTGTCGCTGTTAGCCTCAAGTGAACTCGAGATGATTGACAGTCCAGCCTCCATAAAAACGAAGGGTGCAACCAATCAACCAAGCCTGACTTCGGGGCTACTACATCGTACCTTAATATAAGGGAGTAAAAGGGTAGCAGTCTTGTGCAAGGAACGTTTCATTGCAGTTCAAATTAAGTTGATCCAAGCTAGTCCCAGAATGTTTCTATTATTAGTGAATAATCACTCTGTTATACGAGCCTCAGGGGCAACGTGGATAGGGGACTGGCAGGACCAAACCGCAGATCGTCCATATCCCCGCTGCGTTACACGGCAAAGGGGCCGTAGGGCTCTTGGTGATCGTCGATGGGGACGGCGGGACTCAAGGACACGAGAGGCTGTGCTTCACGAAATGTGGCTACCTCTCCATCTCCTGTCACCGAAAATACGGATTAAGCCAACCTATGCACCAGGCTGAAATCACGCATCACCAGTCGCGATGCTTGAAGAGGTAGCAATGGACTCCCTGCTGCGGGAACAGTGGTCCAAGGGAGAGATGATCAAGAGAGTAAGCTCGTATACTCTGACTTGAGAGGAAAGAAGCCGGAGAGAAGAGGTCTATATAAACCTCGACAGAACCCGTCCATGAAGATATCCAAACAAGCAAGACAACAAGACGACAACAACAACCATCCCAAACTCCAAGCTTCAATCCATCTTTCAAACCAACCCACTCATCAATCAGAATGCGTTCCACAATCTTCATCTCTGCCATCTCCTTCCTCCCAGCCGCTCTTGCAGCTCCAATGCAGATCTCCACCAGAGGTTGTGTTGGCCCAGACGTTAATCCTGCTACTATCGCTCTCATCAAGGAGTTCGAGGGCTTCGTCCCAGCACCTGCTCCTGACCCAGTTGGTCTCCCAACCGTCGGCTACGGCCATCTCTGCCAGAGCAAGAACTGCGGAGAAGTTGGCTTCCCATTCCCTCTCACTGAGGATACTGCCACCCAGCTCCTCATCCAGGACGTCAAGGTACGCATACCCTTCCATGGCCTTTTAGGTGGACGTATAAAGTTGTTAACGAGTGATATAATACTATAGGCCCCCCAGCAGACCATCACCTTGAAGACTGCTGATGGTGTCCACCTCAACGAGAACCAGTATGGTGCTCTCGTCTCTTGGACCTTCAACGTCGGCCCAGGAAACGTTGCCACTTCCAGCCTCCTTCAGCGTCTCAATGCTCTCGAGGACGTCAACACCGTCCTCCGCGAGGAGCTCCCCCAATGGAAGTACGGAGGCGGAAAGGTTCTTCCTGGCCTCGTCCGCCGCCGTGCTGCCGAGGTTGCCCTTGGCGAGACCGCCTCCGACGTCCCTGCTTTGCCAGTTGCCTGCTAAACGCTTTTCAAGCGAGAGATGGTACAAGGCTTGACGCCTCGTGAACCAGCCTTGTCTAATTAATCTTCTTGTTTCATATTGCTCTTTTTTATCTTCCCATATTCCAGTCAATAGATCCCTTATTAGTTATTTCGGCATTGAAATATTTTGTACATAAGATAATCGATATCTCTATGTCTTTTGCTTGTCATCACGCGTATCTCAAAGCATTCTCGATAAGGAGGAATGCAAGTTGTGTTGGGTATATTTCTGATGGCATGATTAAGCTCCAAATTCTCTGTATGCATCTATCTTATGCAATAGTGTCATCTCTTCGGGTTCCATGGACATCTTGAGCGTATCAATGTCGTTGTCTTCAACTGAGGTTGATTGAAAGTCCGAAGATCGAAAAACGTCAACAAAAAGGAAAAGTCTTGGCATCAGCCCCAAAACTCTAAAAACTACAAACCTTCAAAGGCCGAAAAGTTGAATTGATAAAAATAAGAAATAACAACGACCACATTTGAATACACTGAGATTTCAGTATGCCTCACAAACACAAGAGACGAGGGAACAGAGAGTGAGTAAAGGCTTATTCTGGTTTTACTGCTCATCTTTGCGTATATATCTTCGAATACTCACAGGTTAATAGTGACGATTACGATCTCCCCCCAACCTCGATCGCAAAATCCCTCCCTACTAGACTTGAAAAAGCCGATGTAAAATCCAAAGGTGGACAAGACACAAAGAAAGGGCCCAAGCAGAAGCGGTCTACTACCAAATCGCTACAAGATGACACCCCCAAGGCCTTCGCTCGGCTCATGCGAGTCTATCAGGAATCAAACGGCAAGCGGAAACAAGGAGACCGAGACGCGGAATTAGACTCGGGTGAACAGAACAGTCGCAAAAGGAAACGCCAAAATGACACAAATCAGCAGAACGCGCAAAACAAGAATAGCAAGTCGAAGGCTGCAGCGGACGCAAAGGACGCTAATATTCCCAAGATTCTACCAGGCGAAAGGATATCTGAGTTTGCTGCCCGAGTCGATCGTGCGCTTCCATTTTCTGAATTAGCCAAACGAGCATCGCTATCAAAGGGAGGCAAGGACGCTGTGTTGGGCAAAATAAGGGATACTCGACAAACAAAGCATGAGAAGAGATTGTTACGGCTACAAAGCCAATGGCGCGAAGAAGATCGAAAGTTCCGAGAGAAACGTCAGGCTGAAATTGAGGAAGCTGAAGGAGAGGAGGAGGAGATTAATGACTTATGGAAGGAATGGGAGCGTGAAGCCGGAGCTGGCGTTAAGGGAAAAAGCAAGAAAACCAGCTTAGCACAGAAAAAGAAGAAGAAAAAGAAGAAGGGAATTGATGATGGCGTTGGTGACGACCACGCCATAAGTAGCGATGACGACGACGATCCATGGGCAAAATTGAATAAGAGAGCAAATGTTACGAAGCCAATCAATCCGGCGGACGTTGTTCAAGCTCCTCCAGAGAAGCTAGCAAAACCCAGAGAAATATTTAAAGTGCGCGGAATGGGAGGTGCAAAGGTCCATGTTGCTGATGTCCCTGCTGCTGCTGGTAGTTTGAGACGAAGAGAAGAGCTAGCCAGCGAGAGACAAAGCATCGTGGAGCAGTATAGAAAGCTTATGGCTAGCAAGAGAGAGTAAAATGCTCTTGGTTTTGATTGCTAAACCGGAATATATATTCAAAGATATCCATATCATGACATTTCAGGTATCATATTCTAAACTTTTTTGTAAATACACAAGACACCAGCGAGGACCTAGAAGGGAAACGCTTGACAGTATAAACAAAACATAAAACGAGAAGCTTTAATCTATAAAAGCCTCTTTCAAGCATCTCCTTTGATAGACCTGACATAATCTGCGGCACGAGCTTTGACTTCGTCCACCATCTTTGTATCTCCTTCAGGTGCAATCTTCTCTTCAAACGCAAGCCATTTCTTGAAAAGGAATTTGGCTTGCTTTTCTTTTAGTTTCTTTTTGGGACCTCCTTTGGTTCCATCGGCTGCGACAACACCATGGCCGATTCCAAGCACGCGCTCAAAGAGCCGTCTCACCTGCTCTTCGTCACCAACTTTGATCTCCAAATCCAACAACACGTTCCACAAATCAATACGCTTGGGGAACGAGGACAAGAGGCCCTCAAATACTGTTCTTCCACGCTCGATATCTCCGTTAGGGGAGCGGAATTCCAATTGACCAAATCTGGAAGTAACTTCAACATGGGTATGGGGAGGTAGAGATTGCAATGCACGAGGAAGTAGGTCACGGCCGCGCTGAGGAGCTTCCATGGTATCAAACAGGAAATTGGCATAGTTTAAGAAGAAATCTGGGGTGGAAGAGACCTTTTTCTTCAGGGCAGTTTGGAAAAGCTCATCCGCTTTCTATATATTTATTAGCATTGATAATGGCTGGGTGAATGGTGCATATATGCTTACCTCTGTTTTGCCCGATTGGATGAATATGCTTGTCATCCTGTCATATATTTCATGAGCATCGTTATACTCGCAGGCGCTCTTGAAGACCTCGTCAAGAGTGTCATCATTGCCAAAGGTATTTTCCAGATTAAGTCGTGCAATCCAGATATTGAGCTTCTCTGTATCTTGTCCGATACTCATTGTTCGCAAAGCACGATCGGCAATTTCTCTTGCCTTGTCCACTTCGCCGAGCTCCAACTGGAAAGCCATGTACTTCAACCACAGCAAACTAGAATCCGGTTCTCCAAGAAGTAACCGCTCATAGTCAGCAACAGACTGGGGTCCATTAGCATCCAGGTCGCCAGTTCTGTCAATTTGAATCTCTGCCTTCCGGCGCTTTTTCCTCTTGGTCGCGCCGTCATCCTCAGCAGACTCATCGGCGGCCTCATATTTGTCTTTATCTCCATCACCAGTCCAGTCAAAGCCAGAGGTAACAAGGCCGCCCTTTTTAATGCTATCAGAAGCGTTTTCCATTTCAGTATCTTCATCACTATCCTCCTCTTCCTCTTCCTCTTCGTCGTCTTCTCCTTCAAGGTCAACACCTCCCATGGATACATCGTCGTCCGAATCGACTCCAGCATCAAGCTTGATACCGCCTGCTTCATCATCACTAGCATTGGCTTCGCTCTCATCCTCATCCGGGAGATCCCTGAAGTATGATGCTTTCAAGCCTAACGCGATTTGGCCTTTCTCCAGATCAACTTTCAATACCTTTGCCTTGACGATGTCATCCTTTTCGTACAGCTGGGTAGCATCTTCAACCCGCTTCTCCGCCATCTCGGACCTGTGACACAGCCCACTTAGGTTGGCACTGCCGTCGATGGCAATGAAAGCACCATACTCCTCGACCTTCCGAACCTTACCGGTAACAATTTGACCGACTTTTAAGTCTTTTAGGGTGAATGGAGGTTTATAGTTGGGGTCCAAGGCTGATTTCTTCAGTGTCATCTGTATCTTGTTGTTGTCCTTGTCCACCACCGTAAGTCTACCTTGAACAAGCTGGTCAACCTGGAACTCATCCTTCCACTCCTTCAAAAACGAATCCGAAAGATCTGAAACTCGGATATAGGCGGTCACATCATGTCCTAGAGTCACGAAGACTCCAATATTGTCAACTCTTCGAATAAACCCACGGACGATCTGGCCGATTTTGAGGTTATCGATTGAAGTTATCTCAGGATCGACGACGGGCAACGAGGAACTAAGAACCTTTGATGGTCGAACGGAGAAAGAAATCTTCTTGTTGGGAATATCGACGTCGACAACACAGACACGCAGAGCTTCGTTCTTATGGAAGTTGGTTGGGTTGACTTTGGTATAATCATCGGCCATATCGATAAGAGAAATAGCACCGACAACATTGTCATTAATTTGGACCAACACTTGGCGATCAGTTATTTTGGTAACTCTTCCCACCAGGATCATCCCCTTGGATAGGTCCGCAACGGTTAGTGTCTTAGCTGAACTTCCGATTCTAGCTGACAAGTCAAGTCGATTTTTTTCAGCGTCTATCCCGGTTACAGCCACTTGCAGGGCCGAGCCGATAGGGAAATTTTTCTGAATATTTCCTCTGATTGAAATATCGTCGGAAATGTCGGTGATGCGAAGCCGCCCTCGTACATTTGGTGAAATGTTCAACCATAGACAGTCCTCCGCAATATTGTTCACGAATCCGATATACTGGTCCCCAGCCTTAAGTTGTTCAAGATGAAGAGGTTTGAACTCACCCGCCTGAAGGCAACTGCGCTTAGTAGAGAGCTCGTAAACCGATACTTTACCAGACCGATGGCTGATGGGCAAAAATTTGTGATTTCTAGCGTCATGGATTCCAAGAACCCTGACTGGAAGAATTTCCTTGGAGTGAAATGATTTAAGAGGGCGTTTTCGGTCCTTGATGTCTTCCCAGGAGTCGAATATTTCAGAAATATCGATTCTTCCTTGAACGTTGTCGGCTAGAACAACATTGAGCTGTGTATCCTTGACCGATGTGATTTTGGCTTTGGTGATTCTTCCAACTACAATATCCTCCATAGCCTTCAATTCTTCATCAACGGGATTATTCAAGACCACAGCAGGAGCCTTTTTTTCTGATGCTGAGTTGGAGTCAGACTGCTGTTTGGGCTTTGACACAGGTCTTAAACTAAGAAGGAAACGGTCCGAATCCTCTTGTACGGCGCAGACTGTAGCGGAGATTACCTGGAATCGACTGTATCCGAAATCAGGTCGAGAAGCATGATCATCATCAACCAAGCGCTTTGGTATCAGGCCGGTGAGGTTATCCAAAAATTCCACAAATATTCCCTCGGGGATGATATTCTTGACGATGCCCGTTACTTTCAAACCGTGTTTGATGTCTTCAAAATTGGCTGGTAGCCTTCCCTCAGCGGCAGCTTCCTTGAGGGTTGCCTTGTTGGTAACTTCGATGAGGCGATGGGACTTCTTCACTCTGTAAACTAAAAGACCGTCCATCTTCTGACCAACTCTGATACGGTTCAGAGTGGACGTACGTTTTGCTGAGGAGCCGTCGGAGATATGGTCAGAAGTAATTCTTGCGATCAGACCGGAGTCCTGTAATTTGATAAGCAAGTCATCGCTTGACTTTTCAAAAACGGTTCCAGAAACTACAAGTCCTGGATGAACCTTTTCAAAAGCGGATTGGTAGTCTGCAGTCACAGTAGAGGGATCCTTGCAAGAGACAATCAATCTTTCATTCTCTGCGTCAACAGTAAGAGCATGTACATTAACGACCTGACCAACAGTAAAATGTTGTGAAGGGTCTTTAATGTAGGCTTCGCTCATCTCGGAGACTGGTAGGAAGCCCTTCACGGCGCCATAGAACTGCACAATCGCGCCATTATTCTGAATTTTGATCAGGGTTCCTGGGGATCGGTTGCCTGCCGAGATGCTTTCGTAATCCTTCCAGGGAGCTGAATCACTGTTCAGAAGTGATTTTTTCAGGGTCAACCTGAGCTGACGCTTTTGTAGATCGACGGACAAAACTCGAACGGAGACTTTGAGACCCTCCCGGAATTTCTTCTCCGGGTGTTGTAGTTTGGTGTCAGCCATATGCATTTCCGGTACAAGGCCAGAAATGCTATCTGTCAAAGAGACTATCAACCCATTGATACCTTCCGGCTTAATGAGAAGTTTCTCAATCTTTCCCTTCACAACGCTACCAACGGTCACATCTTCGAGACGGAAGAAAGGCTGTTCGATGATCTTTGGCTCCAAGGATACCAAGAACAAGTTGTCCATAGCACTGAAGCCAATTATCCTGCCCTCGTGAGTTGAGCCTACTTTATAGGGTCCTTCGATAGACGAAATAGAATCGACTCGTCCATCTGCAATCCTGGAAAGATGTACGAACCCTTGGTGTTTGGTAGAGCCTAGTTGAACGTACAATCCCAGAGAGCTATCAACATAGGTAACCTTAACCTCGGGTATGATATCTGAGATTGATGGCAAATCATCACCGGCTCCATTCACAAGGGTGGCCGTGGGAGAGAACTTCAGAACACTGTCAAGAATGGAGAAACCAAGTTTGACTGGATCACTGGAGGGATATGTAGTAATGAGTCGGCCCTTGATTTTCGCACCTGCATGGTACTTTGTAGTCAGGTCCTTTTTCCCGTCGCTAGCTCCAGAGTGAATAACGTCTACCACAGCATCCAGCATTCCCATAATTTTTCCAATCATACCACGAGGAGTCACTTCAGTAATTAGTATCTCAGCGGCAGTTCCTGGCAGAAATGCATTGATTGTTGGCGCCGTGTTTAGGAAGTGGGCCTTTTTGACAGAACCAGGAGAAGCGAGGTCTGCAGAGAGCTTGATGACAGTTCCACTGGCGTTTTGGCCGGTAACAATGCATAGGAAAACTGAACCCTCTTTGACAGTAGATATGTCAACTCCCGCAGGTAGCTCTCGAGAGGAAATGAATCCTTTAGCTTCATTCTCTTCCAGGCCCAGATCCATAACAAGGCCATGATCTTCGACACTAATAACCGACGCTTGGACTGTAGCATTGACCACCATATCAGCCTTTGTTAGGCCCGAATTTGCAGCATGAGGTTCAATAGATAGTTCAATATGTTTCTTGTTTTTCACTTTCCTATCATCCTCATTTCGGATAGTGGCGGTGACAGCTGCGCGCAAATATTGTCCAACTTTGACATAGCTTTTCAGATCGAGGTCATCATCATCCTCATCCTCCTCGTCTTCACTCTTGTCATCTCCTAACATAGCCTCAACTTTTCTGGTCAAAGATTTAGATATTGCGTTTAGCGGCACGAAACCCGTCAGGTTATTTGGAAGAGCTAGTGAGATATCGTGGAGGCCTATGCTCGAGACCTGGCCCAGAATTCTGGATCCTACCGCAATACGCTATTATCAATTAGCTGATGGTCAGACTTGACAACAGTAGTAACATCACTTCTTACCTTGTAAGTGAGGGATTCAACCTTCACTCCTTGTTTAGCTGCTGCTGGCGCTTCCTTGGTCTTCGATGCCTTTGCTTTTCTTTTCTTCGATTTAGTACTGGCATCCTTCTTATCTTCTGCCGCACCCAAGCTTCCTTCGTCCTCACTATTCGCAAATTCCGCACCATTCTTCCCCTTTTGCTCGAATAAGACGTCCTTGGTAGCTTGAATCTGTATCTGCTTCCGCTCAAGAGGGGTGAGCACGTTGTTACCACCTCGAGGAAAGGCAGGCTGTTCATCTCGCAGCATTGATATCGGCGCAGCTTTCGAAACGGTGTTTGTATCCTTCTTGCTCGCTTTCACGGTCTCCTTCTGTTCCTTCTGCTCCTTTGGCTCCTTTGATTTCTTCTTCAGCTTTGAAGCGCCATTGAGCTCTTCAGCGTCCACCTTGGCCTTTTTCTTCGGCGCAGAGCTGCTTGACTCATCCTGACCGTGGCCTTTCCTCTTTATTTGCGCCATCATAGCGCTGTATTGACGAATTGCTGGCCAAAGAGCTCCCGTCTTTAATCCAGATCGTCAACAATCATTTTTTTTATTCTTTAATTTTTATTTATTTTTTTTTTTTTTTTCCTATCGAAAAGCAAAAAGAAAAATATAAACTTTGAGATTTTCAATATTACATAAGCCGCTTTTCTGCCGCGCCAAGAAGTCGCCTCACCGCCTGCCCTTTTCAGGCACACTTACGCTAGTCCCCTTTCGGCCTAAGCCGAGGCTAAAAAATAAAGGAAAAAGCACGGGCCAACTGCGCGTCACGTAAAAAAAGTGCGTTTTGCCAAGACTTTTACCTCTTGCGGGTCTAAATAAGGAAATATTGTTTTTTTTTCGTGACTCGCGCGCGACGTGAAAGCCGCAGCAAGAAAGCGAACATCGCATCTTTTTTTTCTTTCGTCGGTGGCGGGAAGACGCTGGCTGGCAACGTCGAGGACATTCATTCACCGGCACGATTTTTGTATTTTATTGATCCTACCTACTAGATGAATTGAGAGTGGTTATTCACAAAGGGACAAAGGGGACTCGGTTCGCTCTCGTCCATCCGCCGTGTCAATATTTATATTGAACAATACAGCAGCAGCCATGGTTGATGTCCACGAAGACGATGACGTCCCATCATCTCCTCCTTCGCTCAATGCGACTGAGGACACGCTGCCCTCCTCTCCTCCTCCTATGAAGCCGAAGAAGAAGCCTCCAGTCACTCCTCGGTCGTTTCGGCGCTTCTTCACCCCCAGATCTTCTCTCAACGCTCCCAATACCCGGAGCCGGTCCATACGAAACGCCCTGCAGGAGATCACGTCCTCTCCGGCCTTGAACCGGCTGGGACCGGCGTTTCCTGGTGTTCCTGATAGTAGTGACTGCGCAATCACCAGTTCTTCACCGTGCCAGGACCCGTTCCGTACACCTAGCAAAAAGAGAAGGCTGTCCTTCTGCGGACTGAGCTCACCTCCTCTCCAATCATCCCCGCTGAGACGAGTGCGGATTGCAGCACCAATATTTGATGATGCATCATCACCGAAAAGAGGCAATATCTTTGCCCCGGCTGATGAGGTTGCTGAGCCAGAAGCCGAGGAGCCGGTTGAGACGCTTCAGATGCCGCCTCCGTTGCGTCGATCTAAAGTTCTTGCCCAACCATCATCAAGTTTACATGTACGCAGCTTTGGTCTGTCCAGACGCTCCAGGACGACTATACGAGCTTCAAGTGGCACCAGTACGTTCTGACTAGACTATGATGGTATGCATGCTTTAGTGGAGTATCAAAACTGACTCTTTATAGACTGGCAGGACGAGACGGCAAGTTTCTATAGCAAGTCAGAAGATAGTCATGCTTGCTGGAAAGGGGAGTATCCCGTAACACCATATTGTACCGCCTCGTGCAACAGTAAGTATTCTTTCTATACCCCTGAACCATAAATGTATAAAGTTAAAAACTAACAATATAAAGCCAATTCCTTGGTTGCTGTTGGGGATGAAGCTGGTGGTATCAGACTACTGGATACCTCGCCCGATGTTGAGAACGGGTTTTCTAGCGCGTATTTATCATTCCCGTCGATGCATAAGAACTCCATAATGGATCTTGAATTCTCCAGCGATGATAAACTGTTAGCCACAGCATCCGGAGATCAAACCTCCCACATTATTGATATGACTACCCAAACCCCTATCTACTCTCTATCCAAGCATACTTGCTCCGTCAAACGGGTGCAGTTCCAGCCTGGAAGCAACAACAACGTAGTTGCAACGTGCAGCCGAGATGGCAGCGTCAATATATGGGACCTAAGGTACAAGGCCTATGACAAGCCAGCTTTCCGGTTGCAATGCTCTCTTGGTGACGATGATGATGACACTCTCAGACCACCGGCTAAGATGAAGTATGCTCAAACGTCCAAGACCATTACAGGTGCACATCTGGAGAGAGCTCGTACCAAGTCCGAACAGGAATCCCAGCTACGTCGTGATGACACAACCGTCACCTCGGTTTCCTTCCTGAACCCAGGCCGTGAACATTTGTTTGTTACCTCCTCAGAATCAAACGCCTGTGTGAGACTGTGGGATCTTCGAACTGCATACACTTTACGACGAGCTGCTGTTCCGCTGGCTTCAACCCGCCAGCCAGACAGTCATTCTCGCTTCCGCCAGTTCGGCCTGACCTCCCTGACATTTAATACAGACGGAAGTAGACTCTACACCCTCTGCAGAGACGGTACTATTTATGCATATTCGACCCCTCATCTACTTCTGGGCAACTCTCCTGAAATGTCACAGCCCAATAACACCCCCGGACGACGATATCCTGCAGAAGAGGCTAAGGCCGGTCTAGGCCCTCTTTACGGTTTCCGTCACCCACGACTGATGGTTGGTTCATTTTTCGTCAAGCTGGGCCTCCGTCGAGCAGTTGACGATAAGACTGAACTTCTGTCGGTTGGAAGCAGTGATAACTGTGCCATACTCTTCCCCGCAAATGAAAGATACCTTACTCCTTCCCTTGCATCGTCCACCAACCAGCCTCCATCTACCACTCCAACTACCAACACATCGTTACCTCCCATACAGTCCACTGCTGAACATCGTCTCCGTCCTTGTCTTCGGAGATCAAACTCCAGCTCAAGTCTCTCTGAGAGACTAGAACATACTATCCCCATATACCAACATGGAACAGCCCTGGTTGAGGGCCATAATAAGGAAGTCACTGCTGTCTCATGGGCACACGGGGGCGAATTGGTCACTGTCAGCGATGATTTGCATGCGAGATGCTGGCGTGAGGGCCCCGCGGCTCGAAAACTCCGACGTGATGGGGATATAAACGGACAACGATGGCAGTGCGGTTGGGCAGACGTTAAGGACTCATCCTATGATGACGACGAAGCGTAATTGAACTTTTTTCTCTTTTCCTTAGTTACAGCGTTACACCCATGATGACATTTCACGGGAGATAAGGGTTGAACCTTCGGCGTTGTCTTGCTTTTCTCTTCCGGCTGGAACAGTTTCGTTTAGTTTTAGCATATCCATACACTACAGAATTAGCGAGTTATGATACTTTAAATATAGCATATCGCCCTCTCCATATTTTTTCATTAGTAAGTCCAAAAATAGACGCAAATGGTAGTGTAGTCTATGCGAATCGAAGCTTTTATATTCTTTCTCTTTCCAGGACATTAAGAGATATGCATTATGCTGTAGTAGCTCAGACAAGCTATCATATAACAGGCATAGTACACGGTTCTGTTTCAACATTAATCTAATGGCCATGTCCGTCATCTTCGCGCTTCTCAGGATCCAGTTTAATCATGGTATCGATTCTCATGATGGCAATGCATGCTTCGACGGCACTCTTGAGCTGCTTCACTTTGCTCATGCTAGGTTCCAGGACACCAGCTTTGACGGAATCAGTTACTCGGCCCTTCAGGAGCTCGAGCCCGTAGTTTCGATAGTTCTTTTGCTTGGCGATAGCTTTGTCGGCTTCATTGGCAACGCCCTCTTGGACACGGAGGGCGTGGGCGTGGCGAGAGCGTAGCTGGGCTACAAGCTCGGACGCGTCTTTGGCAGCATTGACAGCCAGTGTCTTGGGAATGATGAGTAGAGATTGGGCAAATTCACCAATTGCAAGTTGCTCTCGGGAGCTCTAAGCATTGAGGGGTCAATTGGATTTGGCCAAATATAAAACGTTGATTATCAGGGTCTACTTACCACTGTGCTTGCAAACTCCTCAAGGTAGATGTGAAGAGCTGTCTCTACAGCACCGCCTCCCGGAACAATGGAACCACTCTCGAGTGTTCGCTTGACAGCACACAGAGAATCATGCACTGATCGTTCCATCTCGTCTAGCTGGAAATCGTTGGACCCACGGAGGATGATTGACGCAGAGCTGAAGACTTTGGTTCCCTTGACCAAGATGCACTCGTCATCCGATATTCTCTCCTGCACAACTTCGTCTGCGTAGCCCAAGCTGGAGGTTTCAAACTTCTCATCTCCGTTGAGATCAGAGAGAGTGCTGAGGAGAGTGGCTCCGGTAGCCTTAGCAATTCTTCGCAAGTCTTCCTTCTTGCATCGTCGAACAGCCATGGCACCCTTTTCTACAAACATCTTCAAGCACATGTCATCAATTCCCTTGGTGGTGAAGATAACGTTAGCGCCAGCCTTAAGAATCATCTCTATTCTGTCAATGACAATGCCGGCTTCTCGCTCACGGATCTTCTCCAGTTGGGTTGGATCTTCAACAGTGATGTGAACTCCGAGCTTCATCCGTTCCTTCTGAAGGTTCATGTCAAGACAGGCAATCTTTGCATCTGTTATTCTGGTGGGCATGGCTTGAGACGCGATAGTGCAGTTCAAGGCATAACCGTTAACCAGTATCGATTCCGTGGCACTCTTTCCGTGTGCTTTAAGCAAGTTGATCGCCTTAACGGGGTACTTTACTTCTCCCTTGGGTGATGTTGTCTTGACGGAGAGCATAGCATCAACAACCATCTTTGCAAAGAAATCCATGTCCGATCCGATAATTTTGCTGGACATGGAGGTTTTGGCAATGTTCAACATGCTGTCTTTCTCCAAGTTTTCGACCTTGATGCTGATGTTTTCGTTCATATACTTAACGGCCTCGCGAAGGGCTAACCTGTATCCGGTTATGATGGTGGTGGGATGTATCCTGTTCTTCATCAAGTCGTTTCCACGTCGAAGGAGTTCCGCTGCTATCAACACAACCGAAGTTGTGCCATCTCCAACCTAGTTGACCGTCAGAAAGCCGTCGAAACTTGCAGATTCATGCAGACATATGCATAAAACAGAAAATTGAAGTACCTCCTTGTCTTGCTGCTGAGCGAGATCGACCAAGATCTTTCCGGCCGGGTGCTCGACATCGAGTAAGCTCAAAATCGTAGCCCCGTCGTTTGTGACTGTGACATCCTGTGCCAAATGTAAGCACAACCAGTATAAACCAAGGTCGAATTGGCGATGTTTACCCCTATATCATCCACCATCATCTTATCTAGCCCGGAGGGGCCAAACGAGCTTTTCACCACATTGGCAATGGCTTGTGTTGCGAGAACTGGAAAGACTCCTTAGAAACAACAGCTGCATTCATCGAGAGAGAGCTTCAACGCACCATTCTGATCGCGAATATCAGAGCCACTCAGCTTGGTTCCTCCTAGGACTGGTATACCAAACGGCGGCCTGTCAGCTTAGCTGTCTTGCGGGTCAAGCCAGCAAAAACAAGGGGCTCAACTCACACAGGGTCCCGGAATTCCGCGACTGCTCGAAGATGCTTGCCATGGCCGTCTCTCAGCGCCTGAAATAGTTTCGTCTGCCGGTGCCTCGAGCCTGTATAACCGTCGTCCAAAGAGCCGCTAACAAGATGGGTTGCCGTCGGTTGTTTTTCTCTTCTTTCTTGTCCAGCGCGAAAGAACAAAAAAGCAGCTTTTGGGCTTATTCTGCCACCTGAAGGCGGTGAGACTCTTTTTGTGTGATCATTTTCGACCCCTCCAAACTTTTTGTGCGTGTGGGGGAAAGAAAAGGACAAAACTGCATGTACAACTTCAAGGTGTTCGGCTTCAACGATCTCAGCTCCCTCGACTGCTCGACACAGCTTGATATTGGTTGCTACTCGAAGGAAAAGTCATGTCGGGCCAGGAATCTGCTGCTCCCGCCGCCGCGACTGAGCCAACTTCGCTTCCTGAGCGCAGCGCAAACCCCACAGGCGACGCTGGCGCCCCTCAGCCAGCAGAGATCTCGAAGAACGCCGCGAAGAAGGCTGCTAAGAAGGAGAAGCTTGCTCAAGGCAAGGCAGGGAAGGCAGAGAAGGTGGATAAAGGGATTGGTCACAGTGGAACGAAGCATGCGGCCGTGAAGCCGGCAAAGAAGAAGGGCGACGGACCTGCGCTGATCGGTATAGATGTGGCCAAGGAGGACGATTTTGCAGCATGGTATCAGCAGGTATTGCTCAAGGGCGAGATGTTGGACTACTATGATGTATCTGGATGCTTTGTTCTTAAGGTATGCTGGTTTTTGCTGCTACAGTTTGGTTTACAGGCTGGGGAGTCAGAGCAAGTCACTAATCTATGGCTATAGCCTCACTCCTTTTTCATATGGGAACAGATCCAGAGCTGGTTTGATGCCAAAATCAAGCAGATGAATGTTAAGAACTGCTCATTTCCTCTATTCGTGTCCGAAGATGTTTTGAAGAAGGAAAAAGACCATATAGAGGGCTTTGCTGCTGAGGTAGCCTGGGTGACTCATGCGTAGGCACTACACCCGTTATCGCTTTTGGTGACTATTAAAACATTCAACTAACGATGACTTCATAGTGGAAACTCTCCTCTCGAGAAGAAAATAGCTATCCGTCCAACTTCCGAAACTGTTATGTATCCATATTATGCTAAATGGATCCGAAGTCACCGCGACCTGCCACTCAAACTCAACCAGTGGAACTCTGTTGTCAGATGGGAGTTCAAAAACCCGCAGCCATTCCTCCGTACAAGAGAGTTCCTATGGCAAGAAGGTCACACTGCTCATTTAACAAGAGAAGAAGCTCATACGGAGGTTCTCCAGATTCTCCAGCACTATGCTCATGTTTATGAAGAACTCCTCGCTGTCCCTGTCATCCAGGGTCAGAAGACTGACAAAGAGAAATTTGCCGGTGGTCTCTATACCACTACCGTAGAAGGATACATTCCAGCCACTGGACGTGGAATTCAGGGAGGAACATCACACGGCCTCGGCCAGAATTTTAGCAAGATGTTCGGCATCACTGTTGAGGATCCATCTGCCCGCCCAGATGAGAAGAAGCCACCATTGCATATCTGGCAGAACTCTTGGGGGCTGTCCACTCGAACCATCGGTGTGATGGTCATGATCCATGGTGATAACCGCGGATTGGTTCTTCCACCACGTGTCGCTGATATCCAAACCGTCATTGTTCCAGTTGGTCTGGGTGCAAAAACTCCTGATGAGGAGCGCGCAGCTATAATGGCCGAGATTGAAGCCATAGCCACGGTTCTATCTGCAGCTGGTGTCCGTGTTGAAGTTGACAAGCGTGATGGATATACCCCTGGATGGAAGTTCAATGACTGGGAGCTTAAGGGTATCCCTCTCCGCCTGGAATTTGGCCCTGGGGAGTCTGCTGGATCCTTTGTCACTACCTCGCGTCGTGACATCGCCGGAAAGGAGGGAAAATCCTCCATTTCGATTAAAGACCTGGGTACCGCTGTTCCCGCCTTGCTTGAGACTATCCAAGCAGACCTCTACTCTCGTGCTAAGGCATCATTTGATGAAAACCTCAAGAAGATCACTAACTGGGATGATTTCTGCCCTGCTCTGAACTCCAAGAATATATGCATGATTCCACACTGCTTGACTGAGGAATGTGAGGATCAAATCAAGGAAATGAGTGCCAGAAAGGCGGAAGAGGAGTCTGGTGAACCCCAGGATGCCAAAGCTCCAAGCATGGGTGCTAAGAGTTTATGCATTCCATTCGATCAGCCAGATGGTATTGAACTTGGAGTAACCAAGTGTACCAACCCCAAGTGTGAAAAGACAGCCGAGAAGTGGTGCATGTTCGGACGTAAGTGCTCCCCATTCTACTAAACTGACTATTTTTTTTTGGCCGAGTCTAACTTTCTTTCCAGGATCATATTAAAACACATCCTCCTTTTGATACCACAAGATTAATCTTTCATTGCTTTGAAACATTCCTAGGAGTTACTTAGCCATTGAAGTCAATGAATTTTTGTACTTTATTCTCGATGATTGATGTCATGACTATGTTTAAAGGTGACGGATCGAATAGATATACAGGAGTATATTCTAGAGCTCTACCTTTTACAGCCTCCCAATGTCTATTGAATCCTACCATTGATGCTATAACTCGACTGCAAATCGAGTTCGCAAATATTCCCCGTATCGATAAAATAACCACGGTACCGGCGTGAACGCCAGGATAATGAATCCTAACACACTATTCCCCCAACCCAGTCCCAGTTTTCCATATAATGGGCCAGCAGCAAGGTCGAGAAAAGCACCGAATGGCGAGCGGATGAGTAGATTGGCAGCAAGTGCGGAGGCAGCGGCCTGCGGTCCGAATGCATCAACACAGTAAATCTGGGCTGGGGTCATTATAAACAGTGATGAAAACCCCATGATGACTGTCCCTAATATCGGTATCGTCCAGTGTGTGTGGTAGTGCGCAGCCCAACCATATATGAAACAGCCAATTGGGGTTGCAAGGCCGAACCATTTCATGGGAATCAAACGCTGTTCTGGTTTCGCCATGGATTCGCCTGGTTTCTTAACTAGCACCCTATCACTCACGACGGAAAATACAAGTAAGCCTATCATCATCCCAACACCTAGACCGAGGTATGCAAGGCCAGACGTCCCGCTGCTAAATCCGTAAGTATTCTGGAACACTAACGGGAAAGTAGCGAAAAGCAGGAAAAAGAAGCCATATACTAGGCCTGCATATAGAGCAAGGAGTAAAACTATAGGTGAGAAAATGAGCAACTTCATCGGACGGATGATTGCCTGCAAGATCATTTGATGAGGAGCCCCGTTCTTGACCACTTTCGGTCTGAATTTTGGGTTTCCTGTCTTTTTCCTCAGACGTTTTTCCTTGTTCTGCAATATGGTTGGTGCGTACGTCTCCTTTAGAAACAAGAAAGTACCGATGCTAATAATCCCAGCCTGTGAATACATTAGAATAAACCCCCACCTAGCTGCAGCAGGAGTAGCCCACCAATATCAAAATAACCCTCAAGGTCCAGCGCCAGGTGGCATACTGGGATACAAAACCGCCGATAGCAGGGCCAAGGATCTATTTGCGTGGCAAGTCAGTGGGATTATCGGTTACTCCTCGGGTAGAAGGTCACATACAGGACCTAGCATGGGCCCCAAAGTGAATATGCTTATGGCCCTTCCTCGTTCCTCCTGAGGGATGATATCAGCTAATGTACCACCTCCGATACTCATAGGACCAGAGGCAGCGCAGCCGCATATGAATCGAAAGGCAAGGAACATCTCCACATTGGTACTAAATGCGCACCCTGCGGTAAAGGCCAGAAATACCAGGATACATGTGTAGTAAATGACAAGGCGGCCATATAATTCGGAGAGGGGCCCAAATATAATCGGGCCTAGAGCAAATCCAAGCACGTAAATGCTTATTATCATGTATTCAACGATAGTATTGGTGATGTGGAACTCATATGCCATCTGCTTTACCCCGGGGGCAAATATCGTTGCGGCTAGATTTCTGCGTTTATAGATTAAGTTAGCTAGCCTTCTGCGCTCTGACTGGATCCAAAGTAAAAAGAGGAAATATCACCTACGAGGTAAATGTATAAGAGCTCACAAATATGATAATCAGTATCCTCCTTGTTGATGACCAGTTGAGCGGGTTCTCCGGATCGTCAGGCCCATCCCAGTCAACGATATTGGGGTCTATAGATTGCCGGCTGGCTTCCACCGTCCCGAGCTGGGCATCTCCCTCAACTTTCTCCGCAGCCGGGCTGGTATGGTGGGTAGTGGCTGCAGGTATGCTGGATGAGCTCGTTAGTTCTCCCATTTTAAGCAGGCTTTCTGTAACTCCCGGGTAGCCTTGTAGCTAATTAATCTGGAGTACTCCGTAAAGGTGAGGTTAAGCCAAGAGGGTATAGCTGATGGGTGAAAGGCATAACATCCATATTTGCGGGAAACCGAGTGCCGGAAACTTCCTCCTCCGAGACTCGGGTGTCAGATAGGCAGGATATCACTGACATTTCTGTGAACATGCAAAACCGTCGTCCTGCTGCGCCGCATGTCCTACACCGTCGCCTTATTGATGTCCTCAAGAGTTGCAGAGTGGATCCGTGCCCGGAACATGATCCCGGCGCCACGGGTCAGGGGGTCAGTGCTTGGCTCGGCGGGCCGCATGTCAAGCTTATTTGGCCTCGTATATCTCAAACGCCCATCCCCAACTTCGCAACACGCGGTTACACCTTGTGCGCCTTGTGTCTGCCAGCGTAGGATAGAGAGAGTCACAGCGAATGAGTAGAATGGGCAGAAACTGTTCATTGCACTAGTCATTCAATGCAAGTAGCCCACTTGGGTCGGGAGAAAAGGACAGATAGCATGGTAATATCTGGCCATTTATGCATAGCCCCAAATCTATCGCAGTTGTCACGGTGTACAGCGATTTGCTACGGATAAAAGGAAAATCTGGAGATGAAACATCCTTTGTTCTTTACTAAAAGACCAAGAGGCAGGGCCGTATCCACCTGAAATCAGTTTGACTCTGGCTGGCATCCCACGTTCAGTCTACATTCGTACTAATCGTTGAACGGCTATACCTGCTAGAAAAGGTCCAGGCTGTCCCGAACAGCGACGATGCCCAGTAATTTGCTGCCAGGATAATGTCTGCAGCGACTCATCCGATATACCACCTGAGGATACGGAGTATGACATCAAAAATGCGGTGTATGAGACAGCTGCGCTCCGCTTCTTACTTACATGCGTAGCGCCGGGGGATCGTAGGTTTTCGCCCTTGGTTTGAGAAGTCCTTGTTACACATCGCGTTTGTCCCGTTTCCAGGGCTATTTTTTTGGTAGGACAGCCTTGATGCCATGTAGCTTACTTCAAGTAATAACAAGATAAATTAAACAGCAGGTGCCGTGAGGCCGATAATTCTGGTATATTCGATGCAACTAGCTATGAAAAGGTAAGGAAATAATATATGGGGGAATCACAAAGAATGTAAGATAAAAGAAGCACATAAATAAACGCTTAATGAAATGCCTGCGTGGTGCGAAGGAGGGATGCAACAAAGTACATCATCCAAAGAGTAGTACATCATCCGATATACAAACATAGGAAAAGTCATAACCAGGACAAACCAAGCGATTGACATCCAATCAGCCAGTTGAGCGGTCAAGACTGTAGGATGCAACCGGGTTGCCTGAGAGGGTAAACGGTAGAGGGTAGAAGTTTAACTGCCAATTATCCGAAAGGGCATGCGTTTTCGTCCAGAAGAAGTAGAGAGAGGGCTGATCGGGCTTTTTTTGGTGCCACTAGAAGGGGGATCATAGAGAACGTTGTTGGTTGTGGTGTTGGAAATGACAATGGGAATGTGTTTCGGGCGTGAAGATTTGCGACAGGGTATGAATAAATGTAGTTTCGAGGACTTCATGGTTGTCGAGCGTTTTCTCTTGGGACCATATGGCTTCTCATCAAAATCGCTGAAAATAGATACTACAGGTGGGGATATGTCGCCCATGTGAACACCATCTCTGCCATTAAGAGACATAGATGGCTTTATAGTCTGCGGCGTATCAAAAATAGAGACTGCCTTGGAAATGTAACCGTTCGAAAGCTGCTGACGGAAATGCAAGCTCGAGTGTCCAATCGGGTCTTTGGTTTGGTACATGTCCGATAACTGGCCTGTAGCTATAGATACTTGTTGACGTCTTCCGGCCACAGATCGTCCTCGCGTGGGCGAGGAATCGTCGGGTTCAAAAATTCGTACTCTAGGACCGGGTGCTGGTTGAGAGCAGGAATGCCTTCTCTTGAGGGCCACAGAGTTGCTGTTTTCCAGATCCAGTTCTTTGATTGCTGGAAACGATATCTCACGCCCCTGAGACTCTGGTCTCAGTTGATGATCACAACAGAAGCTCAGTTTGGATCGTAAGCTCCCTTCTCTTGAAGAAACACTCCTTGTTCTTGAGAGGGCTGTCATCGGCCGGGCCGTATCCTTCTCCATTTGCTTTCCGTTCGTGCTTAGGTCTGGTGTGAGAGACGGGACAGGCGAGACGGGGTTCGGGCTCTGCGGATTAATGTGACTGAAGGCATCATGACTGTTTATTTCGCGGATAATAGTATCCTGGAGGGATTCGAAGGTGGGGCGCGCTGCATTCGTTTGGGATGATGCGCATGCTTGTTTGAATAGATTCAACATTTCCGAAGCTGTAAAGCCAGTAAGCCTTGGGGACGGGTTTATTGGACTTGTAAGGGCTGTCGGACTGTTTACTATTTCATCCAGCGTTGCACTGGGCTCTCGACATGGAGAGACTGGAACAGGTCTCAAAGGGGATTTTTTAGATATCTTTGCAAACTTCTTTCCGGGAGCCGCCAGTTGAGTGTTGATAGACAGGTCCCGGACATTTCTCTTGACTCGTCTCCGAGCACTGTTTGGTGACAACAAGCGGTTTGATGAGTTATGTGGAGGGGTGGATGAAGCGTCTCGGGACTCAGGTTTAGACGTCGATTCTTTAGCCACCTGAGTGTCGTCATTGGACGATTTCGATAATGGACGTTCAATTGTCTGTTCACAGTCTCGCTCAGCTTGGGAAGTATCTTGTGTTCTTCGTGCTTGTGGGAGTTTTTTGCTGGCTGTAGAGGCTTCATTGGGATTATGTTCCTCGTCTTCGGCAGGGTGAACGGAGAAGTTAGGAGCAGACTTCCTTAACCTCAATGGGCTATTTTCGTCCGAGTCTGCCCTCAACTTCTTACCGCTCGATAGTTCCTTCCTATTACCTGAATGCGAGGGATGCCTGCGGATATCTTGGTCCGAAGCAATGGTTCGAAGAGCAACTGCTTCGTCACATAAACTCGAATCTGACTCTCGCTGGCTCATTTTCACCCTCCTGGCCACAGCTCGCTTCTGATTATTTCTGGCCATTTGCTCTTCTCCCGGAGGAGGCGAAATGAGGATAGGGGGACTGAACAGTACCATATTTCGATCTGCTACATCTTCTTGGAATATTGCAGATATAACGTGGGAGTAACGACTTGGGCAGCTTCTATGTTCCTGGCCGCCGCTGGCAAGGTTTCGTTCGGCAATGTCTTCGTTGTAAGAGGTGGTGGTCAATGGCACAACGGTTGGGGCATGATATAGACTCTGCTTGGAGAATATAGCCTCCAGCACATCAACATGGCGCCTGGTTCGTCGAGGAGACGACATATGACCTAGATAGGAACGCCTTTGGGGCGGGCGTGTTTCCAGCTGTTCGTGTAGGTCTTCGAATTGCTTTTCAAATCCAATATATTGGAGAGTGCTTCTATGGCGAAAGCGAGATGGTCGAGTTTCCGGAGAATCTGACTCTTGAGCGAGAGGAGAGTATGAGTTCTGTCCTCCGTCAGTTATGTCGTAATGAAATATGGGCCTCTCCGAGCTAAATAGTTTCCTTAGGGCCGACATAGCTCCTTCGCCCGATACGCCCTTTTTGTTTTGGTAAAGGGAACAGGAGAGTGGGAATACGGAGCATATTCAGGATTGGCTTGCGAATTTTATCGTGATGACATGCAGCCGAACTGTGGTAATGCCGGTGTAGAGCATTGGTTGAGTGCTATTTCCTTTAGTCTTTCTGAAAAGGGGTCGTATTTTGAGAGAGCTCCCCTGGACACAGGTAGGGATGTCTTTCTTTGTAAGTCTTGGTCTAGTCCAGGTTCAGCCTTGGAAAAATAAAGAAATTCAACCGAAAGTGTTCGGAGAAGTGAAAAAAAAAGCGCTTGAGTATACTCCATAAGGAAGACTGGAGACCTTATACCCGGGCAGGAAAAATGAATATATACGAGGCCCTCAGCTTAACTTGTGATCGACATAAGGGGTGGAGTGTTAGGCGTTCCCTAGATCTTCTATTTCCATTATCAATGCATATTCAAACTATACCGCCTCCACAGACACTCTAATGAGCAAATAAATATGGAAGAGTCTGGGCCACTTACGTAGCATGATGCATATACTCCGTACTGACTCTGCGCATACTTCGTACTTGATATATCCCACCGTTGAATCAAGGTGACCCAATCTGCGACAGTTTTCGCTCCACGGGGAACTTCGTAACTGTCGACTCCGTGACTCGACTTTCCCGGGCATTGGCAAGGTTGAAAGAAGACGCTTCAGGGGCACACTTCCCAGTACCCGAACTAGAGAGTCAGCTTCGGGTGGGGAAATACACCAATTGAGCCGGCTCCACAGAAGCGTTAGTATATTCCATCCCAGGGCATTGATCAGGACGATCGCGAGGAACACTTCAAGATTAGTGCCTTGGCTGCTTTAACGAGCCGCTCTCCCAGTGAGAGAGAGGGGGGGACGTTAAAGCAAGCTGCGTATATTCCGCTGTACCAAGATGCATGCTTCCTACGCCAGCACCTGGAATTAATTCGGCCGCCTCCTAAAAGTACCCCATACTGAGGACACGCCTTGAATTCAGGAAATGTGAAACTTATTCTTAGGGCCTATGCATTCGACTAAGAAATCCCCGGCCGGGACGGACCATGAGCCAAGCTCAGCCTTCGGCCAACAAGGGTCTCCCTAGTTGGTGGTGTGATGTCTTTCCCTCTCGTACAGTGTGAGAGGCGTCGGGATCGCGACCATACGCTGGCACAATGGCAGGTGCAAGTGGACACGATTGATCGGTTTAAGCTACCTGGGGACCTAAGATCCAGGATTACAGCCATTGCCTTGCAAGATCCGCCCTTCTATCCCGTACAAAAGGCCCCTTCACGCCTTGGAGGCGCCCTTGGTTGAATGCCGTCCAGAGCCCTTCGATAAACAACAGCATAGGAATTAGAGAATGGCAAATTCCTGGCATGGATTCCCCTTGTGCTTTGCTTCTTCTCGCCTGGGTTACGATTTAGACGTGGGAAGATGCAGTTTCAGCCACATCAGCCCACAAATCGATCTTGCCATTGCCCTTTGCCCAAATCCTTGAGAAAGCCAGGATGGCGTCAATCCTTGAGCAGTCTATCTCTGCCTGGGGGAGGGATACTCCCTAGCAGTCACACTTTTGGCCTTCGTACCTGATATCAAGATGCAAGCTGACGATGTTGCAGGTGAATCTCAGGTTGAGGTCGAGGTTGAAGTCACTACATCGAGCCGTATCACGTAAGCTTCCGTTTCTGGAATTTTTATGGTACAAACTTAAGCCTCGATCTACACGGCAAATATTGGACTACATTTCAATAGATCGACTATTGAACTAAGAATAAACCTAAGGTCGTTCGTTTGCTTTATATAGACGCGCTGTCTGTCTAGACGATCATGGGACGGGATTTGGCGTTATCTCTGATCATCGAATTATCCCGCCGATAAACCAACGAGCTAGCTGGGGGGGGGGGGACTTGGGCTTGATAGAACTACGCGGACTAAGGACCTTGACGACCCTTAGATGCCCTTCTTTCGAGTGACAGCCTGCTGATAAGCCGTTGGCTGTGAGGTGGATATAATGAGGTTGACGTAGGCCGCTGGGCAAGCCGTCAGCTGCCTCCCGTCACGAGTGTTGCCATTACGGGCCCCTGGCTGCTGTCCAACATAGCCATGGTTGCATGTCACCACCAGAGCCCAGGATTATTATCTATTTATATAGACGCTGTGAAACCAACAGTGCCTCTCTAAAGAAGTCAACTCTGGCAGAACTCTTCGGTTCCTCACATCCGGCTGATTCCAGTGCCGTATCCCCGGTAGTTAACTAACCCACGGTTCGCATATATTTTGTATAGATCCCGTATTAGCCGCTCCAGGCTGGTCTTTATGCCAAAAAGCCAGATCTGTTAGGCCACCTAGATCGGACTCCACGGTACCATTTGCTATTTGGCATCCGAAGAGGCTGGCCAGTAACGCTATAAGTCTCCAGCACCTGGCTAGTGGCAAGTGAGTTCGAAAGCTCATGCCAATGAACGAATAACTCAGTGGTGACACCAATATTCAGCTAGTCATATGTTAGCATCTCTAACTACTCCGTACTTCATGGTGGATGGCACATGCTGAAGCTTTTTGCAGGCCCATGCTACCGTTGCAGAAGGGATGCGCGTAGGCAGGGTTATACACCCCCATCGTACATTTTATACCCTGATTGATGGAATTGAAAACATAAGTTGACAATTTCAGGTCTACGGATACAGTCAAAGGAATAACGAGACGAAAGTAAAGAGCTTGGAACAGCTATCCCCACACCAGACGTAGATATACCGATATCATCGTCCACGGTAAATGTGAGGGTTATCGATACGTATGTCCACAAACCTCCCCCCACTACCAGTCACCCAGTTAACGGTTGAATCGACACCAGCAACACTCTTGTCCACTTGAACCCAGAGCCGTTCTGGGAGCCAATGATCCAGGGGTTCACCGGTTTCCACGGACCAATATACTGTTTCCTCGTATCCAGCGGTACCCAGGGCGTCGTATTTGATCTCGGTATCCGTACCGACTGGCGGAACTATGCTCCAAAGGTTGTTTCAGTTATTGAAGAAACAACGGTTATCACAATAGGCTCAGATGTAGCCTCGACTATCGAGCCCGATGCCGGTGGCCTTAATCTCCGGCGCGGGGACATACAGGCAGTGATATGGTCACGTAAACACTTCGACCATATTGGTGACATGTCTCTCTTTCCACCTACCACGGAGCTCATAGTAGGACCTGGAGCCAGAGACATAGTTCTCTCAGGCTGGCCGCAGAACCCAGACTCGTTTGTCTTGGAGAGTGATACAGCTGGAAGAGTGGTTCGAGAGATATCCTTTGACAATTGCCCGAGTATTGGCCGATTTAGAGCCATGGATTACTTTGACAATGGATCCTTCTATTTGCTTGATGCGCCTGGCCACGCTCAAGGACATCTATGTGCACTTGCACGTGCCACAGCTGACCCTCATTCGCTCATTATCATGGGCGCTGACGCTTGCCATCATCCGGGCGTACTTCGGTCATCATCATATCTGCCTCTGCCAGTTTCAGTTAAACAAGGTGAAGTTGGCCAACTGATCATAGAGCCTTGGTTAGAGAGCATGCTCGTGCAAGATGCCCTATAGAATCAATATTCGAGGTTTCCCACGGATTTCTCTTTCCAGACCGCAACGCGGCCATGGAGACAGTAAAGAAAGTCCAGGAATTTGATGCTCTAGATATAGTCTTCGTGATAATAAGCCATGATGTCTCTCTCTCAGGCGTGATTATTCTGTTTCCCTAGACAATTAATAGCTGGAAAACAGATTATTTAAATGGAGAAAACAAGATGGCGATTTTGCGGATATTAATTTTTTCTTCTTTCATTTTATTTTTTTTTCACCATTATATCCAGTAACCACAGCTATAATCGGTATGCTTACAAGTCATCCCAATCTTGGATGGATTTGATGTACATCCTGTTGTCATTCGGTATCATTTCATATATTCCGTACAAAAACGCTGTTGGCCGGATATGGTCGAGATCATCTAATTAATTGTGGTGGCGATGATAACCTCCAACGGTGCGCCGACATTGCGCCACAGAATATCAATATGTGGAACAGCGGGGGAGGCAGCGCAGTGGCGGGTGTGGCAATCATCCAAGAAGGATAGCACAGACTGAGAGCGAGAAGGCCGTAAGCGATGGTGGGGGCTGGTTTTAACACTCGATAAGGGCCACTACTACGTAGTACATAATACTCGAGATATTGGTGCCTAATCGGTTTTTCTGCGAGATGTTACCCTTTTCGCGTCAAATTGCCGGGAGAATGCGTCGTCTCCTTTCGTCCTAAATTGGCTACCCACATTTAGGGTTAAGATGTTAATTTTGGAGGGACTTCTTATATTATATTTCCATCTCACTGCTGTTATCGTGGTGTTTATTATTGTTCGCTGTGTGACTGATGGCCTTCACGGCAGACTCTTTGACAGCCTCAATAAGAACAGAGTGACACGCCTTCGCTGCGGCAATGGCTCCATCCATTAGAGCATCATGATTAGGAGAATCGTAAGTGCCATTGGAGCTCGCACCAGGCATATCCCCTTTCAGCCATAATTCCGTGATCTCGTCCAGAGATGGCATGTAGCCCACAACACAGGATGAGGATATATTAAGATGTTCTGAAGGGTCTGGGTCAAGCACCACCGTTTTGGTAGATGTTGTAGCCCCCTCGCCCGTGCTGCAAGTGTCAACCACAGCCGCAACACCCCCCGCAACAAGGTCTAAGCAATCGATTCTCGCGTCTGCAATAGCTGCAGAAGCCACAGTGACACAGTGCGCAAGGACATTCATCATGCCCCAGCCATCAGATCCCGTCAAGGTCTCTGCAGTTGACATGTCACCCCACCAGCGATCATCTTCCCCCTCTAAGATCATGATTGTGATATCTAGCCCGCTTTTGGGCCATCGATCGCCGATGATAGCTCCACGAAGGGCATTTTCAAGGTGAACCCCCAGATCTCTCTCGTTCGTGTCGCGAACGTGAGCTCTCCGCCGTCGATTGGCAAAGGGAGCGAATTTGACATGGGCTGATAGGAGAAGGTTTGGAGAAAAGGGGGTCGATCGAGAGAGTGGTTTTGGTCCATTGACAGAGCATATCAGTTTTAGAGACGAAGATGGCGGGATAAGAGAGCCGCCGGGACTGGAATTGGATGGGTGAAGCTCGAAATACGCTGAACCAGACGCCGATGGTATAACTCCCGTTTTCAAATCTAGATACATCAGCACCATGAACCGCTTCCAGCTCGAATCATCAGCAACTTACAGATCTTTCTGAGCTCTCTGGCGTCTCTTGTACGAGTCGGCCGCTCAAAGGCCGCCGACTTGTCCTTCCCGGCTGCGCAGGAGACGAACACTGGTGCTCTCGTAGCTCCTGCTGGGCCATTGATCCTCCTTCTATCCGCCATCCCACCGACAGTCACTTTCTCTGCTCAATGCTGTCTTTTTGTATCTTTTATCGTCTTTCACCTCCGTCTTTATCGCGAGGTCATTGACGGGATGTTTTCCGAAAGTGGACGCATCGGGCCGAAATTTTCCCGGTCATTTTCTGCACTCAAAAAGCGACCTCAACAATTTAAAACTCTTTCTGTTCCATATTTTCTTCACAAACAACAGACGGACCACGCTCGCTCGCCACGATGGAGACGGCCAGAGTTGATGATGCTTTGGGGGCTTCGAGTTGAGCTGAGTCGAGCGTGGCCCTGCAAACTATCAGGTAAGGATATGACTGCTTTTCCCTCTTCAATTCCATTTTATGATGCATATTTTCAAAAGTTCTTTCGGCGATTCACAATGAGCCTTACAGAACATGCACTACCATCTGAATTCTTCTTTCTTCTCTTTTGACTCGTATCACATCGTGGGAGGGCCTTCTTGCTGATAGACGAGAATAGGTAACTGCGAAATTGCTTCGCGGCGGATCAATTGGGTGGCAGGACAAGCCAATTGAACAGTGGAGGTAAGAAACTACCCTACAACCGACTTTACCGCGCCAAAATCCCTCATGATGAGAATCATTTTTTCAGTTCTGCTTCTGCAATATCATTGAAGATAACAAAATCTTACCAAACTTCCTGATCACATTCACAACTTTTGGACTTGTCATTCCTGGAACCACTTATCAAGATGCATATTGACTAACATGTCCAAGTGGATAGCTCTTGTAGATATGTTTTGCCGTTCGATTTGAAATCATACCAATATCAAGCCTCCCGACCCATCGGATTGCATAAAATGTGAGTTAAAAGCGGATTTTGCCTCCCATACTACTTCGTCCTGCCAAACATATCCAACACATTCCTTCATGATGATACCAAGTCAATCCATTCCAAGATCCCGAAAGGGTAACCTCCATTTGACATCGATGTTTCCCGGCTTGATTTGAAGGTCTTCTCCCCTCCCTGATACCGGACCTGTCTTCTTTCAAAGCGGATGGGGATGATTGGTTGTGGAGGAAGGCAAGGACATCTATCTTCGAACTATAGTCTGGTTACTGAGTGTCAAAGTCCTATCTGGACTACTGTTCTTCCATCATTTCGTTTTGGAGTGTTGATTGGGCGGTGGTCTGGATGGGGGAAGGGGATGATTTAAAACGGCTTACCTGACTTACTCACATTGCCCTGTATATGTTTGTGAGATGCAGCTTACTACCAGTCAAGAATGTTACTGACTGTTTGAAGGTGTAAGTTGTAGATTCATCTCGTATCTAGCGTAATTTTGAATATATTATATGAATGAATCCATTCTTTTCTTATCAAGTCCTTTCTTAGTAGTGTCGTAGTGTCTATCCATGGGCGTGCGCATATATGTCTTGTCTATATTCCTACGGAGACTAGGTCAAAGGTACTACGAGAACAAATTAAAAGAAACCCGGATATATTAAGATTCATCCAAGCTACTCTAACATTGTCTCATAAAACGCCCGATCTCATCTCTCTTCTCCTCTCCTTTCTTTTTTTTGTTTTCCGTCTTATTCTCGTAAAATGCATGATAATAACGATGAAGAATCATACGCCATGAAGAGCAAGGGGATATGAATGTTCATAGTGCAGAGTGCATGGGGTAGAGGGAGCGTGTATGCAAGGAATAGGTATATATGGATTCAATTGCTCTATGAAACAAGCCCAAAGCATGCAGTGTAATGTAGTTTAGTGTAATGATATATGTAGTATTGGGGGTGGGAGGGTTTAGCCTAGACAAGCAATGAAGTCATAGACACGGACAACAACCCGGGTAATGAGGGATAAGGATTCCAGAGAGGGATAAGGAACTTGGTATACTGTATCTTTTTTGCTGGGGTGTCTATTTCATTTCTTCGGATTCACCAGTTGGTGTGCTGGCGCCATTTGATTTTCGCATGCTATACGGTGCCTAAAGAGGTCATCAGCCGATGCTATTCGACAGATAAGCGCGGGAAAAGGTGGTTTGATAACGTACCAATACTTTCTTTGCATTGCATATCCTCCATGCGAGGTTCTGCACGTTGCCATCGGCGCGAACGACTTCAGTAGCGAATTCAATTCCAAACCTAGCGTGTCAAGTTAGCAATTGCAATGAAAAACCTAGTAGTAAGCAAGTTGACTGGAACATACATCTGATGAACAGCATACACAACCCTCTTTGCGTACTTGAGATCACCCTCGGTCTCACATCCAAAGGGTTCCTCGGCAGTTTGCGGCGAGATCTCTGGATCTCTATCAAAGCAGTTCTGTACAATGGGTAGAAGGGCCTGTTCGATTGCCGTGGTCATGAAACCGTTGCCATTGCCAGCGACGTGAGATGGAATTTGTCCGTCGTCAAACTTGGGTATATGGATCTCGAATGGTCGTGAGGTAGCCATGACATTGTGTTTCCCGTTATGATGGTATCGAAACTCAAACACGCCTTGGGTCCACCATAGCTTGTCTCCAGAGAAAACCATTTGGCCAGAAGCTACTTCGTGAGAGGAGGCGGAGGACTTTTTACCCGAACCTGACTTGGCGGATGGTTTCTTGCTGGCGTTGGATGCGCCGGGTTTTGAAACGACGATATCACTTGCTATTAAGCCCTTTTCGCTAAGTACCGAGTCAAAAGAGCCATGGTTGGTAGCTACCCATCGACCCCAGGAGGAAACATTGGTGACTTCACGAGACGGGTTTTGGCCAATCATGTACAGGCCTACCCAGTCCCTCTTGCTATGGTTCAATGGTGCAGTCCAGTTAACTTTAATTGGGGAACCGTATTCGAAGACGAGCACTTCAGATTTGTCTTCCGCGCCATCTCGGATGGTGATGCAGTCGGATGTGTCGATGTTGATGGAGTAGTCGTTCATGTTGTAGCCGGCAAGATCGGGTTCGATACGGGTGATGGTGATCCGAGCAGGGTACTTGTGGAATAGCTCACTGGTATCCTTGACGAAGGTGGTGACGCCGGCAGCGAGCTTTGGTCGTGCAGTGTCGAGGACTTCCTCGATGAATTCAATTGATTCGTCCAGGATCCGATCGACGCTGCCGTGTAATTGTTTGAAAGAGGGGGGAAGCGAGCGTTTGATGCTGCGTACCAAGCCAGCATCCTGTCGGAGTCCACGGCCGTATAGCTTCTGCATGTGTGGGCGTTCGACGAGTTGGATGAATGCGATTCCGAGGGTATGGCTGAGCAGAGCGAGGAAGATCATGGCCCGGCTGCTGGTAATGAGTGCAGCGCCCCAGACACCCGCGAGACCAAGGACACGTTCCGGGTTGTTGAGGAAGCGGTAGATACCGCTGTATGTCAACTTGGGTGCCTCGTCGAAGAAGAAGTCACCGAAGAACCAGCCAAATTCACCCAGGGAGTCGTAGATGCTGACAGAGGTCCATATCTGGAGTGCGATCAGGCCGGCACCAAGGACGTGTTTGAGGATGGCAAGACCGTATCCCCAGTTTTCCGGGAGAGTGTACATCTTCCAGGCGGCGGCGATGAAACTGGCGTAGCAGAGGGTCATGCTAAGATGGTATGTTCCTTTCCACTGGTTCCAGGCTTCCTCCTTGGTTTCTCCAAACTTGACAAAGTGTCTGGTCCATTCTCGACGGTGGGATTGGCAGTTGAGGATGTAACCGATGCCAACGGAGTACCAGAGTCGCCAGATGGCAGCGTTCAAGACGAAAAAGAACTGATATATGGGAGTGGATGGGGTAAGCATGGTAAGCGCAAAGAAGAGAACCTGGATCAGGATGATGGAAGAATCAGTGATACGGTGGAGATCGAGGTTCTTGACACCGACGAGATTATGAGTTGAAGAAGGCAGGGCAACCGGAGATGGAAGGGGAACCATTTCACTGCTGTCAGATGGTCTGCGACTGGATTTCTCCTCCCCGGCGAGTCCAGCATGAGATTCAATGGTTCTCTTTCTTGGTGGCGGCGCATTGTAGGTCTTTTCAATATGCGGGTTCTCAACCAGGACAAGGAAGGCAAACTGGGCTGCGTGGGCGAGAATCGAGATGAAGAGCACCTTGTAGCTGGCAGCCATGAGGGAGATTCCGTAGTAACCAGCATATCCAACCGAGTACATGGGATGGGGAGCCATCTCGAAGACGCCGTCAAAGGTCAACTCCTGATCAACAAGATAGAAGAAATCACCCCAGTACCAGGCGAAATCCTTGACGACACGATGCGCATCAAGTTTGACCCAGAGATTGAACAGTACAAGGCCCAATCCAACAACCCAACGAAGAATGAGCATCAAAAAGTTCTCCTCTGCAGGCCGGGAGCCACATGCAATCGCAAAGAGGCAGTAGGAAGTAAAATCACACATGAGGATGAGGTCGACAACCCGTCTAAAGACCAGCCAGGTATTGTACTCTATGGGCGCATCTTCAAAGGAGTAGTCTTCGGGTATCTTGGTCTCCAGCTCGCGTTTGATGAAGCTGTATAGCTTGGGGTGCGGGTTGTCTCCAGTGGCCGGATTCACGAATATCTTTGTCTGGCGGGCCCAGAGCACCATCGTAGAGTGGTTTGACTGCATGTGGAGAAGCCATCCAATGCCGATATTGTACGCAGCACGCCATGCGAGGAAGAGGACGGCAAATACGGGGATGCGCAGGAAGGATGGCAGCAGGTAGAGCAGGACGATGTGCAGGCCGATGATGGACAGCACCAGGATGTCTGACAGGTTCTTGGGCTCCGAGGGCGACAACAACTGCGAGACCATGTCCCGAGTATGTGGAACGGTGAATGCTGCAGTCTTGTCAGCCTGTATTCAAAGAAAATATCAGGTGTAATTGTATGATAATGGTGCAGAGATGCCGGTTGGCCACCTACCAGTGCCGTCTGGCGTCCTGCCGATGGTCTTCTTCCCTGCCTGGGCAGCAGCAGCGCCATCCGCACTCTCAACAGACTGCTTGACGGGCTCTTCTACCGCCTTGGCCTTTCTCTCTCGCAGTCCACTGTCGTCTGGCCGCTCGACTCCGGATAGTCTTGCCATGGTGGCGTCGTGGTAGCCGTAGATATATATGTCAACAATGGCCGCCCAGCGACGGCGTAGTCTTCCAACCAGCCAACTCTCCCGACCGCCGAAGAGTTGAATCGTCCAATACGATGCTGGCCAAGTTGAATTGGCAGGTCTGCTATCACTTATGGACTCGCGCTGGCTGTCTCTGTGATGCGGCGATATGGCGGGAGTTGTAGAGAATCTTCCAAAAAGGCACACGAGACCTGCAGAAAAAACGACTTCTTGGCCTAAAAAAAGTCCCTCGGAAGGAGAAGCGAGACGGCGAAGAGGCGCAACCCGGGGCTATATCAATTGTCAAAAACTACCCTGCCTTCTATTATAATAATAACAGTTGAGGGTTGGATGGAGCGGCCTTTTTCTCCTCTGTGGGTTTTGCTTTTCCCGTCGGCCTGCTCGATGATGTCAATCAACGTCGGCGGCGCCTTTGCTGCGCTTTCAAACTAAATTGCTACGAACTAAACAGCTGCGGAGACCGCGAAATATCAACATCAACGTCGGGATGATGCCTGCGGGTGCATGAGAGGCATCCCGGCCTACATGTGCATGCATAAATACGGGATCAGGGACGTCAAAACAGGTATCGGAAGAGGTAGAGACACCTCCTCTCCACCAACGACGGCGGGCGAGGGTGCCCTCTGATCGTCTGCGCAGGGCGGGTTCTTTGACTTTCGACGGCCCTTGGACGGTGCGGTTGATGCGGTTGTTGCGGTGATCGCGGGCCGCCAGAGGGATTCTCCTCTTCGCCTTTGACGGCCAGGAAAGCAGGATAATACTGAATAGCCAGCGGCCGCGGGTGGTAGAAAGTACTCGGTACAAAGGGATACTTGGTAGCCCGCCAGGATCGACCCCGGAGACGATCAGGCTAGTTTAATCTCACGTATGCCATCTACACGGTCTCCCTCTGCAACGTCCAGCAGCTTTCTTTCCCCTGCCGTCTCTTGTTTTCGTCACTTTTCGCTGTCGTTTGCTTCGTCTTTTTGCTGCTGCGGCGGATGTTGTTGTTGATGTATAGTGGGGGTAACGGCTAATACCAAAGTTACAGGCAGAAAGCGGCGTGGATAATCACATGCTACGGACAATCTTACAATACGTTACCATACACGATAAGGGATTTTGATTATCAATCTTTGAGATCTTTTTTATCAGCTTAAAAGACAGACGGAGAGAGAGAGACAGGACGCTGAAAAGTCGGACAGCAGCAGCAGTTCTGACTTGGTAGCACGCGGAATAAGGATACTCACGCACGGAAGAAGCCAAGAGGAAGAGGGATTAGCTCGGGGAACAGGAAGAAAAAAAAAAAGGGCGGCAAAGAAAGATGGCGGAGGCCCCAGATCTTGTTGCGCCGGAGCCAGGTAGGTTTGATCATCTGGACACTCTTGCATAGTTATATAGGCAAGGAGAAGGCGACTAACAGGATAGAACACTGCCCGGGACCAACGTCGTCACAGGCCGGAAAGGGAGACGCCTGCGCAGGGTGTCCGAACCAGGCGATATGTGCTTCCACCCCCAAAGGGCCCGACCCGGACATCCCACTCATCACTGCACGGCTGGCATCGATTAGACACAAGATCCTCGTGCTCTCGGGCAAGGGAGGAGTGGGCAAGTCGACCTTTTCGGCCCTGCTGGCACACGCATTCGCCTCGAACCCGCAGTCGACTGTGGGCATCATGGACGCCGACATCTGCGGGCCTTCCATCCCCAAGATGATGGACGTCGAGGCAGAGACAATCCACGTCAGCGCAGACGGCTGGAACCCGGTCTGGGTGTCGGACAATTTGGCCGTCATGAGCATCCAGTTTATGCTGCCCAACCGCGACGACGCCGTCATCTGGCGCGGCCCCAAGAAGAACGGACTCATCAAGCAGTTCCTCAAGGATGTCGAATGGGGGGAGATGGACTACCTGATTGTCGACACCCCGCCGGGCACCTCGGACGAGCACCTTTCTGTTAATTCGCTGCTGAAGGAGTCTGGCGTTGACGGAGCGGTGTTGGTTACAACGCCGCAGGAGGTGTCACTGCTCGACGTCCGCAAGGAGGTCGACTTTTGTCGCAAGGCTGGTATACGCATCCTCGGATTGGTAGAGAACATGTCAGGCTTCGTCTGTCCGAGCTGCAAGCATCAGTCTGACATCTTCAAGGCGACGACTGGCGGAGGCAGACAGCTGGCGGCAGACCTGGACATCCAGTTCCTGGGCTCGATACCGCTCGACCCGCGAGTAGGCATGGCCTGCGACTTTGGTGAGAGCTTCATTGACAGCTTTCCGGACAGTCCCGCGACGCTGGCCTTGAAGTCGGTTGTCAGACAGGTTGGCAGGCTCCTGGGTGACCAAGATGTGCTCTGAGTAACCCCCCTAGTCACCACCCATAATCACGCATCCAAGGCTCTGTTAGCCAGAGTACCGAAGTCCGCACACGGATTCTCCAGGTTTTTTATTACTACTCTTATCGTCCGTTGTATCGACCACGATCCTCGACTGCTCGACTATTTATATCTACATCTAGCCGCCGGACAAGCCAGAGCTGCAAGGGGTCGAATGAATATCTCCCGTCCACCGCAGCCTTTGAGCATCTCCCGCTGCAGACTTCCAGAGTCAACAAACTCACACAACATAAACCGCAACCAAGCAATTCACTAGCTAGTTGATTAGTCTTGACTAGTCGACTAGCTGGCTGATAAAAAAAGAAACATCTCCTCCCCCAATCAAGGGTGCGTTTCACTGCTTTCCATCTGCCGAATCAGCGCCCTTCTCCGCGCCAAGTTCCAGTCCTTTCGACTCTCGCCTCCGGGGCTGGTTTCATCTCTCGCCCTTGGCCGGCGGCTGTTCGTCTTTCTCTTTCCCCTTTGATATTGACTTCCTGCGTTGTTGGCTGTCTCTCATCCACCCTTCAGCGTTTCATACCTCTCGCCTGCGACCTGGCTCTGGCGCCCCAGGCCTCGCACAAGACCCAATGGGCGACGGAAGAGCCGACACTTTACTCTCGCCAGCATGCCGCCCTGTGGGACTTCGGCAGTCAGACAGACTTTTCGGACCAGGAGAAGGGCGCCTTTTTCCTTGCGTCTTTTTGCCTGCATCTGCATTCTATCTGCATCTTGTCCTCTTTGCTGCCTGGGCTCCCAAGGCAGGAAAGGGGCAGACTAAGCTTAAGGCTGTTTGACACTTGGATCGAAGTCGAGTTTATGCGCTTGTTCTTTCTTCTTTTCTTTTTTTTTTTCTCTGCGGAGAGATTTTATAAAAGATACAGATATGGCCGCTCAGGGATGGACCTGGTTCTGGTTACATCTCCTGTCTGTCTGTGACTGTCTTTAACTCTCTCTCTCGCTTTCTCTCTCTTTCACTCTCCCCTTTCTCTCGCTTTTTTTTTTTGTTTCTTGTCTATATCAATGCATCGCTGCTGAGCAGTAGATTTACCATATTGGTCTTTTTGTCCCTCTTGCTGGCCGGTCCATCAAAATACAAGGTACATACCTCCGACTATCTTGAATAGACTGGTGCCAGGCCTAGGACTTCCTTCACTCGGTGGTTGCCCGGCCGCAGCGGGCTGTCTCTCTGTTATTGTCCTCATATACATCAATTGTTGACCTCTTTGATTCATACATCTTTTTGTTTACTTCTATTCACTGTGCCGGACAGTTAAAAAGTTCTTCCTTTTCTTTACTTCTGCATCTGCATCTCTCTTTGCTTCTCTTTTTCTGGCCATTTCTCTCTTTTTTTCTAGTTCCCTTTGCTACCAAAAGAAAAAGCCATGAAGATGCATATATCAACCCTCCTGGTAGCTGCCCTGCTGCCTCTTGCACTCAGCAAGCCCACGCCTAGAAAGAAGACCGGCAGCTTCAAGGTACATCTTGCGCGACGGGGAGAAACAGAGTACTCTCGCGATGGACCAACAGACCTGCAGAGAGCGTACGCCAAATATGGCATCCCGACGACGCATGAGATGGAGGGCTACCAGCCACAGCCCATCAGCAAGTTCCCTGGCAACTCGAAGGCTACTGCAGGCAGCGGCAAGGAGGGCGTCGAGAGTCAAGGCGAGAAAGGCGAGGTCGTGAACAATCCTACGAACCATGATATTCAGTTTCTCTCCCCAGTGACCATTGGAGGACAGCCATTTATCATGAACTTTGATACTGGCTCGTCAGACACGTAAGTGCTTTTTCTGATATGTCGACAACATCAATATCACATCCGACATATCACTAACGGCGAATCTAGATGGGTGATGAACACGCAAATGACCGATGAAGAGGCAAAGAAGAACCACCATCTATATGACCCGTCCAAGTCCAAGACAGCATCCAAGCTGATCGACCAGACCTTTGACATCAAGTACGGCGACAAAACCCACGCTTCGGGCCCGGTCTACTCGGATGTGATGGACATTGGCGGCGCCACAGTCCTCAACCAAGCCATCGGGCTGCCCAGCAAAGTTGCAGCCTCACTTGCAGAGGACAAGACCTCCGACGGCCTCGTCGGTCTGGCCATGACCAAGCTCAACACCATCCGCCCCGTCAAGCAGAAGACTTTCTTCGAGAACTTGGCCGAGGATTTGGACGAGCCTGTCTTCACCGCCCAGCTTCGACATGGCAAGATGGGCTCATACGAGTTTGGTGCTATCGACAAATCCAAGTACCACGGCGATCTGATCAAGGTGCCCGTTATCAACGAAAATGGCTTCTGGGAGATCCCGTGCAGCTTATACTCGGTGGGCCAGCTGGATAAGATCCAGACGATTCAGAACGGGACCGGCACAGCGATCCTGGATACGGGTACCACGCTGCTTGTCCTGGACCAGGAGATTGTTAAGGCGTACTATGCACAGGTACCCGGAGCGCGGTACGATCCCACTCGGTTTGCGGGATGGGTATATCCATGCAACTCGCCCATGCCCTCTCTCTTCCTTGCAGTGGGAAAAGACCATATGGCTATTATCCCGAGCTCGCTGCTCACTTTCCAGAGCTACGGCCCTGGTCCTGACGGCGTTGAGAGTATGACCCCCTTTTCATTTACGTCCTTTTTACATCTGTTGTCCACTTACTAACTTGAGTAGCATGCTATGGCGGCCTGCAGTCCAACAACGCCGGCGGCATCCAGATCTTGGGAGACGTCTTCTTCAAGGCTCTCTTCGTCGTCTTCGACCAGCGAGGTCCCTCCATCTCTCTCGCTCCGCATGCCTGATGCCTCTCTTGACCATTTTCCTCCTTGATGATAGACGGACTCTTTCTTCTTGTAGCTAGTTCAGTCATGTATTATATCGACTGCGTCATGACCGTACATAATTCTAATAACTACTCCTAATCCTATTCCACTTCTATATATCCCTATATCAATGTCTATCAATGTCTATCAATATCCCTTTATGCTACTTCCACTGCTACCGCTTACTAAGCAACCCCTCGACACAAAAAGTTTTCTAAAAATCAACAGGAAAAAAGACGAAAAAAGACGACGAATTGAACGGACGAAGCGAATTAAAGACAAGAAAATAGACGAAGAAGAGACGAAGAGACGAAGACAGCTTGTCTCTGCAGTGCACTCAGTTTGAGAGTGCCATCCGTCAAGCTGCCGCCCCCAGGCCTGATCCCGTCGCTTCTCCGGGCCTCAACCCCGCGACGAGCGCTCTCAGCAACAGTCACAGCAGTCACCCGAGCAGCTTCACCCGCACCGGCAGCGGGGAGAAGCAGGTCAAGAGGCATTCTAGGAGGCCAGGCGAACAGGACAGCCAGCATGGCGACGGCATCGACACCGACGGCCTCGCTGCTCTCGCTGCTGCACCGCTCATACCCGCAGGCCGTCCCGCTGCAGGCCACGGAGGTCAACCTGCACACCCTCACGCCTCTCATCTTCCCGACGGTGCTGTACTCTGACGCCGAGCGAGCAGAGATCGAGTCATGGCTGGGCGAGGTCAGCAAGCTGTCAGATAGCTTGAAGGAGGGGGCAGATGCTGAGAAACTAGGGCTGGGAGAGCAGCTGAAGAAGCTGAACGGACACCTGGCTATGCGGACTACGATGCTGGGCGTGAAGCCGTCTGTGCTGGACGTGGCGCTGTATGCTGCTCTGGCTCCCGTGGTGGAGAAGTGGACGGCTGAGCAGCGGACGGGGGAGGACGGGTACCATCATATAGTGCGGCATGTGGACTTTGTGCAGAACGCAGAGCTGTTTGGGCTGGAGATACCGGCCGAGGAGAAGGTTGCTATTGACCTGGATAATGTGATTGTGGTGCCCAAGGACGACAAGAAGGCTAAGAAGAAGGCCGAGACTACTGTTGTGGTTGGAAAGGGGAAGCCGGAAGATGCTGCTACTAAGGGGGAAGATGGTGCTGCCGCCGCTACAGCTGCAGGGGAAGCAGCAGGAGAGAAGAAGGCAAAGAAGGAGAAGAAGGAGAAGCAGCCTCGACAGAAGCCCGTCCCTGCGCCGGCAGCACCCATGTCGCCCTGCGTCATCGACCTGCGCGTCGGCCATATTCTACGAGCCATCAACCACCCCAACGCAGACTCGTTGTATGTGTCGACGATAGCCTGCGGAGACGCTCCCGGCAGCGACAACACGCAGCTCGACGAAGAAACCGGGCTGACTGTCCGAACCGTCTGCTCTGGCCTGAACGGGCTGGTTCCCCTGGAGGAGATGCAGGGCCGCAAAGTGGTGACGGTCTGCAACCTGAAGCCGGTGACGATGCGAGGGATCAAGTCTGCGGCCATGGTGCTGGCAGCTTCACCACGCAACGACGACTCGCATGCTGGCCCCGTCGAGCTGGTCAACCCCCCCGCGGGTGCAGAGGCAGGTGAGCGAGTGTACTTTGACGGCTGGGACGAAGCGGAGCCGGAGAAGCAGCTGAACCCGAAGAAGAAGATGTGGGAGACCTTCCAGCCGGGCTTCACGACGACGGACGGGCTGGAGGTGGTGTTTGAGAGCGCGGCGGTGCCTCAGGTGAGCGAGGCCGCTGGCTCGAAGCCGGCCATGGGCAGGCTGATGGTCAAGTCCGGTGGAGTCTGTACCGTCAAGAGCCTTGCTGGAGCTACTGTCAGGTAGTCACTCAGATGTAGCATGATACATTGAGACGTGAGAGGGAATAGAGAGAACTCTTTGGTATCTCCAAGTATCTCAGGGGTAGCCATGTAGCCATTCAGGGGTATCTCCTCCACTCCGTATATCAATCATCTTCAACCACTACAACATCACTGCTATAATCTCTACCACTTTATGGGAGCACTACGTACCACCGGCTACCCGCTGTGCCTTTTGCACTCGTATTCTCTGTTGATCTCCATCCTGGCAGAGGCATGAAGATCGCCGGCCACGGTGTCTTTTTGCTTCATATCCAGCATAACACCGCAGCAACAGATATGAACCACGCTTATATCTCAACGAGCATAATAGTAACAGATCATACGTAGATACAGGCCATCGTCTACTGTACACCGTCTGTACATCTGTCTACATCGCCGGTACTTGAGCAAGACCTGCAGGCGGAAGAAAGATGATCCCTGAAACAAGCTGAAGAAAGCGAAAAAACCAGTAAGAAGCCGAAGAGGCGCAGATTAAGAGCAGAAGAAGAGACGAAGACGCCGTCTATCTGTCTCACTCGCTTGTCTGGCCAGATATTTGGTCGTTAAAAGCGCCTGGTATTGGCCGCTGCTGGCACTCTCGAGGGCTGCGGCTTGCTGACTCCTTTTGCGATCTTCGTCTCTTTTTCGCCCCTTTGGCCCCTTGGTCTTTTCACATCTTCTTCTTCTCTTCTTCTGCTCTGCTTCTGCTTCGACTGCTCAACTGTTCTTCTCTTCTTCTGGCGTCTTTCTCTCTCTCGACCAAGGCGCTGCCGCTGCTGATGCTGCTCGCGGCGACATGAACAGGCATTCGGCCTTTTCCAATGGATATACCGCTGCCCCCAAGCGGGAGAGCGGTACCTTTTCCATCTCCCCCCATAGGTAGGATACGCCGATTATCACTGAATAGACGGAGACGGAGACGGAGAGATGAAGAAGATAGCTGACTGGCGCAGATTCCAACCTCGCTCGCAGCCTGCTCTTCGCCGCCGGCGGGCCCTGCTGCAGCGTCTCGTCGTCGTAGGCCTGCTCTCGATCGGCCTGCTGCTCTTCCTCTTCCCTTCATGGCGCCCGTCACTGCTCGGAGCAGCCTCGCTCGGCCTCTTCGCAGCCTCAGACGACTTCCAGCTCGAGACCGTCCGCTACTACGACCTGTCGAACGTCGAGGGGACGCCCAGGGGGTGGGAGCGCGAGGAGCGAGTGCTGCTGTGCACCCCCCTTCGAGACGCGGCGCCTCACCTGCCCATGTTCTTCTCGCATCTGCGCAACTTCACCTACCCTCACCACCTCATCGACCTGGCCTTCCTGGTCTCGGACTCGAAGGACGACACCTCGGGCCTGCTGACGAAGCTGCTGGAGGAGCTGCAGAACGACCCGGACCCGCGGCAGCCGTACGGCGAGATCTCGGTCATCGAGAAGGACTTTGGACAGAAGGTCAACCAGGACGTCGAGAGCAGACACGGCTTTGCGGCCCAGGCCTCGAGACGGAAGCTCATGGCCCAGGCGAGGAACTGGTTGCTGAGTGCTACGCTGCGGCCGACGCATAGCTGGGTCTACTGGCGAGACGCTGACGTTGAAACCGCCCCGTTTACCATCCTCGAGGACCTCATGCGGCATAACAAGGACGTCATCGTCCCTAGTACGTTTTCTACTCTGATCAAGCGAGATATACTGTTGCTAACTAGGTGTAGATGTCTGGAGACCGCTGCCAGACTGGCTGGGTGGAGAGCAGCCGTACGATCTGAACTCGTGGCAGGAGTCCGAGACCGCCCTGGCTCTAGCTGATACACTGGATGAAGACGCCGTCATTGTCGAGGGTTACGCCGAGTACGCTACCTGGAGACCTCATCTGGCTTACCTGCGAGACCCCTTTGGCGACCCGGACATGGAGATGGAGATCGACGGAGTCGGCGGTGTCAGTATCCTGGCCAAGGCAAAGGTCTTCCGAGCAGGAGTCCATTTCCCTGCCTTTTCCTTTGAGAAGCACGCCGAAACAGAGGCTTTTGGAAAGGTATGCATCTTCTATAGTTTATCAATATATACACATACTCACGGGATATAGATGTCGAAACGCATGAAATTCTCCGTCGTTGGCCTGCCGCACTACACGATCTGGCATCTGTACGAGCCCAGCGTCGACGACCTGCGCCACATGAAGGAGATGGAGCGAGAACGCAAGCAGCGAGAGGCAGAAGAGAAGGAGAAGAAGGAGAAGGCGAAGAAGATCAAGGAGCAGTTCAAGGACTCCAGCGTCGAGTCTGAGAAGGACAGCGCCGCCGTACACGACATCATGCAGAAGGACAAGACTCAGCAGCAGCTGAAGGAAAAGGAGAAGAAGCAGCAGCAGGACAAAGACAAGGCCTCGAAGCAGTCCATCGGCAAGACAGACAGCTCAGACAAGACGGACAAAACCGACAAAACTGACAAGACGGACAAGACGGACGGCAAGAAAGAAGTCAAGAAGGATGTGAAAGAGGTCAAGGACGAGGCCAAAGAATTAGCTGCTAAACCGGACGGCAAGGCCCAGGTTCAACGGACCAACGACCAGAAGACATCAGACAAGCAGAAGCCCAGAGACAAGGCCAGAGAGGCGTCGAGAGGCGAGAAGAAGGCTGAATGATCCTCCCCGAAGCCAGTCTTTTCTTTCATGCCTAGACGTTGATGATAGACTTGTAAGTTGATCCATCCCCTATCCTTGGACTACCCCTGACCCCTGATCCATTGCTTCAACAACCACAGACTGACATTCTTCCACCAGCCCTTTCCGCCAAAAAAGACATGCTTCTGGGTTTATTCTGTTTCTTTTCTCTTCATCTTTTATATTTACATATATCAATGCTGCAGTGTGATGCTACCGCTGCGAGTCGAGCCCTCTTCTCACGCCTCTTACTAGACGGTCTCCCGCTTTCCTCCTGCGTTCCTGGTGTTTTGCTTGTCCTTTAGCCGACGAAGCTATATATCAATTTGTCGTTTCTTTTTCTTTCTTCTCTGATGTATATCTACTCTCTTATCCGTCCTCCTCGTAGGTCTTCTTTCAGCGTCAAAATCCACCAAAATATCAACTTCTGCCAAATCTCCAACTTCATCCCTACTTTGACCACTCTACCAACCTCCGCCAACTCAGCATCAGCCCATCAGCTTCAACCCGTTACTCGCCGTTAATAATAAGATGCTTACAAAGTGCCTCTGAATAATAACTCTGGACCTGCAGAGCCCGAAGAGAGACCCCGCCAGAAGCCAAAACGGAGCTCCTCAGCGCCACCGGATCCGCGGTCTCTCTGCCACAGATCTGCCTCCCCCCCAGGACGCCAGCAACGAGAATACAACGAACAATATCGATCGAACATCAGCGTCCCTCGCTGCGGTCTGGAGCTGTCTTTTTCGCTCCCGCTGGGCCCCCGTCGCGCGCTGCCTGCTGCCCGCCGCAGAGTAATGGATCTTCGCCTGACGCAGACGCAGCCCCTACAGCCCGTCCGCCTGCTCGAGCTGCCGCCCGAACTGCTAGACCAGCTCGAATCAGACCACCCTCCACAGTGCGTATCCTGCTCCGGCTCGTCCGTCTCGTTGGGCTCGTCTATGCCGTCTCGTCTTTGGCTGCTGCTGGTGCTGACGCTGACCCTCCTAGTCTGTGCCTGAAGTCATCTGCGCCCACATCGACAGCCTCCACCACGACTACGACTACGACTACGACTACGACTACGACTACGACTACGACTACGACTACGACTACGCCGTCGACGACCACCTCTTCTTCGACGACCGCACCTACAACTGCGACTACGACTACGACCGCCTCCTCCTCACGGCCAGGAGCTGACTTCGTCAACCTGTGCACGCCGGCAAAGACGTACTCGCTACGCCAGGTCAACTCCTCCAATTCCGTCTTCCTGATCAGGCCCCAGCCAGAGCCAGGCACAGCTCCGACGACCACGACCACGACCTCAACGACCACGACCACGACAGACATCACGGCCATAGCACAGTGCAAGTCGACGCTCGAAGTCCAGGCCATGGCTTCCTCCGAGACAGCCCTCCGGCCCCTCCTGGCCGCCCTCGCCGTCTACGACGAGAGCGACATCCTCATGGACGAGCGCACCGAGGAGGACGACCACCCCCTCTCCCCCTCGGAGATCGTCCATGAGCGCTCCAAGGTCTTCGCAGACATACCCTTCTCCCGCGCCGAGTGCGAGCGCGCCTGGAAACACATCTGCGCATTCGTCCACAAGAACAAAGAGTCTGGTGCGATCGGGTGTCATCGTCCCTCGGCCAGGGCAAAGCTCCTGGCCTGGGAGAAGATCATCGAGGGTGCAACCCTCCATGGCATCGATCTCGGCAAACAGTTCCTGGTCGAGGACCTGTGGAGTGCCGTCATCGAAGAGGCCGAACACACCGTTATCGACGAGTATCCGTTTCCTCGCTCGCTGTTTGACGCCACTGTGCGTAGGCTGGTGGATAATTCGCCCATTGACGGGGACCTGAAGTGTACGTACGACACCTTCCGGCGGATTGAATATACGATTTTGTTTATTTACTTTCTTCCCCCACCCCTCCCCGGCCCCTGATTCTTGAAGTCTGATACTAACTTTGTGGCTATAGGGGCAAATCTCGATCAGCATATAACAGCCCAATGGACGGCAGAGCTCCTCCTCGAGTCGTCTAACGGGACCCCCAAGGCTGTCCTGAACGTCGATACGTTCTCCAGCGACTGGAAAGATCTTTTGCCCGAGCAATTCAGATCATATGCATCTATCGACAATCTGGATGTACGTTTAACCCCGCTTCTGACAACTCGCTTTTGTCATTATTAGGTCACATATATGTACTACACTATATATGCACACGCTAGAAATGCTAACATCGATGCTGCCTGGCTGAAGAAATCCTGCTATCGACAGCCAGAGTCGACGACTATCTGCTTCCAGCCAAATCATAGTTATTAATACACAAACGCACGATTGGATCGGATTGAAATGGGGAACCATTTGAGCAATCCATCTTCCCAGCATATAACAAATGAAACGGCTTTCTCAATAGCCTCCCTCTATAGCATCGCATCTTTGCTTTCTGCGCTTGTCTAATGCCATCGTTAAAAAAACTGAATGGAAGTCAACACCAAAAAAAAAAAAAAAAATTGAAAATCAATGGAATAAAAAAAAAAATAAGAAAAATATATAAAAGAAACAGAAAAAAAAGAAAAGGAAGAAGATATTGAGCCGCCCGTCCGTGGTATCTTTCGATACATCCACTCTCGTCGTGTGTGATATGAGCAGAATTTATGGAAACAACAGCAGCACCAGCCAGAAAGGAGGGCATAAACGACGAACACAGTGGCCCCGATCATTTCATCATCAATCAACTAGCGAGTGCCAGCCCAGGCTTTAGAATCCGTTGGTCAGAATTAGAATCGGCCGTCAAAGAGAAAGAAAAGATCTCATCTCGTGCATATATCAATCAAAATTCAAGTCAAAATTGCCAGCTCAGCACCAGCCGTATCTTTCATTCCACATCCAGTCGACGTTCTCTCCATACCCGAACTTGTCTCCGTCCCATTTCAGACAAGGGATGCTGTCTTTCTCCCTGTGGATTTCGGCTGCGTCCGGATCAGCAATCAGGATAGCCTCCTTGACCAGCGCAGAGGGATTCCAGATCTGGACGTGGTCCACGTTCCATTCGTGAGCTTCTACCCGAGCCCGACGCAGTATCGCCGCCAGCGCTTCAACGACACCCTGTCTCTCTGCCGGCGAGCTGGGCTCCTCGTACTGCGTCCGGAGAATGTACAGCGTACAGTCCTTGGATGTGGCCCCGTACTTTCGGTTCCAGGTCATGAATACCTTGCGGCTAGGCACCGCTGCACCCTTGACGTGAGTCTCGCCCTTCTCCGGCCGGAGGATCTGGGAGTAAAACTCGTCGCGAGCCCAGTGCCAGGACATGTGTGCAAAGTCTGGCGGGAAAGCCGCAATAGCCTTGGAAGACACCTTGGAGGCATCCTTTAGCTTTTGCTTGTGTTGCTCCATCACTGGCTCAGAGCACATGTATCGAAGCACATCCTCCCGAGACATGTCCTTGACAATACTCATGTCGACACCCTTTGTGATTCTGACGCTGCCATTTCCGCTGCTACTCCCATTCCCATTGGCGCTACCGTTGATGGCGGCGGTTCCGAAGGCCTCCGGAGCTAAAGTGAAGTGGGAAGAAGCATACGGATGCCATCCGTGCGCTGCATAAAACGACTTGCCGATATCCGAATACAGAACCGAGAAGAGACACTGCGGGTGTCCCTGTCCCGCACCCCTTTCCTGCTGCCATGTGTCCAGTATCTTGGACAGCTCTATGATCATGCGCTTAGCGTATCCGCGTCCTCGGTGCTCGGGCGGACAGAACACGCTTCCGATTCCATGGGTGACAACCGTCTCGATATTGCCCTGATATGCAAGGAACGCTCGTTTGGCAATCGACTCGCAGCTGCTCAGGATAGGACGCTCGTCTGGCCGGAGCCGACGGTCAACCAGGACCCAACATGTCATCCACCCATCCTTGACCATGTCCTGCTGTATCAAGAAGTCTTCGCGAGCAATGTACTGCTCCATTGTCAAGGGGCCTTTCCATGACAGCCCATTTGCCCTTATACTCTCGATTCTCTCTGCCGGGGTGGCCACTACGAGAGCGATATCCGGCGAGTCGGCGCTTAGGAGGTGATGATCGAGCGAGCCCATGGTTGCGGTTATCGTTGGGAATCTTGTTTTTGTTTTATTTTTCAGTCCTTTTTTCCTTTTTTATTTTATTTTATTTTTTTTTTTTTTCCCAAAACTCCCCTTCCTTTTGCTCTTGCTTCACTTTCTTGTTTTGCTTTGTCTATCTTGTTCTGATATTCTTCGTATCCTCTTGTGATGGTGACGAGTTATTTTCCTGCAGGCCGGCAGCACCCCTTGTTTTGGATGGTCTGGAGAGAAACAAACAGGAAGCTTGTTCTCCCTTTTTATTTGATGTTGGACGGGTTGCACAGATAGGCAGCCGGGGGGGTGTGAGGGAGTATACGGAGTACTAATAAACACACAGGGCTTGAGGGAGAGGCCGGGTCAAGAAGAAAATAAGTACTGAGTAGACCAGGCAGCCAGAAAAGAAAACAAGCCCTTGTCGGGATTTTATTTCCACCACTTCCCTTGATTGCATAACGTTCTTTGGCTGGGAACGCCGAAGCATGGAGCATAGCCATAACGCAAAATGCGTAAATATAATATTCCTGATGATACTAGCGTTCCCGCCGGGGAAATTCCCCCAGCCCAGCAGCCAGCAGTCCGTCCCCAAGTCGAGAACAGCCCCCGCCCACGCCCTTTTCTGACCACTCCGTTCCCCCTCGCCTTAATCGAAATCCGCGGGTGTGTTAAATACGGGCTTTGCCTTCATCCGCATGGGTACAAAGGGCCAAACTGCCGGCTGGAAGCGAAAACATCCGGCTAACCTGCTGGTGGAGCATCGTCATCCCTCTCTCGGCTCAGAGGGAGAAACCCAGAAGCTGCGATGTGCGCCTCCAGCGGTACCTCGCATGCCTCATGATTTGTATGGGGGCCACAGGTACCTACCTGGCCCTCTCCACATAATACGTCGTATATATAGGGCCGAGCCTCCTTTTGTTCGGTGTTATAACCAGCGGGTCCCGTGACAGGACCAGCAGGCCCTTTTCTCCTGCGCTCGTTTCGATCTTCGATGGCCTTACGGCCCGTATTACCGCTAGTGACATTTTGTGGGAGGCCAAACGTCGATTCTGTTGGTTGAGGCGGCAAAAGATGATGCGGCGTGACATTGGCTGGCTGTGTGATGATATCACTCAGGGCTGCAAGGAAAAAGAATGGCCGGGGCGGGAGGCGAGACGGGCTACTCCGGGCTTCTTCCAACGCCATAGTCGATGCAGCTAGTGCTCCAAGCTGCATGGTAAGTCTCACTTGCATTGTTTTTCTGCCGGGGGATGATACATATTGTACAAAGATCGAGTGGTGATGGTGAAAGCTTGGGAGTATTAGTTGGTTGGCAGGGCATGGGGATACCTTCTAGGCTGACCGGGTCCACGACGCATGCTAGCCTATCCCTGGTGTCGAGTACCCGGGGCTGCTTTTTCAAGGCGTTTCAGTGGTAGAGAGCGGAGGACTTTGGTCCTCCTCCTCTCCACGACCCCACCAGTGGTCCTCCAAGACTTCTTCCATGGTCAACTCTTTTTGAAGGAGCAAGATCCAACATACGTAGGAAGATTCGTTTTGTCTCGCCATCAAGGTTTGGATAATCCTTCTGCCGAGGGGCGGGATGGATGGACGACTCTGGGTGAGCCTCTTGTGTTCTATCATACCTCGTAGTTGAACAAGTTATTATTGCAGTCAAGAGGCCATCATAGACTGGGGACTGATAGGGCTTACTCCAGAGAATCCTGTGAATTTTAGCAGCAGCCAGCTAAAATCCTGATTACAACCCCTGCAGCCTACACTCAACGCTCTGACATGCGTTAGCTATAGTTGACACCTACTAGCCTTCCTCCATTTTCTCCAAGCTCTAACACCGACGCATGGTTTCATGAAGTGAACCACGGATCCTCTAAGATTTCTTCCATTGTTGCTCTTTTCGATGGAGCAAGATCCGTCAGCCTCAACAACGTCCGCTTTGCCTCAGAGTCAAGATTGGGGTATTCCTTCTCATCCCATGTAGTAAATCGGCCAGGCCCAACAGGACCACCGTCCATGGTTGCTTCGGAGAGGACGGTCATCACCCTCCCCCATTCCTCGTGCTGGACAAGTGTGACTAATTCAGAAGGAACTGGTCCAAAGAAGGCCATCAAGAGGCCCATGATTTCTAGCTCCGGCTCTACTCCGTCAATTTCTAATTGTTTGAAGTCTGGGCGTAAACTTTCTACGCCAGTCGTCGTGAACCGGCTCTAATAATAATCATGATGATGATTAGTTACTAACACATAGCTGCGGTAAAGTTAACGTTTTATGACTACTTACCACAAGGCCGTAAGAGAACACGTCGGATGGCTTTCTAATTCCTTGGCCAGTTTGAGCTTCGGGGCTACGCCACATTACGTTGCCGAGCTTGATGCCTTCTGGAAGCCGTAGAAGTTTGTCACCTTTCATCTTCAGCGAGACGTCCAGGTCACCGAGTACCACCTTCTCCGGGACGGGCTGTCCGCTTTTGTCCTGGCTATAGTTGATCATCACGTTGTCAGGCTTCACATCTACACAGTTGTAAATAATAATCAAAATAATAATACTCCGTAATAATAATAACAATAATAATAATAATAATAATAATAATAATAAATTAAAAAATAAAAAATGAAATTGTTGAAGGTGAGTGACTTTCAGTATAGCTTACCTATATGTATCCAATTTTTCGCATGGAACTCTTTCAATGATTCTCCCAGCTCCCGCAGTATCCATTTCCTAGCTAAATTTAAATTTGGATTTTTATTCACGAATGAGAGCAAGTTATCGTCGAAGTATTCGTATATAACGACTTTTTCCTCGTCGTTCTCGTCAACATGTATCCGAAGACGGCGGCTGTCGGGAAAGTCATTCTTATAGTCCAAGGCCAAGTCAAAGACCATATCAGACATCTTCTTCATTACAAAGTTTTGGTCCCCAGATCTAGATTGACAGTGAGCATCCGAATCAAGTGAGCGAAGTTGTAGTTGGCTTACTTTGCAAGGTAAACGCTAAGATCTGGTCTCAACGGGTTATGCTTTAGTAGTTTGTCCCGAACATACTCCCGACCAGAGCTTCCAACTAGAGTCGATGCCATTCTCACTCCTCTGAGGCGGAACATGTCTTGCTGGAGACTGCACAGGTGGATGTTTCTCCGTAGTTAAGATCTTGAAGGAGCTCGCGGATGCGAAGTCTATTTGTCTCGCTAAATAAAGGAGCTCCGCCAGGCGCTAAAACGGCACTTAGGCTAACTTGTTCCAGTTATATTATATAAGCGTTACGACACGTGATATTGATTACTAACTACAGCTAAAATCCAACGTCATCCCAAGAGAACACAAGGATAAACAGAGGGTTATACTCCCACGGATAGCATAACGCCGCAAGAGCGCTCGCTCAGTCATTGGGAGAAGAATACAATTCAGTATCCTGGATCCCACTAGAACTTTCTGGATGTAATCTCTACGCGAGGCTCGAGCCGTGTAGTTCGTGAGAAGCGTTTGGCACAAACCGTCATAGCTCAGCGGCAATCTCTTTCCTATCCTCTGATACCCTTATTACGCCATTGCTCTATCAGTTTGGAACCTCCAAAGTGATAAGGGAATGCAATGGGCAGTAGCACTTCGTCATCACAGGCAAACTTCCCGTATTCAGTTACTTGACGTTTGCCATCAGGGCGGCAAATGTTTTGGATGAAGAGATATATTTCTCACTCATTCCTATAGACCACTTTATCTTCTTCTACTTGAAACTATGCTGGGTTAAAGAACCGAGATATTTCCAATAATGCGCCTTGATTGCTTACTTCATTCATCAAGATACTGATTAGCATTGAGGACACTCTATTAGGGTATATAGAAGCTCTAACGGCGTCTTAATCTCGCCTGCCGTCGTATTTGGAGCAGATTTAGCACCACTAAACTCGATAATTTATACAGTCATATCTCCTGGCTGCCCATATGTCTAGAACCATCCTTAGACCACTTCAGAAGCTGACTTTGTCCGTGTTCAGGCGGGATCAGCCATCAAATGGCTTCACAAAAGACAAGGCGAAGCTGCAGGACTCGTACTTTCTTGATGAATATGGTCTGACCAGCCCTGGTGAAAACAATGCTGGTGAAGATGAGGACGGTGATGGCATGGCATTCCTGGAGAGCCTCCTCGTTCTTGGTGAAGATGATAAGAGAACTTCCAGTCAGGGCCTGACGGCGGCCGGACTGGCCAATATCCTTACTTTATTCCCAGATATATGCCCTCGATACATCACTACCCTCTACCAACCGATGTTGGCGAGGAAACCAGAAAATTTTGAAGGAGCTTTGATCGATGCAATCCTCAAGGAAGCTACTTACATAACTGTAAGTGGTTCAAGGCAAAAGCGGGAGGATATGGCTAAGGATGTCCATTGGGGTAAAGAAGACAACCTCACGAGAAACAGTCGGTATTGGAAATGCTGGTATGCTCTTTTATTCTCGTTAAATAACTTTCCTCTTTTTTTTTCCCGCCTGGCTAAACCTGACGCGTACCATCTAGCAAAGCTCTTTTGAAACTCGACTTTCCTCTGGTTCCCACAGACTACATAAAAGAATATTTAGAGGTAACGAATGATTGCTTGTACAATGCCTACCTGCGATTTTACGAGGTTGAATCAACTTATGAGACATCGGATCCCAAACCGTATACCAGAAATACCGATGTCAAAAGGGAAAAATTGATGGCTTCTTTTAGGAAAGTAGTAGCCAAGTACCCGAATAGGGACATAGACCTGGAGATCAAAGATGCTAGAGCTGAACGGAAGCGTCGTATTGGTAATAATCCCCATTCAAGTGTTTACTGCAAAGGCTAAACGTTCATGTAGTTGCTCGAACCCTTAGGAAGAAAGCCTTCGAGGATGAAAAAAGGAACCTTGCCTACTATACATCCATTGGTGGGATAATTGAATGCCATTGCTGCTTTAGTGATACGCCCCTTAATCGGGTAGTATATTGTGCTGCCGCAGAAGCCCATCCATTTTGCTGGGAATGCATGAAATCCAATGCCAAAACCCAAGTTGGTATGATGAGACACAGTATCCAATGCATGGACATTAACGGTTGTGATGCGGGTTTCTCCCGTGAGGATTTGATCGAGTCGGTGGGGGATTCTCTTATGAACAAACTTTTTGACTTGCAGCAATTGGAAGAGATTCAACAAGCGGACCTCACAGACCTTGAAGAATGTCCGTTCTGTGAGTACAAGGCGATATATCCCCCAGTTGAAGAAAATCGCGAATTTCGTTGTTTGAAACCGGGATGTATGAGGATGAGCTGCCGGAGGTGCCAAAGACCTTCACATATTCCCATGACCTGCGCAGAGAGCCGAAGGGAAGACTCCAAGCATTTACGGAAGCACGTTGAAGAGGCTATGAGTAAAGCCGTTATTCGCATTTGTCCTAACAAGAAGTGCAAAGCCCCGATTATCAAAGAAGATGGATGCAATACCTTGAAATGTCGCAAATGTTCCACGGTCATGTGTTATGTTTGCAAGCAAAATATCTCGCGGGTGAAGGAAAGCCACTTTGATCTGGTGAGAAGTTGTCCCATAGAGGATGACGACTACTTGCAAGAGAGACATGAGCGAGAGCGGATGACGGCACGAAATGCGGCAGTTGAGAATCTTCTAAAGGACAACCCCGAGCTGAACGAAGAAGACCTTGGTGGCGAGCTTATCAAACGTCGAACAGTACGCGACGGATTGCCGATTGTATACCCTGAAGGCACGCCTGACACTAGCGAAATGGCGCTCTGGCCGTTTGGACGGCGTATAACTTCTGGAGCTCAGCCTGACCGTCCGCGGCAGCATTGGCCACAGCTACGCGTACGATGCCCACCAGCAAATGAAGACACCCAACTGCCCATCAATTATGAATGCCAAGCTATAGAAACAATTGGCGTATTTCCAGAGCTACCTCGGGGGGATATTGAAGGCTATAGTGACCCGCTGCCGCAGTATTTTTCGTTTTATGCATATGCACCGTATCCGCTACCACCGGATCTCCCAGTCATTCGATATGAGAGGGGTCAGCACAAAGCATAACCAACCCGTACAAAGTAGAATAGTCATTCTGTGAATTTTTGTTCCTTTTTTATTCGAACTGATTTCTCTTGTCGTTCCTCCTATCCATATCTCCAAGTCTTAACAGCAGTCGGCCTCCTTTCTGTCGTTAACTCGCTTTTTCTCCTCCTTTAGTCTAAAAACAGATGCCATGGTTCAGTTCATTTCTCGTACGCAGTTTCTTCCACACAGTGTAACATATTTCTCGTCCTCCGGGCTTGGGTTTCTACGCGGCTTATGCCACAAGGCTTCGTAGACGTGAAATTGGCTAAATAGTATATCGCGAGCAGTATGAATATCTCCAACTATTTCGCGCGGTTATCGACATCAAACTTGTCCCTAGCTTCTTCAATCCAGACCTCAAGCTTCATCTCCCCTGCGTCAATGGCTCGTACAGGCACTGTCTTCGCCTGACAACTGCTCGTTTCGTATCTAGTACGCTCAGGTTCCGGTTCAGCAGCTATCCACTGCTGGTCATCTTTGTCCATACCGGCCGGCGCATCGGCGTCCGGGCCTAAGACCATATGCAGGGTAGGCAAGTACTCCTCATCAGGAGGTAAAGGGGCCAACCTCCCACAGGCTGAGGTTAGCCGGTGCAGCACAGCACGAAACTGCGCCTCTAGATCGACTTGCGGTATACTCATGCCTTCTCTCTGCTGCTGTTGCCTGGAGCTCGCAAATGGAGTATGTATGTCTCCTGGGGCAACTTGGGGGATCTGAGAGAGGTCGAAGGTGAACTTCTCCACGGCTTTATTGGATGAGACCGAGAGTATGACTACCGCCACTGAGGTGACGGTTGACTTGATCAGCTGTGTCTCGACCGCGGCACAGGCATCATTGACCCAGCTGCAGACTTTGGGATGCCGTGACTGGCGCACTGGCTGGTTGAACTGCCTGACGGACAAGAAGGTGGACTGGGGGTATATGGACCGCAGGTAGAGGATCTGGTGTATGCTGACAGCGAGAAACGAGGAGAAAGCCGAAGCCAGAGCAGCGTAGGTCTCTGGAGGGCGACTTGACTCTGCCATTGTCCCTGTCTTGCTCTAATGGCCGCCGAGTAATAAATGCTTTTGTCTTTGAGATGTTGTTTCGTTTTAATATCTCGGAAGTTGTGAGTTTGTGATCATCCCCAACATTTGACTTTAACCTAAGGAACTAACATCGCGGACTTCGCCTTTTAAGAGTTATTGTGCTACCATCGCTATTATTTTTAGTAGGATTTAACGCCCGATTGGGGGATCGTATAAGAATCAAAGCGGCCGAGTACAAGGAGATACATTCCTTGGAGATTATATAATATGTTCATTCAAATAATAAAGACATCGAAATAATAAGTAGCTAGAATGTAACGCTTCTCTGGCCGTTCCCCAACCCTAAGGCCATTCCCAATGCTAAAGTAAATACAGAAAGTGATATAGATCGTTCGGGACTTTTATGAATGGTTGAACCAGCGCCTGGTATCAAACCTTGAATCTTACTTTCTCATCAACTCGGCTGCCACGTTGCGTCAGCGGAGTGGAGAGTGGACTTCGATATATGACCGCTCTCATGCTGTCCAATACGTCGAGATTCTTCTGTCCCCGCATTCCGGGGGTTTAGTACTTCAAACTCGATATCGCAGTCCATGGTAAATGTTATCGTTTCGGTCTGGCTGTCAAAAACCTTGGAAACCTTAGTATTGCTCTTGTTCTTGTTCTCCTCTCCGGGACGGGGTGCGCTGATTCTCAGCACAAACGAGTTCAAGAACGAGAAGAACGTTGGTCCAATCTTCTTCGCCGCAAGGGAGCCGAGGAGAGCAGGGAAGTAGCGCACAATAAACGGCTTAAGAGATGCCAACGAGGCAGCGATCTAGGAAGCTGTTAGCCGGGCCAATAAATATACTTGACATCGACTGGAACATACCACGCCGAAATACATCTCAATCGTTCCAGAGATCCAGAGGGGATAGCCGGTCCACGTCTTATCGTACGAAGTGTTTAGCTTGTGGAGGAAGTAAGCTCTGAAGCAACCGGCAATGCAGACCACGAAACCGGCACCGAAGAGGACGCAGAGCATGACCCTCTGTCTGGTAGTTAGCTTGAGGGACATGACGGTAGGAAACGGCAAAAACACCACGCTGACATCGATGAGGGTGTTCAGTATACCGCCACCCAGGAGATGCGCAGTTTCATTGATGCATTCTTGAGGCTGGGTCGAGAGGGCCCAGTAGGCGGAGACTGGGCTGGAAGCAGCAGCGAAGTTAGCAGAGCAACACTCTATATCATAGAAGATGGGTAAACACAGCTACTATGCAAAAGACTATCATTTCCAGTGTGACGATGGTTGCGTTCGCGATGATAAGGATTCGCATAACGCGCAAGTTCAAACCCGCTGTCAGCTTATGGCTGAAACATAGCAGCGAGAGCTTGGTGAATGTGCAGCTGACAGCAAACAGGCACTCTATCAACATGGTCAATTTTAGCCCTATGACAAGATGCGCAAATGGCACGTCGTATACATGTCTATTCCAGCCGTACTTGATGGAGCCCAGGATCGTAATGGTCCCACAGCCAAGTGTCGGAATCACGGCGGCTATTATGAAGACATCGTCCCAACCGAAGCTCTTCGATAAGTGGATGCGGCTGAATATGCGGATGAAAATAACAAAAAGCATCAACGATGCAAATATCGAATTGAGTATAATCACGAGTGGCCCACGAACTTCCGATGGATTAAGTATCACTGAGGCTGGAGGGAGCTGCATTGTATGCTGTCAGATGCCGGGTCTCAATGACGGTGTCGGCAGGAATGCTGCAAGTCGTCAATGAAACATCGCAAAGCGAGGTAAGAGAAGAATTCAAAAGACATTGCAAGACAGTCAAGTTATTAGGGGGTAAAAAAAAAAAAAAAAATAAAAAAAATATTGATAGCAAGCACTTGAGCCTCTGAGTATACCTGGTTAATCGGAGGATTCATGGATGAGGTCGGCATAGAACTGACTCGAGATGTCCTTTGCTGATCCGGCTAGAAATTGTTCGAGACATACGGGATGAGGAGGCCATTTTTGCCATCAAAGGTCTGTTCATTATCGAAGGGCAAGGGATCATCCCCTCCATCTCTGGTTCTCATCCCGTTCTTCTCGAGACTGCTCGATTCTGGTGTTCGTTCTCCGGACAAGTCCTGCCATCACTCAAGAGCCTATAATTGGCCGCCGTCGTATGCTGCCATGATTGACATTCATAGTTATCCCGAGACCGCGGCGCTAGCCAGGCTGGACAACTACCCCCGCAATAGGGGCTAGCTTACAGTGGTGTTTCCCCCACGCATACAACTACTTAGGTACGGGGTAACTAGCCGTTCACAGGGTTGGTTAGCTTAGAGTGGATGGCAGGGATGAAAAAGCCATAGCTGACCTACAAACTTAACATATCTAACCACGAAGATCGTAGGCTTGCCTGCAGACGCTGTGTTGACAGTTCAGAAGCACTGCTGGCGGAGCGATCCGTGATGCCCTCTCTGAAGAATCAAGCTATCATTGACAATATATTGTTGTAGGGAAGATCATTGAGGCACACTTCCCGTGCATAACTAGTGCGATCTGGTGGCTGGTGGTGGCTTGCTGTAGGTTTTAGACATCACTCGCTTGAAACGAATAAGTTAGGTGTCGTCCAGGTGCATTTCTTGGACACAGAAAAGGGCTTTCTGGAATAGCGAAGGAGCATTCTGGCAGTTAATAGTCCGAAGCCTGTCATCAGCCACCAATGTACTCCGTACAGAGAATGGTTACTCCCGTTGCGCTGTATACCTTTATTAACTATCAGTATTGCACCAGGAACATACAATAGTTGATATGATTAAGTCCAAGGCATAAGCCGTTCGGAATAAGCACTTATCCTTGACTTCATACTCATCAGATTGCGGGATGGAATCGGCTTTCCAGTTCAATCGTGTTCATGTCCTCCTGATATGCAGGTTGTTTTTTTTGCGGAGCCGGCGCTTAAAAGAAATTTTAAGTTGGAAGCATCAGGTGACTGCAGTAATAAGATTTTATTCCGCGGCTAGTGCTTTATTAGCTAGCCAATAATAAATTTTAATACAGAGTTAACAAAATAGAAGTAGTGTTCATTGGTTGGAAGGGCAGCATATATTTGGAATCTACGTTTTCCACCAATACATATCGGAGTATTTTTGAAAAGGCATTTCACGTAGTGTTTTGACCAATAGAATTCCATTATCTTGTAACGAAAAACGAACGTCAAAAATGTCATCAGCTTCGTCTATTGATAAAAACAGCCCTTCTATGATAAAAGTACGTATAAAACGCAGAGAAATGAAATGAAACTCGGAAAGACGAAGATGGTAGGAGGATAGAAGTAAGCTGTGTCCTTGGTGGACATATCTTCTAGATATTATGTGGTATAACTCTATGTCTGACCCTGCTTTGGTGTTGGTATCCATATTGATATCTACAACTGGGCACCGAGTTGAAGTAACAAGTAAAAGAGTATAGTTATGTAGCTTCTCATGAAATTTCTATGCAAGGTATAGAGAAATCCTTGCTATTTGCTTTGGGTGACATGATATTGGTAGGCCTCGAGGCCGCATCTGCATAGAATTGAACACCCCAATTAGCAGCCAAAGCAGACCTCCATGTAACTATAAAGTGACATTTCTATATATTCACTGTAGTTTCTCTTCTTCTCTCACTAGTTATCGAATATCCTCTTTGTTCATTCATTCATGCGTCTACCACTCCTTTCACCTCTGTTGTAGTAACTTCACTAGCTAACTAGTTAGCTACCCAACTGCCCCGCCAAAAAGGGAAACTAACTAGCTAGTTATTTAGGGAAATATTTCAACCTCAACGTCGCGAAACCAAACAACATCGCGGCTCGCAACCATCCCAAGGTCAACGCGACCTTTTCCCTCCCTCAGCTTGCTCACTAACCGGTAGATCGGGCTTCATCATGGATCAAGAGCTCATCCAGCTTCTCTCCGATACCCAGAGCGCCGCGGCGGAAACTCGAAAGGCCGCAGAGGTTCGCCTGCAGAGCCTCTACTCGAACGAGAGCTTCCCCCTATCCCTCGCCTCGATAGCTTCGCACAGCTCGGTTCCTGTTCCCTTGCGCCAGTCCGCCCTTGTCCTCCTTCGTACGTTCATCAATTCAGCATGGTCCTCGCAGCTCGACGATTTCAAGGGCCAGGTCCTGGTCAGCGACGCGAATAAGGCACATCTCAGGCGCGTTCTTCTTGACCTAGCTACATCTCCGGAGCAGGATGACCGCAAGGTCAAGAACTCAGCCAGCTTGGTCGTCAGCCGTATTGCCAGCGCTGACTTCCCAGAGGACTGGCCCGAGATTCTACCCACCTTGCTGCAGATCATTCCCAACAGCACAGATGCACAACTCCACGGTGCCCTGAAGGTCCTGTCTGACCTCGTGGAGACTGGGTTCAGTGAAGAGCAGTTCTTCAAGGTGGCTAGAGAGCTTGTGTCGACCGTGTTCAACGTTGCGACCAACGCCTCGCGCAAACCGGTGCTGCGGGCACTCGCTGTGTCCACTTTTAGAGCCTGTCTTGATACTTTGGAGATGGTCCTTGAGCAGCATAAGAACGAGGTTAAACAATTTATGGACGAGGCTCTGAACGGATGGCTTCCATTCTTTATTGCTACCATCAAGGAACCACTCCCTCCTATGCCCTCAGAGGAAGACGAAGCCACAGATGCTCCTGGCCCACAGCAATGGCGTGGTGTTATTGCCCTGAAATCACAGGTTGTTAAGGTTTGTACCAACAAAGAACACAGCAATATAAGGAAGGAGGGCTGCTAATACTCGAATTCAGACCATTATGAAAGTTCGATCTGTGCTGCCATCCCTCCTCACAACTCAAAGCACCACTCTCTTCCATACTATTTGGACTGAGTTGACTACGATTCAAGACGCATACCAACAGCTCTACATTCAAGATGAGAGGCAGGGTCGTCTCGAAGATGCAGATAATCTTCCATACACACTTGACTTCTTGGTTCTTGAAGAGTTGGACCTTATGCAGGCTTTGCTCCGCGCGCCCCCAGTCAGAATCGAGCTGGAGAACCAATTGAAACTATCCGGAGCTACCTCGTCTACAAGCTGGCTTCCTGAGATGATGAAACTGGTTATATCATATGCCCAGATCACTACTGAAGAGGAAGGTCTGTGGGATATTGACGTCAACTTGTACCTTTCTGAGGAGACTTCCGTTACTGCAAACTACACTCCTAGAACTTGCGGTGGTGACCTTGTCATCAGACTAGGAGAGTGGCTCAAGCGTACTGTCGTTGATGGCCTACTTGCATACACGAATGTTCTCTTTTCGGACCCCAGCACTGGGTATGTACCTCCCCCTCACAGTTGACTCTGCGTGACTATCATGGCTTACATATTTTAGATGGAAATACCGTGAAGCGGCTCTTTTCATTCTCAATCAGTTGCTTCGAGATTTGAACGATGTGGATCAAACAATTTCTGCCGACCTTGCAACCAGTTTTAACGAATTTGTCAAGTTCTGTATCCAGCGGGATGAAGTCTTCCTCCGGTCTAGAGGCTATCTTGTAGCAGGTGCCATTGCTCAGACCGCCGGAGAGGGATTCAACCAGTCTGCTGTGCCTTACCTCGAAGCTGCTATCCAGGCTATCCGAAATGACCCTTCGGAGGTGGTCAAGGTTTCCTGCGTTTGTGTCCTGCAGGACTTTCTGCCGGCCCTCCCCCAAGCTACGGCCTCTCCTTTCCAAGTGCCAGTGCTATCAATACTAGCAGACTTTATTTCTAGCCATGATCTACGTGATTTCTCAGAAGGAGATGATCTTAAATTCACGCTGGCGGATACCTTACGTGATACCATCATGGTGGACGCTAACATCGTCCTGACCTCCACCGCGCTTGACGTTCTTTTCAACATTGCCAGTGCTGGTGCAGGAAACTTCCAATTGGCGATGATTGTGACGGAAACCTTTGAGCAGATCGTTGAGCACATTGCTGGTCAGGGAGCAGATGCATATATCAGGCTCTGCGAGAAAGTGCTTCCCCCTTTGACCGGGGCTCTGGATGTCGGGAATCTCACCCAGGAGAACTCGTTAACGAATTTGGCAACCGATCTTTTACGAGCTCTCGCTCAGAATGGCTTGAAGCCACTCCCGCAGGGCCTAATCGCAACCGTATTGCCGAAATTGAACCGGCTATTGCTCGAATCTGGAGATAGCGAACTCCTTCCATCCGCAACCTTGGCCGTCATACACATGCTGGAACGTGACCCTGACCAGTTCCTTGCCTGGCAGGACCCGCAGACAGGCAAGGGTGCTGTTGAGACGGTTTTGATTATCATTGACCGCCTTCTTGGTGAAGCTGTGGATGACAACGCTGCATCTGAAGTAGGTGAGCTTGCTGCTGAATTAGTTGAGAAGGCAGGCTCTGAGAAATTGGGCCCATATCTACCTCAACTGCTACGTGCTGTCGCCCAGCGACTTGCCACTGCTGAGAAGGCACAGTTGATTCAAAGTCTCATCCTTGTCTTTGCTCGTCTATCCCTTGTCAATACTAGCGAAGTAATCGACTTCCTCGCTCAACTCGACATCAATGGCCAATCTGGCCTTCAAGTTGTCTTGGCCAAATGGCTCGAAAATTCGGTCACTTTTGCTGGATATGATGAAATCAGACAGAATGTCATTGCACTTTCTAAGCTCTACCAACTTGATGATCCCCGCATTGCCGAAATTCAAGTCAAAGGCGAGCTTATCATCCAGGACACTGGCAGAATTAAGACCCGTTCTCAATCTCGTAAAAACCCAGATCGGTACACTATTATCTCAGCACCTTTGAAAATCATCAAAGTCCTGATCGAAGAACTATCTTCTGCGTCCGGTGGTCGAGATATTCGTGGAGCTGCAGCCTTGTCAGGAAGCCAGCTGGATGAACTAGAGAGCGACGATGAGAACGACGACTGGGAAGATCTCCCATCTAACAACAACTTCCTAGACTTGAGTCTCGGTATCACGAAACAGGAATTGATGGGTTATGCTGCTGAAGACGATGATGGTGCCTTGGCCTCGAGACAGAGAGATGATGAGACACAGGCGTTCTTGACCCAGTTCTTCGCCGAGACTGCCCCTACCCCCAGATTCCAGCAGATTTTTGCTGCTCTTACCCCAACCGAGCAAAGCAGACTGCAGAGCCTGTCTTCATGATTTAAAGGCGCCTTGGTAACCCTTTCCCATGCTAATTTCTACGATTCAATACATGACCTAATGAAAATGCCCCATAAGAAGATTTCAAGACAGCAATGAAACAAAAGATTGCCCTTTTATTCGGTTTTTAAACCAATAAACCATAATGGATAGTCTCGTAGACCATTAAACGGTAGAAAGAATTAGAAATTAATACACCATTCCCAAAGCTGTTGCCCTACATCGCTGGCCATCAAAACATCCCACTAGTACAGTTCATGCCACTTTGAAACCTCATCCTCTTCGTCGGAGCTTCTCACACTCACTGAATAGCCATATCCTGCGCGCCGTCTCGCGCGCCGACCACCAGCCATATTATCAGTATCATAAGCTCTCACAACCCTCGTGCGAGTATGCGTTGATCTTACTCTTCTCTCCACCCGTTTCGCAACCTCGTTAGCTTCAAGGAGACTCACAAGCTTCCGCTTTTTCTGGTTCAGTCGGCCCCAGACTCCAAGACATAATTTATAAAGGGAAGAATGATCGCATGTGTCTTGCTTAGTCTTGGAAACAAATGATTCAGGGTCCTTGCTCAAAACGGCCGGGGAGTAATCCGGTTTTCTCCATTGGGGTACATTTGTACGCTCTGGTAACTTTGGAGAGGTCGTAGTGGCGTTGGTAGTCCATCCATCTCTCACGAGATCCATAGGGGTAGTTCCCGTTGAGTTCTCTATGGTGAGAAGCTTGGGGTTGCATTCCAACATCAACCTGACGATCGGAGTAAATTTCTCCCTCACAGCAATGTGAAGAGGCGTGTTTCCGGATCCATCAAGGAGTTCAAGGTGAGCTTGGCCCGTTGGTTTGGCAAAGTCAAGTAGAAGCTTCGTTATTTGGACGGGGGTGCCGCTAACCCGTATATGGTGTGAACTTAGGTGATTTATCCAAGCAGCGAAAGGTGTCAGTGCTCCAGGGCCATCGGCCGAGCGGCAGGTAAGGAGTGAAGAGACCACTGAAGGATCGATCAAGTCCAGGAGCTCCTTTAGATTTGTATCCAAGGAACTGTATGAACCATTCGGTTTGTTTAGGATATGGAGGATATTATTGCCCAGCACATCACGAGCCTCCACGTTGGCGCCAGCCTCAATGAGAACCTTAGCAAAACGGGGTCTGCGTTTGGAAAAGGCAAGGAGTAAAGGAGTGTATCCTTGAGAGGATTTCTTTTCGAGACAGCTTGGCGCGTTTTCTATAATATAATTGACCAGTTTCAGGCTCTCATCTGTTTCTCTGCCCATAATGGCACAATGCAGGAGCAAGTCGTCTGAAATGAGGAAAGCAATGGATCAGTCTTGAATATCACTGATAGAGTGCTGATAGAAGTGGAAGAACTTACTTCTTGAGCTAAGCCATTTTTCAATGAATTTTTCTACTCCGCCAGGCAGCTGTGATAGCTTTCTTAGCCGCTTATCCTGCTTGTTGGAGTTTGCAAACTCCATATAATGTCTCTTGGGGGCAGTGCTGAGGAACCATTCGACATTGACCAGACTGCCAGCCAGAGCAGCACGGAGAAGTGGTATGTCCGATTCGCTGCTTATGCGTGAAGGGGCATCTTGGCCTGCAGCTGCAGCCCAGTCCTCGCGCTTCTTCCCGTGAATCGACAGACCTTGATAATACTTTGGCTTTTGCTTGATAGTGATTCCACCCTCTTCCACAAACTTGTCCAGTGGTAGGTGAGCTCCAGTCCGGCTAATGATCAAGGCAATGCATCGTGGCTGTCCGTCTCTTAGGGCGTCATTGAGATTTGTGCTGGAGAGCAATTCGTAAGGGCCATCAAAGGCACCACTAACAATTTCAGATTGTCCAAGATCCAGCAGGAACCGCAGCAATTCAATATTGTCCTGCCCAACGGCAAAGTTGAAAAGGTTTATATGGCTCAAAGAATGCTCAGTGGCACTGGGATCTGCAATAAGACTGGCTCGGCAACTCTGTTGAAGGACATCGAGCGGTGAAACGTTGCTTTCTGCCTGTGTTGCAACTTCACCAATGTTATCAATGGTAAGTTCATCACAAACGCCCTCACCAGTGATCTGAAGCCCATCTTCTTCCTGCGTCCCTCCCGCATCAGATTCATCTTCTTCATCGTCAGATTGCATATGATAGGTCTGTCGAGTAGCAGCCTTTGGCTTGTACTGTGCTCGAACAATTTGAAGAATGGCCTTTGCAACATCAAAATGACCCCTAAGGACAGCTATCGAAAATGGAGAAGCTCCCATGCTTTCGTTCACGGAGATTACGAGAGGAGACATTTGTTTATCGGGACCCCACATGTCGAGCGTTAGTGACTTGATGGTCTCTATATCACCAGACCATGCAGCTTCAAATCTATAAGGGTAATGGTTAGTGCTACTTGAAAATGCGAAAATAAAACAGCTCCTTAGCCCTGTATCAGAACTTACAGTTTTATGTAACCTTCCTTCCTCCCGCCGGAAAGATCAGCCGCATTAAAATTGAAGTCAATCTTGAATTCTCCAGGTTTACCTGGTGTAAATACCCTAGACTGTCTGTGGTTCATGCAAATGGCATCTGGATGTAGCTCTTTGAATGTTTTTGCTCCCTTCATGATCAAAGCCGAGTGAAGTGCTTGGAAATCATGCAGGAGGGCGGTAATGGCATCGCTCTTTTCTTCCAAACCTTTGCGGTTCTTAGCCTCTTGAATTGCCTTCTCATATTCTTCCTGTCGCCTCTTGAAAGAAGCCTTTTCTCGCTCAAGACGCTCTTTGGCAAAGCAAAGCTGACAGCTACCCTCGGGATATTCGGCCAGATATACCTCGTCACTCTGCAATGGAGTTGGTGGTATATTCTTGCAAGACTCTTTATAGTCCTGTAGAAGGCAGATTTTTGCATCAACAAGATCCATTAATGACTCACCCGGGTTGCTAGAATGCTTCTCCGAAAGTATAGTATATCCAAAGGTTGATAATGTGTTTGGATCCACTCCATTCTGAAGCAATTTTAGGGCAACCAAGGGTTGATCCGTCAGGATAGCAGCTACAATTGGCTGTATAACATTTTGTTGGAAGCTTTTGAGGTTGGCATCGGCATCACGAGTCTTCAGCCACTCACACTGGCGAATAGCAATCTGTATATACTTGCTAAAGTTGATATCTGGAGGCGCTCCGAGGGTAAGGAGTTTCTCGACTATATCAGAGTGCCTCGAGTCCACGGCAACAGTTAAAACAGATTCGACATAGGTTCTATAATAGACATCTTCAACGGCTAAGTGATCTATTGCCCTTTTGACAGCAGACGGATCATGCTTTATAAGGACATCAAAGAGCGCTGGACGGCGGCGGGCAGCGAAGTAGTGTAAAGGAGTTCTTCCGGTTGAATCGGCTTGTGCTGGGGTGGCACCAAGCTTCAGGAGAGCCTCAGTCATGATAACAGCCTGATCTTGGGATAGCCTCAGGGGTAGAGTTAAGGGGAGAATCGACACTGGGTCCAGATGGTTGATCTTAGGAAGCTTTATGGGAAGAAGAACATCTGCTCCAAAGGCGGAAACAAGTTCCTTCACAACTTCTGTATGACCATGGACTATGGCAAGATGCAAGGGGGTTGCATGACAGTCCCAAGCATCGGCGTTAATATCTATGATATCCGGCTCAGATTCGTCAATGTCATCGGGAATGGCTTCCTCGTTTCCCATTTTAACATCTTCCTTTTTAACGTCAACAAATGAACCTGTTATCAAGGACATTTTATCCTCATCAGAGTCCTCAAGGTCTTCATTAACAACCACCATATTATCAGGGTCGGTCATGTCAACATCTTCGGTTTCGGCTTGAGTATTTGACTTTGCCGCACGTTGCTGGTCCTTTTTCTCTTCTTCTGCTTCTTCATTCTCCTCGCTCTTGTGGAGTAAAATGCGAACAATGTCAACACTACCGCGCTCCGCTGCGAGATGTAAAGCCATGCGTCCGTCTGCAAGACGTGCGATTAATCGCGCTCCATGGTCAACAAGACACTGTACGATCTCCGGAGTAGAAACCATGGTCGCTAAATGCAAAGGAGCTCTTCCAGTGTGATCACGGCGGTTTGGATCGGCATCATCCCTTGTAAGCCATTCACGTACGGTTTCAACGTCATTATCGGCAATGGCCTGGAATAGTTGAGCAGTGTTGCCAATGTAGGCCATTTCTGACCCCGATGGTTAGCCGGTCTGAGCAGTAAGTATGATAGAGATGTGTAAGGTGATGCGTACCAGTCCAGTCTGTTTCAGTAATCGGGTTGAAACTTCCAATTGCTTGTCGACCTGGGTCATCTTTGATAAACGTGACTTCACCCGAGATATAGACCTTACTCTCCTTTTCCCATACTTCTTCCTCTTCAGGGGTCGAGGGCTTAGGACATGAGCCACAGCAGTCATGAATGATATCCTCGACATCACCAAAGAACACTGGATGTCGATGAAGTGCAACCTCTCGCTCTTGATTATTCCATTCGGCGTTTAAAAGCAGATCATGGGTATATAGAAGCTTTTCAATCTTCCTTGCATGGAACTTTTCACCATATGGGATTGTCTACACCAAAGTGAGCATAATAAGTAGTGTTTAGGAAAAACAGAAGAACTTACGATTGTATGATAATCGGAGATTTCCTCTTCATCCACCCATTCTGCCACTTCATCCTCCCAGTCGTTTTTGATATTACCCCTTAACTTTCGTATATTCCGGTAGGAGCTAGTGTGTGAAGGAGGGCGGCCTCGCTCCGCACGTCTCTTTTGCGTATACTCCTCTCGATCCCTCGACGTTGGCAACTGTTCTAGAACAAGCAGTCGAGCTAAACCAGTTGTTCTCATAAAACTCCGTTCAAAAATTGTCTGTCATCCAAAGTTAGGGTGGGTAAACATCCTTATGATTATATGACACTCACAGGATCAATGCGGGATCTATCGAGCTGAGGCCAAAACACTTCAAATCCACGATGCGAGTACTTTGACAGACGGTTTTCATAAGATGGTGAACGTCTCGTTAGATCAATCTGGTTCGTCTGTGTGATAAGCGCAGCAACCGCGCGAGGGGCCGCATAGACGTTCTTGCCATCGTATGCCACGCAAGAGCAATCAACATCGAAACCGGTGATAACCTCTGCAAGGGACTTGTATATGCGTAAAACCACTTGGACATGGCGAGTGGGATACTGGGAGACGATGGTAATAGTATTTTTCGTCCTGATGGAAGTCGTCTCGTACAAGATGGAGTCCTTGATCTTCCGCTCAATCTGCTTGATCTTCTCGATTGTCTGCTCCTCGTTTAGCCCGTAAATGAACAGGTCCACATCAGATGCAGGAGCGAACTTTTCGTGATAGAAATGACGAAGCTGCCGTTTAGATTCCTTGTATTCATCTGGCACAGGGAGCAGCGCTGTCACCACAGAACTTCCCGCGGCAATGACATTACTCCAATCAAGATCGCTCAGAGAACTCTCAGAAAAGAGGTTGAAGTTGGTCTGGAATTCTTTGAACGATGTGACGACGGCTGGGGAACCATTGGGTCTCCTATCCTCGTCTTTCAGGGGTAGAAGATACTTGTCAGTGAGTTCCTGCGGCTCAGAGTCCAGGTCCCGGGCCTGAACACGGAGATCGGCAACGCCATCAGCTCCATACAAAGGGACAACATTGACGTGATTGTCGGTCAAGATGGGATTAGAAGGCTCCTGGGCAAAAATCTGACGTAAAGCTGAGTCGTACTCGTTGTATGGTTTGAGGAGCTCATTGATAGGGGTATTGGAGTTCGCTTTGACGTAACAGAGAAAGTCGGAATGTTTTGCGGGAAGTTGGGGGAGAGAAGACATATCCAATATCTTTGTTTAGGAGCTAGTCACCACGAATGGTGATAGTTAATGTAAGAATAATGTCGGCAACTAAAAAAGCTCTCAGGGGAACTTGTCAGGGAATTGGCAGCCAGATGGAATGAATTGTCTGATAGAAGCCATCCAGACAGAGGGCCTCTACCTGACCTTATAAAGATATACATCTGCTGCCAACGATGATGATCGCCCCTTTTGGTCCCGTATCCAAGCCTCCTAGTTCAAGGCAGCAACGGGCCTAAAACACGTGATGGGGCTTTATTCATGGTGAATTCGCGACTGGAGCCTTGGGCTAACGCGTAAGAAGGCAGCAAGGGGGTTAGCGAAGGATGGAGGGGACGGCATGGCAGCCTGGAGTGGCCAAGTTTTGGGCCGTTGTTCGAAGTGTTGATAGGGCGTGGAGATGCGACTTGAGCCTCAGCTCGCTTAACCTTCCCGCCCAGCAGAGTTTATGCTCGAAGGATGGGAGAGGATATCTGCACTAGTCGGAAATTTGGTCAGGCGGTCATCCAGGGGGTAAGCTCCGAAATTCCGTGATTCCAATTCAAAATAAGGGGGTTGTGCGTGTGATATCACTGAATTATATATATATATATATACAACTAATTGCCTCCGACAAGAGACTGATGCCTGGACGCTCATCCCAACAACCAACTTGCTTGCTGAAAGAATCTAAACCAAATATACTCCGGAAACCAAGAACAAGAAAGTAGGAAAACCTGAACAAGAGAAGCAGAATTCGATTATCAATTTCCCGTCGTGGGGGATTTTTGGCTGGTGGTGCCAGCATCTTCTCCGGGATGCCCGTTCGGAGCTGTTGCCGCTGATGTTTCCATGAGCTTGTCAATAACTTGCTGGATTGTATTCACTGCTGGACCCATGCCGGCTTCATCCCATTGTCGAAGAGTAAACGTGTCGCGGACTTTGGATTTGATGATCTCCCAGGAGGTCCTGACCTTGGCTTTGGACTCCTCATCCATTCCCGTAAGCTCGACCTCAAGGCCTTCATACTTTATATCCTTTCGGTCCTCCAACTCCTGGTCGGTCTTTTTAGAGTCCTTTTTTGCCCGCTCAGTAAGTTCTCGAAGCTCGGCTTCTGTCTCTTTCAATCGACGCTCCAGTTCCGCATTCTGGCGTAGCGCATTTTCAGCTCGTTTGGTCTCTGAGAGACAGGCCTTCGCCCGCTGATGTATTTTGGTAAAATCTTCCGCGGTGACTAAGTCAAGAAGCTTAGCTAGTCCATCGTCTTCAGCCATGGCATCATCTTCGTAGCCTAAACGAACGGGTCTACGGCGAGTCCTAGCAGGGAGGGTTCGCCGTCTCTTCGAGCTTGGTTCGTCCCCTGGCTTATCTGTGTAATCGCGTCGGTGACGAAGTGAACGGCCGCCTTCATACGAGACGTGGCTCGCTGAGTCGTCTTCGCTCTCAGTGAATGGGGAAAGAGTCTCGCGATCTTGAAAGGATGATGCCTTTGCGCATTCACAATTGTCAGCCCCCGAGTTCAACTGGTTCTCGTAGATTCACGAATAACACTAACCGCACCAGCTGCAGCCTCTCTATTGGATGCCTTTTTCTGTTCAATCCTTGCTCTCAGGACCTATTTTTTTTTTGGGCAATGTTAGACCAATATGGACCCTACACGTTTTTGATCAGAGCGATCAAGACGGAGGAAAGCTCTGATAAGGGCAGAAAAAGCGGGAAACCGGGCACTAACGGTCGAATGCCTCCAAAGTAGAGCTGCTGTGGTGCGATGGGGGAAGAATTTCTACAGAGCCAGGAAGAAAAGGCCATATTAGTTAGTATTAACTGGACGATACACCCGGACAGCTAACCTTGCGCAGCTGGGTAGGGGATATGAACCCTTTGAAATTCTTCCCACGACATGTCTGGGTTCTCAATCCTGAGATTTACAAATCTCGCATCCTCCTGCTCGCCCCATCGCTCGCCGCGCTGCTTCTTCCCGCTGCCGCTCGCGGTTGCAGGCTGCTGTGGCGCCGGAGAGTCCATCGTCCCTTGTCTCTGTACTCTGTACGTCGGTACTAGGTCTTTCAATCCGCAGTGCAGCAGCCGCGCAGGGACGTCGAAAGAGCCGGGATATGCCAAGGGCGCGCTGCCTGGTACGCAAGGACACGAACCGAGAGCACTCGAGCCGGCGATGTGACTGTGACCGCGTTGTTGTTTATGCAGCTTGTCGTTGCTTTCTTTTCTTGCGATGTTTTTTTTTTTTTTTTTCCCTTTGGTCGATCACATGATCAACACTTTTCACAGGGGCTGAAGAATGAACAGATTTCAAATTTTAAAAAGGGGGAGGAGGATATATTATGGTCGGGAGTCCCGAGTGCGGACGTATTCACGCTTGGTTCTATAGCTAGACAAGCGTGAGAGCGATAAAGTAGAGAGTTTTGATACAGTCTGGGCAAATTTTTGAGACGTAGAGTCGCAAAACGCCGAATTTGATTGAAAATTTGGTCAACCGAATTTGCGATTTGACCGGGAAATTTGGTCGATTAATATAAAACGCTCCGCACGAAGAAATGTGAAGAAAACTAGTTACATACATATTATGGTATCAATATAGATTAAGAATGTGTAGAAGATGCAGGCTTGCTGGTCGCTGATTTCTCGATGAGCCGGTCGATGGAGGTCTCCAGCGCGGACGTTTTGGGTCCCATTCCGCCTCTGTCCCATTGCTCGACAAACATGACGTCGCGGATTGCTTCCCGGACTTCTTCCCAGGCGGCCCTGACCTCTCTGGCGGTCTCTTCCACGTCTCTTAGCTTCTTCTCGGCCTGCAGTCTCTCTGCATGGGATGACCCCGACCCGCCGTTGACGCTAGCAAATGCTCCGCCACCCCGAGGTTTTCGGGGCTGTCTATTACTACTCGACTTGTCGCCATTTCTGTGGCCTGAGTCGGAAAAGTCGCTATCGCTGTCCTCAGACCTCGGCCTGCTGTGATTCCTTAGTGGTAGAGATGCCTGGTTCTGGTCCCGTAGTCTTAATTCACTGGCTGAGTGTCTCTCAAAATAGTCTAGTCTGTGGCCGCTGGGGCTGCCCGCTTCAAAGGAAATGTGCGTAGCAGCATCATCGTCGCTATAGATGGAATTCCCGCTGGGAGTAGGAGTGTAATCCCTTGGAGGAAACACCGTCTAAATGTTTGGACATGCCAATCTTTAACATCTTTGGGCTCAACCAGAAAGAGGTAGTGAAAATGAGAAAACTAACCTCGGGCAGCGTAAAGCCGGCTTTCAACAAATGCTGCACCCATCAAAATTAGCCATTGGTCATCAGCCAAAATGATGAAAAGACCAGCACTTACATTGTATTTTGACGATATGACTCCCGGGCTGGGTGTGTAATGACTGTAGAATCGCTAAATTTTTATCAAAACCATCAGTTTCAAATCAATTGATGAACGAAGGGCCGCGCTCAAAAAAAAATTATGAGAACTGGTCACTGGGGGATATTAACCCGATGAAACTCCTTCCACGTCATAGTAGGGTATTGGGTCCTGAGTCGGAATAGCCTCTCTTCCTCGTTCTTCCATCTCGAATACTTGCCCCTCTTCCCTCGCTTGCGGACGCCAGAGACCGCCGGGGACGCAGAGCCTTGGTCGGCGCTCATGTTTGGTAGAGACGGCGATGCGGCAGCCGAGCTGGGAGGTGGCATGACAATTGACCTGACCAGCAGTCGAGCGCTGAAAGAAGAGGCAGGTTAAGAGACCAACATGAGACGAAACGCAAGGGGGTGCGAATTTGGTTAATTTGGTACTTCGCTGTTATAATAAGGATGGCTGCGGTGAACAGGCTTTGTTTCAAAACGGGCTAACCAACTTCTTTGGTTGACTAGTGAATTTATCTCTGCCGACGCGTTAAATTATTAAATAACCGCCAATTCAACCCTCGGTTCGCCTGGGATGGTAATACAGCGCTATCTTGATGCTTATCGCCCTTTGCAGGATTCCTGGCTCGCCCGGGTTCGCGTGCATATAGCACCAACGTTGAATAATCAAATTGGTTGGCCATTTGGTTAGTTTGTTACGCGAGCCAATCAGTGGTTCGGCGGCGATGCTCCTTTTGATCCCCAGGGGGACGATCGATGGAGATTTGAGAAGCGCCCAGAGATGCCAATTGCTGTTCAATTACTGCTTGCAACTTTTGGTAGATACATGCATTATGCGGCCTAAAGGTGGCACAAGGCCTTATTGTGATGTCGGGTGACTATACGCAGACAAAACGACAGCTACATTGGCCATTGACGAACTCGAGTGATGAAATGTCGACTTTTGTCCGTCTTCCGTGGGCTTTTGCCGCTATCATGGATGTCTCACTTATTTATAGCTAGTTGGTGGATAGTTATAGAGTGTTCGCTATATTTGTCGGATGATGGTTATAATAGCCGTTATTATACAATTATCCACATCGTACCATTATGCACGAGGTCTCTATGTTAGAATCGCCACGAAGCTCCTCTTAAATGATAAAGAGTCGTTAAGTTCGACTTTTCAGGAGAATACGGACGGTCTGGTAACTTAGTCTGGACTGGAGGAAATAAAATATTAAGACAGTAGTTGATCAAGCTACCTAGGTATACCGCGAGTGTAATTAAAGAGCGACAGAGAAAGAAAAACAAGAGTAAAGGCGGTAGCCAACATCGAGCGAATAACTATTGGCCCCCCCATAATTTCTTCTTTTCCCAGATATTGTAACAGCTGACCGTTCGGAACCCGTTTGCAATACGGTGTATCATTTGCTATTTCATATATCGAGAATATCAGGCGTGGAGATACGAGTTGTCGTTATTTACTCCTTGCCACAGATGCAGGTGCTATGTGATGTTAGTATATATTCAGTGAATATGAAAGAAAACGTATCACTCACAGCGCAGGGTACCACCACAGTAGCCAAACTTGCGACCAATTGACTGGCACTATATACATATGTCAGTCCAAGACCTACAAGGCCGGAGGGGGGGGGGGGGGCAAAGAGATTAACTTACGTGAGAATTGCATTCTCTCTCGTTCAAGGGGCAGCCGAATCCGCGCTTTTCAAGATTCTCGGCGGCAACCTCGTCGGCTGGGACAGCAGGAGCATTGTCAACTGATGGAGCAGCGATGGCAGCGCTTCCCATGAGGGAGACAATGAGGACGGTGGCGAGCTTGGTAAACTGCATTTTGATTGTTTGTTGGGGGGTGAAGCTGAAAGGCTTTGAAATGGAGAGTTGTAGTGAAGAGTTGGGCTGGATGGTTGAGATTCTTTGCTGTTGAAATGAAAGTCGTCGAGCGAGGGAAGGGGGTAATTATGTCTTTTGAGAACGCCCTTTCAGCATGGTATCTCTGTCTGTTTTCGGGTATACAGAATCGTTGGATATGATAAGACTTGCTCCAATGACTTTGTTGGTCTAAAACGAAGCTGAAAATACCCTTTCAGGCAAATTTTCTGACATTCGTCTTTGTTTTTCTTGCTCATCATGCATCCACTGGTCGAAGTGATAATAATATGCATGACTGGGGGGCGCAAATAATGTCAACGCCGGGAAAAAAGAGAGCATTCTGTCTCCAGAAGGCTATGGGTTATGGGAAGCTCTTTGCCCGACAATAAGCAATCTTGCTGAAATCTTGGCGTTGAGAGCATATGTACTGTTATTCGCATTATTTCCATGCTCTTGGTATCCAGAAAAATGAAACATCTATCTCGTATACTTATTGCAGAGCATAAGGCGTACTGTTCAGCTCTTGGAATTCTCGAGAGAAATCTCCAATGCGCGATGATCGGTGCTAAATAAGGGTGGATTTCTCGCACCAGAGCTAAAAAGATCGACATTAGGCCCCGAGTGTCCTATGGAGTAAGTTGTTTCCCCATACCAGGATTGATCTGCAGCCTTGCCAAATAACAAGCTGACGAAGTCATAAGAAGGTTCCGAGATCTTGGATGCATTGCCTCTCACTTCTGCCTGCTCTGCTCTCTTTGACGCCATGGTATTGGCTGGGTATCGCGTTAGTGGTATAGGGCGGGGGTATACTAGCATCAAGCACAGCAGGCACTTGCTCTCACGCTGTAGATGGCGCCCTTTGCTCGTCTCCAAGTTGTATCTTGAACCTGCAGGCTGCTCGACTGTGGCTGAATTGTCGATGTCGTTGATTTGGCCAGGTTCAGTAAATAAAAAAAAGAAAATAGTCAGCAAAGAAGCAATTTAACCAATGGGAATAGCCCATTTACTGGATAATGAATTGCTGGCCAATAGGCGTTTGGCTAAGCCACTTTATACGCCCTAGCGCCGTTTGTGGTGGCGTCGGAGGGCGGGAAAAAAGGTACAAGCAACAGCTTCAGCCTGATCAAGAAGCACGTAACTCGAGGATACACACGCCCTACAGCAAACGGGACATTTGGATAGCTTCAAGAGCTGCAGCTGGCAACGAGCATCTTCATTTATCCGCTTTAGCTCTTCTTAGCTTCGATATTATCTTCTATTGGTGGACAAACAGCCGTGTTCAAAGCTGACCTGACCATGGGCTTCAACCCCACCACCACTATTTTGCTTATTGCTTTCTTACTCGTCGTCTTGCCGGCGAGGGTAGAAGCATTTGGAGCTGGAAGTAAGCTATTACCCCTGCCATGTTACACGAGCAATAGAGAGACCACAAGAAAGCTCGGAGAATACCCCTGGTTGTGTTCCTGGGTACTCCGGTCCCGCATCAATTCGGTTGGTGTACATGATATTGACGAAGACATACACAACTACTAGATATTGCTTCTGTTTCGGCCGTCGAAGGCAAGAACTGGCGCCATGGAGATATCGAAGATGTCATCAAGACCCTTGCGTTCATCAAGGGCCATAAATGGACCGCCAATATGGTAAAGAGAGTCTATTTTGGTAACTGGTTACGAGATTAGTGAGTTCCCCTGACATGCTAGTTACATTTCAGCTCTACTTTATATGGTATGACTGACATGGCTGTTGGCGTAGCTCGCAAGCTGTTGATGTTGGGACTCTGAAAAATGTCCCCGCTGACAGTGTCCGTGTCCTTGTGTGGGTCCTGTCTTTTATGACTTTTGGATATGCTACGGCAGAGTTTGAAGTTACCTCTGAGAGGCTTGGAGTGTATCGACCAGAAGAGCACATTGAGTATGTCGAATTGATCATAACCCGGGCCGCCGCTAGGTACTCTGCTGATATTTGGTCTATAGTAATCCAAAGGGATACGCAGACGATAAGGATGCAAGACAGTATGACCCACGTTTACGTGGTCCTGTCCAGCGAGTCGAGCTTGAAATCGACCCTGAAACTGGCATGAAAAACTACATTGCGAATGAACGAGGCAACTGGGCAACGAGTGCCGGCTATGTCAAGTACAGCTTCTCCCGTAGCATCCACTTTGCCCGACAGTACATCAATGGAGGCCACCTGCGCAAGGGTAAAGATGAGGACCTATACGAAGCCCTGCGCTGTCTGGGTCAAGGCTTGCATACTCTCGAGGACTTTGGTGCTCATACGAATTACTGTGAGCTAGTTTTGCGAGAGATGGGCATGCTTAATGTTTTCCCTCACACGGGAACGAACACGATGATGAACATCAAAGGGAAACACGTCTTCCCACTAGTAACAGGCACTTTTGGAATGGTGGATTTCCTCCACTCAGTGCTAGGAGAAGCATCTGACCATGTTACGCAATCTGAGATCAGCGAGTTGGACACTACGCTTGAAAATGCGGAGGTGGGCGGTGCTACGACAGGCTCAGTGAACGCCCTGACAAGCTTGCTGTCCAAAGTCCCTGGCATGGGTGATTTGATTGCTGAAGCCGAGAAGCTTAAGGCTAGCTCTCAAGCCCAGGCTCAGGCAAACAGCAATGCTGGCTACGGATACGGTGCCTCTAGAGGTGTCGACGACGGACAGGCACAGGCGTATGGTGCAGCGGGCGGATATGATCAGACAACTCGGGCTGGGCCAGGGGGATTGCCAAGTGTCGACCCACAGAAGGTTATTTCCCAGATATATCCGATCCTTGTCTTCAGAGACAATGTCGTGAGAAGAATCTCTTCCGTCGTATCGAAGATCCCCGGCCTCGAGTCCCTTGTCGAAAAGATTACTGATACGCTCAGCGTGTTTATATTCTCGTTGCTGTCTCCCTTCGTCAGACCTCTTATCAAAGTAGCAACCTCACAGCTGCAAACTGGGTCATCTGGGGTCATTAACACCTCCGAGCAGCATCAGTATGAGCCATGGACGGATCCAAACTGCACTGATCCAACTCACTCCCTGCTTTCAAAAGATCACTTTTCCAACATCCTTAATGAGCCGGCCGGACACGTGGCGGCCGCCATTCTCAAATATGTAGTGCCTCGAGTGTTATACGCATGGCAGCATGTCGATATCCCAGTCGAGGATGTCCTCGCAGATTGCCTGAGGGTATTTCATCACCCAGCGCTTCGAGACATGAACAACGAAGCTCATCGGACGATGTTTGAGGCTGTACAGAACTGGGCTCGCTCGAGACGTGACGGTGGTGCTAGCCTAGATACGGTCTTGAACGCACAGAGCGTAAGAGAAGGCAAAAACCATACTGGCGGCAACCCCCATCTGCAAGGGGGCGGTCACGGACATGGATCTGGGCACGGATATGGTCAACAGCCAATGCATGGAGCGGCCCATGGCTATCAGCCGCCCTATCAACAGCAACAGCAACATCAAAGTTACAACTCACCTCAATATGGCCAGCAGTCGTATCCTCATCAAGGTGGTGGCGGCGGTTCCCATCATAGCAGTAATCCACTATCAAACATACCAGGCCTGTCGGCCCTGGCAGGCCTTACCGGCAACTCTTCACACCAGGGGTCAGGCTACTCGAACGCAGGGTCAGCAGCATCATCTATTCCATGGGATAAACTGTCTCATCTGCCCATCCCAGGCGCATCCAATTTAGGCAAAATAGGAGGTTTCTTGTCGGGATCAGGGGGCCGAACAAGAGAGTTAGGTGATGAGACCAGCAGGGGTATCGCACCAGAAGAACATCCAGCATCACGAAGTACAACACCTCAACCTGAGATGCCACCACCCGCTGGCTACGAGCACTATCACCAGCAGAGAGAAGGTAACCCTATATATGAACCACCGAGCGAAGGTGCCCACACATATGATTACTACTATGGTCCAGGCCACAACAGCGGCTACGGTCACTCGCATCAGTACTAGTCAAAAAGCTGATATGAGACAGCCCCTCACAAAGAGAAAGCTTGCATGTACTTAGCTCGATAAACTCGCTAACACTTCAGATTTCGTCCGAAACCAGACGGAAACCGTTGCCCGAGTTGGACGGCGGAAAGTAGAGGACCCCATAAGAAAACGACCAGCCTCTGAGGCTGAAGGGGGTTGATGCCCAGTCTGATGTAACAACAGCCAAACTTCCCCAGACAAAGCTAAGCTGCCAATCATGGTGTACACATCCAATTGAAATGAGCAGGGATTTGACGTTGCACTACTGCGTGAAAGGAATATAATTCAACTTGCATGGTCTGTACTCTCTGCCTTCATTGTGTCCCGGTCCCGAATCTCCCTTAGCGAGAGCGCTAGAGGTCTTCCCACAGGCTGGTTGGTTAAGCAGCTAAGTAACTGGTTAACTCGTCAGGGAGTTATCGCGCTTTAGGCTGTGGGGCCGAGGATAGGATTCTTCTACTCGAATCGTTTCATCGTGAAGGAAGTTACTTCTTTTCAACTACTGGATTTTAATAATGCGTCTCACACCTGATGCTCCCTTCAATCACGATTCCGCTCCCAGAGAGGAGCTGTGAAACCCTCGGCTTGTTGCAACGTCTGGTCTAGTCAACCATTTAGCGTCTTGCATGGGGCGTGCATGGACTCTTCTAACGGCTATGTCTCGAGGAAGAGCTCCCCGATGCCCCTGGGTGGTGTACTTTTTGCTTCCGTAGTTTTTCTCTTGAAGGATCAGCTATATAAGGAGGCGCTCGCTGCCGCTGGTTCCGTTACAGTCGCTGCTCCAGGTCCAGCGTCTACCTGCTTGCTATCATTTCCTCTGCCGATTATCTACTCCCTATCAATTGAGGCAGTCAATCTAGATAACTAATTCACCATGATGCTCAAATCTGTTCTACCTGCCCTTGTGCATCTCGGCCTTGCTGCCGCCGCCGCCTCTTCGTCCGCTCCAGCCAGCACCACACAGTCCGGCAGCCCGTCTCCTACGATCTCGATATTCTTTCCCAACACGGCGCGGCCAACTGACGGCCCCATTGTAACACCTCTTGCAGATGCATCGGTGGTCGGCGTGGTAATATTTTTCTCTTCGTTAACGGTGCAAGAGGAAGAACAATTTAAATGAACATGACTGGCTGATTTGCCTCTAGAAAGAGCCATTGACCACCGTTGCTGTCTGTATCAACTTCGTTTCGCGACATTCGTGCGAGGCAGACTTGCTCCAGACCTTCACCGTTGGCGGCACCACTCTGCTCGAGTACAACGAGGTCAACACTGATGACGGCATGACTGGGTATGTCGTTCTGTACTTTACTAGGATTACGGGGCAGTTGATTGTAGTATGCTGACAGTTGAAACTAGAACAATTCATGGCGGCTGTACTATTCACGAAGCTGCTACCTGCAGCGTATCCTTCTCTACGGCGATAGCTAGCTTCAGCACTAACATGGTAGAAACTACCACCTATCCAGCATCAGAAATCACTTATGTTCCGGTCACCATCACCGCTGGAGCTGAGAAGCTGCCAAAGGCCACCCAGACCAGCGGCACTGGTGGCCCAAGTGGTACCGGCAAGCCAAACAGCGGTCCTAAAGTAACTGGTATGCCTAACCTGGCTCTTCTTGGTGGTGTCGCTGTTGTCGGTGCCGCGTTAGCTATGTAAGGACGTATTGTCTCTGTCAAGAGGCTGATGATGTGTACATATATATATTTGTTATGTTGGTTGAAAAATATCTAGTTATTCAGGGTATATATGAAAGCTCCCAATAATATGCAGGGTTGTCTATGGGATATCAACTTGAAGACGATGGATTCTGGATTTCAGCATGGAAGACATAATAGAAGGCATCAACTGGCTTACCAGTTTAGACATCTCTGCCAAGTTTCGGTATCCAAGAGCTTCCCCTGAAAAAGTTACAATGTAGTAACAGGCAACTATAAAGACCAGTAGCATCATATACACGACAGTATTCTACACTGGCATACAGTATCAATTTTTGACGATTAATTCCACTGCTTCATTATCGCTATGAGAATAACGCCACACAGACTAACTAACTGAAGGACATAAGCTTATTTTTACCCCAGATCACCTATCTGGTACCAAGAAGCGGGTCGGTTCGTCTTGTCGATCTTTAGAAGATCGGTATCTATGTCTGAGGATAGGACACTGGTGATTCAGTATTGTATATAGATAACATGGGAATTCTAGCCATGTTTGCTATGCATTTGCTATTGAGACATTACGGGAATAAAAGGTATAGTATAATACAATTAAAGTATGTGCGTGAATGCGCAATTTCCCGTGTTCATGAAGTCATATATGGGACGAGCACCCTGCGCCAGTCAGCCAGAAACGAAGTTGAAGTGAAGTAAAAGAAAGTCATAGATACCCATGATTCGTGAATAAACAGAAGCGTTCGTGCTCATAGTTTCGTCCCTTCCCAGCCACTGTCACTTGGGCGTCTGCCTCGCGGCTCTGGTCCGGCGGTGGAGGGCATCCGGGTCTGTCCAGAGGCTCCATCCATCCCTCCTCCATTGCTACTGCTGCCAGGGCGAGCATTTATTGGTGTTCTCTGGCTTTGATGTATCCGGGAATTCATTAGTAAGTGGACCTGCATCCTGACCGTGTTCAGCCCTGCTGTGAGATGAGCCATATCTTCCCTCACACGGAGGGTGTCATTCATCATTGATATATTTGTACGAGCCTCGAGGTCTGCAACTGTCGAGGTAAGTTGCAATACTTCTTCTCGCAGTGCCTCGTGGATAGATAGGAGGTAGGTTGTAGTGTTGCTATGGTACGGAGCCGAGGAGTTGATCGTAGGTGAGGAGGCGAGGGCATCCCTTGACGGAGAGACACTCCGATTCAACTCAGGCACTGGAAGATTAGCATTTTCAGTCCCGGAGTTGGATGTTAATTGTACTCTTGATGGAGGTCGTGAATTTGTCTGTGAGATTGCAGATCGTAGGCTAGCGATGCTGTCTTCAAGGAAAGAATTCTGTTGTTTCAGTTGTCGGATGGTGGAGTCCATAGTTTCGAGTCTTGCTGCTTGACTCTCGAGGTACGGCCCTAATCTGGCTAGCGGGCAGGACTCTTCGTGGTCCTTGAGCTCGGTTTTCAGGAGTCGCGTCACACATCCATACTTCGAAGCCTTGCAAGGTGCAGTAGCCTTTAAACAGCTGTCTTTGTGTTCTTGCTGATTGACCTTATAGTAGACTTCCTCGCAATCAGGGCAAGTCATTTCTATTTGCGGACATAGGTTTGTTGCATGTGCCTGTGAATGATTGTCAGCGTTGGTGTCCAGGGTTATCGAGTATTTACTGAGCAATGGCAAGTGCAAACCTCAAAGTCAAGTTCCATCACGGACTCCCCGCATTGCCCACAGTCTACAAGTGTATGCAGGCAACGATCTTCCGATCCTAAATCCTTTTTGCGGATCTTCTTCTCGCATTGGGCATCGGGACATGGCATCCATCGATACTCACAGTACTTATCTACATGAACTTGCGCATGGCCACGCTGTATGGTCTCGGTACAACCTTCAGCATGATACGGACACTTCACCAATATGTCATCACACATGGCGACCACAAGTCGCGGCACGGTTGTATACGTAGCATTTGTAGGCGTACGGCAGGTAGGACAAAGAAATTCGCTTGGCTGCGTGAACTGGTTCATATCGCTTGAGGATTTGATACAATCATCCAGACAAGACCGGCAAAATATGTGATCGCATCGTAGTCGAGTGGGGGTGATGAACGGGCAATGGCAGACGAGGCACATGAGATTCTTGTTATATTCAGACACGGCTTCGAGAGACCGCAGGTCTATAGCGTTGTCACCGGTGCCAGATGCCATTCTTGCCGTCCTGCACAGTATGGTGCTCTGAAGCGCAAAGGGCTGTGTCTGATATGCAAACCCGAGGGGCGGACAGTGGGGGTGAGTCGTTGTTCGAGATATATATACTGTAGAATCGGCGGGAGCTCGAGCAGCTGACGGGATCAGTCCCAAAGGAGCAGAGGTATATCCTCGTCTGCCATCAGAGCAAGATAGACTCGAGCAAAGCGGCGAAACTAGATATCTGGCTCCGGCAAGCAGCAAACATCGACCAACCTCCCGGCTCGTTTCAACTTGGTTGCTGTCGCTCACTTTGTTTTTTTGATATCAAAGAAAAAGCAAAAGCCGATGGAATTTGCACGTGATAAAGCTTAGTCATATACATGTGACCGTCAAGTCACATGATCTGAGTAGGGATTATTATTTATCCAGATTTGATTAGTCATTGCCAAGGCCGTGGATGGAAAGCGAATAACACTTCTGTGGTCCGTGCGCGAAGCTAATTACGACGTCAAAGTCGCTCTTTTGGCTGTTTGAGATGTTGAGACGCCAGGCATCAGCTAGAACCAACTCATCTCATAGACATTCTTTGATAGAACGGAGCATGAGATTGAGAGCAGCGGTTATTCTGGTTTAATAGCCCATTGCTAGCTCTGCCTACTTCGCTTTTGTGGGACACCGGAGACTGTCGGCACAACAAAAAACTCGGGGTCATATATAGAATACCAAGGCTGATCATCGACCATGAGCAACCCATCTCAACTTTTTCTTTTAGCAGACCACATAAAGCTCTCTCTGCTAGAGCGGCAAAGAGCAATCTCCCTTGACCTTGAACCTAATGCGCAGGATGGAGAGATATCTCGTTCGTTAGAGTCGTTGCGAGAGGGTCTGGAATCGGCTGAGAGGGAAGCCCAAAGGCTGGTCTCTGCTGGGGATGCGTAAGTTCGACCACTCTATTGAGAGACAATATTTAACTAATGTTACGATTGGTAGATCATCAAATGACTTCAAAGAGCAAACTAGCTCCCTACGAACCCAGTACGAGGACCTCTCACGTCAATTCCATGGCGACAATGCACCCTCCCTATCCACCCAACCAAACTATGAAGATCTGGCCCAAGACTTCATTCGTGCAAGCAGCACTCCGTCCATCCTCAAGCATCCTACACCACAACACCCGGTCTCAAAGTCTGTTCGTTTCACGGACACTTTAACCGCTAGTGCTGAAGAGCATGACCCCAACCGCGATGCCCTGCTTAGACCATATTCTGACTCCCCACAGCCTAGCTTCGACCCTTCAGAAGCTACAAACCAGGAAATTCATGATTATCACAGCCAGGTCATGCAGGAACAAGATGACCACTTGGACCGTCTGGGTGAGTCAATTGGGCGCCAGCACCAGCTGAGTATCCAGATTGGAGATGAGCTGGAAGGGCAAGTTGCCCTTCTGGATGACATGGACGGCCATGTTGAAAGACACCAAGGCCGGTTGGATGGAGCAAGAAGAAGCCTCGGGCGATTTAGAGAAAAGTCAAAGGGAAGCAAGGGTATGATGACCATCATTGGACTGATCATCGTACTGGTGATTTTGATCGTGATTCTCAAGTGATCCAGTCATTGTCTCTTCCTCATTTTGTGTCTCATTCCCCTCTGTTTTCTACTTGTAACGATTTCCATGACCTCACAAGGATAGCATTTTTGCTACCTTGTTTACTTTCCTTGCTTTAATCTCGTTACCACATAACTTGGAGTGTATTACATATATCCCTACGGCCCTAGCTGGTCATTTGTTTTGTTTCCTATTTTAAAGGGCGTTATTTTTGGAGGGGATAGCTGGCGTCACTACATCGTATATATCGCTTTCCTTTGTTCAGTGCGAATATCGGTCAATCCTCGCGAATACTTGAACAACCCAGATTAGTTCCTTTTGTTGTTATTTTCGCAGCATAAAACGTCAGTCGATTACCAGTCACGTTGGACTGTCTCTAAACAAAGATGCATATTTGTACTGTTGGTGAGAACGATGTAGCTTCTTTCGGTTACTTGAGCCGCGATTCTTAGCTTGTGGAAAGTTTTATGGCGAATAACAGACGAAATCATTGCTATTTTATTGTTGGGCATAAATACCATAAACTCGTCTTAAGTATGACTTCCTACGTCTACTTTTTGTAGGCCTCCATGCTATGCATTGTTGAAATGACTTTCGGCTGGACAATCGCTAGTAGTGGAACCGGCACAATGACGAGAAGAATAAAAGCGAGCAATGACTTTGCACAGCCGTATCCAAGAGATTTATACATGTAGGGCGCAGCAACTGGTAGGAACGTTCCCATGAGGTATCGCATCGGCAGGACAGCTGCAACTGCTGAGGCAGATCTATCTCCAAAGATATCGACAAGAAAGTTCATCATTGGGGTCGTGCTGGAAGCCAGAGAGAACCCACACAGGCTGGTAGCAAGGGTTGGAACGATCCAGTGTACGTGATATTGCAAAGACCACCCGTAGATGAACAGGCCTGCTGGAAACAGAGCAATGTCAGGGATGGTGGGTATTAGGCTATTTTGCGGCAGAGGCTGGTCATCTATTCCAATGAGGGCTGGTTTGCGAGTCGATAAACCCCTATATAGGAATAATAAAGGGTGAAACGACAGTCAATGACTCCAGTAAGTGTTCCGAGAGCTAAGCATTGCCGCTGTGCAAAGACAATACGCCGAGATGGTCTCGCATGAAACGGCTGGCCTGTCTGATATCGTACAGAACTGCATCGGCTGGCCCCAGAGCACAATCGACTTTGGCAGCTGGACTCAGTATCAGAACGTGGATGGAAGAGTCACCTTGGAGCTTCCAGGAGCCATTGGGGTATCAGGGCACGCAGAAACATGTCATTTGCTTGTAGTAGTCGCTTTTCCGGACTCCAACAAGTGACAATAGGATGGCCATCAGGGTGAGCATCGTGAGAGGCGCTTCTGGCTGCGGTTTGCGTGGAGTTGGAGAAGTTGCAAGGAGTAACAACATCCTATTGGGCAGGCCTTGATATGCGATTCATGTAACTAAAGACAGTTAGATCTCCTTCAGCTAACAAAATGATCTGCAATGCTGAATTTATTCTGTATATAACTTGACGATTCTTTCCGATAATTATTATTTCCTGATTACCGTCTCATCAAAAGATTCTCGTCGTCAATCATGTCGTACTCTGTCTATCGCGTTGCCTCCGCCGGCCTCCCTCGCGACCACCACGCCATCTTCGTCGAGACCAGCGAGAACGGCGAAAAGACCGGCCATCTATTCCAGGTTAAGGGGAATATACAGAACGGCATGTCCTTCGAGCAGAGACCTGAAGGCCAGCCGGAGGCCTCGAGCTCGTTCATCGACAAGCAGGAGATCGGGGCCGTTACGCACGCAAACTACTATCGGATCTAGGGGATATGCGAAGGCATTCCTCCTCCACGGAAGCAGTTCGAGGGTGCAAAGAGGCTTTATCCCAAGGAGCCCATCAGGCGATGTCAGGAGTGGACGGCTGAAGCCATACAAGCCTTGAAAGAGGCTCAGGTCTTGCTGTGACGGAGCTTTATATAACACTGCTCTCGGGAGATATAAACTACCATCTGGTCCAGAAATATATATACGGCGTACAATTTTGAAACTGTTGTGTGCCAATTATGATCAGAGCCATCGAAGAAAAGCTCATTGATACTGCTTTACTATTATCATGCAGTCGGGGTCTATTGTCCGCCACCAGCAACCTCGCACCGCTTCAGCATCACCATCTCAATAGCCATGCCGGGTCCAAACGATGCCGCCACAACATGACCGCGTTGCTTCTCATACGTCCGCAGCCGGTCGAGTACTGATAATATGGTTGGACTCGATGAATTTCCTCGAGTCCTATATATTTCTCGGCTCGCTTGAAGCTGGTCCTCCGTCAGCTGCATTGTCTCTTGGACCCCGTCGATCAGAGCTTTCCCGCCAGGGTGCACCGCCCAATCGAAATCGTCTATGCCCAAGTGTATATCTGCTGCTAATACTTGTTCTTCATACGATGGCAGCAGCTTATGGAACATCGGCCCAATCGCTCCCTTTGCATAGGTTGGGATATCTTTGGTCAAAACACTCCGAAAGCCTACGAACAGTCAATGTTTCCTCTATCATCGGGACATATCCGCAAAAAGCATAGACTTACCATATGGATCCGTATAGCATGTGAGGTGTTGCATAGTGTCCGGTATTAGAGCATTGTCCCACTCAATCAGCTCGAAAATCGGACTCGCACTACTTTCTTCCAGTGCAGTCTTGTTGCACAGGATAAACGCTGCCGCTGCGTCTGAGAACAATGCCCCAGCTATGTTGACTTTACTGAGATCTGTACATTGTTCTGCCTCTGCCAGGTCATGCCGAACGTTAGGTGTGCAAAGCTCGCAGGCATACACTAATATGCAAGCTTTTCTTCCGCGCATGGTTGCTCCGCAAGCTACCTGAGAAGCCACTCTCATAATGGACAATCCGCCAGCACATCCTACCCCGTGGAGTAATATACGGCTTGTTCTCTCCGGCAGACCAAGCCTTTCGTTCACAAGGAGGTCATACCCGGGATTGCCTTGGTTGGTACACGTTACACTGACAGTGTGTGTTATCTGCTCTGGAAGGACGCCCGCTTCCTTCATTGCTTTCATGCACGCTTGCACTGCGAGATCGACCCCATCCCGACGAAATAGCTCGTCAAGGTCAGCAATCGATGGCGGAACGGGGTCACAGGCAAATCCAGTTTCATAGGACCGAATTGATGAACGAGTTTCAATTCCTGTCGAGGCATTGATTTGAAGCAGCTTTTGGAGACTATATGGTGATGACGCAGAGTTAGCATTGTGAACTTTTACGCTTTTGTGGAATGCTGCCTCGTCCTGCTTAATACCTTACCCAGGGCGCCGGATATCGTGAAACCGTCCGGCAAAGCAAGTTAGTTTTTCATGGTCGAGGAGATACGGCGGATATTGCGACCCTAGGCCAACTATGAATAGGCCTGGAGCCACAAGAGGATTGCTGGCGCATCTAGAGGCAGGCATCGTCTCAGATCAACGACATGCATTTTTTTTTTTTTTTTTTTTTCGGAGTTGGGCTGAGTTGGGAATAAAATGAATACGAGAAGATTGAACCCCATCCCACAATCTCTGCAGCAAAATGCGCCTGGTCTAAGGAAGCTATCTTCCCTCAGCCTCATGACAAAATCCCTGCCGTCATGCCTCTCACCTGCAGGCCACTTGGGTGTCACGCATCCGCAGTCCTTTTCGAAACGAACCGATCGCCAGTAATCTATAGCACTCTTATGGATATGCCGTACATATATATCATGAGCGGGAATCTCTTCGAAGCGGAGGCTGTCTATCGTACACAGAGGCGCTCGTACTGTCCATTTGGGACATATCAACTACTATTCCTTCCACCAAGGATAGTAGACAAGTACTCCAGGTCATTATGATGAATGCCAGCTTCTCGGATTGGCGGGGCTCTTCCCTGGGAATCGAATACTCACTTATACTTAAGGGGGGGATGAAACACAACGTCAGGGATATCCTCAATGGTGGTTGTTGGTAGCAGATGGCCGTATATACCACATCATATTGCCTGTCTGGTTCATGGTGAAGCCCAGCAGAGTCTCAACAACTCTTTCTCCAGGCATAAGACAGAGAGAAAAATTATAAGTGCCAATAAAAAAATATTAAGACTGTCCTATGCTGCTAGTTTCCGGAAAGTTCCTCTACAACCATATAAAAACGCGTTAGGGCACCAAGAATGAGAATTTTTCATCAACACCACTCTCAACCTGTCTTGTTATTCCCTCTCACATTAGCCTTTTCTGCCTATTGGCTAAGATACTCAACCAGAATCAAGAGGATTGCTGTTTTGATACCATCCTGAAGATTTGGCCTATCTCATGGCGACATCAGGAGGCAAGACCGGTAGGCGGGAGGCCCGCCCTCCTGGAAGGGCGCAGAGAATGGGGGAAAATTCGAGGCCAGGCAAGCAGAATGCTCAGAAGAGAACCAAAACCAAGCCGTGTCGCTTTATCGAGCATGAAAAGACGTGTCCATATGGCGAGAACTGCACGTATTCGCATGATACCGCAAAGTTCAGCACCGAGCAAGTCAAGAAGTCATCCAACTCTTCAAAGGAACAGCAAGAAAGAATGAACTACAACGCTTGGAAGCGGATTATCAAGAGTCCTCCAAAGCAAAATGACCTTGCTACGATAAAACGTCTTTGGACTGGAGCACTTGATATCTTGGAGGGGTTTGATCGGAACTGGAAACAGATGCTCCCTCGGGATCTTGACGCAGACGAGAATTTTGGCCGCGAGCATATCCAGACTCTCCTGAACATGAGGTCTCATGGTAATGGATGTAAAACTTTTGTTGAGCTTTCACAAACTTTTCTTGCAGTGATTACCCATCCTGCCATGCTGGACTGTCTTTCGATAGACACTGTTGTCGGAGGGCTGTATAATTTTATCAGCGGGACTAACGGCCAAAGAGCAATCGGATTTTTTACGCGTCTTTGTACCAATCTCGCAACGGCATATGGTCAATCGGTGATTCTGAAATCGATGGCCGAGACTACACTCACTTCTGTGGGAATTGCATTGCACGAGCTCTTGAGGAGAGAACAACGAGCAGCGTACAATGATGAGCTGCCGGACTTGGTCACTTCTTTGGAGAACGCTGCTAGCGCATTGGACATTGACACACAATTGATTAGATTTAACTCCAGCATTGCTGAGGTTAGAGCTAGGATTGGGCGTGCAATTGGCCTATTAAAAGACAAAGAGATTGACGATACTGTTACAGTCGATGGGTTCTCAACTACAGCTGTCAAGTCGTATCCACGGCCGATTTCTGTGCCAGGAACTCGACATGATAACGACCACGCTGATATTACAAAGATCCGAATAATGCCAACCAACGAAGAGATTTGTTGCGAACTGCCTGATTATCTACCAACGACCGATTGTGATCAACCTTCTTTCATCACGAATGCCACTGACCGTCACATAGATACTTTGTTTCGCCTACTTCGGCACGACATCTTCGGAGAATTAAAACATGCTCTTGGGATATTGATACACGCCATAAAAGAAGATGAAAGCATACAGCGAACCTGGAATCCTCCTGTTGGAGATATTCGAGCATATGCGTATCCTAATGCTCGCATTCAATATGTTTCATTTGAACGAAGAACAGGCATTGAAGCCCAAGTATCGTTCAGTCAACTGCCCGCCCTTCAAAAGAAGACGTCTGCTGAGAGAAGCAAGTGGTGGGCAGACTCAAAGCGCCTAGAAGAAGGTATTCTTCTATGCTTTGTTACTGTTTCATCTGGAATACCTTCCGTCTTGTTTCTTACCGTTAGCAAAAAAAACCACTGATCTCAAGGAGTCTCGCAACTTGGGCTCAAACGAATATAACGCTACGATTACTACAAAGCTGGTCACTCGTAACCGGGCGGAGTTTGCCTTGTTAACAGAATTAAGCAGCAAGAGCACAAATGGAGTTTTGGTTGAGTTTCCGGGGGTAATCCTCGCAACGTTTATGCCTATTCTGAACAATCTCCAGGCAATGCAATCTTCTGGCTATATACCATTCTCTCAATGGATATTGCCTGATCGGGCTACTATTTCCGGAGAGCCAGCACAAATACTCCCACCACTTTATACTAGAAATCGAAATTACTTCTTTATTTTGGACCCCATACTCAAAAGGAAAGATGACAGCCTGTCATTTAGTCCCACTACCTCTTGTAGCACAACCATTCTTCAAAACCTTGAAGAGCGGACTACTCTTGACCACGGACAATGCCAAGCGCTTATAGCAGCCTTGACCAGAGAGTATGCTTTTATACAAGGCCCGCCGGGTACAGGAAAATCGTACATTGGTATCCATCTGATGAAGGTCCTTCTAGCCTGCAGCAAGAAGTCAAAGTTGGGCCCTGTGATAGTTGTGTACGTTTCTCCACATGCCATTGATGTGCCGAAAGACTAACTCCTATTTAGATGTTATACTAATCATGCCTTGGATCAATTCCTTGAAGAATTAGTAAAGGCGGGTGTCGAGAAGCTTATTCGGATCGGAGGACAAAGCAAGTCGAAGATCTTGGAGGGTCATAATCTACGAGTTGTGTCAAATGGCGAGGGAAAAACAAGGAACGAGTCGTTTTTCGTTGCTAAAGCTTATGAAGCCCTTCAGAAAAAGGAGCCCCTGATTCACACTTCACTCGCCGCTTTGCACGCCTTGAGAAAGGAACAGAGGTGGGGAAGTCTGAAGACCAATATTTTGCATAGACTGAAGGGCCATATCAAGCAGAGATACCCCCTGGCATTCAATAAATTTTCCCGAGTTGACGAGAACGATTATGAGATTGTGGGAAAAGATCCATTTGATGTCTGGTGTGAAAAGGCGATACCAAGAGAGCTTAGAGCACGATTCTCAATAAACGAAGAAGCCAATATTCAACAGATTCTCGAGAACGTCACTGCAGAGAATATATCCAATCTGCCAATTCCCGAGAGAGAACTTTTGATTAATTTTTGGGCTAGAGAATATTGTGAAATCCACCGCGACCAGTTATTTGAACTTGTGGATGAATGCTCTAAACTTCACGAACAGCTGAATAGGATACACGATGAGAGAGATAGAAGGGTACTTGAGAGTGCAGAAGTCATAGGTGTTACCACGACGGGGCTTGCGAAAAGAATTTCTGTCCTTCGACGCCTACGAAGCAAAGTCGTCATCTGTGAGGAAGCTGGAGAGGTTATGGAGCCCCATATGATATCAGCCTTACTGCCGAATGTCGAGCATTTCATTCAAATAGGAGACCATCAGCAGTTACGTCCGCAAATCAACAACTACGAACTGTCACTTGAAAGCAAGCAGGGTGAAGCTTACCAGCTTGATCGAAGTCAGTTTGAACGGCTCTCTATTGGAGAGCCAGGCAGAGCCCCATTTCCGGTAGCACAACTAGATACCCAGAGACGAATGCGCCCTGAAATTTCTTGTTTGATCCGGATGACCCTTTATCCTCGTCTTGTTGATCATCCATCTACAAAAACGTTTCCTGATGTGGTTGGGATGCGAAATAATGTATTCTGGCTTGACCATGAGAATATGGAAGATTCGTCGAATTCCGATCAACACCAAAGGTCACACAGCAACAGTTGGGAAGTTGATATGGCTCAATCTCTTGTCCGTCACATTATTCGGCAAGGTGTTTATGAGAGCAAAGATATTGCTTTGTTAACGCCATATACTGGCCAATTGCAGAAGCTGCGAGCAAAGTTGAGGAGCGACTTTGAAATTGTCTTGAGTGACCGGGATCTAGAGACACTTGCTAAAGACGGGTTTGATGAAGAGACAAGCACACATTTAGAAGAAGACCAATAGGATGTTGCAAAACGTCAACAGAGATCCGTTGAAAAGAAAAACCTGAGCGAGTTCCTTCGTGTCGCAACCGTCGACAATTTCCAAGGCGAGGAGAGCAAGATAGTCATCATTTCTCTCGTTCGAAGCAACAAGGAGAAGAAAGTTGGATTTCTGCGAACGACCAACCGTATCAATGTCCTCCTTAGCCGGGCTCAGCATGGCATGTATTTGATTGGAAATGCAGACACCTACTCGAACGTTCCAATGTGGGCCAAAGTTATAGGTATGTTAGATGCTGAGCAGTCGGTTGGAAAGCGACTTGGGCTTTGTTGTTCACGACATATGGACACAGTGATGCAAGTCTCTGAGCCTCTAGATTTTGAAAAATTCAGCCCGGAAGGAGGATGTCAATTGCCCTGTGATAGGCGTTTAACTACCTGCGGACACAAATGTCTGGCCCGATGCCACTCAGATGCCATGCATGAAGTGTTTCAATGCCCACAACCATGCCAACGCCTACACTCTCCTTGCAAACACGGCTGCCAAAAGCAAACCTGTGGAGAGGATTGCGGCGTCTGCATGATAAAGATTGACAACGTCCTGCTTCCATGTGAACACACTGAGGATGGTGTTCCTTGCTACAGAACACAGGATGTTAAAAGCATCAAGTGCAATGCCAGGGTCCAAAAACGAGTCCCAAAATGCAATCATCTCGTGGATGTTCCATGCTTCCGAGACGTTTCCATAGCTTTCTTATGCCCCACAAAATGCGAAGCATCATTGCCCTGTGGTCACCGCTGTCCAGGGACCTGCAGCAAATGCTACGATAGCGAGCACCAGGAGTGTACCAAAATATGTGGAAGAAGGTTCGGAACTTGCAACCACACATGTCCTAGAACCTGTCACGATGGTACGGACTGTGGTCCTTGTCTGGCCCCATGTGAGGTAATTCTAGCGCTATGGCTCAGTCCTGTCAAAACGTTGAAACTCATGCTGATTCACAAAATAGGTTAGATGTTCTCATTCTCAGTGCACGCTACGCTGCCACGAACCTTGTGCTCCTTGTGTTGAAAGCTGCACTTGGTCATGCGAGCACCAGGGGAAATGCGAACTGCCATGTGCTGCTCCCTGTAATCGTCTTCCCTGCAACGAACGCTGCTCGAAGAATCTCTCCTGCGGACACCAATGCCCAGGAATCTGTGGTGAAGAATGTGCTGAAGGCTACTGTCAAAAGTGCTCCACTAAACTTGATGCTCGAGTGGATTTTGTTGAGATGAAATCCTACGAAGACATTGATGTTAACGAGACTCCAATCGTTGTTCTTGGATGTGGCCATTTCTTCACAACGGAATCCGTGGACTGTCTGATGGATATGGCTGGCGTATATGAAATTAACAAAAACGGGGAGTTTACTGGATTGAAAGACATATCCACAGATTTGGCGCCATTCATACCTTTATGCCCAGATTGCAAATATCCAGTGAGACAGTTTGCTACCCGGAGGTATAACAGAGTAGTTAATCGGGCAGTCATTGACGAAATGTCGAGACGCTTCCTCTCAAGCGGAAAAGATGGCCTCCAAGAATTAGAACGGCAAATTGATGAACTGAAAAATTGGCAACAAGAAAACAGAGAGAACGTGATTAA